TATTGACACGTCTTATCTATAAAGCAACCAATTAAATCCACTGCATCATTTAGACTTGCTAATCAAGGGTGGCTCTCTTGATTCTTCCGGCAAAGTGACTACCTTCATCCATGTGACAGGGAGCACAGTGCTTTACACACACGTTAACATCTGTCTCAGATACAACAGCCTGCATTATTCATCTATTGTTAGCCGAGCTCAGCAATGAAATATCTCCACACGGCTGTGTGCAAAACAGTCAAGAGGCACAAAGGCACAACACAGTGTGTGACGCGTGCCCCTCAAGCTGAAGGTTCAGATAAAACAGCAGCGGGTTTGTCAGGTTGCGTGGCCTATTCAACAACACAACACCGAGAAATACAACCGTTGATAGTAACAATGCGCGCTGACAGAGTGCGGCGCGGACTCCATTGTGCTCCTTTCCTTTAATCACCTCCATCTTTCTTCCGTGCTGCAGAAAGAAAAAGAGCGCAGCGAGAAAAAGAGCTGTTGGCTTGCGGATGGCTTGTGACGCTGAAAACGGGGCATCATCTAAAGATGTGGAAATATTCTAGGGGGAGAGTGTGTGTGTCTATATCAACATCTTGAGGCAGGCAGCTGCAGGGGGTGTGCACAGTAAAACACTGGTATGCATTGTTTGTTTCTGCACCACGAGCGCCATGCCGTGTCATTACATGAGGCAATCTCTTACCTAATCAGCGCTGACACACACACACGCACACACAAAGCACTCCTACTCCTCCTCATCACTCTCCCCCCTTTTCTCTCCCTCTCCTCAGGGGCCAGCCAGCTGATCCTACACCATTTCATTTCCCCCCTTTTTACTGAGATGGCAAATGGCTGACTGTTTTTATGTACACTTTCCATTCTTGGTCGTTGGCACTGTAATTGGCGTAAATGCTATTATTAGCCTTTCTTGCCCAAATGCTGAAAAGAAAACGTACGCTAACATTTGCACGATGTGGTGTGTTTTTCAATTAATAAGTAGTGAGACGCATGAGACGTCCAACCATGAGTAAGACTCCCAGATACTGGTGACAAAAGACAATCAGCTTTGCAGTCAATTTCCTCACACCTTTTAAATGTATTCACTGCTCTGTGTTTGCTGTTGCCTCACGACTCTTAACAAACGTTATCACAGCCTCCAATTCCCATTTCCACACGCTCGTTGTTCAACCCTTCGTGTACTTAATCACGGACTGAAGACTGAAATGCGGGTTGAGTTGCAACACTTATCTCTGAGGCACATACAAAATTGAACATTGAAAATATGAAGAGAACTTCTCTCTTCTTGTTGCTGTACCTAGGACCTGCCAAGAGGCTGGCAAGAACACAACAACACATTGCGCCTGATCGGCTGAAACGCGATTCACGCCAAGCGCGGCGCAATAAAGACCCAGGACCGAAGTGAGAGCGACTTCGCCGGGGCTGAGCTCAAAGAGATTTGATCACATCCAGGACATCAAATACTACTAGCAGCATGTGGCAAGACAGCTCACAATTGTTAACACGGGTAGCGCTCGCCGATACCATCTCTTCAGCACAATTGTGCGGCGGCAGAGCTCGGCCAGAATCAAATAAAGATGAGGCATGATGCAGCGAGCTTAGATCTGCTCTTATGAGAGGTGAAGGGAAGCTGTCAAAGAACACAAAACACGTCGAGCATCTTGCCTCCTCTGACTTGTATAAGCCAGGAATGAGATGGGGGGGGGGGGTGGGGGCGCGCTTTCGCCTCATTTCTGCTGGTGTGCCCTGTGCGTGTCAGTCCAATATCTTTAAACAACACATGCAAGGCTTTGCTACAGCCAATTACCCGCCTCTTGGCACGGGAACTGAAAAACATCTTTGGAGAACAATAAAGAGAGCTTGGCTTGTTGTGCGTGCTGTCAGTAAGTGCTGACAGATTGTTATTTTTAATGAATATACAGCACTTGAATGGCCCATCAAGAGGTCTTAGAGAGAACATTGCCCCTTTGTTCAGAGCATTAATTTGCTACGTAATAGCCAGATATCTTCCAGCGAAATATGGATATCTGCACAAGAAGAAGGCAAATCCGTGCATCCACTCGCTTACCTATTGTGTTGTCTTTGCAGGAGCTTTGCATGATCAGTAGAATCTAAATACAACACTTTCTCTTAACTACAGATCTGAAGACAGCGTAACTACCTCTACAGCTAACATAATTATACAGAGAATAAAATCCTTGAGTAGAAAGCACACTAAATCCACTTAATCACATTTATTCGAAGCAGAATGGCCTTGCTGAGAGTAAAATGCCCCCCTTAAAAAAAAACAGACTTGACACAGCGATGACAGGTTATAGCACCAACTCCTGCAGCAACACAATGCCATAATACCTCAGCATACATCATATGAAGTAGCTCTGAGACTAGTCCCAGACATTATTATGAGGAATCATCCGTCAGGACAATTCACGGCGACGGAAAGATGTAGCGACGGCTTCTTGGTGAATCAGAGCCAGAAGCCGTTCGAGCGCAGCATGTACACACTGAATTCCCGAACATGTGTATTGACAAATCATCCGACAAAGAGGTGTCAGAGCGCAGTGAAAAGGGGATTTTCCGTAACATTATGTGGCCCTCCATTTGCCACTCAATATTACTCACAGAGAGCTGCCATTGCTCAAACACACAGAAGTGATTAAAGGGAAATAGCAGGGTTATTACAATTCTCTTATGATTATTCTGCTGCTCCTACTACAGACACCCAGCTAGATTAACATTCGATGGATGGGGTGTGTCATTGAATATATGAGTCAAAGTAATTTTACCCACAGCTGCTCTTGAGAACTCTTTCAAATTGGAACATTATAAAACCAGCCTGACCGCCTCCGACCCCTGAACTACAAGATAACCTGATAATGACGTTAAAAAATGTTTTTTTTAAAAGGACTTTACACAGTCGTATACGAAAGAAAACCCCACCACAGACGTCTCGTTTTCCGGTATTTTAGATTATCTTCTTGGATGAACTTAAAAAAGTGATCTTCATACAAAAACTATAATCCAAACATCTAGGTGCTTTTCCGTGGGCGCTGTGCTGGAGTAGTAATCAAAGCACAGCCTGTAATGGCAGACCTCTGTAACCTAATCCAGTCAGTTTACAGGCTAAGTGGTAGTTTAAGAAAATCAAAATCACAACCACTAAGCATCTGGCAGCAAGAAAAGCCCCCAAAACATCAGATGTGCCCTCTGCACAAAGCACAACGTGGAGCGGAGGACTGCAATGACTTGATATAAGGATATCTCCATCAAAATCTAAAGCAGGTTAAAATCAATTTTTGTTAACACTTGTGTTTGTTCAAAGGAAGAAGGAGATCTAACCGGTTATTAATCTTCTTTCTTGTATTAAACGTTATTTCCGGACACACCAGTCCATGTGGATACATCCAAATAACCAACACACTGTGTAAAAATATGGGTGTATGTGATATTTTGTTTACCTGACCCTCTACTGTTGAACAATAGCACACGTAACAAACATTACATGACGTGTTTATGAACGTGTTTAAGGTCAATGACCTCTCTCTTACAGTCATGTCATTATAGCAGGTGGCAATCACGGAGTAGATAATAGAGTTGTGCTGCAGATGACTGCAAAGTACCCAAACCTCTGCATGTTAGCTTGTTTACAGTCAACAACACACATGATGTGCTGTTGAGCACTTCAAAATGCATTGCTGTCAGGTTATCGGATAATGTATAACACGTTATAATCAGCTTTATGTTGTGGCACTTTGACAAGTAGTGAAATGCAGGCTTTGATGCAAGACTAAATGACATTCTTTCAACTGAAAATAGATTGGCGTTAATGCAGTAAGGAATGTGTTTGAATGTGTTTCACGCATTTGATCTTTGTGAACAGTGTTTATTCATTAGTTATGTTGAAGTCCACAATTGTGCATGGCTATAAAGCCCATAAAGCACTAGTCACAAGTAGGGAGTCATAAGCGCTCAATAAATATAAATCACAGGCTATTAATGGCAGTGCATCACGTTACAGCTATTAATGAATGAATAGAAACCGTCTTTGGAATCTTGTTTATAGGGCAGTTTATGCAGGGTGTGTGTGACTGTAGTTTATTTCCTAACTATTTTTAAACTTACAATTCATAATAACTTGGACATTACCTCGCAAAGCCTCAGATGAAAGTAGAAACACCAGAAATAGCACTATCCCTGTAACCCAAGTGGTCTCCAATGTTGCAGCTCAGATGTGTTGAGATTCTCTGCCTGCCAGAGGTGAAAAGTGCTCATGCCAATTCTGCCCAATCTATTTGTTGACAAATGCCTCCTATGAAGATGTTACAAGCCTTGCATCTTTGTTTCTATAGGTCAGCTTGAATGTGCCGTTATCTAGTGCTACTATATGTTCAAACCGTCCCCAAGCAAGCTCGTCAATAACGACAAACCATAAACCAGACCACAATAATTGAGCACACAAAGACAGCAAGTTAGCTCCGCCAGCTAACGTATCCAAGAGCTAATGACAATAGCTGAGTGGGCTCAGACTACTCCCTGGAACAAGAGCTACTACAGTGGCTGATTTAAAAATGGGAAAACGTTTGCTTTGGGGTAACGCAATGCGAGGGTACGTGCACGTTAAAAACACAAAGCGTTCAATAATATTAAGCCATATTGAGTGTGTGTGGCATGTGCACTGTGCTAACCGGTGTCAACGAACTGTTGGTACCCAGACATTAGCCTTCTCCTTGCTGGCATTTCCAATCAGTGCTAGTCACTGGCGCTAGCCGCTAACGTTAGTTCATGGCAACCAGCAATAGTAATGGGCAAACAAGTCCAGCAGCTAACTAGCTAGCGGATGCTAATGGGCAAATTAGCCACATAGCTACCAAGCCAGTGTGTACGTTAACGGTCCCAACGTTTCTCCAAACTGTTTATATTTGTCATTTTCTCGCTCGTTTACTGGTGAACGTTAAAGGCGAAGAAGACGGCTGGTTGGAGCTCACAGCACTTACCTTAGAGGGCTTGATCTACAACATCTGTGATTTGTTTGATGAGCGACTGCAACAACAAACAATAGCAGCAGCAGCAGCAGCAGCAAGAGGCAATTAGCCAACGTTAGTTAGCCAAGTGTCGCCACTAACGTTGCACAGAGTGGCACAGCAGCTGCAGTGCCACCTGTGTATCTTCTCTTTATGTACGTTACCTATAACGGAGCGGACCTCGTTTCACACAATGCTGTCATAAATGATGGACTTGAGAATAAAGAGGGAGTAATCGTTGCCGGAATGCTCTGACTAGTGTGTGTGAGGTGCACTCAGCATGACAGCATCCCTCTTCATCTTGGGGTGAGAACAGTTGGGGGGTTCTCAAAGTTCAACCGGTGAAATATCGTCACCCACTGGCCAGAACTGGGAACATCCACTGAGAGGGAGAGGAGAGGAGAGGAGAGGGGAGGAGAGGAGAGGAGACGGGAGGAGAGGAGCCGGCGTGGGAGTCCTCGGGGTGTCTATTCTGTAACACTTGGTCTATCTTCATCCTTATAAACCTGTGATAGTGTGAGACTATATTTAGTGACTGTCAGTGAGCCAAGAAGAACACAATAGAAAACTCTCTCTCGGGTGATCTGAGTGTACTGCAGCATTGGATGTAAAGTAAATATATTGGATGTGATTTATTAGGAGAGCCAAATAGAATTCCTTCCTGGGGAATTAAAGACACCAGGACGTCAGATGTTAAGACCTGGCACCACACAAGGCAAAATTTAAATGAAATCAAATGTGATCAAATAATAGAATTGGAAGACTGATATATGACAAAAATTCATTAAATATTAGAACTATTATAACAAAATTAAGTAATAACAATAGACAAAATACATTTTATCACCTGGGACAAGACAATCTCATTGAAATTTTTTTTGACGACAATAAGTGTTTCATGTCCAATTTTCTGAAAAGAAAACATACGCAAAGCATATAAGGTTGGACCCCCCTTTTGTCTTCAGAACTGCCTTAATTCTTCAATTGGTACTAAGGGGTCCAAAGCGTGCCAAGAAAATATCCCCCCCACCATTACACCACCACCAGCAGCCTGAACCCTTGATGCAGGGCAGGATCGGTCCACACGCTTTAATGCGGTTTTCGACAAATTCTGACCGGACCGCCTGAATGTTGCAGCTGAAATCGAGACTCATCCGACCAGGCAGCGTTTTCCAATCTTCTATTGGCCAATTTAGGTGAGCCTGTGTGAATTGTAGTCTCATTTTCCTGTTCTTAGCTGACAGGAGTGATACGAAGGGTTACTGGAATTACTGTTACCAGTCTGCCATCTCAAACCAGTCTGCCCATTGTCCTCTGACCTCTCACATCAACAAGGCGTTTCTGTCCACACAACTGCCGCTCACTGGATATTTTATCTTTTCGGACCATCCTCTGTGCGGTTGTACATGGACGGTTGTGCGCGAAGATCCCAGTGGATCAGCAGTTTGTGACGTCCTCAAACCAGCCCGTCAGGCACCAACAACCATGTCACGTTCAAAGTCTCTTAAATCCCCTTTCTTCCCCATTCTGATGCTCGGTTTCAACTTCAGCAAGTTGTCTTGAGCACGTCTACATAACTAAATGCATTAAGTCGCAGACAGAAATGACCGATTAGCAATTTGTATTGACAAGCAAATGAACAGGTGTATCTGCTAAAGCGGCAAATGTGTAAATTTCATCACACAAATATATATTTTTAAAAGAAGCAGCAGTCAACGTTCAGGACTGTTCGTCCAAACAAAATTGCTGTTCTTCTTTCAGCACTGTTGACTAGGAAGAGATGAGCAGGTGCAAAGGAAACAATAGCTAATAAGCTTCTGATAGTTTCATTTATGAAAAACTGACCAACTCCCTCTCATAAAAGGGAATTTATTTTACTGGAACGCAGGGTTTGGATATTATCTGATTTATTCAATTGTAGTGTTGTGTTGAATTAAGCTGCAATTAAAGTCATTTGTATTTATAAAAGAAGATAAAGTTTTCCAACTGAAACCGCATTTAGTAAATTATTCAGCATCAACTAATTTGTGTTTTTAAACCTCTTTTGGTAAAGAAATGAGGCTTTAGTTTCATGGGTATTTTGGGTCCCAGAAATGAGAACAGAATGTAGATTGACTAAATGGTTTTAATTCATTCCCCTCTGGTTTGTTGAATGATTTCATCCCCAGGAGCTGTCTTTGGTATTGCATCATCCATCGTTGAATGTGTTCACTTTGGCATCGGCTTCTATACAGAAACCTCCCGGCTTGATAAAGTCACCTCTAAATGTCATTTTGGAAGCCCTTACGTTTTGTTTTTGTTTCTGCAAGAAGCAAGCGGTTGAAGTGCGCTCCATGAACCACCAGATGGGGCAAGACTCAAGGCAAAGAAAGTAAACATTTGAATTTCATAGCAAACCAGGTAGTAAGGCTGAAATCTATGCTGCAATATTAATTACAAGGAATAGGGATTTACACGTACTCTTGAGCTTTCTGTGAAAGGCATTGTTTGAAGTGAGAGAATGTTTGGCTGAAGGAAATCTGCAGCCGATGATAGCAACAGGATGTTTTTATACGGTTCTAAATGCTTGCTCGTGATTTGTAATACATCTCCTTGGTGACGACCAGACAATGGAGGCAGGTTCAGATGAGGCTCACAAAGTGAGTTGTGTGGCACGGACCCAGCTGGCACCCCCACCCATCCCCCAAACACCATACCTCTAATGAATAGATCAGTTTATCTTGGCGCAGCACAAGAGCAGCTTGTGGATTCTTCTACCCAGGGGGACACAAATGGCGTCCGTGAGCACTGAGCTCATGTTTCTGCCTCTCTGTGGATTACATCGCACACAGGAGCTACTAAGGAGAATGACCTTTACTTCAGATAATGCTCTCTAGGAGACAGGTATGACTCCTAAATGATGAATTTATATTGATAGCAATAGGAAATTATCATCTTCTGCAAAGAGTCACACATATTTTACGAGCTGAACACGTGGATGAATCAGAAACCAGAAAAACATTTTTTAACTATGTTATTTATTACGTTTGCTTCTGCCAACGCTTACAGCAACACAAGACCTTGTCAGATGGGACACATTGCACACACACAGTACTGTTACCACTGCTCGAGGCAGACAGCCGTACTACAGTTACAGTAGCTCAAATACTCAGTGGAGGACCAAATATCACAACAACACGAGAAGACCAACTAAAATCTCTCACAGATACACAAACAGAGGGACCAACACTATTCAGGAGCTGAAGCGTAGTTGGAGGATGAGCGAAGCTGCGGTTGAACTAGGATCTACTGTATAGCTTCTCCTCGCCACCGACTGAACTTGGACCTTTGATTTCAGCAGTAATTTTCTCTCCGAGGAAGGGCAGGAACCTAGTGTGCCGTATATGAAGGGGGGTTATTTATGAGCAGCAAACACAGAAGCCTGTGGAGGTGGACCAGCTCAGATGGGGTGCCTGAAGTTCTGGCCAGCAAAGCGGGCCTTGTCGCCGAGCTCCTCCTCAATCCTAGGAGAGAGTGATGACAGTTAGTTACAACGGATGAGCAAAAGAACTCCTTAACTCCGTTGATAAAGGTCACTGTACCTGTAGGGTTAGGATTTCTGGAGTGGACTCACCTGAGCAGCTGGTTGTATTTGGCCAAGCGCTCGGATCGGCAAGGCGCACCAGTCTTGATCTGGGAAAGGAATCCAATGAAACTTAAGACCCAATCTGGAACGTTAAAGCTACCGTAGAACAGTTTGAATAGTCCGCTCTGAAAAATCTCAACAGCGGCGACGCCAAGAAGCTTTACCTGTCCAGTGCAGAGACCGACCACCAGGTCAGCGATGAAGGTGTCCTCCGTCTCTCCAGAGCGATGGCTGACCATCACACCCCAGCCGTTGCTCTGGGCCATCTTGCAGCTAAGAAGGAAGGGACACGTTTAAGCAAAGACAGTCAGCATATACTTTATTTACTTCTCTCCAATCTTTGGAGAAGACGTTCCGACACTCACGCCTGCAGGGACTCTGTGACAGAGCCGATCTGGTTGACTTTAAGCAGCAGGCAGTTGCAGGACTTTTCAGCCACACCTTTGGCGATGCGTTTGGGGTTGGTGACTGTGAGGTCATCACCCACCACCTGGATGCTGGTGGTGGCTGTGAATTTGGACCACGCCTCCCAGTCGTCCTGGTCAAAGGGGTCCTCAATGGACACCACTGTTAGGGGAGCAGGTGAGGGTCATGTTGGTTAAGACGCCACTGAACCCACAGACCCCTTCAACCTGCAGTATTTGATGCTTTTGACCACTCGGTGGAAGCAGAAACATGGAATCCTCCGCTATGTTTATCAGCTTGAAGTGTTTTGGCAAAAAAGAAGAAAGTTAATCTATTCTCTATTACATTGGCTAACCTCCTTTTTTGTAACATATGCTCATATTATTTGGCTCCCCTTAGAAAAGCACTGAGTGGCGACAGTTTTCGGGTTGCAAAGAAGCGGCTACGTGTTCAAACCCACCTGGGTAATCTTTGACGAAGCTCTTGTAGAGGTCAGCCAGCTTGTCGGGGGAGATGTAGCGGCTGGGGTCGTCGGGGGACTTGAAGTCCAGGTCGTACTTGCCACCCTTGTAAAACTCAGAGGCAGCCACGTCCATCCCGATCACGATCTTGTCGGTGTAGCCGGCCTTGGCGATGGCATTTTTCAGCAGCTCTAGAGCTGAAAAAAGTAAAAAGAAACTACGGTAAACCCGACAAGACAGGAGATATTTGCCATGAAACCAAACAAACATTCACTTTTTACAATTGAATTACCGTTGAAGACTCTGTCCATCTGGCTATCGAGGTCTTAATATGAACACCAGACGTCGGGCCATGATACGATAAGGTACAATAAGTGAAGTGAAAATCTATTGCTTTCATTGCTTACTGACTTTCAAGAAGTCATACTGTAACTCAAGAAGTCATAAATTAACTTTCTTGTTCTTCTCCTCCTTCGAGCCTTTACTCAATCTCTTATTGTGGTGGTTCAGGTTTCCTCTCACCTTCCTTGTTCTCCAGGATGTTGGGGGCGAAGCCTCCCTCGTCTCCCACATTGGTGGCGTCCTTGCCATATTTCTCCTTGATGACGTTCTTCAGGTTGTGGTAGACCTCGGCACCGATACGCATGGCCTCCTTAAAGGTGCTGGCCCCCACGGGCAGGATCATGAACTCCTGCATGGCCAACTTGTTGCCTGCATGAGAGCCGCCGTTGATGACGTTGAAAGCCTGAACGGAGGCGGAGAGGATCGGCTTTCAGCTAAATGGAACCCCGACTGACAACTTATGATTCTCCGGATTGAGCATTTACGGCTTTACAAAGTCATGAGAACATGGCTCGGTTAATCATACTCACAGGCACCGGGAGGATGACCTCCGGGTTCCCAGCCAGGTCAGCGATGTGGCGGTAGAGGGGGACGCCCTTCTCTGCTGCGCCGGCCTTGCACACGGCCAGAGAGACGCCCAGGATGGCGTTTGCGCCAAACTTAGCTGGGGAGGGGAGACACGAATATGTAAACATATTGTGCGTCGACTTAAGTAGCGAAGCATTTTCTGATTTTTAAATCCGTCAATGAGCTGATTAGCGTCTTACACTTGTTTTCTGTGCCGTCCATGTCCAGCATCAGCTTGTCGATCTTCTCCTGATCTGTAACGCTCACATCCTGGATTAGACAAAACGGGACAAGTTATATTGTACCCTTGGAAATAAAAACATCAGGTGTGTCTCCTTTATTCAAACGAAACCACTACACTGTACACAATGTTCATCACAGCATCTCAGAGTTATATTACTGAAGCTCAACTAACGCAATGTTTATAGATACCCGTCGATACATCATACTTTTATTAATACCAACATTAAAAAACAATGGAGGTCAATGTAAATGAACAAAAAACAAACAGTTTGCAGACGGCCAGTACTGAGGCCAATGTTACCAGTACTTTGGTGCAATCACTTGCTATTAAGTTTCCAAGGTGTATTAATTATTAATTCAAGACAGCGATCCATTACTTTGAGGGCTTTGACACAAACACACAGCTATTAGTCAAACAATAAATGGTCCTACCTTGCTAACCAGTGCAGGTGCAATTTGTTTATTGATATTCTCAACAGCTTTTGAGACACCTGCAAGGGACAAGCAGACCATAACTGACCCAGGCAGCAGAGGACATGCAGAGCACAGATGACCACAGTTCCCCTCATCCAATCTCATGTGTAAGTACTTCTGACTGACGTGAACCAGTGTTTGGCCTTCTAAGATTGCTATTCCTCTTTTTTATCTGTGAACATCTGTTAGTGCCCGTCTGGGTTAGTTTCCTAAAGGCAAAGCCATTCTTCATGCTGCAGTGCAGACCGATAACTGAGAGTCATTCTGTTATTCCACACTTTATTTACCTGGTTACATAATGCAGGGGCCAAGAACTCATTTATATATTTAACTGCTCTTTTGACTCCTAACAGGAGGGAGAGAGATGGAGGAAACAGAAACGAGGGAGAAAGACACGAGGACAGACAACAGAATGCGCGGTGGCGCTGTAATGACAGGAGACAGAATGGAGGAAACCAGAAAGTTTATGGAGGGAATCGGTGGGGACGGCTTACCTTTGCCCATGTAGCGCGTCTTGTCATTGTCACGCAGCTCCAGAGCCTCATAGATGCCCGTGGAGGCGCCGCTGGGCACAGCAGCTCTGAACAGACCTTGGAGACACAGAGGACATTTTGTTACCGTCACATCAGAAGGTTCTGTGTCATGTTGGACAAGACGGCGAAGGTCGGACTGCGGTTGGATCAATGTGGAAAACTAATGTTCCCTTTCAGCTGTTCCCATGACTGCAAACTACGCGGTGGCTGCGTGATATTCACGTGTGGACAGAAACATGTCTGACAGCGTTAAGAGGGGAGGGGGTTTGGGTATGGAAGGACTAGGAGCCACTAAAAGACACCAAAGGAAGCAATCCAATCAGCTCAACACAATTTGAGTTTTTTCTGGCCAGAGAGAACTAAAGCCAGTCGTACTCGCTGTGCAGCAGGAGGCTGTGACGCAACAGGGAAAGACGGGATACAGACGTGCGGTGCATCCATCGGCGGAGCGATGCGACGCCCCGCCCCCACACACAGGGGACATTTTGGAGTCAACCATCTGAGGAGAAAATGGGGATGAGCAGGAATCTGTTCAGTTTGCTCCGTGGAGCGGTGTGCGTCTGAGGGGATTTAGGGTTTAGTCCAGCAGGCTTAGGCCGCGAGTTCAGGCTTAGCAAATCATCTGCATCAGGACATTACCGAGCTAAAGCAACACACATCAGCATATGAGCTCCGATGGTGTACATTTTATCTGGGTGAAACCCACGACCCGAGGAGAATAAAAAGTAGAGGATACAACAGTCACTCTAGAAGTCTCCATCATTACCAGAGCTACTGAACCTACAATATTACAACAACAAACAGCTTTTCTAGCCGGCAGCAAATTTGTTACGTAACAAACAGTCTTTACAGTAAAGACATGCTCTGGGAGCAGCACACTGGCTCTGGTATGTGCCCATATTGATGCCAAAACAGGCCAGGCAGACTTAAAAAGGGAATCCTGTCAAAAAGGAATAAGAAACAAACAAATATAGTCCTATTTACAGTAGCCTGGAGCACTTAGAAAACATCCCAAACTAACGAAAGGACAAGTGGGCTCCACTCGCTTCCACGTCACTGCTCATTCGGGTCGCTTCATTAACATTCTGGGGACGTTCATTGGGTTGAGCCGGCCTTTTGTTTTAGCTTTCAGAGCGCGACAGCTCGCCAGGAAACTCACAGTCAGGCCATTAGTTAATTGACTCAATTGATCCAAACCGCAGGCCGCCAATAAGGTGAAGGGAAGCAAGGAATCATTTCAACACAACTCCTCCGTCCCGAGGCCTCAACCCGCAGGTCCGTGAGGAGGACGTACGGAGCCATCTGTGCTCCCAAACAGGGACCATTACAGCGCTGGAGGGGCGGCGACATATTTACAGGAGCTATTTTCACACATCCACCATGTGAGCTGACACACCGACTTCATTAGCCGAGTCTACGGATTCACTACGCTGCAAAATTTGGCAAGGCACCAAAGCGTGAAACTTTGCTTCCGATAAGACTTCCTTACTGCAGCATTCCACTAACTGGAAAAGAATTACATTGATTAGGTTTTTAGAACCGTTCAAATAACCACAAGAACAATATGTAGTTAAGTTAAACGAGCACCAGTTTGATCTAAACTGATGAAGTAGATAAAAAACTGAAAAACTTCATGCAGTACCTTTCTTGGTGTAGAGATCGACCTCCACAGTGGGGTTACCACGGGAGTCGAAAATCTCCCGAGCGTGAATCTTGAGGATGGACATGGTTCTGGATCTGCAGATGAAATCACAGGAAAAAGAAGTCAGTACGGTGCTGCTCCACAGGCGACGCTCACAAGTCACCTGCGCTGCTACTTACTGAATTAAAGCTTTGAGTTGGCAATATTTTAAAAGCTCAAAATGTATTTCGCTTAAGATTAGTTCAGAGACATAAGAGTAGACGAATGATCTAACGCAACATGTGGGAGCAGATCACACCACCGGGACCAACTGGTGGAGGCTGGGCAGGACGGCAGATATATGAGTCACGGGGGGCGCGGCTTACGCAGCAGAAAGAAAGAAGAAAAAGAAAAGAATCTCTGCAACCTCGGTCCGTGTACCAATACGTCAGATTACAAATCAGCATTGCAAAATTCTATACAAAACGGAGTTGGCTGCACAACTGCCAAACAGGGAACTCTGATAACGGCCTTTAAAAAAAGGTCAGTGGCTGTACGGGTTGGCCCCCTACATGTTGGACTTCTTTTTCTCCGAGTCATGCTGCATTGATATGGGTTCAATGCCTCAACAGTGTAATCTTGCAGAGTCCTCCTTATCTGTCCAAATTCCAGCTATTGATTTCCATGTGTTTCGTCCAACTTGCTCTGCTATCCAGGCACTCCGTCCCACATGGGTGGACTTTGAGGACAAGCAGAATGGCTGGCAAATCATCGCCCAGCCGCACGCAGTAATTCACCGGGGCCGAGTGTCACCAACAAATTTAGGCTGATAACTGCGTTGGCAAGATTTTGTTGACATTTATTTTGAGAAATATAAGAATCAAAAACCAATTGGTTTTGGAACACGGTTAATCATCTTCTATGGCCATGAACTAAATAGTTTTGCACTTTGGAATACTGTTTGTACAAAATACCACATATTTAGAATTAGGAGCACTATTTACTAACTTTATTCATGCAAAGCTAAACGCTAGATTGATCAGTAGTGAAACTTGTAATGTGTTGCCCGTATAAAGAAAGGCTGACAGAGTCAACAACAAAGCAGCATGTACTTCTGTCGCATTCACAGTGCATTTATTCGGCTTTATTCATCAGGTTTTTGCCAGGAACCGTGCAGAGAAAAGGAGCCACACCGGCAGCACAAAATGGCCCCCGAAGATAAATAAATAAATTGAGAAGTGACACCCGATGCCGGACGGGCTCGTGCGTGCACGCGTGGCTTCATCCTCACTTTGGATGCACACTAGGATCCGCCAGCAAGCAGAACCCGTGTTTTAAAGATCAGTTTGAATCATTCCTCTTCAACAACGCCCCCCCGCACTGCAACTGGTGGCCCCCTGCCTGCAGAACGCGCTCTCTCTCTCACTGCGTGGACTGAAAAAGACACGAGTGGGTCTTTAGAGAGACATGCGAGGACAGACATGCAGTTGGACTTGCAACGTGACGCCCCCCCCCCCGCCTACCAGCCCCCCCGCAGCTCTACATGGAGTGACATCGCGCCAGCTGACGGTCTCGTTTTAAAAATAGACAGCCGGCTGCGGAGGACTCCATCCTGCGAGCCACACGGCCCGACAAGAGGGGACGTTTAACCCGCGTCGGTGGACGCAGGATGGCGAAGAGGACATCGGCGAACGACCGGGGCGAGCGACTCTGAGGTCACCGCCGAGGTTACGAAACGCCGCGCCATTAAAAATAAAAAAAAGCTATAAAAGTTAGTGAGAACAGCGCGGAACCAGGCCGGTGGGCCGCAGCACGCGTTGTCCCACATAAATGTATAACACGAGGGAGAAATAGCCGGGCCATAGTTACCTTTTTTTCCGGGCCTTAAGCGTGCGCGAGCGCGGTGCTGTCTTCTCTCTGTCGTGCGGGCAGCGCAGTGACGCCTCGTCCTCGCGCACTAGGCGGAGGAAGCAGGAAGCAGGAACGCAGCCTCGCCATTGGCTGGCCGCGGCGAGGAGAGAGGATGCACGTCCGCCGCTCTGCACACTTTACATCCCGATCAGAGACCGCGGCGGATTCTTTCTCTCGATATTCTGCACAGCGTCGTTTTTAAATGCGAGACCATTTTTATTTGTTTTACAAGTAGGGAGAGGGAGGAATCGCGTTTTATTCGAGGGGGACTGTGGGAAGTGTAGTTTTTGGTTGTCGCTATGCGGAGAGATGACGCGTTTTGGGTACGTGCGGGGCAGCAGGATCTCCGATGCGGCGGTTCATCGCGGGTCACGTGTTACTCGCGGTCACGTTCTTTTCTTCGCTGAATTTTCTTCAGTGTTAGAAAAAGCGGGTGTGCTTTTCCTATTAAGTCGAATGAGTTAATAGTCACACGATGTGGTGATTATTTTTTTCTAAAGGTGTCTTTACATCTACAAGATCTGTTTTTGCTATAATAGTTAAATGATGATGTATTATTATGTCATCTTTATTCAGGATTCAGCTCCATATAATATGTAAACGAAATGCTGATGACATGCCAATGGCACATCTAAACTATTTCTTCTTTGTTCCAAAACTTTATCTTGCTATATGTTATTGCCAGTATTTGAAAATTCATCAGCCTTATTGACAACAGAAGGGTTTTATGCCCCCACTTTCTCGCCCCATGAATGAATATGTTGAAGTATTGCGTTTGAAATCTGCATTTTAAGAGTGAATGCACTGGTTGAGGACGAGGACATTTCAGTAATGAATCCCAACATGCAAGAATAGTGAGTTTCCCACCTCACATGTGTGTCATCGTGCAGCTGCGCAGTGGCGGGTCAGAGCTGCTGGGGGCATCACAGAGATGAAAGCCCCCTTCAGTGACCTTGAGACTCCGTCAGTGTTAAATCCAACTGCGCCATCTGCTGCCCACACGCTCTCATTGAAACAACAAACAAGTTTGGAGAGTGGAATTCATTATACATAAAAGTAGAGGGTAGTTTATTAATGCAGTATTCTTTATTCAGTGACCCCCTAATAAAAGGTATTTCTATTCAAAATATTAAATTAATGTTGTAATGAAACCTAATAAAAGTTTTTGACTGTTTTAGGTTCACAGAACCAAGGTTTCTACCTGAACCTCTTTTTTATTACCAGAGCTAAAGGCTCTTAAGTCTTCACTGATGTGTTGTTAAATTAAAGGCAGCACTGAACAGAAAGCTCTTCAATCTTGATTTGAAGCGGCTGAGAGTCTCAGCTGACCTGCAGATTTTGTTCCAGATATATGGAGCAGGAAAACCGAACAAAACTGCTTCTCCATGTTTGGTTCTGACTTTAGTGTTTTATGGTTGTACTACTGGATCATTATTAGATCATTATTAGTGATGTATTAAGTAAGAAGCCTTTTGATGTTGCAGTTGTTTGTTTTGCCCAAAGTAACAAACTCTAGCCAGCAGCACCTCAGACACCCGAAAAATAACATGTTACATATTCTTGGTTTAATCAGTGAAACATTTATATTTTATTCCATTTTATTTGGCTAAAATTAATGATTAGAACCTTCCTCCAGCCTGTCAGCTGGTGGCATCTGCCACCCGTGTGAGAGGCTATTTCTGGTCCTAACGTACCATCAACTTGTGACATGGTCGCCGGCAGCAACACTCTGCCAATCTGTTGGTCAACGTTGGAAAGCCGCACCAGGATGTGAGGAAGCATAATAGAGTAGCCGAGCTGTAGCACACTGCTGTCAGTCAATTTTAAGTATTTTTCCACAACCAAAGCACCAGCCTGTCTCAGTCAGCGGAGGGAAAGAAGCCGAGCCGGAGGCAACGCTAGTTTGCTGCTTTGCTGCTTTGCTGCACGCTTTTTGCATATTTCTGAGAATCTGGCTGATATTTGTCTAGGCTCTCCGGCTCCAAGAAATTGTCAGCTCAGGAGTCTACCTGCTGTGATATTGTCAGAAAACATGGCATGCATTGACTATGTGTAAATGAATGGTTATTGACTCAGTGTCGGTTGTAACACTCACTCCGGGTCCTTTTGTTTGTGCAGATAAACTACTAAACTAATTTCTACAAAGTAAAATGACCCTGACATTCATCTACTACAGTAATTCAAAGGATTAATCGGTACTCCGTTTATGTTTCATGCCATTATCACCTTAATGCTAATAAAATGACCTGGTTAAGTAAATCACAAGATAAGGGGAGATGGGACCAATACTATACAGGGAAATTGTGTAAAAGCAGCAAAGAGTGACAGAAAATGAAAAGAAAAGATAATACAGTTACAAACGATTTGAACTTGGAAGGACAAATAATAACAAAACAGCTATATCACAATAAACCCAATGGAAGCATTGCTCGTGAATGAAGGACAATTGGTGTAAAAACAGCTGTTTGAGAGACTCGGGTCTTGCTGGTTAAATGAGGGAGTGCAGCCAACGTTTACTGTCAACAGCGCAAGTGTTTGCACGTGTTTACGCGTTCGTTTGTTGAGTGTGTGACCACCATATGTGTGTATAAATGCGGATAAACTTGGATGTGATTTCTGTGTTCGTTGATTTGATGTTTACGGGTTGGTTGGACCATATCTTAACAATAATTCACAGATTTAATCATCACAGCCAACCTCCCATCTTACTGTTGACTGTTGTTGCTAATCGAGCAGAAAAGCAGGCCTAGCGGTAGAAATGATAACATGTGTGACCACGACTAGTAGTAGAATTTCTGTGTTAGTTAGTATAGTAATGTATTTTGAATTGAACATATTGTATATATTTTAATACTGTACACATGACATCCATAATGTAATGTTAATCCTGAGGGAAGGATTTCTTCCTTATTTTATCCCCATTGAAGGGTTTTTCGGGCGTTTTTCCTCCATGGTCCCTGTGATGAGGCGTTGTATCAATTGTAGGGAGTTCATCCCGTACTTAAGCCCTCTAAGTAGATTTTTTTGCTGAACATAGAAGCTTTTGTTTTTTTATTTCTTAAATATTTTCGTTTTGTTTTCTCAAGACCAGCACAGGACGCCGTACAGCCTGCAGCGGAATTATAAATGTATGTGGGCTTTAAATTACTAGGCTTTCTCCTAGCCAGTACAATCACACCATTTAAGACACTAAGACCTTGAAAACTGTTATTGTCCAGGCAAAGATAAACCCGGTGATTTACTGTGGAACAGGACAGCTTCGGTTCATTTCTTAGCGCTGAGGAACATCAAACCTGTGGCTTTGTTTTTTAATGAACTCTGACTTGTGTGTGTGAGTTGAAAACCCTCCCCTGTCATCTCACCCACAGATATCCGTTCGGTTTTCTCCATCTGGAGTTGTTTAGAATTGTTTTGAATCAGTCGGTGTGTGTTGACACAGGACAACAACTGGCATCAATCAAATGCAGGCCGCCGAGAGGCCGTAACTCCAGTCCAGAGAGGAAGAATGTGAAACTGTGTTAAAGCTTGGTGAGTCCTCAATTAGTTCTTCGCACACAAGCAGACCCAAACACAGAGGGCATTTTTATTGCAACACTCGTGAGCACTCTCAGTTTGTTCTGTTTTGGCAAACTACACACATCTGAGACACTAAGCTCAGGCATAAAAAGTGGAGGTGATGGACATGTTGTGACTTGTGTTCATCTTAGGACATGTCCACATGTATATGTATGTATAAAATATTATGACATGTATACTACTATAAAAGAGGAAGGTTCCAGAAAAATTAGAAAATTAAAAAGGTTTTATTTAAAACCAATAATGCCAAATTACGACGCTCCTGTTCGGTGGTATTAATGTTATAAATGAACTGTGTGAGCTGCGGCTAATGAGCCGATTTTGCACCCTGAGAAATGCCACTTTCACTAAGGCCTCTGTTATTCACACACTACAAATGAGGAACAGTCCTTCCCGTCACTACCCCGGGCGGTTGAGCAGAGCTCTGGGCGTTCTTAGCAGATATTTCAACACCTCCCTCCACCCTCACTTCACATATAGAGAGAAACCCAGTGGGAGCTGTCAGAGTGCTGTGTGGAGGACCAAGAGACGAAGCAATGGAGTTCTTCTTGGTGATGGTCTCCTCTGCTTTGGTCTGTGCTGTTAGCGCTGGAATTCCTCATGACGGAATACACTGGACATACGCAGGTAGAGGTTTGTTTAACAACCACACATTGCATGGCATATTTATTTTTTGTAAATCATTTTAATAGTTCAGCTGAAAATGACAGAAACGTGTCCGAGTTAGATGTTTGATGCGGGTGAAGGCGCATGACAGACTGTCCTGTGAGTATTTATTTTGTTACAATAAGCTGCTAAGTTGTTTCTATTCCAACATTCACTCGAGGAACTTGTTTTTTTCTGGGTGAAGAGCGCTGAATTGAACAAATACCTTATCCAGTGTCAGGTTGCATCAAGGTGTATGATTAGTTGTATTCAGCACAACGGTTGACTGCTAAGTAATAGGGCAGTTAACAAAAACGTCACAGGGAAATACACAAATATCCAGTAGAACAAGTCCTGTACAGGCAAGTAAAACCAATTGACTGGGACCCGGTTTGCCAGTCACTAACAAGGGCACATACAGTGTCAGGGGGCCACTCTAAGTTCCCCTGCCCCTCAGGTGATAACAGTTTTTGGGTGCTTGGTTTTCTTCACATAGAGGGAGCCTTGGACCAGATGCACTGGCCAACCAAGTACCCCGCATGTGGTGGTAAGAAGCAGTCCCCAATAGACATCCAGAGGCGCAGCGTGAGACACAACCCAGACATGCTGCAGCTGGAGCTCAACGGATATGATGCTCTGGAAGGGAAATTTCTCATGTCCAATAACGGGCATTCCGGTAAGATAAAATCTGTAGATGTAGTCACCTTCAATGTTGACTACAACAAAGACTATCCAAAGGACCATAAAATGAATATGTTCTTGAGCCTTGCTGTGTTTGAATCCTTTTGAGAAACAATGTTAAGAAAATGAAAATGTTTTAAATTATGTTTTCATTTGTTTATGGTGTAAAACTGAGTTTGCACATTATCAAATCTTTCTCAAATTGTGTAATCGATTCCAGTGAACCAGTCTGCGCATATTCGCTTATGAAGAGTATCAGTACTGCTGCATAGTGAAAATGTTAAATTAGTTTAACATTTAGTTAAAAGTTATATTAGTTTATAAATAAGGTGAAGTCAAACAAATCAATGGTCGCTTGGAATAAAGGAAATACATCTAAAAATGTGAAACGCTATTGCAGTTATGTACAATATTCGTGATTTGTAAGCTGGTTCCTTTTTGTTTTTCAACAACACATCTACATAATCTAAAATATGAGTTTATGTCTCCATCAGTTCAAATTGACCTGCCTCCCAGCATGGCGATCACTAAGGGCCTCCCAGGAAAATACACAGCGGTCCAGATGCACCTGCACTGGGGCGGCTGGGACCTGGAGGCCAGCGGAGCAGAGCACACCATTGACGGTATCCGTTACATGGCAGAGGTTGGCTTTAAAAAAAGTTTTACTCAATAGACAAACTAGGGTATGATTAACTTTGCTAAGGTCCCTGGTTCACCAAGAACAGGCCTTCTATACAGTTTCTTCTATACATCTTCTATACAGACCTAGTGGTGGAAGCTGCTTTTGTTCTCAAGTCATTACACTTTCTCAGGTAACCACAGTCTGTTATAGAATTCATCAACATAACACTTTATCAAAGTATGCAATTTTCTGGTGAATTTCCTTTCTCCGCGACCCTGTGTGCAGGATAAGCGGTTTGACAATGGATGGATGGATGGATGGATTTCCTTTCTGAACCTGAGCTAATAAAATTCCCAGATAACTTTTTATTCTTGTATTTAATACTTTTCTGTGCTGCACCCTGAAAATTCTTGTTTTATTGTTTAAAGTTATGACAATGCTAAAGATTTAACTATGTGCAAAACAGGTCATTGGTCATTTTTGCACCCATTTCCTTTTCCACGTTGTGTTTCAGCTCCATGTTGTCCACTACAACTCTGACAAGTACAGCAGCTTTACAGACGCCAGAGATAAGCCAGACGGGCTGGCAGTACTCGCCTTTTTCTATGATGTACGTAAGGCACAAATACCTTTGTTCGCTCTCCTCATTGATCTGCTTTTTGGATCACAAACGTTTACAACATATAAACAGGATGTCACCAGAACTTCTGATGAATGATCTTCAGTTAGGAAGTTCACAAAAAAGTCTTTGTAGGGGAAAGTTATTGTGCCCTTTGAAGTGTCCTGCTGAGGTAAAGGCTCCTTTCTGTGTTAATGTTGAGCCATTGATTGAGTTTCAACACATTGGCGTGACTTGGTTTCCAGAGTAATTCTCCGGTTCTCAGACAGTGAAGGTGAATCAGCTGCCAGAGGTCATTGCTGCAGCAACACCACATCCGCCATGATAGCAGCATAGGGGGCTCAGACTATTGGAGAGATATTTGGATAAATTCATTTGTGAAACAAATGATTCAGAGTTACTGGTGTTGAAGTTTGAAGGGTGATTAACAAAGCGTATGTGAGTCCTTTCTTTCTGCAATGAGGGATTAATATGGACATTCTATGTGCAGCTATTAAATACATTCCTTAATATCTCATCTCACCAAAATAGATTGGTAAGATTTGTTTTAACTGAACATTTAAGCTTCGGATTTGGTTTATTTTCAGGACGGGCATTTTGAAAACACCTACTACAGTGATTTCATCAACAATCTGGAGAAAATCAAATATGCAGGTGCGTTACTGCGTAAAGTGCACGTAAGTTAACCAAAGCTAGTGCTTAAGGTCTAGTGTGATTTGAAAATAATCCCAACAGGTCAGTCCATGCACATATCAAGCATTGATGTGCGCTCCATGCTCCCCGAGAACATCAACCACTTCTTCAGATACCAGGGCTCCCTCACCACGCCGCCCTGCTACGAGAGCATCCTCTGGACCGTGTTTGATACTCCCATCACTCTCTCACATAACCAGGTACAACACACCGGGAGTCCTTTCTTTCAAAATGTTTGTATAATTACAGCGGACTTATGTGCTTGTTTTGAACATTATGTGGACCAATGTCACAAAGCATTCTCTTCTTCCCTGTTGTGTTCAGATCAGGAAACTGGAGAGTACTCTGATGGACATGGACAACAAGACGCTGTGGAATGACTACCGCATGGCTCAGCCTCTCAACAGCCGTGTGGTGGAGTCTTCTTTCCTGCCGCGCCTGGGAAAAGGAAGTATGTAGCGTGTTGCAGAGGTCTGATTACAAAACAGGGTGATATCATGTATTCCTCAGAATGGACTTGGCCAAGACATTCAGATACTTCACATTTTTCATTCACCTCTTTCTTTTCAGCCTTTTGTCGGCAAGATGAGATTGAATCCAGGCTTCTGAATATCGAGGGTCTGATAACGTCTCTTGGAAAGCACATCCATTCAGGTGAGTGGTAAATACTGATGAAGATGGCTAGATAGTAAATTAAATTAAAATTAAAGTGCATGTGCTAACCTTCTTTCTCACTCATGCCCCAAAGGTGGACTTCGGCCTAACAGATATGGTAAGTCCCTCAGTTTCATTTTCATTTGAGATCAAACTGCAATTTCCGACTGTGAATGATGCAAGAGTGATGTCTGATTCTATTTTTCTGTCATTTTTCCACTATTCTATCAGAACCCCGCGCTCGGTTTCCCCTAGTCCTTGACTTCCAGGAGAAAAATGCTGGAAGTTATGCTTTGGCCCGCCTCAGTCATCCCATGGAACTGAACTCCTTCACTGTCTGCATGCATGTCCTGCCTCAGCTCGAGGGGGTCCACACCGTTGTCTCCTACGCCAGTAACGGCAATGACAACGAGCTGATGATCTCCATTGCTGAGGACGGAGACGGGAAAGAGGTGGGCCTCTGGATTGGAAATGAGTTTGTCAACCTGCCGCACAACTTTAAGTCCTTCGACTGGGCCAACTACTGCATCACTTGGTCGTCCCAGACCGGCGGTGTTGACCTGTGGATCAACGGCATGGTGGGGGAGCAGCGGTATCTGAAAAATGGATACACAATCAGCCCAGGCGGTGTGTTCATCGTGGGAAAGGACCAGGACGGATTGCTGGGCATCACCAATGCAGACGCCTTCGTGGGCAAGATGACTGATGTCAACGTGTGGGACTACGTGCTTTCCACAGCAGATATCCGGGACCAGTTGTCGTGTGAGAGAAACAGCACCGTGGTGGGAAATGTGTTCAGCTGGGGAACAACCAAACTCAGCATGTTTGGGGGGGTGCAGCTGGACAGCCAGTACAGATGTCCCTGAAATGACTGAACAGGTTCCGTTCGCATGAGCTTTGAAATGCTGCAGTAAACCATTTCGCTGCTGATGGTGGGGGATTTAAAATGTGTTCAATAAAGAATAACGTATTTCTTTCAAACCCCTGTAAAATATTTAATGCAAACTGTATCATGTTGTTTTGGCCATGTATTCATATCTTAGCCTCATCAATAAAAGCTTTAAAGGCACTCGTTGGTTTACATTCAATCATGCATGGACCCGTTCACAGCTCTGTGAGGCTGCATTCGCACACAATTTTCCCAATTTCTAAGATGTTATTGACACAGAGACAATGCACAAGGGATGTATGCTTTGACAATGTCCTGGATGTCGACTAGACCCGATCCATTCACAGCACGGTACGTAAGTACCAGTGTTTTGAAGTGGATGTGGGCAGCCACTGGTAGTCATTGAAGAGAGCGGAGGAGTGGAGTAGTGTGGGAGAAATTAGGAAGGTTAAAGACCAGTCGAGCTGCTGCATTCTGGATGAGCTGCAGAAGTTGGATGGCGGGAGAAAGTTACAATAGTCAAGGTGGGAGATGACAAGAGCCTGAATCAGTACCTGCGCTGCCTTCTGAGTGAGAAGGGGATGTATTCTCCTGATGTTGTAGAGCGTGTACCTACAGGAACGTATTGTCACTGTATCGTTGGGAGGCAGGAAGGCTGTCAGTGTCACACCGAGGTCCCTAGCAGTCAAATTCAGCGTTAACACGGAGTTGCCAAAGTTATCAGTTGAGTCCTAGGTAGGAGAACCTTTTCACGGAAGGAGAAGTAGTTCAGTCTTGTCGGAGGTTGATTTTCATTTCAGACAATAGTTCGCGGACCGGTCAAGAAGGTTCGACGGTATAACAGAGGGGTAGTAGTCTTTGCGAGCGGACCGACCGGCGGGAGGGGGGAGGAGTAGTCGCGCGCTCTCTATTCGCTGGTGGTCGAAACTGCCGTGCACGGTAAGAGGAAAATTGTAAACGTTAAGCAAAATGCTTGGTGACGCTTGGGAAATATGTCAAGAGGGACGAGCGCACATAATTAGGAGATAATACAGTCAATTTTCAAAATAAAACATTTTTCAGAAAAAAAAATCTTTCTGTGGCGCGGCCCTGTACCAAATGGCTCACGGACTGGTACCGGCCCACGGCCCGGTGGTTGGGGCCAGTGTGTTAGAGTGTCTGACCCGCGGAGTACCACGGAGTACCTGTGACTCGTTTTAATCGGCCTCTGGTTATGGTGTCGGACCTCGGGTTTCCATACCGGAACACTGCCTATCCCTAAAACTGTGCACAGGGAGTATGGGACTCTTTTCAAAGTCCTCCGCCCTATTCCGTTACAGGATTAGTTTGGTTGGTTGAGAGGCCAGGATCATGGTTCTGGGGAGCTTGAGCCTTACTGCTGCCGGGTTGATGCTCTCAATTGCAAACGGCCTGATGAACCTTTGACCCAGCTTCTTGGACTCCACCCGCAAGGGTAGGTCCCGACCACCTGGTAGATGGGGGCAGGCGTGCGGCGTCTGAGTAGCAACCTGCAGGTTGGAGCAGGGTAGCTCGGGCCCTAGCCCAGGTCTGGCGGAAGCGGCGGACAAATGTCTGGACCGGACGGCAGGAAACCTCTTTTTCTAATGCAGGGAATAGGGGTGCCTGGAACCCATAAGCACATTGATACGGTGACAGGCCTGTGGCAGAGCTGGTCAGGGTGTTATGCGCGTACTCCACCCACATCAACTGACGATGCAGTAGAGAGTTGTTTCCATCTCCTGATTCTTCCTCTCCGTCTGACCGTTGGATTGGGGTTGAAAACCAGAGGATAGGCTGACAGTGGCCCCCAGCAGAGCACAGAATTTACCAGAAGATCGAGGAGAACTGGGGTCCACGATCCGAGATGGCATCGACTGGAATCCCATGCAGGCAGAAAACAAGCTGGCAAATGAGTTCACCCGTTTACTTAGCTAAAGGGAGCTTTGGTATTGGAATGATATGGGCCATCTTGGTGAATCAGTCGACAACTGTCAGGATGGCAGTGGGCCCTTCAGATGGGTGTAGTCCGGTGACAAAGTACAGTAAGATGTGGGACCACGGACGATGAGGCACAGGGAGAGGATGCAGGAGACTGGGCGGGACCTGGTGAGAAGGTTTGTTCTGGTTGCACACTGGGAAGGCATTGACAAATTCCCTGGGGTCCTTGTTCAACGAGACCCACCAGAAGCGCTGCCGCAGGACATCCTGGGTCCTCTGTATGCCCGAGTGGCAGGGTAGCCTAGAGGAATGTGCCCACTGGAGGAGGTCTTGAGGAACGAACAGGCTGGCCAGGAGGGCATGCGCTGGGACCTGCTTGATTTGTCTACTAGCAGTTCTCGGTTACCAATGTCATAATTTCTTTCGGTGGGGGGAACGAGAAAAAAAAGCACAAGGATGGAGCTTTTGGTCAGTTGCCAAACGCTGGGACAGGACACCTCCAACCCCTATGTCAGAGGTATCCACCTCACACCACAAATTGTCTGGATTCGGTACTTGAAGGATGGGTGCGGAGGTGAACCTTAATTTCAGGGTCTTGAAGGCCCCTCCGGCTGTAGAAGTCCACAGGAAAGGGGTCTTGGAGGAGGTGAGAGCGGTGAGCGTGGAAGTCTTTGACGTATTGAATGCCGTCTTCCACTCATCCCATTCTTTGATCCGGACAAGGTGATAGGCGTTGTGGAGGTTAAGCTTGGAGAAGATGGTGGCTCCTTGAAGCAGCTGGAAGGCCGTCGCGATGAGTGGCAAGGGGTACCGGTTCTTAATCGTAATGTCATTTAGCCCCTTTTCCACACAGAAGAATCCAGCTCCTGTCGGAGAGGAGGAGGGGCGGATGAGAGCAGAAGCCAGGGAGTCATGAATACATTTGTTCATCGCTTCTCGTTCCGGAGCAGTCAGGGAAAAAAGGCGACCTTTTGGTGGGAAGGTGCCAGGATGGAGGTCAATGGCACAATCATACAGACGGTGAGGAGGCAGAGACATGGCCTTGGATTTGTTAAACACTTCCTTGAAGTCCAGGTACTTGGCAGGAACCCTCGTAAGGTCCGGCGTGGGCTCATCGGGCATAACACCTCGTAGAACGGAGGCTTGCTTCAAGCAGACTAGATGACTGAATAACTGATGGTCTCGTGGTGTTATCTAGACAGCAGCATGTGGACCGGAACGGTCTTGGGCATCACTGTTCCCAGAAGGTGTCCATCCAGGGTGCTGGCTGGAACAGCCTGGGGAAGAGGTATCCGTCTGCTCCAGAATCCAGGAAAGTGGAAATTGTTTGGGAGCCCCCGGAGAATAGTAGCTGGACGTGAAAAAGTGGTTGTCGATTGGGAGATTAAGAAACTGCTTGGCTCACCAGTACTCTAGAACGTCCCACCTGCATGGGTTCAGTGTCTTGGGAAAACTCCAGAGCCGACGTGTCCTCCGGAACGGTAAGCTGAGGAAAACTAGATGGTTTCCCCTGGGAGGACGGATCCCAACGTCCTGCCGATCGCCTGAACTGGATGCGGCGATCCAAACTGTTTGTAATTAGTCCATCCAGTGAGGCGGGTAGCTTGAACAAGATGAGTTTGTCTTTGTCTACCCTTTTCTTTCAAAAATGTGTTGATATAAAGCTCTCCAGGTTCAACGCCACCAACACTAACGGAATGCAAAGCACTCTGCCGCAATATGTCGACTAACCTTAGTATTGGTTTGTTTTCGTTAGCTAACACAAACAAACTAACCTTAAGTTAGTTAACTTAAGGTAAGCTAACACAAACCGACCAATACGGCGATATAAAGCAGTGCACGTGCTCACAACGTAGTAACTCCGCAAGGAGCGGATCGTCATCGTGAAATTAATACACAGTTTTTCAGAATGAAGAAAAAAAATATACATATATTATGTGTTATGTTATATGTTAAATGAGGGGAGAAGGTGGCAGTGGCAGGTGGCAGGTTACGATCTCAGAACAGCATGGACCTCATAAAGTATCAGCCTTCCTTTGTCGTTCAAAAGTAATTAATTTATTCAAGGGCAGGGGTGTTTAGGATTCAAAGACATGGTGGCTTAGCCCAGAGGGGAGTGGCATGTTTGCATATACTTCAAACGAGAAAACACATATGTAGCATGTTAGAGTTATAAATTACTTCAATTCAATTCAGTTCAATTTAATGACATCAGCATTTTTTTAAAGCCAATAATGCCAAATTATTACACCCCTGTTTGGTGAAATTAACATTATTACCTGTAAGTTCAACTCTGTAGGCAATGAGCGGATGTTGAATTCTGAGAAATGCCACGCACCAACCGCCAAGTCAAATTCCTTGTATGTCTGAGATATTATGGCAATAAATGGTTCCTGAGTCCTGATTCCACTAAGGCCTCTGTTATTCACACACTACAGATGAGGAACAGTCTTTTCCCGTCACTACCCCGGGCTGTTGAGCAGAGTTCTGGGCGTTATCAGCAGGGATTTAAACACCTCCCTCCACCCTCACTTCACATATAGAGAGAAACCTGGTGAGAGCTGTCAAAGTCCTGTGTGGCAGATCAAGAGACGCAACGATGGAGTTCTTCTTGGTGAAGGTCTCCTCTGTTTTGGTCTGTGCTGTTAGCGCTGGAATTGCTCATGACGGAATACACTGGACATACACAGATAGAGGTTTGTTTAACAACCACACATTGCACTCATTATTATTATTTTTTGAATCATAATTGAGCTGAAAACAACAGAAACATGTCTGAGTTAGATGTTTGATGCGGGTGAAGGCGCATGACAGACTGTCCCGTGAGTATTTATTTTGTTATAAGAAGCTGCCAAGTTGTTTATATTCCAACATTCACTCAAGGAACTTGTTTTTTTGGGTGAAGCGCTCTGAATTGAACGAATACCTTATCCACTGTCAGGTTACATCAAGGTATATGATTATTCGTAATCAAAGCAAGTAATAGGGCAGTTAATACTAACGTTGCAGGGAAATACACAAATATCCAGTAGAACAAGTCCTGTGCAGGCAAGTAAAACCGATTGACTGGGAACCGGTTTGCCAGTCACTAACAAGGGCACATACAGTTCCACGGGGCCACTCTAAGTTCACCTGACATCATGGGTGATCTGACTGGGGGCTCGGTTTTCTTCACATAGAGGGAGCCTTGGACCAGATGCACTGGCCAACCAAGTACCCCACATGTGGTGGTAAGAAGCAGTCCCCAATAGACATCCAGAGGCGCAGCGTGAGACACAACCCAGACATGCTGCAGCTGGAGCTCAACGGATATGATGCTCTGGAAGGGAAATTTCTCATGTCCAATAACGGGCATTCCGGTAAGATAAAATCTGTAGATGTAGTCAACTTCAATGTTGACTACAACAAAGACTATCCAAAGGACCATAAAATGAATATGTTCTGGAGCCTTGCTGTGTTTGAATCCTTTTGAGAAACATTGTCAAAAAAATGAAAATGTTTTAAATTGTGTTTTCATTTGTTTATGGTGTAAAACTGAGTTTGCACATTATCAAATCTTTCTCGAAGTGTGTAATCGATTCCAGTGAACCTACAGTCTGGACATATTCGCTTATGGAGAGTATCAATACTGCTGCATGGTGAAAATGTAATATATCTGCACAGAATTTATTGACAGAATTAACTTTTAGTACCAAGTTATATTAGTTTATAATTAAGGTGAAGTCGAAGTCAAACAAATCAATGGTCGCTTGGAATAAAGGAAATACATCTAAAAATGTGAAATGCTATTGCAGTTATGTACAATATTCGTGATTTGTAAGCTAACAAGACATCTACATAATCTAAAATATGAGTTTATGTCTCCATCAGTTCAAATTGACCTGCCTCCCAGCATGGCGATCACTAAGGGCCTCCCAGGAAAATACACAGCGGTCCAGATGCACCTGCACTGGGGCGGCTGGGACCTGGAGGCCAGCGGAGCAGAGCACACCATTGATGGTATCCGTTACATGGCAGAGGTTGGCTTTAAAAAATATTTTCAAAATGAAAGTTTTACTCAACAGACAAACTAGGGTACGATTACTTTGCTAAGGTCCCTGGTGCACCAGTGAAGCAAGAACAGGCCTTAAATAAACAGCCAACATTCAAGAATGCATTTTATCAACCAATTTCTATACAGACCTACACAAAAAATGTCACCGTAAATTAACAGTAACTTCCTGGCAGCAAGGACGCCAGGAATTTACCGTTATTCTATGGTAGAATACCATAAATGTTTTTTACACTATGTTACCGTAAAATGTATTACAGTAAATTGGCGTGAACTTTACAGTCAATTAACAAAATACTGGCAGCGGATGCCAGTAATTTGCTGTTTTTTCTTGGTACACTGCACACTACAGTATTTTACCGTATAATGGATTACTGTATATTACTGTAACTGCATAATATACGATATGTTACCATACAGTTTGTTACCATAAGATTACTGTTTTTGTGTTATAAATACCAGAATGTTACAGTTTACTTATAACCGTATACTTTTGCATTTAATTCCCCACAAATTAAAGAAAGACAACCAAACTCATTTCCGTTATAGTGGTTGGAGTTTATTAGATGCCTTTAAGACAAAAATGTTAGACATTTGTAACCATGAACAAAACATTAAAATATGCCACATGTATACAATAATAAAAAAAAAATCATAAAATTATTAGGAACAGGCTAAACTAACTGCAACAATACTCTATGGAACACTTTCAATTGACCGCAGCAAACGGCTGGCGTTCCAGTGGCTACTGTAAAACAAATCAAAATAAAATATTTAGAAACACTATTGGTAAAATATTAAAATTAGACAACAAAATGTAAGGAAAGAGAATGTTAATCATGCTAGGCAAATAACTATGTTAAACTATGGGTGTTTGGGATAAAAGTGACAGCTGCATGTATAGTAATGTCCTGTAAGTCAAAGTCATCATTGTATCTCATGAGATACTATCTTATTATAATGACTTACAGCACCTGTTTTTCAGTGGCTGACATGGGCTTCCATACATTAACCTACAACAAATGTAGATGGATTGTGATTCACTACACTTGTATGTGTATTTACACCACTTCATAAAATATATGTAACATGCAGTTGAATTACGCTATTATCGTAAATTGACAGCTTTAACTGTTTATTCATGACATTGGTCGTTAATTTACAAACAAGGGATGGACATTTAACTGTAAATGTCTTTTCTGAGCCTGAGCTAATAAAATTCCCAGATTCCTTTTTTTCTTTCTAAATATAATTTGGTATACAATACTTTTCCGTGCTGCCTGAAAATGCTTGTTTTTTAAATTTAAAGTTATGACACTGCTAAAGATTTTACCATGTGCAAAAAAGGTCATTGGTCATTTTTGGCACCCAAACTGTTTTCCTTTTCCACGTTGTGTTTCAGCTCCATGTTGTCCACTACAACTCTGACAAGTACAGCAGCTTTACAGACGCCAGAGATAAGCCAGACGGGCTGGCAGTACTCGCCTTTTTCTATGATGTACGTAAGGCACAAATACCTTTGTTCGCTCTCCTCATTGATCTGCTTTTTGGATCACAAACGTTTACAACATATAAACAGGATGTCACCAGAACTTCTGATGAATGATCTTCAATTAGGAAGTTCACAAAAAAGTCTTTGTAGGGGAAAGTTATTGTGCCCTTTGAAGTCTCCTGCTGTGTTAATTTATATGTTAAGCCATTGATTGAGTTTCAACACATTGGAGTGAGCTGGTTTCCAGAGTAATTCTTTGGTTGGACAGCGAAGGTGACTCAGGTGCCAGAGGTCATCGCTGCAACAACACGACCACATCCACCATGATAGCAGCAGAGGGGGGCTCAGACTATTGGAGAGATATTTGGAACAAATGATTCAGAGTTACTGGTGTTGAAGTTTGAAGGGTGATTAACAAAGCATATGCGAGTCCTTTCTTTCTGCAATGAGGGATTAATCTGGACATTCTATGTGCAGCTATTAAATACATTCTTTAATATCTCATCTCACCAAAATAGATTGGTAAGATATGTTTTAACTGAACATTCAACAGCTTCGGATTTGGTTTATTTTCAGGACGGGCATTTTGAAAACACCTACTACAGTGATTTCATCAACAATCTGGAGAAAATCAAATATGCAGGTGCGTTACTGCGTAAAGTGCACAAAAGTTAACCAAAGCTAGGGCTTGAGGTCTAGTGTGATTTGAATATAACAGGTCAGTCTATGCACATATCAAGTATTGATGTGCACTCCATGCTCCCCGAGAACATCAACCACTTCTTCCGATACCAGGGCTCCCTCACCACGCCGCCCTGCTACGAGAGCATCCTCTGGACCGTGTTTGATACTCCCATCACTCTCTCACATAACCAGGTACAACACACCGGGAGTCCTTTCTTTCAAAATGTTTGTATAATTACAGCGGACTTATGTGCTTGTTTTTAACATTAGGTGGACCAATGTCACAAAGCATTCTCTTCTTCCCTGTTGTGTTCAGATCAGGAAACTGGAGAGTACTCTGATGGACATGGACAACAAGACGCTGTGGAATGACTACCGCATGGCTCAGCCTCTCAACAGTCGTGTGGTGGAGTCTTCTTTCCTGCCGCGCCTGGGGAAAGGAAGTATGTAGCGTGTTGCAGAGGTCTGATTACAAAACAGGGTGATATCATGTATTCCTCAGAATGGACTTGGCCAAGACATTCAGATACTTCACATTTTTCATTCACCTCTTTCTTTTCAGCCTTTTGTCGGCAAGATGAGATTGAATCCAGGCTCCTGAATATCGAGGGTCTGATAACGTCTCTTGGAAAGCACATCCATTCAGGTGAGTTGTAAATACTGATGAAGATGGCCAGATAGTAAATTAAATTAAAATTAAAGTGCATGTGCTAACCTTCTTTCTCACTCATGCCCCAAAGGTGGACTTTGGTCTAACAGATATGGTAAGTCCCTCAGTTTCATTTTCATTTGAGATCAAACTGCAATTTCTGACTGTGAATGATGTAAGAGTGATGTCTGATTCTATTTTTCTGTCATTTTTCCACTATTCTATCAGAACCCCGCGCTCGGTTTCCCCTGGTCCTTGACTTCCAAGAGAGAAATGCTGGAAGTTATGCTTTGGCCCGCCTCAGTCATCCCATGGAACTGAACTCCTTCACTGTCTGCATGCATGTCCTGCCTCAGCTCGAGGGGGTCCACACCGTTGTCTCCTACGCCAGTAACGGCAATGACAACGAGCTGATGATCTCCATCGTTGAGGACAGAGACGGGAAAGAGGTGGGCCTCTGGATTGGAAATGAGTTTGTCAACCTGCCGCACAACTTTAAGTCCTTCGACTGGGCCAACTACTGCATCACTTGGTCGTCCCAGACCGGCGGTGTTGACCTGTGGATCAACGGCATGGTGGGGGAGCAGCGGTATCTGAAAAATGGATACACAATCAGCCCAGGTGATGTGTTCATCGTGGGAAAGGACCAGGACGGATTGCTGGGCATCACGAATGCAAACGCCTTCGTGGGCAAGATGACTGATGTCAACGTGTGGGACTACGTGCTTTCCACAGCAGATATCCGGGACCAGATGTCGTGTGAGAGAAAGAACACTGTGGTGGGAAATGTGTTCAGCTGGGGAACAACCAAACTCAGCATGTTTGGGGGGGTGCAGCTGGACAGCCAGTACAGATGTCCCTGAATGGACTGAACAGGTTCCGTTCGCATGAGCTTTGAAATGCTGGTGGGGGATTTGAAATGTGTTTAATAAAGAATCAAATATTTCTTTCAAGCACCTTTAAAATATTTAATGCAAACTGCATCATATTGTTTTGGCCATGTATTGTATTTATATCTTAGACTCATCAATAAAAGCTTTAAAGGCACTCGTTAGTTTACATTCAATGATGCATGGACTCATTCAACACGGAGTGAAGACTCTACTCTGAATGTAATCATTTTCTTTCAGAACGCCGTGACCTTCACTGCATCCTCCAGGTTTTCTCGATTCTCTTTCAGTGGCAAACCTCCATCACCCAGTTGGATCTCCACTTTGTTCCTCTTGGCAAACATCTGGCATATCTCCAGGAAGGTTGTGTTCTTAGTCTCAGGGACCACCAGCCAGATGTAGATCAGCGTGACCAGACAGATGAAGGAGAAAATTATAAAGCTGTAGGAGCCGAGGCCGCTCTAGAGGGAGGAGAAGGCACAGGAAATCAGCATGCCCTCAAGATGAAAAATTCTAAATGTGTTTGTTGGACATGAACACGATCCAACTTTAAGGGGAAGTATGATTTGCATGCTACTTTCATTGGAATCCTCTATGGTGGTTTCAGACAAATTCGTTGACTGGTTATGTTGTGGGTTGAAGATGAGGTCTTGATATAAAGTAAACTTGCTGCAAGCAGAATTTTTGTGTTCATCTCTAAAATTTTGCCACCCATTCCACTCGAAAAACACTGATAAATGAGCTGCTAATAAAACAGAGATGAATGCTACCTCTGCTAAAAGAAGATCACACTTGAGTATTAGCCAATTAGTTCTGATGAAGATTTGAGCCGAGCGTTGAGAAACATCCCTCTGGTGTCAAAGTGTGCACAGACAAAATTCTGCACAGTGAAGGTCTACAATCCAAGTTTAGGAATAAGATAAATTATGAGCAAAACACACTGGAACACAGAAAAGTACATCTCAATCCTTGTAATGTATTTGTTGAGATGCATTTACATTGAAGTATATTTAGGTTTTCTTTGTGAAGATTATTTCCACTTTGAATATGACACTCGGGATGGTTGTCAGCCAATTCCTCCACCCTCCATTTAAACTTATATTGGGTTGCCTATTCAGTGTCTACTATTAATAGTTGTAAGGAATAGTTAGACAATGCGACCATGTCTATTAAATAATAGGGACCAGCCAGCACATAGTTAGCTTTGCTCAGCCTAGAGACAGAGGGAACAGCTAATCTGGCTCTGCACAAACGTAACGTACGTATCCCTTTAATTAATACTTACTGAAAAAAAAAATTACAATCCATGCAAGTTATTTTGTTGCCCGGAGTGAGCCCAGAGCTGTGAGGTAGTTATGACAGGGCCCTGTGATTTCTTGTCTCTTTTACTGTTTGAAAGGAATTACTGATCGCTCCGTTTGCTGATGAGCTCAGTTTTTGTAGGTTTGACAGTTTGTTTTTTGCCTGGACTTGCTACCAGGTATGGTACTGTTTTGTTACACGATCAAATAGAAACTTGTTGTCACGACCGGAAAAGGGCCCTGAACCCAAATGCACGACTCTAGAGGCAAGGTTCAAAATCAAAAGTTTAGTAAAAAAGGCCCAAAATAAAAGGAGAGGGAAAACCCTATACTAAAGCTAAGAACAAAAATGATGAAAAAATAACCAACAGAAATTGAGACTGAACAAAGGGCAAAATTAACAAGACCTGGCAGGGGCAAAAGGTCAAGAAATTGAGCCTGACCAAGGTCCAAAGAAAATAACCTGACAAAGGCATATGGCAAGAGTACGCGCCTGTTCTCTTTCACATGGGACAAGACGAATTGGCACAGGACAAGGGGAGGCACAGACAAGACACACACAGGGTAAGGGCACAGGTGGAAACAATCGAGAGGGAGGTTCATTTCCAAAATAAAACAGAAAATCACAAGACAACATATACACGAGACCAACCTGATTATTTAACTTAACAACGTTTCCTGGATATGACTCTCGTATTAAGACAAAAACGATATAACAGTTCCAACTGCAGCTTGTGTGGTGCCATTTCGGGGTCTTGGGACAGGGGACAGGACACCAGCCGATCTGACTGTTGTCAAAATCAGAGAACCTACAGCAGAATTCTCCGTGCAGGTCCCCAGGTGATTTGCTGTATTTGTTTGAGTTTTCAGGTGCCTCTACTTGCATGGCAAGTGTGGGGAAAAGATCGAAAGATTTGTTCGCAATTTGTCTGGAGAACAAAGTGAGCTTGGATTTGAAGGCATGTTTGTACATGTTGTGAAAAAAACTGATTTTTCCCCTGCAGTTTTCCCCTGAGCTCATTCATGTGTGAAAATATGTCCACAGCAAACGCAAAGTCACTAAGCCAGTTCTTGTAGCTTAGCTCATGGGAATTCGTCCGATTTTTAGTCAACTCCAAAAATGCGATGATGTCCTCTTTTAGTTCTCACAATCGTAACACTTCCCCCAAAACCCCCTTGTTCGTATGAAGTTCACAGGTTTTACCATTGGATTCACCACATCATTAAGCTGTAATACAGACTCACAAATGGATTCCTGATGGATGAAGCAGTCAAGGAAAATAACATCCTGGTCAGGGTTTCCCTCTTTCAATTTGTCCTGGATTCTTTTCAACAGCCCAACATTTCTTCAAGTTAAATTTGGCGATCCATCCATTGGGACATTTCGGGACAAGTTTACTCCAAGGTAGCTTTATTCTTTCGATGACAGCAGACACCTGGTTATACAAGTCCTGTCACTGTGTGGTTCCTTTCAAGGACTCCATGGTCAAAAACTCCTCTGTTATCACAAAACTGTCGTCAATGCCTAGGAGGAAAATGGGGAGCTGAGCAGGGTCATCCAGTGCTTGTGAATATAACTCAAAGGAATCAGACTTTAAAATAAATCGGCTGGCTATATTTTCATCCACCAGTTCCACATGGCAGGTCACAGTCCTGCGTGAGAAACACATTTTTCAAATTTGCTTTTGTATCTTCGGCAGATTTCGGCACCAAACATTCTTTTACAAACTCCCCTTCGAAGAAAGGCTTGCTAGCAATTCCTATTTTGAATGCCACCAAAAAACCTGCCTTGGTAGTTGACAACTTCTGACCCGTAGCCTGCCGTTCCTGCGTGAACTGTATGCTAGCGTAGTTAGCATGCTTCGTAGCAAAGTGACGGCAGATATTGTACTCCTTGAAAACTGCAACAGTTTCCCGGCATATTAGGCATACTCCCTTCTACTCCCTCCTATTGGACTTCGTTGAAAAAGCATTTTGTTGTCCATTCCATTAAACATGCGGCACTCATTGTCCACTTTTCGGTTCCTTGATCCGCTCATTTTACATTACATATATATAGAGATCACTCCGGAACGCGGATCCGTTCCGTTGATCAGATCCGGTCTGTATCCGACCGGAATCTGGAATGGATCTACGTCGAAGATTCAGACCAGATCCAGCTCGGATCCACGCCCGTTCATAAAGCGGCTCATTCAGCCCTAATCCAAAGCGGATTCATTACTCATATCTGAGATCATTGAATATGCATCAATAGAACAAATACATTCAACCATAAATTTAGGCTGCCTGTTACATGCCTGCAGCATTTTAATTGGGGATCCTATGTGCGGCTGCATAGTGTCCGGTGAGCGATCGACAGGCGGTGCGGATCCGGTGCGCGAGGCCAAAACAGAGTCTGACTCCAGGGCGGATACGACAGACTCAGGGTGGACCTGCCCCGCAGTCGACTGCTGTCTGCGAAGTTTAAATTATTATTTAATATATATATATATATATTTGGACAAGTTTGGCGGGCCGAATTAAAAGGGCTAACGGCCGAACTTTGGCCATGTCGGGATTAGAGGCTTATTAAATCTGGATGATTATGAAGTCATGTCAAATCAGGAATCAAAAGGAAAAACAGCTAGCTGAGCTTCAACTTAAGAAGTGAAAGGGTATCTGCACTGTGAGAGGTTATAATTTGTGTGTTCGCATTAACCTTTCTCCATTGTATGCCAAGGACTGCATTCCTGTGAATCGCTATCATATCGACCTGCAAAAAACTGCAAAACAATGGCCTCACTTAGCAGCAATCGCAGAGAAGATGCCACCTCTCCTCAACTGTGAAGTTAGACTCTTGATTGGGTATAACTGTCCCAGAACACTGACACCCAGACAAATAATTGTTGAAAAGGACAATGAGCAGAATGCCATCCTTACGGACTTGGGGTGGAGCATTGGGTGCAGGCTGCTCGTCACCGTGCCTCAATGAAACAGGATCAAGCCTTTGTCACTGTCAGGGTGTGGGTAAGGCAGGACTCAAATGCAGACGTCAAACCAAAAAGACTTTAATAGTCAAAAACTCAGAAAGGGCCAAGGGGCAAAAATACAGGCAGGAACCAAGAACATCAACAATCAACAATGACGCGACAAGTGACAAGAGACACACACGGCTTAAATACACTAGGGAGGTGCAGGTGATTGGACACATGTGGAAACAATCCAACAATCACAGGGGATGACAGGACAAGACAGGAAGTGAAGTTACCCAGGGAGACAAGAGGCAGAAAACTACAAAATAAGAGAGGAAATAAACCACACCGTGACAGTCACAGAGTTACTGTAAAATAACTCCCTATAGTTATGCTGATGGATGTGATAAGGGCCCTGGAATCAGACTTTAAGGACAGTGTCACAAGAGGATCTAATTTTCCCGACCAAACCTAAGGTAGGCATAAGGTATATAAGTCCAGTATCTGGGCGAGCAGTTCTGGTGTCAGTGGAAACGGGAATATCTTCCCAGCATCATCGCAAGGCAGCACTGGCATACACAGAGGAGAAATCTGTGTGCCTGTCACATAGCGATGGACATTGATGAACTGTTGCCCAGAGGTGAAGGGAGACTCGCTAGGGTCTTAAGCCTAGTTTATGCTTCTGCGTTTTCAGAGCGACGCAAAGAAACGCAGATGCAAGAGCCCCTTGTGTGCCCCTTGCGTGCCTTTTCACACCTCCTTGCGTGCTTGCGTGCGTTGACCCATTTTTCTGAAAGTGAAGCAAGCCTCCCGCAGCGCACAGGGCTGTGATTGGTCTGCTAACTACATCCTTTACGGAGTCACACATTTCCGGTTTCATAGCGCAATACCGCCATTATTAAAACGAAGAGTGTTTACGAGAGAACGGATCAGATTGAAGAGCTTCTGTCGGAAGAAATGCGTAAATATGACCACTCCTACAAGCCGTCATTGGCGGACTATAAGGACGCGCGGATGGCCTCTCAATTCATGGAGGGAGATCTCCGCAAACGTCGGTTTGCCGGTCGAGGGGAACAAAGTTGTGGAGGAAAATACGGGACAAAGGTGTCCCCGATAAAAAGCAGCAGTGGCGATGCACGGGGCAATAAAGTCTATGATAAATAATTAAACAAACCAACAACTTTCACACAGAAAGACGTGACTCTCTAGGTCGTCCTCGACAAAAAACGTTACTCCACCTGGTGTTCTGGCGGTGAATTGCTCTGCAACACACGCAAGACTTTTAGAACCATAAATTGAAACGAGTGTGTCGACACAACGGTGCGTAAAGACGCAGAAGCATGCGCCAGCTGTTAGAGACTGTTAGTGGTAAAGACGGACTTGTAAGGAGAGTGAAAATCTCAGTGGTAGACTGAAGAAGAAGGATGAGCGCCGCCTTATGGAAATCTCTCCATAATGGAGTGCCCGGTGCAAAAGTCAGTTCTTTTAGTAGAAGCTTCTTAAGGTCATGATTACAAAAGCTCATTGAAGTTCCTAATTTGAAATTATTCATAGTTCATTTGATGTTTTTTTGCATGTTTGCCGTTGTTACAAGTTCTTGCTTGTTTTCTTAGTTTTTGCTACATGATAGGAGTGCTTTTTTGAAAACAGGTGTAATTTTATATTGTGCTTTTCTAAATACCCGCAGACGCTTTACATAGGGAAAAGACGGACAAAACAAAAACAAGAAAAAACAAGAAAGAGAAACGAGCAAACAAAATAAATAAACCAAACTTCCTATCTTTCTTCTGACTCAATTCAACCAGTTCTTATAAATTGTGTAACTGACCTCCAGGAAGGGGAAGACGAGGCCAACGGTGAAGTTGGAGAGCCAGTGGACAGAGCCTGCGACCATGAAGGCAGCGGGCCTGGCCGACTGCCTGAACATCTCAGCGGTCACCACATAAGGAATGGGACCTGCATGGGAGAGCAGAGATGTGGTTGACCACAAACAAAACACATCATTACTCTTCATGGTCACAGTGAGGATGCTCATGTCTCAGACAACCGAGTTCAAATGTACAACATATATCATTACATGTCTGGGCACATCCAAACAACACTTCAGCTAATGGAGCTCCTTTTTGTAATCAGTGTGGGTGTAAATAACCGCTGGTGGGGTCAGACTCACTGGGTCCTATAGCGTGTCCTATTACGTAGATGATGACACAGATGATGCTGATGTAGGGCATCCACGTCACGCTCTCCTGTCAACATTAAACAACAGCTGCTGTTATCATTAACATTTCATGCTGATGACTTCAAAAAGGAAGAAAAGACATAACAAATTCTCAGTAATGGTGGCTCTGTGTGAGAAGATTGTTACCTGCTGCGCTGTTGAAAGTGATGCCTGTCTGAAGATGTTGGATCCCGGTGAGATTACAGGCTTACAGAGGGCAGCACTGGTTTTGTGGTTGTCTAAAGGCCAGTGTTTTTTCATACTAGTAGGCGAGTCTGTTTTTATGCCTCAAAGTTCTCATGACCCAGCAAATATAGATGTCAAGTCATCACATTTATTTTCCAGTGCATTAATAATATTTTATAAAAAATGGTAGTACATTGACCCATTTGTTGTTTTGGCTAAGGTCAAAGTGCTTACTTTCAGCTTTAAAGGGCTGGTTCTTTTTTGTCATTGTTGATTGTCTGACATTCCATCAATCACTACTTTTTTGTGTACCTCCCAGGTTTTTCTTCACCAGATCCACACACACACACATCTGCTCCCAACTCCTCCATCAGCTCCACAGTGTATATGTACCTTCCCTTTTTGCCGTATTCATCACAGAACAGTCCAACTCATAAAAACAAACTGTAATTTTTCCAAAAATATATACAAAAGATATATTGTTGTTTTTGTGGTGCCAGAAGGTTTTGTAAACTTTGCCCGTCATTTAACTGTGTATTAAATACCAATCCTTAAACAATTCTTTCTTTGTAGTTCAATGTCTAAACTTTCATCTTCATGTCATTCATTCAAACAGTGAGAATCACAGGAAAAACAAATGGGTCACCTGTTTGAGAAATGTAACATGAACAAATCTCCTGACCTCCGGGTTCAGACACTATTGACGAGCTAAAAAGATCGTGGCCGACCCCTCTCACCCCGGACATAAACTGTTTGTGCCCCTTCCATCTGGCAGGAGGCTGAGGTCCATCAGGACTAAGACCTCCCGCCACACCAACAGTTTCTTCCCGTCGGCAGTCGGGCTCATCAACAGAGCCCGATCCCCCACTGCCTGACTATAACATCCCACCGGCCACTCCCCTGCACACTGCACATGTCACTTTAACTGTCATTTATCACTTTGTCGTCACTCGTCACTTTGTTACTTGTTCGCTAGTGCACTTTATGCGTAATATTTTTTTTACTTTTTTTTTTATATTTTAAATTTTTAACTTTAACTTTATTCCCTTGTTTTAACTCATAGCCTTATTCTACTAACCCATTGCATTAGCATTTCATCTTACTTTATTTCATTACTTGTGCACTGCTGTCTTGTTGTCTATTGTCACACTGTCTACTGTCATGCACCATCCGCCAAGACAAATTCCTTGTATGTTTGACATATTTTGGCAATAAATGTTTCCCGTAACAGCGGGTTACTTTTGCTGAACCACTAGGGGGCGGCAGAGTATCATGTTTAAGACACACTGAAGACGTCACACAGTACCTGGAAGTTAAGTGCCACGGTGAGCAGCACACAGGCTACACAGCAGATCCCAAACCCACAGAGGAGGAGCAACCGTCGTCCTGAGGCCTCCACAATGAAGACCTGGTGAAACAAACTGTTCAGCGCTGTCGTCTCCTGCTGACACGATCGAAGAACATGCTGTAGATGTCAACAGGGTACCTACAGCAGCTATGGTCATGAAGACATTCACGGCACCTGTTCCCACAGTGACGTACTGGATGTCATTCTGCTTGACTCCTGCTGTGGAATAGATGCTATCGGCGTAGTAGTAGATCTGACGAGGGAGAGAAATACGTTATGTTAGGGATTTAAGCCAGAAGTGCACCCCTAGTGGTGGGAATTATAATACGTGTAATAATGTTTAGTGTTAGAATTGTAGTTTGTGATGTTAGATATTAGTTATTACATTAACATGTTAGATGAAGTGAATGCAATTTGAATCAAACACAATGTATAGTCATTTAAAACATATAAACACTGTACACATTAACATTCTGTCTCAATGTGATGTTAAAACCTGGGGACGGATGCTAATTGCCGTCCTTTATGGATTTCTCCCAATTTTATCCCCAACGAGGGTTTTTTGGGAGTTTTTTCTCCTGTCAGGTAGTAAATGAACAACTTAATGTAAGGCAGCCGACTGAGGCAAATGTCTTGAAAATTGGACCACATGAACTGTTTTAGATCTTATGATGAAGTGTGATGAACGGTGATCATTAATGATGTGTTGTAATTAAGGTGTACTAGTTATAAGATGAAGACAAACTATGCATGCTTTGTTATGTTCACTCATTGAGGCATAAAGCCAACTGTATCTACATTGAATGTATTGGAATGTGAGGGACAGATAGGACAGAGAGGTTTCAGGTTACAGCTGCAGCTTCACACTTCGATGTGAAGGGGACAGTCCAGGAGGGGACACTCTGAAGAAGAAGCCAATGACATTCAAATGCACCAAAGACACACCTCAAGAGTTTGGACTGTTAGAATTTACCTGCAGCCGCTTTGATAAGTCGCTTTAGACTTGCTCAGAGAATTCTCTATTTCGCGAAATATTTTACTGTTCGCTTTGTATTTCACTTTGTAATTGTATTCCTTATAACGTTGTTTAGTTATTAAATACTTTTTGATTTTTGAATTTAAGCAAGCTGACTCTTTTGATTCTTCGTTTCCAGCCGGGACGAGAACAAAGGAGTGAGGCCTCCCTCGAGGGCTTTCCGAAACCCTAACAGTTACAACCAAATAATGAGCGAAAAGTTGGAGAACGCAATAAAAAAAATAAAAAAACATTAGAAGTGAAAAAGACAGAACAGATGTTTAAGTGCTGCATCCTGATCAGAGTGGTCATCAGTGAGTCCTGGCTCACCGCGTTGACCCCCGAGAGCTGCTGGCCCATGTTCATGACGATGATGGAGACCAGCTGCCAGCGAAGGGAGCGCTGGGACAGCAGGCTGAGCACCGACAGGTGTCCCTCTGCCTTCTCCGACTGATCCTCCAGACGCATCTCAGAAAGCTCTGCGTCCACGTCTTCCCAGCCCCGGAGACGCTGCAGCGCTTTCTTTGCGGTCTTCTCATCTCCTCTCTGGATGAGCATGTACCTGGGGCTCTCCGGGAAGAAGGGCAGCAGCAGGAGCTCTACCACGGCAGGGATACCGGTAATACCCAACATCAGGGTCCAGCCTGGAGACAGAGGGCACAGCCCTGAGTCCCCGCAAATCAGCTGTCAAGGATTGTACTTCAACAGTTAACCAAGGAGGAAGCCAATATTTTACCTGTGCTGTTGCCCAGTATGTTTCTAATGCCCAGAACCTGTGCACTGAGGATGCCGATGGTGATGAAGAGCTGGGGGATGATGCCGAGGGCTCCCCTCAGGTTTTTGGGAGCGAGTTCTCCCAGATACATGGGAACCACGTTTGATGAGAGACCTGCACAGAGGAAACCAAAGATACATAAAAAATTACACTTATAGTACTTATGAAGTTCTGATGGCTTGAACAATAGAGCATATCTTACCCGCACAGATGCCCACTATAAACCTGGCCACAATGATGATCTCATATGACTTGGCGATCTCACTGACCCCCATCATCACTGCAGGAGCGATGGAGAAGATGTTGTTGAAGAGGAGGGTGCCCTTCCTGTTGCAGGTTCGATGCGGTTAAAGTCATGCTAGAGCATACAGTATGCATACACCTCCGGTACTGCATGACACATGTGACCTTTTACCTCCCCAGTTTGTTGACCAGAGGGGCCACCATCAGGGAGCCAAAGAAGCCTCCTAACGGGTACATGGACACAGAGAGAGACCACAGCAGAGTGAGGAGGTTCTTCTCCATCGGTCGGCCATACCGCTCCAGGTAGGTGGTGTTGTAGAACTGCTGCATGAACTGAAGAGAGCAGGACAATGCTGATAAACATGCGAGTGACGCTGGCCTCCATCGCTGCATGTCACGGTAAAGATTGTGTTTCTTTGCTTGGGTTACCGTTGATGGAGAGTTGACCACGGCCACGTTGTAACCATACTGGAATGACGAACCAAATGCAGATATGAGCGTTGCCAACACCAGCACCACAGTTAGTCTCTGCAGGGAGACATTCGCGCACCATGTGAGGCCACTTTTTCCACTCCACAAACATCCCCCGTCATAATTACGCAACATTTTCACAAAACATTAAAAACAAACAGCGATGTGATGGTGGTGATTATCAGACCGTGTGTCACTCACCCCTTTCCTCTCCTTTGGCTTTCCCAACTCCTCATTCTCCGTCATGGTTGTGTTGTGGACTCGGTTTCAGCAATAATAGAAGCACACTTTGATATTTTGGCACCGCTGCATTCTGTCTGCCCTTTGGACACCAGATCAGAGAGCAAAGCTGCAGTTTACTGCTTAGCTACAGTTATCGTTTGCCTGTTGCCTACTGACTGTGCCCTTAAGGTTCAAAACGGTGCTGATTTTCAAAACGGATGGACCTCAGTGTTGATTGTTGTTCCATTTGAGGGATTTATCCATTTAAACGCTAAAGACAGCTCATCTACACTCATTACTGAATAGATTTGCTTTCTTCAGAAACACCACACCTTCAAATATATTTCTACGTTGTCTATTTTGTCGTGTGCTGCAATGCCTCTCTGAAACTGAGGGCGCTTGTCAATACGACGGGCCCTGAGGGCGTTTCCTCCTAAATGTGAATGCTACGTGTTTACTGGAGCATCACGGCAAAATTAACGCTAATACACCGTGCGTGTTGGTAAATAATGCTGCTGGTAAAAACGTTTTTTGGGAAGTTACTTGTTTATAAACTCATACAATAAACTAAGAAACAGGTCCAATTAAAAAAAAAGACCCAACCAACTTTTCTGCAGTTAAACGGAGCTTTGGACAGCTTGTTAGGTCGACCTACAACATAACCAAGGACAGTAAGAATATACCGTTATTTTATACCATCGAATTGGGCAGTTAAAAGTTGATTATGTCAAGTGGCTTATGTGGATTCTGTGAAGTGGTGCAGTACTCCAAGCTAACTGTTGGGGGAGCTAATGATCAAACAAGAAGACAAAGCAAAACTCTCATTGTGCAAGGTGCAAAGTTTATTTCCACTGTGTCACTTTAGTATCTTACATCCTCATTATTCCCCACTGAGACCAACCAGTAATCTCTCGCTTTGTGTATCTAAAGTTTGTAAAGTTTTCTTTCATTTCTAATCAAAACAGACGGTTCCAGCTCTGACTTATTGCCCATTACCTTTGGTGGACAGTGTGTTTGAGAATCGTCTCCACGAACCACCGATGCAGCAAAATGAACAGCCTTGGCTGTGAAAAGGATCACTTCCATTATCTTGACTGGGTCACGCCTTGCTGTGCAGTACGGCCCTTTGGCACGCTTCAACTTAATGCATTAAGTGGGCAGAGAGCCAGCGAGTGAAAGAGCGTAAACCCTTTTCTTAAGTGTTTCCACGAGCTCCAGTTACTTCAAGGTCAGCCAAATCTCAGAACCGACACAGTGGATTAACTCCTGCAGGAAATACAGTGTTATCTGCCGTCCTCAAGGACAAAGAAAAATGTCACTTCACTCATGTTCTCAGACGACCTCTGCACTGTTACACATTACTTTACATCCGAGATATAATTAGATCCCATGAATAACAGTCTATTTTCTCTCAAACCAGGGCTTTCTCTCTGTGAGGGTCAAACTAACAATAATCCCTGAAGGATCAAATGAAATTGTCTGTCAACAAGGAGGAATTCCTCATTACTCACCTTTCTCAACAATCACCACAGTATGAATCTCATTTCAATGTAGCTCATCTTCTCGGAGACGGGCTCATAGAAACTCAACGAGACTTAGACAATATTTATATTGGACAATAAAGAGCTGAGGGAACTATGTGAAGTGGCACTGTGGTTGTGAGCCCGCGGGGTTCGGCGGGTTCACGCTGCTCGTTGGTACGCGTTCGGCCCGCTGCTCAGTTGCGGAAACGGAAAGCAAACAACAGCAGGGGGGTCAAAGAAGAAGTGAGGCTTACAGGGAAGGAAGGAGAGCATGTGAGCAAAGATCACACATCCTGACCACAATGACAGAAATGACGCAGAGTTCATTTTAGCAAAACATCACTCGTGGAGTATTGTATATCTATGGTTGAATGCACTTATTGTACGTCGCTTTGGATAAAAGCGTCAGCTAAATGACATGTAATGTAAATGTAATGTATATCTGAAAAACGTTGCAACTGTGAAAGCAGGGAATACTGAATACGCACATGATAGGAGATTTTTTTTTTTTCCAAATTCAAATGTAATGTTTAATGTGTTTAAGCTTTTATACAGTGACAGAAAACTGTACTCGTAACATGTAATTTACTTTTCTTTTAAGAGACGATAAGATGTAGTTATGTTGTTAATGTCAAAAGTCTGTTAAAGGTTGTATTTATTTTAGAATTGTAATTCTGGGGGAATTCAATTTACATTGCTGAACATTTGAAAGAGATAATCTACTCCACATTTAAACAAGCAACAACTAATGTGTAGCTGTGAACTGTAAATAACATCTGGAGTTCATGCTGGCAGGTTTTCACTTAATAAACATTCATTAAACCCTCTCAAAACACACTGGCAACATTAACAAGAGCTTTGAGGAAATTAATGAGTTAATTCACTTTAACTGACATTAACCCGAGCTGAACAAAAGCTTCTTGCTACATCTTTCAGGCTGACAGACTGACAGTTGAATGATACGATCAAGAGTCACTTCTCACTTTTGTTTCTCTGCAAAGGTTCAGTATCGGTGACGTATCACTTAAAGTGAGAATACTGTACGGACGACGAAATATGGGGCACTTTTTCCCTCCATAAATACAATAGTTTAATAGTCAGTGTAACAAGATAAAGAATAGAATATTCATTCATTTCACAGTGCTAACACCATAATGTAAGTGAATCGGCAAAGTACATTATGAATAAAGCGTCCTTCAGAGCATACAGCTTTTCAAAGCATAAACCAGTAAACATCTCCAAATAATTAAAAGTGTGACACGATTGAAAGAAGTTTGATGTCATTCGTGATATTCGATATGCACCACTCGAAGTCCTCCCCCATATGCTGGTGCACAGCCATGCAGTGTCACCCTCATCACCCACAGTGCAGAGATGTGACTTTTCTTGCGAAACAGATGTGCGTGCATCTGCAGAATCGCCAACCTTCTCTGCGGCCACTTTGCTGTGATGAGGTTCGGAGTGAAGCAGACCCCCCCACCCCCCCCCAGTGTTTCTTCTTCTCACCCACAAAATATCATCGATCGATCCCGACTCGACTGGCGCTGTCCTCTTCCCTCTGCCTTGAGGAGTCCTGTCCAGGCAGCGGCGTGTGAGGGGCGCCGTGCGAGGGCTGCTCGCCCGCTCGATACTTGGAGCAGCAGCAGAGCGCGGCACAGAGGCGTGTGCGGATTGGCCGAGTAAGCAATACAAACATGATGCAATTGGCTGCTCCCTGCGAGGTGTTGCCAATTCCCTGTTGGGACAAAAGAAAAGTCTTTTAAGGAGAGTGTAGCGGATTTGATTATTCATTTAATTGTTTGGAAATTTAACAAAATCTTGTCATTTTATTGTTTGACAAAGAGATAACGTTATATTTTTAGTTGAGATAATGAGGATTTTATTTGATTGTTAACACCTGTTTTAATTAACTGATACAGCCACTTCATTTGTTATTAGCTATAAGAAAACACGGTATACTGTATTATTACAGAAAATAAAATATTCTATACACAAAGTAACAATATGTTATAAAACTGTCCAACAAAATATTAAATCATCAGGTTTATTGTAAACTCTCCTTCTACATTTATTAATGTAGCACATTTTGAAAAGTATTAATGCTACTTTTTAGATACCCAAACACATCCTGTTATGACGAATCTGGGATGATTCACAGGCTTGACAGCGTGCAATCACGTCATCACAACAGCACATGAACAACACACACACACACAAACACACAATGTGCTGTCATACACACCAGCCAACACTCACACAGACAAAATCTAAAGGGAGAGGGTTTAAAATAAACTTTAGACTCACATGTAGCGTGACCAGCACTGGGTTCAATCTGGCCGCAGAGCCCGCTAGCAGCAGTATGAACCGCACTGTGCTCCAGATGCGCAGAACGATGAAGATGATGGGAATGAGCGTTAGCTTCATATCCGCCATGGAGGAGAAGGAGTTGGAAAGAGGCCTGTTGGCCAAGATGGGACGGTACTCTGACAGGGCAGCGTGCTGCGTCCGACACGCACAGTGACACCACATTTTGTAACAAAAAAAAAGAAAGAATAACATGATCACTGCTTGAGGCGGATGCAACAGAAAAACAAGAACAACATGTTTGTTTGCTGGATATCTTCAAAAACATATACCTGGGTGGGTTTTCGTTTTAGTGACTTATTTTCATTGGAGGAAGAGATTAAAAATGTTGTTTTGTTATTCTGTACTGCAGTTACATTTATATTACAAAATGGAACGTGCACAAATGTATCTGTGTATTTTTTTTTTGGATGATGCGAACACAGTCGAGGATTAAAAACATTATCTCCTCTCTTTTGCTTGCCGTTGGGCCGTGCCATCTTCAACCTATGTAGCTAGCAGGTACCCTTACCGCTATGTATATGTGCCTCTTGATCAGGATGTAGAGCACCGGTAGGGTGAGGTAAGCCAAGAACTCCCAGATCTTCCCAGTCAGCAGCATCCAGAGGACGCGGTCCGGAGCGTGGATGCTGACCCAGCACCAGCCCACCGACACCTCGGACGCATCGTAGCCGATCTTATTCAGGCAGACGGCTGCAACGGTGATGGCCAGAGGGACACCCCAGCTAAAAGGTTTAGAGGATTAAAAGGTACATTCTTTAAAAAGGTCAACTTCCCCTCTTCGAACATCTACACATGTGTTTTCATAAATATTTGGAGGGTTAAACCTCCACAAGTGTTGCAAAGACATGTGACACCATGTGATTATTTTGTCTGTTACATAGTGCCCTGTGCAAGGTCATACCAGTTGTGTTGCTTTAACTTTGACCATCAAAAATACATTCAACAAAAGGTATTTTAAGAAGCAATGTTCCCAACAAAACCTTACTTCTCTTCTCAAAACACCAATTTCAAAAGTGATACAATATGTGTGTGTGTGTGTGTGTTTTGTATGTAAAGCCTAGATAAATGGCTCTGTGTGATCTTCAGTTCAATGGAACATTTGAGAATTGACAAACAAACACTGCGTTGAGCTGTACCACGGGGAGAAACTGTTCCTGTGTCCAAAAATAGAGCACTAAACCACAGCAGAGCAACATCTACAAAATCAACATGCGGAGAAAAGCAAAGCTGAAAAACGATCGCCCTTACTCTGTATACCATGTCTGCATTGTCCTCTGACAAGTACAAGTGAATATGCTCAGAAGTAATTAAATATGTCATCTACAAAGCCTTACGGTTTGTGGTACATTAGGCATGTTTTCTGTTTTACACAATTTAACTTTTTTCTACTTAACTTGACACTTTTTAAATACTATTACTTATACTATCATCTTTTGCACCAAGTTGGTTCGTTCACTAGCGGTTTGAGGGATGTTTAGAAGTTGGTCATGAATTTTATCCAAAGAAAGCCTCTTTGTGGTCAAACAGGAGGCCCCACAGCCCGACAGTGTTACCACGGCAACGGAGCCCTACACACCTGTAGCTGTAAGCGAGTGAGGCTAATTTGGCAGACTGGAAATTTGTCACTTAATTATGAACAAATCATCTCGGACAAGCACAAGACAAATAAGTCAGCAACCTAATTTCCATTTTGAGAACTAGTTTTGTTAATTCTGTCCATAATGGATGAAATAACCCCGCGTTGGCTGCGTTGTGTGCGCTTCCTGTCCCAGGGTGCTTCACGGCACGCGTCCAAACCGAGACCCATGTGTCCTCGTGAGTGTCCCCCGGTCCCTGAGGCCATAAACAAACATAAGCCAACTTACTCACCTGACGAGGTGGAAAAACAGCACCAAGCTGTCGGCAACTCTCTGGCTGGACCTCACGATGAAGACGTAGAGGTAAACAGCAATGGCCACGGTCCAGAAGAACGAGCTGGTGTTGGCGAAAGTGGACACGGCTCCTTGGACAACGCAGTCCAGCGAGTCGGTGCGGAAGACCCGCCACACTCCGAAGGCGTAGGAGACGGCCGACAGCCAGTCGGACACGGAGAGGAAGACCAGCAGTCTCCTCGGGGTCGTCCTCAGGTCGGACCAGGCGACGTAGGTGAGGACGATCAGCGAGGAGCCCGCGCACGACAGCGCGCAGGAGCACAGCACGAGCACCTGCTCGGACAGGTACACGACGGTCTCGTTCCCAGCGGCCATCCCCCCTTCTTACACAAGTCACTTTAATAAACTTCCTCCATTGCTTTTTCTTTTCTTTCTTCTTTGAGGAAGCACGAGCGGACTTTTCCTGCGGCGTGTAACCGCCTCCTCCTCCTCCTCCTCCCGCGCCTCCGCCTCCTCCTCCCGCGCCTCCGCCTCCTCCTCCCGCGCCTCCGCCTCCTCCTCCCGCGCTGCACCAACCGGAGCCCGAAGCAGAAGTCAGTCAGCTGGCGATGAGGAGACTATTTCGGGCTCGAATGTTCTTTACTTGTGCAACCGTGGAGCTGTGACACGTTTGTCTCATAAAAACAGATGACAGTGTGTCATTTGTCCCCATTTGAAGACGTAACAAAAGCATATATGCGTGTGTGTGTGTGTGTGTGTGTGTGTGTGTGTGTGTGTGTGTGTGTGTGTGTATATATATATATATATATATATATATATATATACTATACAAAAGTTTAGTGGCAGAATTGAGCTGCGAAGAACTTATTTTCCCTTTTGCTTATTTCATGTAAAGTAGCAATAGGGATCCCAAAACACGTAACTTGCATTGCAACTAATCATTATTTTCTCTTTCCAAATCTTTGAATTAATTTTGGTTTAACTGGATACACTTTATGTCCCAAAAAACATCTTTCTAATATGGAAAACGTATACTCAAAAGGAATGTCTTGATGACAACGACATGGCAAAAGTCTTTAATCTTACATAAAAAACGTAAATCCTCCAGTGTGAGGATCGCAGTGTGTGGTTTGTGCTTTATAAACGATTGTAATGATTTATCTCATACCAGTTTTGTTTTTGTTCAAGAAATTGATTTTAGCCTTAATTACTGTTAATATAAGTAAAATAAGTCTTTCTGCAAAATGAATGAATTCTCTCTATTGCTAACCGAACTGATCATAACTGACATTTCTTTGGGGGGGAAACAAACGGCTTTAGTCACATTGCATTAGTGATCCAACAGTTAATAGTAGTTAAAGTTAATATACATATTTAATTACAATGTGCTGGTCCCCCTTTACCTCAAAAGTGAATTTGTTATCAAGCAGTTCAATAGTATACTTTTGAGACATTTTTGATTAATGACTAATGTCCGCCGTTAACAGCAGCTGTTATATCTTCTGTGGACTTTAATTGTGGGGCCGTAGCGAAAGGACCTTGTGTGAAAGCGCACATTTTATTGCTTGTGAATTCTTGCGGCCCCCGAAACCCCCTGCATGCTCTTTTTGTGTTTGCAGCAATGCAGTGGTGCGGTGTCTTATTCCTGTTTGCAGAGAACGCGTCTGCAGTATCAGCACAGGACCGGCAAACAGTTTTACAATACGCAATATTTTCCATCAAGTTTCTTCAGTGAACTAAACATTCTGTAGACGAAAGCTGTATTTGGGACGTTAAATTAGGATCAAACTACACTCAGCTGCGTCTGCATTCATTGTTTACCCTTAATTACAGTGCACCTGGCAAGTGGGCCATTCTGCCTCATCGGCACTCATTAGGTCTCCTCCGTTCGCATGGCAACATCGTCTTTTGAGGGTCCCAAAGAGTTGATTTTACACAGCGCAAAGTCTTTGTGAAACTATATGTTTACATACTACTAACTGCATGTTTACTGTGAAAACAAACAAGTAGAATATAAGCTACGTCACTTTTATTAATTCATTTTCCATCGATATTCAATCACAATAACTCGAAAAAACAGACAAACTACAACTATTGAAGCAATATTAGATTTGTACACAAAAAACAACATGCAGTTGCAGCTGAAAAGTTGGAACCTGAAGTCATGTTAAACCAAGCCATATTATCTAAATATATGGGATTTTAGATCAATGTCAATGTCATTTTTTACAGACTGCTGCAGTGTTAAATGAACAAAAAAACATGCTAAAAATGTCCATTTCTATCACACGATGGCAGCAGAGGACTGTAAGTGGATAGCAAGTATGAGTTTGATGCTTTAATTCAAATGTAAACATGCAGAGGTCATGTGCTCGGGTGATCTTTCCTCAGCCCATTCTGTATCAGGTCCTCAGCTCTGGTTAATTCCTACATCCTCTTCACACACGTAGGAACCTGCAGTAGCAGATGGCTACGATGCTGATTCACGTTTTGCCCCCCCCCCCGCCCTCGATGGCTCTGGTCCCAGGGCCTGTTATTGCGAAGAGTTTCTGCGGCAGTATACTTGCTGATTGCTTCGTTCTCACTCCTCACAACAACCAGCTAAGACACTGCCAGAGAAACACCCACAGCAGCCGCATCCGACCGCCGGGCGCTCCGCCTGCCTCCCCCCTGCAGCATCCGGACTGGTACACACCTCCACCCGTAAGTCTGGCACTGCGGATGCTCACACTTCCCGTGCCCGGCTTCCTGGTGGTTGTTGGAAGGCTAAGGCCTCACGCTGAACGCCCGGGGGGGGGGGGGGGGGGGCACGGGGTCTTACGCCAACAGCTTGAAGCTCTATAAGAGAAGTAAGAAAAAAAGTAATGAATAATAATTGGAATAAACCATTATACATTGGAAGTAATCTGGAAATCTATATCTTTTTTTTGGGGGGGGGGGGGGGTTCGTGCATTAACATTTAAAGATGCACTTCCCTGCCTAACCTGGTCTTATATAACTGCGCCTCGCTGCCCAGAGCTCCTTCCCAAACAGACTCTTGATACTCCTCCAGGCTTTTACCCGGCATCACTTTAAGTGTACGCAACTTGGTCAAACTCCCCCCCAACTAAGAATAGACTTGCCGTGACTCATGACTTTGCAACAAAAAGCTGGGTTTGATTTAGCTCTCATCTATTTATATGCGTGTGTCTATCTGATCCCAGTGCCATGTAATGCCAGAATCCGTGTGCTATCCGTTGCGTTTGCTTACTGCAGGGCTATTTTGGGCCGGCTGACCACTCCATACGGTCTTCTCTCCTTGCCGACTCTGTTCGTAGTATCGATGTTGTCTTGTAAGCAAAGCAATCTGCAGTCATTAGTAAAAGGAGAAACAGGGAGCTGTAGAAGATTGAGAGGTGTCGCGTGCGATGTTGGGTGAACACAGTCTATCTGGAGTGTCTTAGCTGTTGCTATTTGTATCTCTGTGCATTTTATGATGCATTTTTGGTTGAATAACTGGAAATTCCTCGATGTACGGGTGGTTGGAACATCTTGACCCTATTCCATGTCAAAATTCTGATACTTCTAAAATAAAATATTTGGGATGCCCTGAGGCTGATGCTCACACTAAATGTGTATTTGTCTGTGCCTGTCTTACACACACGGACAGTGATGTCCACTGAACCGTTTGCCAAGGTCGTCTCTGCCCTCAGCAAACACATGATGACGGGAATTCCTTCCTGCTCAGGGTTTGATGTAATCCCTAACGCAGGATTGAGGAACGCCGGGGAAAACAGCACAGTGCCTGCTAAATGAACGACCGGCCGCCTCCCTGCATCACACGGCAAACAGCCGCTGCAGCTCACAAACCTGGATTCTGTCTTACTACTTTTCTACAATTCGCCAAAGTGTAAAAATGATGCTGATAGAAAATTCGTTAACAGATTTGTTAACTGTACAGATGTAACAGCGGCGTACTGGTGCACGTATGACTGAGAGAATATCCAGATGAGGCAGCATTTTCCTTTGCGAGTGCCATATAAATAATAACAAAATATACAAGGTAGGCCAGAAGCCTAAAGGGATTATTACAAGTCTGCCTGAGATGAAGTTTAAACAAAAAAATAAACTTTACGTTACTTATTTTAAGTTATTTACCATCAAATAATTCTCCACCAAACCAAGAACCTGGAAAAAATAAATGTCTTTGAATGTGCAATAAAGAAAGAGTTTTCTGGTTAATGTACAATGTAAATAGTTTTGTATAATTAATAGTTTTATTATATATAGCTAATTTAGTTTTATTTCTCAAAGAAATATTCTTGAATTATGACGACCTAAAACACCACTACTGAGTTGAAGTTTTCTTTTTCTTTGGGATCATAAAGGACTTTTTGGTAGGTGTGTGGTGTACTGACTTTAGATATTTAATTAACTTAGTCTTATAGAGGGGCCTCATAACAGGAATTGTACACAAAATGCCGTGCTGGTTTAAGTAACCATTTAACTCTGCAGTTCATGTCAAAGTCTCCCTCTCCGGGTCCCTCTGCTGCACAAATGCTGCAAAACGCTTTCACCCGGCCGCCCCAAAGTGTTCCACCCTGTAGGCCTCCCCACCTCGCTCCCCTCTCCTGTGCATTTCTTGGTTGTTCTCGTGTCCGCTAACAACAGTCATGCGTCCCCGCTGCCGTCCCATTGCCCCGACGTAATCATCTTATGGGTAACAATGACAGCAGTATTTACTGGAGAGCCATGTTTCTGAACAATGCTACACATGACGACGGATGGCGTGCGTGCCTGCTGCTGGAGCTTAGCCTCTCTTGAGGTCTATGTGGCACAACTGAGAATATTGATCTGGCTTGTGATTCTAAGGTAACCATTGAATTCCATCCAAGTAGAAATAGTATTGGAACTTTTGGGGGGGTTGTAATTCATTTCATGAGCATTAACTCATTGGTACTGCAGTGTGTTGTTCATTCAATGGTTTCTAATTTTTGCATTCTTGACAACACACAAGTCAAATATACAGATTAAAGTACACAGGACAACAGATGATCATCATTTAAGCCTGAATCTGGGTTTTTAACCTGTTGATAGTTAGTTAAGGTCGTCTTTATCTCTACAGTAAACGTAATCGTCCGGTGAGAAACCCCTCTTGTATTTAACCAGCCATAAATCTTTTGTGAGTTCTGCAATCTCTTTCAGTTTCTGCTTTTCTGCTGGGTCGCCTGTAAACAACAACAAAAACATCTGTCTTTCTCTGCAGGACCGGACGGTCGCGGCCGGGTCACTGGGGGACATGTGAAGGGGTCAGCAGTGATGCTCCGTCTGTGCAACCGTGTGTTTGGGGCGTAATCACACTTCTCTGCACTCAGTAACCTCTTGTTAAGTTACCATGGCGTCATGTTAGCAACCTTGGCTCGGATGCTTTCACTACACCTACAGCCAAGAACTCCTACTTCACATTCTCTCGTTAATACTACAATGAAATTACAGGACTCATTCTAGCCTATTTGGGTCTCCCCACACTAATTAGTCTTTCTGAAGATTTACCTTCTAGAGCAAAGGAGCTCTGTGCTCTTCCTTTGCAATGACAATTAACCCTGACGTCCAAAGTAGTGCACAGTTGTAATATGATTTGTCAGAAGGTTTCATCAGCACACACACACACACACTTTTAACACTCACCTAAGCAGCTCCTCCATCCACGCTCTGTCCACAGGTGCAGCAGGTCTCGGTGTGGGTCACTCCACCCTGGCACACTGTTGACCAGGAGCCGCTTCCCTCTCTTCCTGGGACTGTGGCCCCTGTGCTTCACCCAGGCAGTGCAACAAGTCAAGGCATGTTCCAACACGCCACCAACAGCTGGACCGGGTGTGTTATCCTGCTCCTAGACCAGAGGGGGGAGGAGCGGAGGATTAGAGGGGAAACCCAGAAACAGAAAAAAAAGGAAAAATAGCAGCATGACTCAGCCTGCTTGGATCAGTTAGCATTGCACAGCTTTTACTTTGAGCTTCTTAACACGTGGAGGAGTTATTGTGCGAAGGTACATTGAGATTTATTTTCTGTGTGTCGGGGTTAACTAGATTTCTTTCACGAAGGCAGAGGTGTTGAGATGAAGCGAGGGAAGAGGGCCACGGACTGGAGAAGTCTTGGAGAGACAAACGTTGCAGTGCCGGGCTGATTTGTCAGATGGTCTTTGCCAGCAGGCCATAGATCACAAAGAAGTACACCTTCCCTGCAGACTTCTTGTTCTTTGCTCTGCCCAGCAGGAAGCACTTCACAATCCTGCGTCCTTACTGGTGGACTGAAAGGATGCAAGTCAGATGAATCTCAACAGCATTGTTTTCCATACATAACATTATTAGCAAGTGGTTCTGTTTTCCTGCTATCACAGCAATAATAATAATAATAGATTTTATTTATAACGCACTCTTCATCAGCAGATCTCAGAGTGCAGAATGAACGAATGGTTTACAGAAGCTGTAACTTCATCTCATCTTACCACCACAGTTGTTAAGGCAACATCAATTACAGATCAAGCTCATCAGTATAAATTACACGACTGTGAAATTCTTAGGGGATGCATTAGCAAAGGAGAAAATGTGAAATATTCATATTTTCCTGGATCCATGATGTTGAATGCTAAATATTAATTTGAAAGCAACTTATTAGTATAGTCGAGAAAGAACCCTCGCCGATCCATCAGAGAGAGACACAATGAACCGTATCAAATGTGTAGAATCATCACCATCTCAGTGCTAATTATGCAGCGCCGCTCTGAGCAAGCTACGTTTTTTCACTAGAGGACGGGTGATGCCAGTTCATCACTGCTGTAGGGGAAGTTGATCACTGGGCAGATGCTGGGTGCAGCGGCAGAAACCAGCTCAGCAAAACCTACGTGCTAGAATATGGTCTCAGTCTGAATGCCTGAGCGTCTGAGCAGCCCTGTCGTACATCCCCGGTGCTGCTGTCCGCCGCAGCCCGTCAATAGACTGATGACCTTATCAATGAAACAGCAAAGTCACTATAATGTTACACCCGGAAAGAACTCAGAGCACTTTGCTACTGCTTGCAGGTTTGTTTTTCCCTACTGACAGCAAATAAAGAAGCCATACAACTTTGTAGAAAAGCAGAAGAGGTGTAATTCTTTTAATCTATTGGAAGGGGCGGTGCGCCACTGTGCGGCTCAGCAGCTTTTTTGACTAAGTGCCAGCAGTAGTTCCACCAACTGAATCGGTTCTTCATTTAGAATCTGTTTGAAAAAGAGCGAAATCTGGACAATGATTAAACTGGCAGGAACTCGCAGGAAATTATTTTTGGCACTTTTTAGCTAAATAATAATAAAGAAGACAAAGTATTAATCTTCCTACCTGGGACACAGACTGGTCGGGGGAGGGAGGGGGGGCAGGAGCCCCTAGCCCAGCAAGTTCAAAGCTTGCTGCATTGATTACATCATCGGAACTGGAGTGCCGGAATGGGACAATGCACCATTGGGGGGAAGGAGGGGGGCATGTGGGGGGGGGGGGCAACCAACTAATCTCTGCAAGGCTTCCCTGTGGAGCTTCATGAGCAGTGTTGTGTGTGTGTGTGTGTGTGTGCCTGCTTCTCCTCTGTCTCTTAACACAGCCTATAGGCTGCTCTTCCTCATCTCTCACCACTGTCCTGGGACAGAAGGACGGCCCGTGTCTGACAGAGAACGATGTGCATGTGTGTATGTGTGACGTTTGAGGCCAGGCTGCAGAAACTCAGCGGCTGCAGGATGCTGCAGGATTGCACCTCTGCTGCTGGCTCACTGGCTCTCTCTACCTCGCTCTCTCCCTCCCCCCATTCTCTAGTCACTCAGGCAAATTGCTCAAGGAGGATGGGGAGAGCATGTGCTGCATACTTTTTCAGCAGGGGAGAGGGTGTAAGTGGGGGAGGAGGAGGAGGATGAGGAGGAGGAGGAGGAATCTCAGAGGTGCAAAGCATGCCGGTGAAGCGCTGTGCCGGGCGACTGTACCTCTGAGAGAGACTACAGTAGAGATATTGGAGACGTAGGAGGGGGAGGGAAGAGGAGGAGAGCTGGCGGATGGTGGTGGTGGTGGTGGGGGGAGGGCAGGAGTGAGGTGCAAGGAACGTCAGGTGAGTGCGGCAATTTGCTTTGCTGGCAGCGCAGCACCCACCCTCAGTGAAAGTGTGAGCAGGAGAACTGCAGATGTTCCAAAATGATGTCAGGCTCCGGATGTGGCGCGGATCTGATGTACAGTTTTGCCATCACCCGGCCCCCTGCAGTGTGGAGGAATCCAAAAGCCAGAGAGAGGCTTTGGACTCCTGCCTCACAAAGCTGACGACGCAGGGCCGGCTTTTTCAAGGTCTCAGTTACCTGAGGTGAACTCGCAGCGGACGTAGACTGCGTACGAGTGAGCCGATCCGTCTGCATCCATCACTCAGACGGGCTTCCGGAGCACATTTAGGGCTGACTCACTTTAAGTCAATTTTTCTTCTTTGCCCACAAACTATTTTCACAAGCCTCGCGCTTGAGCGGAGACATTCAAAAGACAAAAGCAGCCACAATGACTTTTGCAGCAAGAGAGCTGCTGAGATGCTGCTGCAGGGATATTACCCACAGTATCTCTGCTCCGAAAAGAGATCCTTTCACTTCTGTTATCATCCCAGAGACAACAACTTTACCAGCGCACGCACAAACACGTCGCTTCAGACAAACTCTATGAAACTCTGCCCTGACATAGACTTTTAGGATGGAAGAAAAGTAGCTAGAGGACAACTCCATGACTGCACCACAGCTTCCCTGTCCCATGCAGGCCTCTGGCCTCGCTCTCATTCCCCCATCAGCGTACAGCGTCGCAATCCACAACTAATGCTGATCTATACTAACTCACATTAAGCAGGAAAATAAAAATGCATGTACTTTTTTTAAAGCTAAGTCAGCAAAGATGAAAGTCCCCTTTAGCGGAGGAAAGTCTTTGCGTCCTGATTAGTCTATTTGTCCTTGTGTCGAATGCAGAGTCCTCTCGACCAGCCGCTATCTGACACGCCGGCTGCTATTTCCAGCCTGTGAGTTAAACAAGGATGAGGGAGCAGGGGAGCCTGACTGGCTGGCTGGCTGGTTATTACTGGTGCAGAGGAGGCTGACAATGTTGAAACAGAAGCAGCCGGGAGCTTCAACACTGCAAGCATGCACGTACAGACACAGACGGAACACCAGGTCCCGCAAAAGGCCGATATAAGAAAGAAGGGGACACATATTAAGACAAATGTAAAAGGTAAATAAGAAAAGAGAGGAAATGATTACCCACAGGTGAGTCTCGGATGGCATCGCACACTCGGGGCGGAGAGGAGGAAAACTTCTCTGCACTCACTCTGCGCCTCCTGGTCGCTGGTGATGTGCCTTCATGGCGCTGCAAAGTTGACTGCAGCATTGCCTCCTGAACAGAATGACATTGTTTGCACTCTCTCTCTTCGCTCCTCCTCCTCCTTTACGCGCTCGCTCCCCCTCCTCTTCTTTGCACGCTTGCTGGCAGCACAAACTGCACAGCTCAGCAGTGTTCCCCCACTGCCGCAGCAGATCCTGCATGAGCTCTGCGTATCTGAGTGGGATGGGACTTTTAAAGGGGAACGCAACCTGCAGGGTCAGTGTGTGTGCACATCCTCAGTCTGCCCTCCTCTCATCTCCGTCCTCCTCTGCAACACCTCCCCCCCCGAGAATTATCCGTGTAAAGGACTCCTCACAAGAGAGACCCCGTCCACGCACACATAACTCCCCATCCCTTTTTATTCATTTTCACAGTTCAGCAAAAGCTGCTTTGAGATATGAGTGTGCTCAGGCCAACTTCTCCTTTGTGCTTTTGAATTTGTCACATTATGTCTGAATATTAAGAAATATAATCTCCCTGTTGTGGGACTTTTTCAGATAGGAGTAGCACAAAGATATATTGGACCGTTAAAAAAAAAAAAGATAATTACAGTAAAAAATGGTGACACTGCATCAACTCATTGAAAGAAACTCTACATTTAATCACAATTTTTTAACTAAAAAGATTGTTTGTAAACTGGCGATGCGCAAATAAATGTGGTTACTTTATTTTACCCATAAGCAATTGTTATGAATCGTATATCAATCATACGTCAACATGCTAGAAAACACAAGGTGTGCCAAAAGATTATCACACACCACGCATTTCAACAAATGAGCAATAATCATGGAATCGGTTAAATGAATGTCGCCATCTAAAAGTTGCTATCTCAAACACTCAAAGTTTCACAATCTGCAAAGGTAGAAATATCCTTAATCTGCAATCCCTATTACCTGCATTTCATTACCCAAGGTGCACTGCTCTACTGGTGCAATTCTGCAGTGCGCTAAAATATAGAAATATCTTGGCCAACCAAATTTGTCTTCTGCACGTTGCACAACTCTGCAAGAGTGAGATCATCCATCATTTAGTCAGCCAATAGGGTTGAGCTTCTCTTTCTGCTTCACAAAAGCGCACTTGGTAGTACCCTTCCCGCCTTTCAGTGATGACATTTGCGGTGTGCTGCATAAGCTTTGTACGGATAATGGTGACTTCATTATAAATGTGTTTTAGGCATCAGCTTCTGCAGCAGCACTCTCTGCTTTTCACTGCAGGAGCAATACTTTTTCCCCCTCTCTTTGTTCTGCCTGCCCCCCCCCCGTTGAACCCTGTGATCTTTCATCCTCTGCTGCCGCTTGTGTCTCACATTGACCCGGAATCCATCAAGTCAAGGCATCTGCTTTCCGGTTTTCAGCAATTTAGCGTTTGTATTTTAAATCAAGGCTTTTCTCCCTTATTAGCTCGTCTATCTGCCCTTATAGGATACGCCACTGCAGATTAAATGGCTGAATCAGCAAAACTCTTATAATGGAACATCTCTGACTAACGGGGATCAGCTGCACGAGGCTGTCGACCAGTTAGTGAGGGTATTAATCATGAGTCTGCATCATGCAAATGATCCATCGGCTGCGAGCGAAGCCTCGATCGCTGCATGTACGATCTGCATGCAGTGCTGCTGCTGCTGCTGCTGCATCGGTCCGCCGAGCCTCCCCGCATCTGTTCTCTGCTCTGTACTCTGTGACACCGGGGAAAATGCTCCCGCCAGCATATCCCTCACATAGGCAATGCCATTCTCAGTAATGGCATCCCCTGTGATGAATAAGCCATGAGGAGGGGCCCTTTTACATGTCCTATTAGATTACCTCCCTATATGCTTCACCTGGCTATACTGTCACCTCATCGCCTCTGGTTCCGCACTCTTCTTAGTATTCTCTCTGGTTATCGCAGCCAAGGGCAGAGTGTGTAAATGTGTGTTAAGGCTCATAGATCATATGAATGTAGTTTGGAGTTGAGTGATCTTTGCTGTTCATTGAATGTGTGTATACACGACCTTCACTCATGTGTACGATTCACATTAAGCTGCCTGGCGATTAGCATTTTTTTGCTGTTGATGGGAAACGTTTAGCTAAGTGGGTCCGTGTCTTTTTGTATGTGAACCTATTGCAGGCCAATAGTATTATCTTATCACACACCAGCAATAACAAACCTGATACAATGCTCTTCTAAAGGATTAAAAAAAGTTGAGGTAATGTATTTGAGTCACAGCTTGTGAGTTTTTTCTTTCTCCCCCTTTTTTTTTGCCACTCACAGCCCATTCCTCAGACCATTGATCTGCCCAGGAAAGATAATAGACACATTGATTCACGAGCTCAGCAGCTTGCTTGGTTTACACGTCAATTCAGTCTAACCCTCAATAGTCCTCAATCATGGAGGAGAATTACCTTGACTGACAACTGACTCATGGGGCTTTAGAAATGGAAAACTTAAGGGCCGTGCTGAGCAGGTTTTCCTCCCTCTCTCTCTTTTGGGTGTACGGCCTAGCAGACTTTACTCCTGAGAATCTGACAAGATGTAAAATGAAGAAAGGATGTTGGCGTGCATGAATGATTATGTGGTTACAGAGGGTATTCTCAGGGGAAACCTTGACATTGATGATGGCAGATAGAGTCAGAAGAGCCCATTCAAGCCTGCTAACAACTTCATAAAAATATCTCTCCCTTGCCCACAGATTGACTGATGGACGGGATCCTATTTGGTTGGAGCCGGTGTTTGGTGTGTGTTTCGCTGCACCAATGCTTCTTAGTTGATCACATTTTGTAGAAAATGAGCAATGCCAAGTGGATTGACAAAAACACTCTACATGAAGGACCGCAAACAGCTGTTTAACATTCAGAATTGGGACTAAATAGAAGGTGAATTGTCCCAGGCATGCTTTATTTCTTGAAAATTAAGATGTTAATCCCTGATTTTAAAGATCCCGTTTTGGGAGGCAGAGCTCGATATGAAGCGCGCGGAGTCATCGGTTCTCCGCCGGTTTGAAAGGAATGGTTGTAAAAGGTCTAGGATGGATCAACACCGTGATGAGAGAACTTCTGACAGCTGGCTTCTCTGTTCTAGCGAACGAGCAGCCGCTCCGTCAGCTGCCGGTGTCAGCAGCAGCCGGTTCGCTCTCTGCGGAGGTGTTGAGGCAAAACATAACGCACAGATCAGCTTTTACTCAGCGAGACTGCTGCCTTGATTGGGCTTCCACGGATAGTGAATATGTATCTCAAGGATTTGTGTGACATTTCCAAACAAACAAAAAAAAAAAACATAGTTCTGCAAATTGTGTTTTTGCCTGGATATTTTTTCAGCATGTCATGGATTCAAGTTGGCTCCAGTTAAATGCACCCTTTGTAATGCAGTTTAAGTATAGTTTTCTGGATAAAAATAAAGACTTTGGGTTCATGTGATGTGTTGCAGTAGTATGTGGATGCCATTAAACTGCAAACCAGCTAAATTACACCTGTAAACACGTTTCAAGGCTAAATCTCACTCCTTTCTTTTTGACAAACAAATTCTTGGTAGAAGCGAGTTCAGAGTGACAAACAAGACAAAATGACCATCATGAAAACATTGAAGGACCTCAATGGGATGAAAGATATCCTTTCATGGGAACTGCCACACTCCATCACTGGGATGCTGCTTTTTTCTTCCAAAAATAATTTGTGTGATTGCGATTTTGAGCCAGAAAACCATATTATGTTTATTACAAACTGTGCCATTTGTTATTTGTGTCATTTTCATCTGCATAGCTGGCGAGCTATTTTTGTCTCCCTCCCTGCTGCATTGTGTTCTGCGTTTCAGGTTCAGGAGCAGTGTTGCACATCCTCCTCAACAATCGGTGTGATCCGGGGAGATGTGTGTTGACTCCCGGCCTACATTCACTACCGCCATTTGTTACCGTCAAAAGCAGGTCTGGCACAGAGGGACCCGCATAACCAGCAGGCTCCTACAGAGTGGCCCGTTGATGTCTGTATCTGCAGCTCCGGGAGGATTCCTGACATCTGGACCGTCTCCAACAAGAAGCCGTGAACTCTGAGGAGCCTGCTGCTTAATGAGGGAGTCGTGAGCTGCAGGAACGGACTCATATTCAGAGGTAGCGTGGCCTTTCACTGTCGAGCCTCTTTGTGTTTGTGCTGGCCGACAGAGGATGTGTTGTCGCTGCAGTCGGACCATTAAGGAGTCAATAAAATACAACAACGGGAAACCAGATAGTTAGTTATATGACATTTTGTTTGCTAAAGGGACAGGGTTAAACCGTCTGATATGGTAGAATAATATTGGCGCAGATACCTATTAAACGGATCAACTCTTGATTCATACTAAATACAATACAACACTGCATTGGACCGTCTCTACTGTAAGTAAAAAAGTTTAATGTAGTGTGATATTCCAAAAATGGGCAAAGGGAGCTCTGGCATCAGATTGGTACTCTGCATGATTATAAACAGCTGCTAAGTTGATGATGAAGGTCGATTAAAACCAATCATTACTTTGCATATGTGTCTCTGAAGGGAATACTGAGCTCATAATGTTGTCTGATATTACAGAATATGGGGCTAAAACACCTTCATCTACCAAAACCCAGAGAACATTGACTGGCAAGAGTGAGTTTCTGAAATGTCCCCATGACCTCAATTCGAGGCAGCTACGTCATAGTTTGCCTTTAGAGGAACCATGATATGCGATCCTTCAATAAGTCATTTTCATCTTTTTAGTTGCCAATTTCCACCGTGGACGAGTCCCACGTGGATCTCGTTGACACACACGCTTGTCGAATGGACGCAGCCAGGAGAGCATCAAACACGTGAGAACCTGTGCCGGCCATCTGCCAAAGCGCTGTGTGACGGATGGGAAAAGGCCGACCCGTGTCGCGGGTGCTGTCCGACGAGCTGTGTGGGCAGAGGACGGCCTTTAGCAGAGTGCAGACGGGCAGGTCACCTCCTCTCCTGTGGGTCTGCACGTCTGCTGCCACGTCAACCAGCAGAACCAGGCCGCGATTAATGTCACAGTAGGGAGGAGATGTCGGTGCCGCTAATATGCAAGGAGAGATTCTGAGCACGAGGGAGCCGAACGGCAATAAAATCAAGAAAAATATGTTGTTTTTTTGCAAAGTTGAAAATGTAACAACAACATTTCCTTGTAGTACTCAGGGAATTGCTTTAAAGAGTTTAATCAATCAATCGGACAGGGAACTGCCAGTAGAACAAACTCAAAAATAACATTTTCTGTAGCTCAAAGGTGGATTTGATGAATACCAGCAGTGCTGCTTCTTTTTTATTCCCTGTGAAAAAACATCGCTCAGAATGAAATCATTCTGTCATTACAAATAAAACCTGCGCTCGACCCGTTGGTGTGTGCAGAAAAGGAGACCCCTTAATCTGCAGATCACCCAAGGAGTCTCTTGTCCACCTGGGGCCGTCCGGGGAGCTGTGCTGTTCCACTGCCGATTGCCTTCTTGTTTTTTAGCAGCAATGCACCATTCAAGTCTGCAGGCCTCTTGACAAATGAGCAGCGATCTGAGCAGAGGGGATGCTCGTACTGCACCACACATCCTGTCCACATCCTCCTGCCCCGCAGTGGTGCACCTCTTTTAACTGACACGCTTTTCTTTTCTCTAGACCTTCAGGCGCTCTTCTCAGGGTCACACAAGTACAGAAAGTACATGCTTGCTGACGCATGTACGTGCAAAGACACCGCTGAAAGAGTGGGGAAACACAAGCCATGTGCATTTTTATTCCTGCTCCTTTATAGCAAAGTCAATCTGTATTAAGTTAGCGTATTGTATACTTCAAATACTTAAAATATTAAGACAAAAAAGCTGAAACAATACCTTTGTTCAGGAAAATATTTTGATGCCAAAAAAAAGCTTTTCTCTGTTTTTATATATTCTTGAATTGACAGAACGAAACTAGTATTGCCGGAGTGAATACATTTGTACCCCTTACTGTCCGTGCACACTACTTTATTAACTGAAGATTAATTTGATCTTGTCAAAAGGTTTCTGCGTCACAAAGCTGCACAGGTCTTATATTGCAAGCCTTCTACTGAAATAAGAGAGGTCGTCTCACCTTCAAGAGGTGTAGAATGATGAAAAAAGGCACCTTGAGAGTTTTATGCAAGTTGCTTCAGTGGCAGATATTTACTCATGTCAATGCAGATTTGTGAGTCAGTTAAGAGGCCAAAAGCGGAGGATGTGGATTACCTGGCGACTGAACTAGTCCTGTGGCTTCACCGGCATGTCGCCTGCAACTGTAACCATCACTTGAGGACAGCATCCACCCACTGGCCCTTCTCACAAACTGCATCCTAGAGCAAGTGAGGAGCCGAGAGTCTGACGCAGCATGCGATCATTCTCCTTGGCTGCGAGTGTTGCTCGGACTTGCCTTAGTGCAGCTGTCCACACATAACCCCTCCCTCCCCCCTTCTCCCCCACCAACATGATCCATCCCAACCCCCCTACAGAGGCAGTGCACTCTGCCAGCCATGGAGCGGGACGAACGATCGATCCTGCTGAAATGATGGTTTCTAAAAGGAAGCCAGTAAGCATGTCTCCCCTCCTCAACTGTATGTGGGGGAGGGAGGGGGAAAAGGGAGGTGGGGGGGAGATATCACCAAGCTCAGCACATATGCACCATTGCTGCATGAGAAAATGGGATTTTCACCACAAGACAAGCTGAGGGGAAGGTAATTCAAACCTCCAAGCTATGTTCCTCACCGAGGATGTAAAACGAGCCGTGTTACCTTCAGACGCCTCACAAGTGGACAGATGAGGTCATTTAAAAATTGTCCTATTAATTCCAGTACTCGTCCCCGAGGAATCACATGCCAAATGGGAAAATCTGCAGTTAGGGACATGAGGAGACAGAGAATGTTCATTGGGGAGTCGGCCATGCGCTGATGAGCATGTATGCCATCGCATCCAATGTATATGATTTTTAGAATAAGTGTTGAATGAAGTGGAGCTTTGGTCAGACGATACAATAATCTAATGTAAGGCTCTGCACATCAAGAAGGTGTTTATTACAGAGACACCACTAGATGGCAACAGTGTCCTAATATTTCCCAACAGTCAGGTGAAATTTGGTGCATGCATAAACTGTGACTCACACAGGGCTGCAGATTCAGAGGAAATTCCAAGCAGGTTTATAGCACAGTTGCAATCTGACACTGGAGTCCCTAATTCAGCAAAATTGTCCGTGGTTGGTTCTTATTCCATTAACGAATGAACGTTGTTGTTGTAGAGGAGCTGCTGTTACTGAAGATGTTTAAAAGAATAGAAGTGACCACCTCGGTTGTGCGGGACCTGATGGTCGTGTGCTGGGTACTTTGACCTTGTCACTCACCGTACTTGACATTCCCCTGAGGTCTGAGAGTCAGCCAGGGCAGGATGACTTAGACTCACTAACTTACTGATGTTTTGGGGATTTTGCTCTCGTCTCCACGTCATCCTCTGTTTGTTTTTTTTGGAAACCGTGTCAGCGAGGGACTGAATGGCCTGGAGGTCGAGTTGCACAACAAAGTGCCCCAGTGTGCCATTGTATAGTGTCACTGTAGTTGGTTACTGTTGTTTGTGTATGTGTGTGCGTGTGCGTGTACGCAAAGTGAATTATCCATCACCATTGAACATCACATGCATGCCCTTAGGACAGTCAATGACAGCTTAATTATCTCTAAGAATGCATTTAAGCAGGATACTAGTACACAGGGAAACCGAAATACACTCTGGTTATATTTTGGCGTCGCCCTATACTATACCAAGGGACAAAACTATTCCGCTATAAAGATGTCTGTTATAAGGAAAAGTGTGACGGACGCCCGCACTGTGGACTGCAAAGCAACAATACAAATGCCATCCCAGGTTGTGCTGATGCTACACGCAATGGCCGGAGGAGTTATAGTCTGCAGGAATATGTCCTGCTTATATACGGGCCACCTTTGTTTACAACCCAAGAGACGGACCAAAAAAACAAAAGCAGCTTTTTATAGTTTCACTATGAATGAATTTCAAGTAATAGTTATCATATTCTGAATATTGTTTTACACATATACACATTGGTATACTGAATTGTTTGAATAAGATGTCACTGTAATGTCAAACTGTTGGAATAAATGTTAAATATTTAACTGCAAAGTAATATTTTTTTGCATTGAACTATACTGAGATTTCTACTGAAAAGAAGAAAAAAAAGAATCCACCAGCCGAAACGTGTCAACGTGAAGCTGACTTCAGGTCGGTCAGAGAGGAGGTGCTAATCAAGCCGAGCAGCTGGGAGCATTTAATCACGTGATGCCAGAGCTGGTACGGAGCAGCCATCATCATTTCACCCAATTCATCACCAGGCTGAAGTGGCCGCAGGTAAAGCCTCCGAGGAAACGGAACCCTGCGATGGAGTAACCAGGGGAAGCCTCTGAAGCCCGTCCCGGTGTCTTCTCCCCGTGTGTCCCCCCACTTTACAGTGTAGCGTGTGCCTTCCCCCCCCCCCCGCGCCGCCTCTCTCTCCTCTCCCCCTGCTTTTCCTGCTCATACGCTGCCTTCCGTAACTCGTCTCTCTTTCATATCACGACCCCCTCCACACCGGTCCAAACCGTACAGAACGCCGCCCTCTGGTCGTCTCCCCTGCGTCCCGTTTCGGAAGGACCGAGGCGCCCGTGTCCTCGCGCCTCGTTAGCATTTAGCCGTGTTGCGGGACAGCTAACGTGCTAACGCGGCTCGTGCTGCCCGCCGTGTAGCGGAGCTCCAGGTAACCCGGAACCGAAGCGGCTTTCTACGCCGGACCGACCTGTAGGCCGCGGGCCGCGTTAGCGAGCCGGACAATGGGCTCACTTGTCCAGGAGGCCTCGTTCGCTCAGGTAGATGTTGTGGAGGTGTGACGTTACTTTTCACGCGCCGCGTTACGTGTCGAAGTGTCTGTTTGTGTTCAGCCGTTGTGGTTCTGACTTAACCGTCGTTCGGAAGCAGCTGACTTGGTACTGTTTTTGTTTTGTGTCATTTTATGTGATGCCCAACCAATTTATCTCAGCGAATTCTGATTTTGAAGTGAGGTAATCATCACTGTTGGACTACACCTTCCAAAAAGGACCTGATCATAACTGATCTAACTTAAAAGACAAAACAGTTGTTATTATTGTCTTAATGCATTGAAAAACGTGTTTCTGCATAACGTATTTGTACTTGCACAATGGATGTCTTTAGTAAACCTTGAGCTTTGTACACCCTGCAGGTCAACAAACAAGCCAGGGCTTAAGTTCGGGTGGGCCCCGTCTATATTGGGTCTCAATAGAGACGAGTGTTTCCTGGCTAGGCAAAACCATTGAGCCCTTCCTCTTGCATTTTAATAAGCTGCTAACCAAACCGGGGGCCCGGGAACCCCAACCAGGCCAGGATCCTAGCCCAAATATATCCCTCCACAAGCCACCTATTATACGTGTAATGGGTCTGTTTGTTTTGAAGTCCATGGTAAAATTGGGAAGACCTCTCATTGTCCTGTTTCTATTTACTTGAGTAGGTTTTCTCACATGGCGACGTGAGACTTTGCCATAGCGAGAGGAATGCTAAACTGCTGGCTCAAAGTGCAAATTAACATGTTTCACCCCCCCCTGAATGGTTGGACAGGCATTGGAAAGGAGATGGTTTACATTCAGATGCTGGCTACCCGCTGCTTGCTTTTTCTTCCCTCTTGTTTTCCGATCACTGTAGAGACATGACCCATTTAAATGGTTGTTTACTTGCATTAAAAGCGGAGCCAAAGCACTTCTCAATGAACTCTTGTCTACAATTCAATTAGAGTGGCCATCCCAGCAACACAAGGTTACACAACGCTCTCCTCAGCCCAGCTGCAACACAGGCGGCAGTACGAAGACCAAAGGGCAGCAGGAGCCACAGGTCACCATAAAACAATGGCCTGGCTGTTGACCTGGAGTAGTCCCATTGACATTCAGATTGGTTTAAAGTTCAAAATGAAATGTAGAAGTAAGAACATAATCGGTATAGGCGGGTGTTTTGCAGGTGGACTGGGGGGGGGGGTCAAAGCAGTAGTTTCACAGCCGGTGTCAAACATGCCATCATTGTTTCTGGTTTTCTCAAACCGTTGCAGCCTCAAAGAACTTCAATGTCTTGCTCATACTTGAGGGAACTTTTTTTTTTTTTTTTTTCTCAGCCAGACATTTCATAACTTGCTTTTCCGGTTGCTCTCTGACTAGACCAGCAATTTCTTATTTTATGCTGGAGTTTTCCCCCCCCAAATCTTTCTATTCATTCTGTTCTGTATTTGGAGACTGGGAATCGTGTCATGTGTATTAGCTTTTGAGAAACTAACTCTACAATGACCGAACCATAAAACTTAATGACCTGTTTAAATGTGTCACCTGTACGTGGGTAGTCAAAGTCCTTTCTGCCCAGATGGCATGCACTTTGCTGTAGCTGCTTGATTCCTCGTCCTGATTGGAGACCATGTTTTCAGACTCTTCTAGAACAGTTTTATCAAGATAAGATCGCCAAAAATGAATGTGTAAAAATCAGGACAACTGATACATTTGCCTTTCAATTGTTTGCCCGAATACTAATTTACCAAGAAATGGAACGCAAGAACACGTGTGTCATTTAAGCACACAGAGCTCTTGACAATAAATGTAACTTGTTTTAAGTACAACGTAGAAGCCGTTAAGATCTGAATATTGCTCTTCTATTAGACAGTTTACTAATTGATGGATAGACATTATACAACTGTTCAATCTATGAATGAAATGCATGAAAATGTCTGATTAGCCTTTTGCAGCCCTGATTTGTTTATGGATGAGGCAACAAAGGGCAGTCTTTGGCATAACTAGTGGAGTATTCAACATGTCAAGTCTACAACTGCACATTTGTCAAATTTTAATTATGCTGTTTTAATTTGTTCCAGCAAACCAATCTGGCACTGATCAATTGGACCGCTCTAGTCCAATTCGATATACATAATCCTTTTTCAATCGATCACAAATATTTCTAGTACAGCTGAATAGCAGAAATGTGGATCTTGGTTGGCTAAACATTGTATGGACTCGTATTCTCTACATCCTGATTTAACGTCAGGTTGCTGAGCGAGAATGCGTTGAGCTGCACCTTTTGCCATCGTCAGCAGAACAGTTTCCTTTTGCGTAATATTATCGTGTGTACATTTAAGTTTACATCTCAGGCAGAACTGTCTGGTAGTGAATTCTAAGTTTGATACAATATTCATCACAAGAGAACAAAGCCACATGCATCTGCTGTTCACTGATGAATTGATGTTAAGCCACTGAGTTTACTGTTAAATGTAAACATGCACCAACCTTTTCAATAGATGCTATATGACGTAATTGCAGAAGATGTACAAGGCTTTATGATTAGCTTGTCATTTATTTGACAAGCTAATCGTAAGGGAGTTTATCCTTTGTCCATATTAAATGTTTAGCTAAAATAGTTTAATAATTCATTAATCTTTTTTCTCATTTCTTTTAACCTGCAGGAAGCGTTTGAACAGCACCTGGCCGAGACGAGGTAGCGACAAACCTGCTACTTGGGTTGCAAGAGCACAGTGCATGACGGTCTGAGGCTGATCACTCCCCTGTTAAGTCTTTGAGGAGGGTGGGGTGGGTGCAGGGGGACAGCTGCAATAACCACTCCGAGCATGGGGCAAAAAGTCCCAGGTGGCATTAAAACCATTGATATGCGGGACCCAGCGTTCAGCCCCCTGAAGCAGGAGCTACAGGCCCTGAGTCACACCAAGCCGTCTCGACTGGACCTGCTGCTGGACATACCGCCCGCCAGCGCAGACGTCCAGGTCCAGCACTCGTGGAACAACGATGACCGCTCCCTCAACATCTTTGTCAAGGACGACAACAAGCTGGTGTTTCACCGGCACCCCGTGGCGCAGAGCACGGACGCCATCAGGGGGCGCGTCGGCTACACGAGGGGCTTGCACGTGTGGGAGATCAGCTGGGCCATGCGTCAGAGGGGAACGCACGCTGTGGTTGGAGTGGCTTCAAGTGATGCCCCGTTACACTCGGTGGGCTACACCGATTTGGTGGGGAGCAACGCTGATTCCTGGGGCTGGGACCTGTGCCGGAGTAAACTCTACCACGACGGCAAGAACCACCCAGGAAAAACCTACCCGGCCTTTCTCGAGCCAGACGACACCTTCATAATACCAGACTCCCTGTTGGTGGTGTTGGACATGGATGAGGGGACTCTGGGTTACATAGTGGACGGACATTATCTAGGGGTGGCATTCAGAGGACTAAAGGGCAGGAAGCTGTACCCTGTGGTGAGCGCCGTGTGGGGACACTGTGAAATAAGAATCCGCTACATAAATGGATTGGATCGTAAGTACAAACTCATTTGTCTTAATCTTTTGTCTGGCTCTAACACTACCAGTGGCACGGATTAATGCAATAAACAAAAGTGGCCCGTATATGAGCAGGACATATTCCTGCAGCCGCTTCCTGTAGAGCTGACTCTCACTCCTCCAGCCATTGTGTGTAGCATCAGCACAACCAGGGATGGCATTTGTATTGTTGCTTTGCAGTCCACGGGGCGGGCGTCACACTTTTCCTTCGAACAGACATCTTTATAACGGAATAGTTTTTTCCCTTAAATCTCCTAGATTTTGTCTTTACTTTAAAAAAAAAAAAATTTTACTCAAGAACTATACTTTCTTTTCTACTCTGTGGCGCCGCCATTATAGATGTTGGTACTTCAAAAACCTCCAGTGGTCCTTAATCTTTACGGGCAAACATTTTTTTTTTGTATTCGACTAAAGCTACTTGAAAGGACTCATGAGCATTAAATGAAGCAAAATCCGTTATGAAAACATGCAGTACTACCCTCGTGTCAAAGTGCTGTGCGTTCATTTGTCTTTTATGTTCAGCTCGGATCTTGCGACCTACTTTAGGCCTGTGGAAAACCAGCACCAATGCAATAATATGCATATAAGTTCAATTTTTTTTTAGCACGTTCTTATTATTGTGGCATGTTGGAAGGGGAAATGTGGTGAGGCACTTTGTTTGATAAAGTTAATATCGTGGGTCTTTTTATATTCAGTATAAAAGTAAAGTAATATTTTTCTTACTCAGTATTTTTTGTCTTCCCGTAGCTGAACCTCTGTCTCTGATGGACCTGTGTAGGCGTTCGGTGAGGGTGGCATTAGGAAGAGAGCGTCTGGGCGAAATCCACAGACTGCCCCTGCCCGCCTCTCTCAAGAACTACCTGCTCTACCAATGACGCCGCCGATGGTAACGACGCACTCGGCAAGCCCTCCTTTTTCATCTGGGATCCTTCTCGGGTTGAACCCGTTTGACAACATTGCTTAAGCCTCCTGGACTTGCTCAGCCTTTTTAAGTGCGCTTTTGTGATAGTGGGTGGACACCTTTTGCGTTTCTCATCCCGTTTCTATGACTCTTTGCAAATGTTCTCAAACTTTATTAAATCAGGAATCACTGACCGCTATGCACATGCTGATCCGGACGATGCCCGGACAGTCGCCGTGTTGGTGTACCTCCCTGTTTTTAAGGCAAATGTGACATTTGTGGTCTGTATCTCTGCTGTGACTTTATTCCGAATTTCTATCCTAGCCTTTTTTTTTTTTTTTTTTTTTAATTTGTCATATGTCTTTGCTCAAACGGAACTGTGATGGATATTAACTTTTTAGAGTTGGTGCACAAAGCACTGCAAGCATCTAACCACAAGGTGGCAGTAAACTAATCTGTCCATGCTCTCAACTTGTATTGGAACTTTAATTCCCATTTGTTTTTAGAATTTTTTTTTTTTTCTTTTTAATGAATATTTAATAAAAATGTTGCTCACACATCGCCTAAAGGAGATGCTGACCACTAAAAGGTGAGTCTGCATTGCGGCGTGGATGAATGCACTGAGGCAGCTCCAACCTCTCACTGTACTCTATTACTCTGCGATTATGGAAGTGTGCCTCAGTGCTTACATCAAGGTATCCGACGGGATCATCCACACCAGAAATTGTAACATACGGTTAATGTCACTGTGATTTATTTCTAGCAGGTATCTGCAGGAAATCTAGACACATGTCTTTTTAAAGAAACATTTCCGTCACTCCGGCTTTTTGTACGTGCAATAGTTTTCAGGCACAAGCGGAATGGGGTCTCTGTGATGTTTTCTATTTCACCAGTCTGGTTTGCATATATCCAGCCAGAGAATAGGCACTAACCAATGAGCAGGGCACCATAACAAGAGACAATCTGCAACGTGCTGCACAAATGGAATAAAAGCTTCTGTGTGTGTGTGTAAAAAAAAATATATGTAATTATGTATATATACATTTTTTACACATTACATACACTTTCAAACACCACGTCATGGACCCGTTAACTAGTATTTTTAAATGTGCAGATGTTTAGACACTGCGCCTCATTCTATTTTCCTTGATTTCAGCTTCCATTTTATTTGTATTGTAGATTTGTATGTCTATTAAAGTTTATTTCAAAGCATATATTGTGCATTGTACAGTAATTCAGTGAAAATGTCCCTAAGCTACTGGGGACAGAAAAAATGTGTTCGCTGCATTTTAGGTGAAATCGTTAAATGCTTCATGTGATGACTTGAGATCTATGGACCGTGACAATACGTTAGATGGGCTTCATACAGTATTTGTTCAGGTAGAATTCAGTTCAGGGTTCTGGTAACATGGATTTCTAACGCCGGGGTTCAATGTCCCTGTAAAGGTTTCTTCAATGGGGAAAAATGATTTGCAAAAGATCTGTTGTACTTTGGCAATAAGAACTTTTCAATATGCTACAGGTCACCGCACAGCCTTTCTATAAACATTCGACCTTCTGAGTTGTGCTTTTAAAGTGTGGTCAATTAAATATAATGTATTGCACCGCTGCACCTCTTTCAGAGCGTAAGTACAATTTTAGTTTTGATGAAGCTGGATAGAAGGGCATTTATATATTATGTGTGACATTACAAATGTTGCTATAAACCGTACCACATCGAGTGAAGTGTTTATGCACATGTATGTTACTATGATTGCATTTAATGCAATGAATCAATGTTGAATGCAAGAATTCTTACTGCTAAGGCCTAGTCCTTTATTTAATTTAACCCGAACCCTAAAGTGTAAATTGGCATATGTCAAAGCACCCATGAAGCTTTTACATGACCTGTCATTTAGCTGACTCTTTTATTTCAAAGCGACTTACAATGAGTGCATTTAAACCATAAGGACACAAACCCAGAAGAACAAAGTGCACATTCCATCAAATAAGCCGATTTACAACTTGCTATAGATAAGAGCCATTATATGTACAACTACAATTTGTTAGTGTTTTTAGTCGAGGTAGAGTGTGAAGATGTGAAGGCTCTCTGCGGTCCGGATGTGATCAGAGAGCCAGGACAGAGTTGTGATCTTGTCGAGTGTTTGGTGCCTTACTCGGTGCCTATAGGCCACGATCATAACACCTGTGTGTATGTGCAGAGTCTCTAAGCTGTCAATATACGTCACGTAAGACGTAAAAAGCATTCAGACACGTTATTAAACACAACGTAGTTCTCACCATACAACGTTTTTCAACTGCTCATTGCCTCTGAGATCAAAAACACAGTAATCAATACGAAACAACCATATTTAGTCTGGACGCAGTCAATGGGAAACATGACGGTGTAGAATCATTTGAGCCTTGACTTTGTGATAACTGGAATAGAGGACCGTCTGGTGCTTCTAGAGAAACTCCTTCCTTTCTGAAAGTCATTGATGTTGAGGCTGCTGGGAAATGACCTTGACGTGTAGGTAGAAAAAGTGACAACCAGCAACCAGCCACATCCCATGTGGCTGGTTGCTGGTTGTCACTTTAAAGATTGTAAGCTAAATGGAATAGTATGAAAATAGGGACTGTGGTACTTTCGGTTACACTAAAATGAAAAGAATGGATGAAACTAGCAGACACACCCTGAAATACCTTTTAAAAAGGTAAACCAAACAAGTGATTGGCTGTTTAATAGAACGTACCACATAGTAATGTGAAAGTTCCAGCAATACAGAAGGTGAGGCACTGGCTTTTTAAATGAGCCACAGGATCAGTTGAGGACAAATGAGGACAACGGCCACGCTGTTCTCCTGTTTGGTCACACGGTGTCACAATTTACAACTTCCAACGAATCCTGACAGTCAATCCATTTGGGACTGTTACTTACAGGTGAAATAAGTATTCAGATCCTTCATTTAAAGATTACAGAAGTACATGACAGTTTCTGCTTTCAAGATGATGCATGTTTGGCTTATTTGTTCTCTTTATATTTGCACTCTTCCTACAATACTGTAACTGCTGGCTGAGTATAAATAGTTTTATCTTGAGAGGTATATGTACAACAATGTATAATATTCAAAGTATTCCTAGTTCCTCGGACTGATATTAGATTGTGAATACTGTAATGTTTGAACAGCATTTTACAGTCGTTAGTTGATGTGGAGGTAGTTAGTATAAGATGAAGAAAAGGACAGAAATTGCAAACTCCTGCTTAAGACATTTATAAATGCTGGTCGAAAGCAGTACAGTTTGTGGGCACCAGAGGTCCCAATGGAAATCTTTTAATGCCGTGGAGTCATTTTTCAGGCCCCTTGCAGACCTGTCCTGGTTGTTGGCTCCCAGCGGAGATCGCATATCAGCGTCTGAACTGAAGGAGTTTCCAGTAAACCTGCCAAAATGCTGATTTTGCACATAATCTGACCTGGTGGCACAAAAGACCAACAATAAGAATAATTTTACAGTAATAGCCAGTCTTCTCAAAACTGGCCTCGTTTACTTATGTAGAGAAGTCAGTATTAGATGGAGACTGTTTTTATGACTAGCTTCTAAACTTAGTTTTAAGTAAAGTATTGGATCACCTGCCAAGGGACGTCAGATCCAAAGTTAGCTGAAGCTACAATCTGCTGAATGAATGGAGACATTTGTACTTCGCATAGTCCCCTTTAGATTAAAAAATGTACATAGTTACTTTTTAATTAATTGATCTTAACCGTGTCGTCCTACATTATTAACACATAATGAAAAACCTTTGTTATTGTGATTTCAAAGATCTCAAAAGTGCAGCTGTTTTAATAAAACTGTTTTGACACATGTGTTATCGCACAGATAAAGGGGGGGAACAAAGTGTCTGTATTTTTCTGTAGTTTTATAGCCGGGGTATCCTGAGGGTAATAGCTCACCAACATTTATTACTCAATATACTGTACAGCACATACCATAACATCACATGACCATTATGGAAAACAAGCTGGCATTGGGTCATATTTCCGCTCCAGTTTAAGTCAAGGGCCCTGTTGTCCTGTGATCTTCCCTTTGAAAAATATGTGACTGTTTATGCTGACCATCTACTTCACAGGGGGATTGTAAAAGAATAATACAGTATTTAGTATTAGTTTAGTATTAATAAAAAGTTTTTTTGTAATCATACATATTTAATTCAATAACGATAACGGTTCTAAACCCTGCAGAATAAAACAATATAGAAGACCAGAATAAATCCAAAAGCTAGAAACTGTTATTCTGCTGTTTTGTTCATCTCTGTTGAACATAACAATGCTAACCATTGCCCAAACAACAAGAAAATACCGATAGCACATCTGTGAGCACATGTTCTGACGTCACAGACAACACCCCCGTCCGGCCCCCTCTGACGTAAATGGTGAGCAGTTCCTCACAACACCCACCGCCGCTCCACCCAGCCGGGACGAGTGGGGCGACACTGCGCTCGCACGGGGATCACACCACCGTTGTTCTTCTCCTTTGCGAACCAACGCGTTTCTAACAAGCCGCGCAACTCGAGTATGGTGACGGTGTGAAAGGGGACAGAATGGCGCAGAAGGACACTCTACTAAATCTCTTTGCAGGGGGGTAAGTCACGTGAGCGCTTACGTTATTGCCTTTAACCAGAGTAGTGGTGCGTCAATTATAGCGCAAGGGTTCGTGTAATGCGAAGGGTGTTGATTTACACGAGTGCTTTTGCGCCTCCTCGTAGAAGTTACTCGATGATCTCGCTCATTTTCGCCATTAAAGAGCCGCTGGTCTGCTAGCGACGCAGCTGAGCTAGCTCGTGTTAGCGCAGCACAATATGCCGCATTTATACCAGGAGTCGTCGCTTTATATGACTGCGTTCTTAATTACTGCGTAAATGGCCGGGGCGAATTAAAGCAGAAGGGTGTTTTTAGTAACGCTGTAGTCGTACATATTTTATTTAGTTAGGAGTCCAGCGCTAACGTTACTTCCTTGCGGAAGTTTTGCTAACACCGGCTCCGCTAGCACCTGCTAGCCACCGTTAGCTAGCGAGACACCGCTGTATGCTCCTGCTCTAACATTAGATGTTCGTGTCGGGGGTAATAACGTTGCGTGTAAGGTGGCGCGCTGCGTTACAAGTGGCGCTAAATGTGTGCAATGAACCGGCCGAGTGTTGGCCGGAGGTGGCGCAGTGACAAGAGATAGCAGCCTTCAGCTAGCCGTATGCTGTGTCCTTCGGGGTGACGTAACGTGGAGTAAAGTAAAGCGGAGGCGTCCGCGCTGGCGGTGCTGGCGGCGCTGGTTAACCTCCTCTTGATGACGTCAAGGCCCGTGATGTTACCGCGGTGCCGGTGGCCTCCAGCGGATGTTAAAGTCGCATGTAAAAAGCACTGGCTCGTTAAAATGACGCCATTTTACCCTTGAAATGTTATGAGGTTACGAAGTAGCTACACTTCTTTTGGCTCCACACATGACCCTTGTTGACTCGTTATTCTGGTTGTATATCCTTATGGTTGAAATGCACTTATTTAAAGTTGCTCTGTATAAAAGCGTCAGCTAAATGACATGTTATACAATTTAAATTCGTTGACTGTATAATACCAGGATGCTGACTGCTTAAATTTAACTATCTCACTGAATAGTCAGGGGAGAATATGTGTTTACCTCTCAGGGTGTGTGTTGAAGTACTATCGACGCGATATCATTTTGCAAACACATTTGTTACTTGTCAGAACGCCCACACTCTTGCTTCCCTTCGCCAGGAGATTTCATGGCTACAACAGTTCAACAGCGCTTTGTGTCATAATGTCTACATGTTTTTGTTTGTCAAATTAGGTTATGCAACATGGAACATTGTGCACTGCGGAGTACGACTCCTTTTGTGTCGTGATCAGAATGCCCGGGTGGACAGGTGTCCACGCATCCGGGGGGATAATTAGGTCAGGTGTTCCTTTTAGCTGAGATGTCTCACTCTGTCCCTGCACAACCGGTACAGAGGCTTAGTCTGATCCCTTCCAGAGTTCTAAGCGTGTCACAGACAACGATATAGACATGGTTGATAAAGGCTGTGCCACTTTGAACTGTAGGTAAATAAATGCATTATTCTTTTAGCTGGAATAGAAAAAAGTTATGTTCTCCAAAAACAGGGAATGGACTCCATCCAACTGCAATCAGACCGTATTAGTCGTAAAGCCCTCTGCACTAGATGTGCTGGGCTAACTAAGTTTTTCCACTGCAGAGCCCGGAACCGGCCTTTGACCACACTTGTTCATTGCAAACAGCTGTAGCTCCTCAGCTTTGTTTTGATGAAAGAACACTATGCTCAGTGTAAGCCGACACAAGTATCGCAAACAAAATAACCCCTCTACTTGGGTTACATACATGTATTTGCTTGTATGATGCGAGTCCATCGTCTTAATTTCTCATTTTATATGTTATCGATTTGCAGATGTAGCGGCACGGTGGGAGCCATCGTGACCTGCCCCCTGGAAGTGTTGAAAACACGGCTGCAGTCCTCCGGCCTCTCCCTCCGACCCGTCTTCCAGGTCCAGATGGGCACCCTCAACGGAACCGGAGTTATTCGCCCTGGGACAGTTACTCCAGGGCTCCTGCAGGTCCTACGGTAAGATGTTGCTGTTTGTTGTAGTGGCTTTTTCCTTGAGGTAATTTAGTTTCTTAAATCTTACATGCAGTGAGGATCTGAACATTTGTCTTGGGTGTATTTAACAGGCAGCCCGAAACCGTGTGCACCATGAAAGCACCCCTCTAGTGGCCCTGCTTAGTTTGGTAAGAACTAGAAGCAGGGAGCCAAGACAAAGGAGGGGAGATTTTATGCAGGGTGCTAAGTCATATTACACTTAGAGGGCCGGGGGCACGACTTGGACTGTTGCTGTTAACTTTTAAAAATTGTTATATAATTTTGTTTTAAAGCCCCCCCCAACATTATTATCCACATTTTACTGTAAATTTAAATCTTTTGAATTTTCCTAAGCTGTTAAAAATAGCATTTTCCATGGCAATCAGTGAATTATCTTTGCATTTACAGGCTTATATTTATTTATACATGTGTAAAACTATTTCTGGACAGGAAACCCCTTCCCCAAGTCATTGAAAACTCCATAATGAGGTTTGCATTATTGTTTTTAAACTGTTTTTGAGGGGAGGAGTCTGGATATAAAGTGAAAGGGAGGGAGAGGGAGAGAGAGAGGTGGAATGTGTGAGAGACACGAGTTACAAACCCCAACACGATTTCCCCCCCCCCACCGTTGCACGGTCCCAGACAGACCTGAATATCATCTGGCTAATGAAGTTCACTCCCTGCAAAGAGTTTTAAAAAAAACCTTGCAGGGACATGGCTGACGTGACAAGTCAGAGAGGACCGGGTTTCACACACTTGATTCAACCAGCTCAGTTGAACGGGGCTGGAAATCATCCTCGTTCCCATAATAGAAGTGGTTGGAATAGTCAGACACAGACCTTTACTGTGACCTGTAAAGAACGTTTGACCTGTGTATCCCGTGTATTTATCTAAATTAAAATGTTAGCTTTTTGACTGTGATTTTCTGTTGTTTCAGCTCCATACTCGAAAAAGAGGGACCAAGATCACTTTTCCGTGGGCTGGGGCCAAATCTCGTTGGCGTGGCACCCTCAAGGTACAATTAAATCCGTGTCAACACTGCACTCAGGCGCTCCACCTTTTCCTTACCAGGGAGTGTGTTTTTGTCATGACACTTTGCCAAACTCTGTTAAGGACGCCGGCCGTTTGAGGTACAGGTTTGTGATGTCAACCATTGAAAGAACTATTCCTAAACAATGAACAAAGCAAATGCTAAAAAGGTCACGTAGGGAGGCGAGTGGTGGTTTCTCAGTAGTCTGTTTTATGTGGCAGGACACTTCCGAGTGTTTTAATTCTCACAGGCGACCCAAGGAAAACAAAACGGGAGGCTGTGTTTATATTTTAAAACTTTATTGGCTGAAAGCAATAACTGGTTTGTATAAACCGAAAGCTGTTGTCATGTCTACAGAGTTCTTTCACTCAGTTTAGTTTTTGTTGGCTACAGCGTTCGTCAACACAAGTCCTCTGTACTTGTTTTTGATTAAACTTGAACAATGTAAAAGATTAGCTCAAACGTTTGTTTGATTCTGAGACACTAAAATACATTAATGGTGCAGTTTTATTTTTAAGTTCAATTTCCACCGTTTTTGTTTATTTCTGTAGTGTCAACAAATAGTTTGTTTTTTGGCATGTTACCTCGTGGATGATAATTTAAACACAATGACTTAAAATGAAAAGCCGTGGTGAATTTGCCATGGAAATGTTGATTTAGACTCTGACCCTCGGTTGGACTGAGAAGGTTCAGAGGTCACGTCTGCTCTCCTCATGGTTAATGAGTAGCCGAGATGTGATCCTTTGCCCGGTGATTCCACATTCGCTCCATTCCGCTTGCCAACTTGGACAGGCTCACATTCGGGGCAGCTCTGTGGGGACCCGTGGTGCCCGCTGCTTATTCAGCCCATTCTGGTGCACTGGCGGTTTGTTCCAGAATCCAAGTAGAGAAAAACAGGCATTGGGGAAACCGACTGCTCTGGATGCACTCTGTCAAAGGCCAACACAAGTCCAAATGGATTCTTTTGCAGAGTTGCCCAGTTGTTCATAAAAAACACATTCACCTATTGAAATGCATTCATTTAATCTGGGTGTTCTCACCTTTTACAGCTGCTTCTGTCTTGAGTTCTCACCAGTTTGTTCTGTGTGTTTCAGAGCCATTTACTTTGCTGCGTACTCAAAAGCTAAAGAGACGTTCAATGGGCTGTTTGTCCCTAATAGTGGAGTGGTGCACATGTCCTCTGCCGGTGTTGCAGGTGAGCAGTTAGCATGTTGGCCTTCCTAACACACACATAAAATAGCTGTAATACAATCCAGGGCTCTGCAAAAATGGTCTTACCCACTGGCTGATGCGTGTAAGCATTCTTCCTACGTGCCATTGTTTTTGTATAAAAACAAACCGATTTTTTTTCTTGCATATATTGATGCTTTTGCTCTGTGCTTCCTTTAAATCAAGCGCAAACTTCTATTCTTACAACTTTAAGATGAGTTACACTGAGGGATGAATTGAATCGTATGTCAATGTGAAAATAAATGTGCCTCTTTTACCTCCCTGTTCTCAGCTTTTGTTACTAATTCTCTGATGAACCCCGTCTGGATGGTCAAGACCAGAATGCAGCTGGAGAAAAAGTGTGTACACTCCCAATTTCACCTATCACGTGTTACATTTATTTTATTTATCATTTATTTTAGGCGCTACCCAGGTGTCCAATTCTCCATATACTACGACCTTTAACAGACCTCCATGATGGTGTCCTTGGGTTAGGCGGTCTTTGAGACTGAGCGTGTGACCCGGCTCCAGGAATACACAGTGCTGACGCACTGACCTGCGTGCAGAAGAAGAGTCTATATTTACATTACTGAGTACAGGGCAGTAGTATCATGTGAGGACTTGAGAACAGATCTGTTAACTCAGTAACAGCTGTACTTGGTATTGAACTCGAGAAGGAAAGTCCAGTGTTACATACTTCCTCAAAGGGCTAAAAGGGTTGATGTCCATTAACAGTTAGAATATCCAATAGTTTCCAACCCTGATCGTCCCCACCGAGTACGACTTTGGCATTAATGAGGCTTTTGGTCTTTCTCCTTTTTTAGAGCCAAAGGAGAGAAGAAGATGAATGCACTGCAGTGTGCCCGGTATGTTCACAAAACGGAAGGAATTCGGGGCTTCTACCGAGGCCTGACTGCATCTTACGCTGGCATCTCGGAGACCATGATCTGCTTCCTCATCTACGAGACGCTGAAGAAACACCTCGCCGCGAGCCAATTCGCCTCCTCGAATGGCGGAAAGGAGAAGGGAGCATCGGACTTCCTGGGTCTGATGATGGCTGCTGCTTTTTCAAAGGGGTGTGCTTCCTGCATTGCCTACCCACATGGTAAACACTAACCGCCATTGTTCGTCGCTTGCAACACAATGACAGGGAGAAGTATTTGTTTGGTGACTAATGTGCTTTTTGTTTTTTTTGTTTGTTTTCCTCCACAGAGGTCATTCGAACGAGGCTTCGTGAAGAAGGCAGCAAGTACAAGTATTTCTTCCAGACAGGACGGTTGATAGCGGTGGAAGAAGGCTATGCAGCTTTTTATAGAGGACTCATTCCACAGCTAATTAGGCAAATCCCTAACACGGCCATCGTCCTCTCCACGTACGAACTCATTGTCCATCTTCTTGGGGATTCAAAGTGAAGAAGCCGCTGGGAGCCTACAAACGATGGATGCGACCCAAAACGGGATGGGCAAGAGACTTTTGAAAATGCAGTACATAAATTTTATTTATGTGGTGCTACAGAGACTTTTATGGTGGCGCTGAAGCAGGTTGTACTGTTATCCAAAGAGCTATACACATTATTTTATTAAAGGCTTGTTAGGAGTTTTTCAAAAGCCACTGAAAAAGTCATGGTACTTCAATTAAAACTCCACACCTGCGAAAAAGGTCATCTTGTTAAAGGGTTCGTGTTAAGTTAACTAAATTATTGTATATTTTGTTCTCTTATGTCATTGTTTGTTCCCTTATCAGTGGTTAATGTACCAACACGCATGACTGCATAAGTTGACTCTTGGTTACTCAGATTAAGTACTAGTATTAGTGCTGTTCGCTGAACTGTAACAACCACAAATCATTGAGTTTTGCTTTTCAAAATCACTTGTTTTGAGCTTTGATATTTTTCAGAAAATTGTATTGTAATATTTTTCATTAATATACATACATACATACATGCATACAAGCATGCAGACGTATATCTGTATGCCGTCTTTGTGGGTGGGGGGGAGAAAGTCACCTTTTTAGAAAATAATGACAACTTGGATGCCTATTTGACCAATGGCGCAATAAAATGCATCAAGAAACATAATCGGGTGGTTTGCTGAATTCTCTTGTAACTACACAAAACTAGCACAACCGTGATGAAAGCACACTGGAAGAGACGCGTCTGCACTGCAAATATGCAGAAGAGGCAAATGACTCTGGGCTGGTTCTGTTAAGAGGTCCAAATATTGTAGGAACTTTTGTTTGATTTATGACTGAGCTTTTGTTTTACAATAATTTGAGTAAAATCTTTTTTTTTTTATGACAGACTTGAAGCAGACAAAGTTTTGAAATAGTTTTACACAACTTGACAATTTTTTTTTTTTTTTAAACTGACAACGGCCTGTCACGTTGCAAAGGTACCATGAGTCAATCATTTTCCAGTCCTGCCACAAATGATGGGCTTGGTTGAGGTGTATTAACTCGGATTTGTTGATTTCCATGACACAAACCTCTTGGCTTTGCATTGATCTTCGGTCGAGTTGCAGTTCTCGTTTAGACTGAAGCAGGTTTGGCAGGATGTCTTTTCTATTGCAGGATTCCTTTATATCCAATGCCTTCTGCAGCTCTCCATGCCAGGGCCTGAGAGGACGCGGCTCTGTTCCGGATGACTTGTGGTTGATCTTGGACTCAAACAAGGAACTGAAAGTGCAAATCTATCTCTATTTCATACATCCGACATGACTCAGCAAATAATGTGTTCTGATCTTTTCGTCCGCGTTGTAGAACAGGCTCACGAGGATGACGGGAAGGCGTGTTCCTTTTTCACTTCCTCATAAATAAAGGTGACTAAATGTCATAACAAATGTTTCCTAACCAAGCCATTGTGCAAAACAAAACAACTAAACTAATGAAGCAGTTTTTGTGCTAACTTTTAAAACCAGGCCTTATGTCCTTGATAAGAATAAAAAAAAACATGAAATGCTAAAAATATAGACCTGAAGTAAATACACAGAAAACTAATCGCATTCATTACTTTGCCTTGATTCAGTGATGAAGCCTGATTTTAAGAATGTTTTTGCAGTAAAAGAGGTTGTGTATTTTATTTATTTTATATTGCATGTAATTCATTTCAAATAAGAGCCTTCCTCTGGCTGCTGAAAAAACATACAGCCACAATCAAAGACGACCTTTCCAGGTTCACAAAACATAAATCAAGTCAGAAATTGACAAAGTTATTCCAAGTTATTTCAAAGTATTTTTATTCTCACATTTGACGACTTAAGTGTCCCTTTACGCCGTGTGACGTTAGGGAGGAATTAACATAGACCTATTTGTCCGATAAATAAAGTAAATGTGCAGTATACAAAGCCCTCCTTCACCGCGCACCGGAGGTGAAGCTAAGGGACGAGCTGTGGTGACCTCTGTCTGCCGCGGGGGGAACGACTCCACAGCTCAGCGCCGCTATTCCCCGATGGTTGACGTTAGGATCGCGGCCTAACGGTGAGTACTCGTTAAGTGTCATATATCACATTACCATGGTTATTTACATCGTGTCAAAGTCTCGCTTTCTCTGGTGACAAGAATGAACTAATAATAGCATTGCTCCATTGTCGATTATGTCTTGACACCCGCCCTGTAAGAGTCGGTCTGTTTAAAGTTACTTAGCCGTTAGCTATTAGCGACGACGTCAGTTAGCCGACCGGACCCCCCCCTTTGTAGCACATGAGCTAACGTTAGCTAACTCAATGTTTAGTTCGGTCCCCAGCTTCCAACGCCTGCCTGCACCATCACCACGACGACGGGCGCCCTTACGACCCGGCGGTCGGATGGACGGGTGAGGGGAGCCATGCTGAGATTCCTCCATATCCCTTTAACAGGTAACGCGAAGCCCAGGTAGCTGACGTAATGACGGCAGGTTAAGATTGTGTGTCGGCTAAAGCTCTGACTCTGATCCAGGAGCAGCTAGCTAACGATACCGTTAACTTTAGTAGTTACGCTACTTTACGTTACTTTGGTTGGCGTGCTACTATGTTGTAAAAAAGTTTAAAAAAATAAAAATGTTTTGTCATATTTTGTTTAAACTCATGGCATAATTTATAGGGGTGAGGAATATATAATTTTGTAAAATGACGGTGAAGTAGAATCGACCCGTCTGAAAAAAAGCAGTTTAAGTGAACACACTGACGAAATGAGCTTTCAATGCAGCACTTTTGTATTCGATCATACTAGTTAGTGTAATAATTATGCTGAACTGCTATTGTTGACAAGTTTTAATTTTGTATTTATGTTTGTAATGTCCCCACAGGCCTGTTGGGTGTTCTGTGGGATGGAGTAGCTGCTTTTGGTACGTCTGGGATTCCCACTCACCTGCTGCAGTCACAGCTCTTCCCACATCTTCACACGTCTCTTAAGGTTTTTTTTCTTTTTCTCTGATCCACAGGTGGGGTCAGATTAGTAGATGGGGAGAACAAGTGTTCCGGCAGAGTGGAGGTCCTCCGCCATGACCAGTGGGGGAGCGTGTGCGACCATGGCTGGGACCTGCGGGAGGCGGATGTGGTGTGCCTGGAGCTGGGCTGTGGCTTAGCCGAATCTGCCCTTCATGGGTCGGCGTTTGGGGAGGGCAGTGGAGAGATCTCGCTGCGGCATGTGCAGTGCTCCGGACACGAGTCCAGCCTGACACACTGTGCTGTTGTCCTTCACAGCGACGTCCTCTGTACCCATGAGAAGGACGCAGGGGTAAAATGCTCAGGTGACGATTCAGGCCTTTAATCCACCATGATGGTTGAGGGATTTCTGAGTTGATTTGCAAAAAGCAATCTGGGTGCATCTAGACATGCATGTGGTCTAATTCAAATTCATACTACATGCATTTTCAGGTAATCCTAAATCCTAATTCAAAATCTTTTCTGTGGAGTCCCCAAAATCTGCAACTCTTGTCTTAAAAGAAAGCACATGACATCACACCTTTTATACCAGTCAAAGGTTTGAATACATTTTCTCATTCAATGAGAAGGTATGTCCAATCTTTGGACTGGCACTGCATCTCTTGAGATTACTCGCTACCCTTTTTTACATCCTAATAATTTTGTCCTCTAATCCACATTTTTTACCTGTCTTTACACCCAGGTACCCTTTTAACGCCCACCCTCACGCTGCTGTCACCTCACACTGTGTTCTCTCCTGGCGAGGCCGTTCGCTTTGGCTGCAGCGTTTTGCTTGGTCACCACCTCAGTGACTTCCACCTGTACAAGCATGGCGTTTCTACACCGCTGGTTACTCAGAGGGCGGACCAGACACAGACCAAAGTGGAGCTGACATTGTCTGACATAGAGACTTTCCACCAGGGCAGCTACAGTTGTGGGTACAGGATCAAGGGTGGCTTCCCTTCTCAGCTGCTGAGCTCCCCGCCAAGCAACTCTATAAACATCACTGTTGGTGAGTCATAACTTCATCGTCTTGTCTATTATAACACAAGAGATGCCGGTTACAGCTCCGAGTGGACCTTTTGAGTTTAGTATATTTATTGTTACACATTTGTATTTTAACGCCTGCTCCGTTGTTGTACTTTGTTTTATTTCTACGTTTCGTATGATTTAGCATTAATACGTTTCTATTCATTTATTTGTTTTTCATAAAAAACAATTCTTTGTATTGTCAATGTAATGGCATTTTTACATCTGATGTTCTGATTTTCTAGTTTGCTGTCTATGGCTCCTACCGGTTAATAATGACCAAACTAAGTGTAAGAGCCTACCAAAATGTTGCCATTTTATTTTGAATGTTCAGCCCCAAGTTGGGTACAAAACTTCTTTTTAGCAGGATGAAACGTCTGTCTCACCCCGAATATTATAACGCCTTTTTAATTCCTTGTTGAATGACCGCAGTGGAACTCCTGACTCCCCAACATTGGTACAACACGTCCGCTGAGGCCCCGGCTGGTTCTGTCATTAAAGGCCACAGTTTCAACATCAGCTGCTCCACCCCGCAGCAGTACCCCGGAGGCTCCTTCCAGCTGCGTCTGATCCGCTCCAACGGCACAGTGCGCCAGTCCCTGCCTGCCCTCACCCCCGTGGTCACTTTCACCTTCCCCAGTGCCCAGAGCGCCAACGAGGGATACTACTACTGCCTGTATCGGGTCCAGCTGGGGGGGCGCACCTTTGTCTCCAGAGAAAGCCAGCCCCTGCCTATAGCCATCAGAGGTGACACTGATAATATTATAAAGACAAGATATGTTTGTACGGATGCTATTCTTTACTTATGTTACCAGAGTGTCTATTAGATGGAATTTCAAATCATTCATATTAATCATTTAAGACTCCGTGTACATAAACCTCTACATGTTTTCCTCGACTGTATCACATACCCATATATGATAACCTACCCTGTATGTAACTCCTCCTCCCATTCTCAGACCCAGATCCAGTACTGAGTCCAATGGTGATCAGCTGGCTTGTGTCCGGCCTGACATTTGTGGTAGCTGTCATTGTTCTTCTCACCGTGGCCAAGGTGCTGTGCAACAAGGAGAAGAAGCCCACTGAACTTGAGCGAGAGACCAGAACCTGTAAGTTCATTTTTCTAACAAGGGCTTGTTCGGATTTAGGCAGACGTGGGACTTCTAGATGACATCCTGTATGTCGGCTGTGACTAGTTGATGTGTTTCTTCCAACAGGTGTGGATAACACTTATGTTGCCTTATCAATTAACAAGCCATGAGGGAGACTGCAGGCCACCGTATCACTAAAGGTATTGAAGTGCACATAAGATGCCTATAAAATGGTATCTATCCTCCTTGTAAGTTTTCCCGTTTTCCAACAATTCAAAGGATATTTGATATTTGTTGCACCATCTCCTTTATCCTTGCGTTTTTCCACTTGTAATAACAGCAAGTGGTACAAGTCTTGTGAGGGTGGATACTTTTTTATAGACACTTTAGTATTTGATCCTTCATTGTCTGCAGTGAATTGTGCCACACAAGTACACTTTAAAGTGAAGCATTTTATTTCTAATCCTTGTTAAGCAGAATCCCAAGTGAGAGGACAGCAAGGGGCCCCATGACTCAGGCGGGAGGAGACGGGGCGCACAACAAAACAGCTGTCGGTCTTCCACCTCCGGAAAGAGGCACATGGTGGGCGCAGTTCAGTAGAGTCTGGATAAGGCAGTTTTTACGGGACTAACGTGGACCTACATCGCACCAAATATCCGCCTTGTGGTATTGGTCGGAAACGATGGATGTGATGGGGTTTAAAACCTTCTATTATAACTAGTATTAACTAAAAGCTACAAAATACTGACAGTATAGATTTGTTGTCATTTCTACATCTGCGAGACTGTACGCCAGATGTATAGTGGGAACAGTGCAACTAAAAGCTAAATTGGGGAACATGCATTTGAAAGACATTCTGTTATTTAGTAACACCAAAAGGCTCCACTAGCTTATGTTGTTCTCGCTTCTACGGATCAATGATCCTTAAAGGATTACGAAGTGGTTTTGTATTTTAGTCTAACCCAATGCATCTTATGCCGTTTGAAATATGTAGATCATTGCACTTAAAGTTCATAGAAGCTGTAGTGAATTAAAATATGCTGTTGTTTGAGCTTGTTGTTGTCATTTGTTGACCATCTACATTCCTCTCTGCATAAACTGTTGATGGATCTATTGCATTAGATTGGACTACATGGAGAACACATTTTAAGTGTTTATTTCTATATCCTCAATTGCTTTTTTGAATCAGTTACTATGCAATTCAAACATTTACATATTCAAGCTCTTTTAATAGTTGAAATAATGTTACAGCAATACAAAACACATCACATCAAACTCTATAAAATGTAAAAGTTGGATAATAAAAGTGCACATTCCTAGTGGAACAAAACATACACATGTCATTACAGCTTGTATAAACAGTTCAATTTAATAATTGTACCCAAGATAAAATATTAGTACTTATTACATTTTGAAAAAAAATCCCAATTGTTCCTACAAAACCACTTAGGCACTTTTATGACAGCTGGTCTGAAAGCTGTACTTTTTAATAATTATTTCTGATAACTGACAAATGGAAGCATTTTTGATACTGAATAGCAGATTGATTAAAGCACTGACGTGAGGTTTAGCTGTTTGTTATTGATATGGACACACTCGTTCTGTGTATTTTTAGTGCAAAAAAATTATAGCCAAAAATTGATTTAAATTTGGCAAACTGACATGTCTCTTATTCAATCAATGGAATATGAAGTTTGACATTTTGAGATTTTTAAGATGTGGTTAATAAAGTATGATCTTCCCATGCAGATAGATTCATTGTGAATGGCTGAAAGAGTATATTTAATTGTCTGAGGTTTAATAACAATAAAATGGGGTTGTAGTCGGGGTTCTTTATGCTCTTAATATAAAAAACCTTAGTCAACAACATCTCTATTTCTAAATATTTAACCTTATAATAATCCATTGATCTTAAATTGCTGCAATCAAGATCTGTGGATATAGAATGTATAGTAAAACTGCCATAACATCTGGAAATAAATTAATTTCTTGCCACATTTAGCACCACAAGATCACCAGTTGGTGCACGGGGCTGTGGAGGAGCTGCTGATTGATGATATCAAAAACCTCACCAGATCCCACTGAAAGCATCCAGGGAAGAGGAAGAAAGCTTTTCTATATTTCTTTGTGATATGTGCTGGTCCTCCTGGTGTCCTCATCTCTTCTAGTAGTGTTGCTGTTTGACAATTTTACCCATGACCATAAGCAAGCACGTAAACCGCCACTATAAAGCATACAAATATTGCATTAAGCCCAATGTCAGCAAGGTCTAAATTAAATGCATTAACCAAAATACATACATCCAATCAAAATGCACCATTATGTATAATATCCCCTTAAACCAGGCTTTCATTTAAAAAAAATCATTCTATTCCTTTGAGGGATTCATTTGCTTCCATGCTTGAAAAAATTAAGTAGAGGAAGAGAACCACAGCCAGGAAGAAGACAAACTGAACCCAGAGTGGGATGAGGCGAGACGACTTTGGTGCTTCTGGCGATTTCATGGGGGTCGATTTCTTATAGGAGTCTCTGTAAGTTGACGGTGTGTCGTACATGTCCGACCTAAAAGGAAAGTAAATTAACCATGAATGCATCTAATTAATATTGCTGTTATGGCTCTGGGTTGAGTGACAGTAAGGATCTTTTTGGGGGGAAAATCAATGTTATTTATTTATTTTTATGATTTCTTTCACATCAAGACATTTGATAAATAATGAATTGCTTTAAGCCCTCATAAATACTACAATATAATCAAAAATAATACTTTTATAACACAGGTAAAATCCCTGTATTGAAAATAGTAATAAGGTAAAAGCACAAACATACTCAAGTGAAATATAAGCCAGGGATGTGAGTTACGTTGTTAATTAAATTATTATATTGTTACATTGATGCATTAATATCTATGCAGCATGTTGCTGTTGTTTGAGTTTGGGCTCCAAAATCCATTGTATATGTTGTCTGGTAAACCATACACCATACTTTCTAAACTCATACATTCCTACAAAACCATAATCTTTAAAGTAACCAGTCACTGCAGCTGTGTAAGAAAAGCAGTAAATAGTACAATATTTGCCTCTGAATTGTCACAGAGCAGAAGTACTGTATGTAGGGTAGAAGTCAAATGAGGTACAGTAATGAGGTATATTGTAAAAAGTGACAAACAAATGAGATCATCGTAACTAACTAAAAATAGATTTTGACGACACTATTTGACTTGAGTACGAATACACTTACTCATCGACCAAATCTCTTCCTCTGTATTCAGGCATTGCGCTCGAGTAGCTGGAGTACGATTGTCTGTAGAGAGAAACAGAACACGTGTGGAAACTTCTCACCAAATGAGACGACAACCAATGCAAAGATTCATATATTGACAACTTACACAGGTTCAAATTCCCTCTCACTCTTATCTGATCTTGGCCGTATGTAGGAGCCACTAGATGAGACAAAAGAAGATTAGATTTACTTAAGCAAAGGTAATGCATGTTTGGAGCTGACAGTAGAGGAACTGACCGGTCTCCTGCACTTTCATTCCTGACCTGCAAGATGGAAAACAGTGATAAGAAGTAGTGAAGTGTTGCACCAGTGTTTACATAAACAAAGCATACCAATACACAAAATAACCTTTTCTTACGAAATATGTATGTTTATTTAATTAGTAGGCAAGTAATACCATTATAACTAAAGACAGCATGGACAGGGTTACTTACAGGTGTCCTGTATACGTAGGTGACTTCCTCTGAAATAGAAACACAAACACGTGTAACATTTTTCAATTACACTAAAACTTGCACATTTACTAAATCTAATTGGCCCGAGGAAGTACAACATTTGCTACCCAAATATTGTGTGACCTCTTGAAGGCTGAAGGCATCAGCGGATTAATACAGTTAGTGATGGTCCACCTGATCGATGTTCACAACAGCAGCACAGATGTTTACAGTTGTTTTTCACTGGCTCTGTTCTCTCGTTAGATGAAACACAACAGCAGCACAGATGTTTTTCACTGGCTCTGTTCTCTCTTTTTAAATAAAACATAACAGCAGCACAGATGTTTTTACAGTTGTTTTTCACTGGTTCTGTTCTCTCTTGTTAAATGAAACACAACAGCAGCACAGATGTTTTTACAGTTGTTTTTCACTGGCTCTATGGGTATTTTTTTTAATCTTTACAACTTTGGAATATATTTATAATTATAAAATTATAATGGCAAAAAGCTTGTTTACCACCAGCACTTCAAGGAACGTAAAATAATACGTTACATAATTGGAACTTTTATGGCATTTGTAGACTTGTGCAGAACAAAGCCGTAGTATTGAGGAGTAAGTTACCCTCTTCTCGGTAGAAGGTTTTATCAGGGGAGGCTTTGGAGACTTTCCCTTTGGCCATGGCCTCTTTCAGCTTCCTCTCATACAGACCTCTGGTGGAGTCTGAGAACAAAACAAAACGAAGTCACCTGAGAGACGACGGGCCACCAAACCACACTATTACACGTATAGCGTGTGTGTGTGTGTGTGTGTGTGTGTGTGTGAGAGGCCCGCGTGAAGCCGGCGGGCGTTAACCCTGATTTAAAAAAGAAACGGGCGCAAAGCGACCGTTGAAGGTGAGCCACTCACCGACCACCGGCCCGTGCTTTATCCCGTACTCATCCAGAAGGTCGCTAATGTCCTGTGCGGATTTACTTCTTAGTGAAGACATTTTTTTGTTGTTTGATTTTACTCGTTCAGGTTTCTGTGATGAGTTATTGGTGAGTTCCGGTTTCAGTTAAGCTGTTAGTTTCTTTTACTAAAAACCAGACCAACAGCCCCTCACTCCTCCCACCGAAAATACCAGCGTGCGCTTGTTTTGCCGCGCAAAAGATAAGAAAATATCTGTGTGGAGTCGAACGCGGGTTTGGATGGAGGGATCGGGTAAACCCCGCTCTCGTCTATTCACCCAGGTGATGAAAACATTCGAGCTTTCCGTCAAACGTACGTTGTATCCGTTCGAAACATTCTTCTTCTATGGTTTCAAGTTTCCATGTAGAAGTACAGCAGCGCCACCAGCTGTGTGTTTGTAGTCATATTTACACATTCTGCTGGTTGAAAGCAAGCGAGCGAGGTGACGTGTTTATCAATATTAAGGACATTAACCATCAAAAAGTTAATACATTTTTTTTATTAATTAATGTCATTATGAAAAATTAACCCGTTTACGTGTCGTCTTATAAATGGAAGCAGTGTATCTTTATTTTTCAATTTCGTATGTAAAAACTTGTATATGCAAAGCAAGTAAATATATCTGTCCTTGCAAAGGGCATAACATGTCAAGAGTTACACAGCTCCTCTAATAGAAGGAGAAGTATCTCAACCCTGTAAAGTACTTTGGTAAATGTAAGTTATGTCAGATTAAGGCCCATTTAGCACTCATATAATCAAAATGTTACATCCAAATAAAGGTAGAATATGACTTATCTACAGTCCACAAAACATCAGCATCATTGTAAAGAAAAATATATATCTTTATTAAAAACATATTTAGTAACATACACAAGAAAACCGTCATTTCAAAGTTCAGCACGTATTTAAGACATTACATCATTTTGGATCTTTCGTTGATCAGCCGTAAGCAGATAAACATATTTCTATGACCCCCAAATTAGGTTTAAGGTTTTTAACCTTAAAAGAAAAACACATGGTCAAAGCAGCCCACTCGGTCTGTGACAAACCAGAACATGAGCAGTCCAGTCAGTATCGCGAGACCAATCTTCAGTGTCGGCTTCAGCATGTTGGAGCACTGCGGGAACAAAGGACAGACAGGCAAAATGAACCAAACAATTCAGGAACTAAGGAACAACGTGAAAGTCCAATAAAAGCCTGTGAAGACACACTTTGTGTTTGCTTGTACAAATATGAGTGTTGATGATATCTGATTGGTACGTTCTCTGGAGACTCTAAGTCTCTAAGAAACCCAGTTTTGTGTGAATGTGCTCATGTGTCCAGGTGCAAACCTCAGACGTGTCTGCAGAGTTCAGGTCCTCCTCCCCATCTATGGAGCTGCTGAGTGAAGCTCTGTCACTGCTGTAAAACAAGGACGCACACCCAGTTGTGTTGTGTTTAGATCGGTCATAGCTCAAGTTGTAGCTTTTATCCAAGAAAGAAAAAGTAACACAAACTAAATCCTACTCACCTGTCAGTTTCATAGTGAATGACTTGCGATAATGGATCTGCACAAAACTGAACTTTTACCAGTCTTCCTGCAAGAATGCACAAATGGAAACTGATAAGTTGTTTGCAAATGTGATCTCACATAAAGATTGCCCCCTTCTTCAGCCTCACTCACCCCCTCTTTCATTCTCTACATCGCTGTCATCATAAAACTCGTAGAACGACTTGATTCTCTGCTGCTCTTGTTGCCAGTCGCTCTCCTCTTCGCACTCGTCGTCTCCCAGCTGTCCTGTCTCAGCGAAGCTTCCACAAGCTTCAGGTTCCGTGTTGAAGACGAAGTTATCGTCCAGCGATCCCTGGTGAGAGGACTTGCTTGTTTTTGCATCCCCTTCCTGTACCACCGAGTAGCTGTTGGCGTCTTCTGCAGGACGCAGAGTCGCGTCTGAAAGCGGCGTGTCTGCGTCCTCTGTGGTTAACATGTCTTCAGACAAAAGAGGGTCAGCTGTTAACAGCTCTGGGTTAAAGTGATTGTTGAAATCTGCCGGATCCATTCTGTCGTAGCAATCAGAAAATGATGCTCTGCTGCCACCGCGAGTCTCCTCCAGTTGATCTTGTAGATGCGTACTACCAAAGAGTTCTTCGTCGCTCCTTTTTTCTTGCACCTCATCGTCACTGGAGGTGAAGGATTCACTGTCACTTGTCGCACTGCCATCATCAAGCCCCGTTGCAAATGCGTTGCCAGACACGTTCTCCACCATGCGTTTCTCTCCATTAGCCACGTCCACGCTGCTGAGCTCATTGGCTTCCTGTTCTAAATATCTGCTGTGCCGGTTCCTGTCCCCCTCCTCATCAGAGTCCTCCGCTCCTCCCATCTGCATCCCATCTGATTCTTCCAGGAAGGTGTTCTGCTGAACAATTGAACTGCTGCCGGATGCACAAGCCAATGCTTCTGACTGGCGCTTCATATCTTGGTTTTTACCTCCCTCTTCTACATATTCACATGAGGAAAAGTCTGAGGGATAATCTGCAAAGCTCTCACCTGCATCTTGGTGCTCCTCCCCTGAGAAAATATTCATTTTCTCTCCAAGTTTCTCACTATCAACTTCAGCAATAAGATCCTGCAGATTTTGCACCGATATTTCTGGAAACTCCCTCACTGGTCCATCTCCACCAGGACCTTCAAGCCTGTTCTCACAGCACGGAGGGAGAACAGCTTCTTCTTGTTCGACGGTCATGCCCTCTTGCTTGTAATCACACGCGTCCTCTTTCCTTTCCCTGTCTTGCGCATCCTTTTTAATCTCGTCACTTCTTATCATCACCTCGTTGCCACGTTTAGGGACTTTCTCAAAATAGGACACCTCCTCATCGGCCTCCTCCATTCTAACTTCAGGGTCTCCAGCCCCCTCGGGGGTCAGCGGATGCCCCTCAATCAAGAACCTGTCCTCTCTGTCACCATCGCAAAACTCGTCGCTACAACTAAGCCACCTCAACAAACCCCCTGGTGTCTCTCCTGGCGCCACATGTTCTTCTTCATCCTCTTCAGAGTCAACCTCTTCCATCTCTCCATCTGAGCTGGTGTAATCTTCCTGCAGCGTTCTGTCCCTGCCCACGACCACCGCGCCTCCAACATCATCCTCTTCGCTGTTTTCAGCCATGTTTACATTTTTAGTTTCCATGTCAGACGGCACTGCAGTCTGACCTGTTGCTTCCTGTTGCCGAGCTCCGTCTCCCTCTGTGAGGAAGTTGTCTTGAGAGACGTCTCTCTTGTCTGCCTCAAATCTCTCCTCAAAATTTAAATTCTCAAAGTCCAAATCTTCATCAGGAAATGGCGGAAGAGCTGTTTCTGCGACAGCAGAAAATGAAATACTTTAATAACTAGTTTAGAAAGACAAGAAATTAAAAGTAAAAACAAAACAGAACTAAGACATTCGGGGTGTATTTCTTACCGGAAAAAGCATCACTTAGTAGATCAGCAAAACTTTGTTCCATCTTCTCAAATAGAGAAAGCAATAGTTTCTATTGTACGAGTTCTATCAAGACAAACATTACTGCCACCGATAAGCTCTTCTCGGAAAGGAAGAGAGTGCGATGTAACCCTCGTCGCTTGCTGCATGTGGTTTCCTGTCAAACAGACGTTGCCTACATTTCGCATCATATCTCATATTATATGTTTGGTTAGATATATAACTTCAACAGTATACACAATGTAAACCACACAATACAACTGAAGACAAATTAATTAGATTAAAATGTGTGTCTCTCTTAAAAGTTAAATCAGAAAAGTAATGTTTTGCGTTGCTTCAGGAATTCATGAAACAATGTCAGTTTCAATGTGGTTTAGGTTTCAGATGCAATAAATAAACTCCAGCTGTTGCTCCTTCATGTTTAAACCATGTTGTTGTTGTTGTCTAACTGAGATGAGCGCAGTGCCACTTAGGTGATGAGGAATAGTCATTAAAAACAACTTTTGTTGCCAGTAAATATTTCATTGGAAACTTTTATTTATTGTCAAAACTAAAATCCAGTGAAACTAGTTAAGATCAGACATGGTGGCGTGTTGCCGGTCGTCCCTACAGCTCACTGCGGAGGAGGTAGCGGTGGTTTGGCTTCAGGTCAACTTCTACAGGAAAATGATCACTCACCTCCAGAGCCTAAAAGTGCCATCCGACTCAGTTAATGTTCATTGTGTGAGTACAACTGAAGTAAATACGGTCACACGTGTGTACGTCACCTCCTCCTCTGTCAGATGGAAATGCTTTTTAAAGTTGAACGGCTGAGCAGAACCCGGCACCACGCTGGAAATAACCTCACGTCCGTGGACAATGATCCTGTGGAATCACAAATCGTGTAGGACATCACCCTGCAGCGGAAAGCCCTTCCCGTAATCTTGAATCATTATAGAGAGTATTCCGTTAATGCATATGAATGTGTTACAGCGTTCAGCCGTTTTCGCTGACCGGTCGTAGGCACAGTGCGTCTTCTCACGGACGGTGGTGTCTTGCTCATCTCCAATTAACCAGCGAAATTTGGGGTCACTCCTCAAGCGCACAGCTCTCCAGCCCTTGATGGTGACGTAGCTGCAGCCGGCGTTGAGGTCCCCTAAGATCACCACATTCTGGGGGAATTAAAGGAGACAAAAAGGGAAGGTCACCAGTTACAGACTACTCGTACATGTTTGTGTGAAAGATAAAACATGACCAGAAAAAGTGAAATGAACATGTAATATACTGTGTTAAAATGAAGTGACGGTGGGTCAACCTACATCAATCTTCCACTTGTTGTAAATGCTTTTGAAAACTGTATAGAGTTCATTAATCTCCTTCATGGCATTTCTTGGACAGGCGTGATGTCCAATCAGGACGAAATCCTTCACCACTGCAAAGTAACCACAACCCACCAAAACAAAGAGTCATGACACATGTTGAACACATGTTCAATGAGTGTGATTACAAGCAAGCTTCAGTCTTTTCCGGGTTTGCTGACATGTTGAACTCAAACATATGCAGTGTTTACATACAGTACAAGTTGTCTGTGCACGAGCACGCGCCTCAAATCGAGCAACAGCTCTGCACCGAGAAGCCTGAACCCTGCTGCATTTGTTGTTCTGCTTGATTTAGTGTTTTCGTCTGATCATCAACAGGGACATTATTTCTATCTGTATGAATATGGTGTTGATATCCAACTGGCTTAAATATTCTTAAAACCTAGGAAAACAAAGTCAATCTGTGAAGCCTCAGATCGTATACAGCTGGGATCACAGCGCGTGCTTTGTGTGTCCATTGGTTCATCGTACGTGTCGTTGGCGAGTGGAAGCGAACGACGAAAGGCTCTCTGGAGAAGACATCTGTGTCGTTGGTTCCTTCTCCTTCTGGTTTAGAATACTGATAATGCTCTTTGACCGTCAGCACATTGCTCCTGGAGAAGATCAGAGAGGAAAAAAAGACAACGTCATGGATTTCATGTCAATCTGTCCATTGAGAGCAACGGGTTTATGTTTGATTACGGGTTACCTGTAAATGTAGACATACTGCTCCTTGTAACTCTTCCTCCCCAGCCGCTCACTTTCCACGTAGGAGTAGGAGTTGGATTTGTCCAACCTGCTGGCGATCACGTAAACGAGTGGTTGAGACAGAGGGTTCACCAGATAGAGGCTTCATCACATGCAGTTTTTAAATCAACCACCCTCGTACCCGTTGAGATCCTTCAGCAGAGCTTGAATTGCTGCTCCTTTAGAGTCTCGGACCTCCTGAATAAGACACACGTCGCACCGAGAGAGAATCTTGGGAGCAAAATAAAAATCAGTCTGTTATCCAGTTCTGTGTGAATATTGCTGTGGTTGCTGTGCAGTAGAGTACCTTTAGCAGAATACCCATGACCTTTTTGTTGTTAGCCTTGGATTCACCAAAGCTCTGGACATTGAAAGCGCAGATTTTCAGGGAAGACGCGGCGTTGAACACACACAAGCCCACAGCAAACAGTAGAACTGAAGCCCTCATCTCGTGGAGGAGTATCGCTCTGTTAAGTAAAACAGAGCCAAATCCTCCCAGTCATATTATGAAGCGTGTGAGCAACAAACGCCTGCCGTGCAGCCTTACCTTCAGTGCCAGTTCCAACACGAGACTGACCTCAGTCCAGCAACGGCCCACATCTCTTCAATGAGCTGTGGAGAGTTTGGGGAACATGCAGGTGAACGTGTGTGAGAAAGATCTGTGTGGTGGATGTGCTGCGTCAGGGCCCGTCGAGAATGGAGCTTCATCTGGAACGGCTAAAACCAGCCAATCCCATGAACAATGGTGCTTTGTCTCCGGGATTGAGTGTAATCAGACAATAGACGATGCCACGTGGCCACGGCTGTCAGTTTCATGAACATTTGTGTAGAATTCAGAACATATTATTCGTTTCAGTGGACGGTTACCTCACAGTGCTTTTGCATCACTGAGGTATTTAGTGCCGGACACATCTTAGTTGTGATCGGGATGGTTCAACCTTTACACTGACAATCAATGTTTTATTGCAGATCTTGGAGGGTGTGTATGAACAGGTCCATACATGGGAACGTTTACTTTATAAGTTAGAGGAGATCTTACTCAAAAGGGAATCAATGTTGTTCAGTGGAGGAAGATTTCTTTAGGACGCAGCGGTATTTAACGTCTGAGATCAACTTCAGGGTGGTCCTTCTTTATGATGTCTTCATTAACGGAGATCTCACGTATTATGCATTACACTTAAGACACCACATAGTCCAGGTTATAACCAATTACACATCATTAGATTTGAACTGAAAAAGCTTCGAAAGTGTTTTGATAAAAACTCAACAAACCACAACATTCATTATAATAACAATATTACTTTATTCCAGAACATGTAAAGCTCGACTGGCACTTTATTGCATGCTTACTCTCCTTTCTTTTAAGAGCATCAGCTAAAATACCCTCCGTTTTGTCTTTGTGTAAAGGGTTTCATGGCTTTTTAATGATTCAAGGTGGTGCGTGTAACGCCTTAAAGGCAACGCAGTGCTGCTGACCTACAGTACAGTACAAAGGATACTTCCTGTGCTCTTATTTGTGTGAGTTGATATTATTGACACAAAATCTTACCAACCTCCGCCAGCTAGTGACGTTTGCTTTAGCATGTTTTTATTGTTGTAACATTAAAAAGACATTTTTTTATTTTTCACACTGAACCTCCTGCAAATATCCTCCCCTTGTCAACACAACATTTTCACAAACGTCTGAAATAAAGAATTATAACACAACTACATCCTACATCCAAGTTTTTTAATTTAAAGCAACAAAAACAAAAAAACATTTCTCCTGATATTATCATATTGGTCTAAAACAGCCTGAGTGTTGAGGAGACGCCATGTCCATGAGATAGTTTTCAATACGTGTTTCCATGTCTGAGTACAGGTCTTCCACTTGCTCCCTGAAAGGAGGATGCCACAGCCACAAAATGGCAACGCCCGCCACAGCAAGGAGAAGGAGGAAGGTCACGCACACTTTCCACCAGGAGCCACATCGTGTCTAAACAAACAAAGTGAGAAGAAAGGTCAAATACATCTATTTTTATATACTATATATACATATATACATATATATATATATATATATATATAAATATAACCATAAATAGTTGCATGAAGCTGATTTGGTCAATGAAGCAAAATAATCTGTGACATTGACAGTTTAAGGTTAGATGACCATTTAAAAACAGCAAGGACATTGAGTTTTAAAAGCACATGGACACACATACTCACAGAACTACACACACACACACACACACACACACACACACACACACATACACAGGGCTCACCGGTCTCCTGCTGCGGTGGCTGAGTTGCCGGAGCTCGTCCCTGCACTGCGACAGCCGGGCCTGGCTGGACCGGCATTCCTGCTCCATGGTGTGCAGCTCTGTCTGCAGCTCCTCGCACTGCGCATACACACACACGCACACACACACGCACACACACACGCCATATAGAAAGAACACGTATCAAATTTCACTGCAAAATGTAGGACACTTTCTCTCAAAAAGTGATTAAAAAATGCATTTTGATAAGTATTTAGTGTATTTAGTTATTTGATTCAGTGACAAAGGGTAGTTACTGGAGTAGAAACTGAGTTGATTCAAATGTGTTTAGTCTACAGATAAAATATCCTCGTGCATCAGTGAAAACATTATAGAAATAAATAAGGGGATTTATCTTTGACTTATATAGCGTGAATTCATCAATATCCAATTTTGTGAAAAAGCGACTCAGACAAAACGTTAAGTTTGTGTATGTGATGCAGTACACTTTGATATCGCCACCTCACCTCTTTCTCTTTGAGTAGGAGTTTGTCCTGAGTGTGGCGGAGCTGCTCCTCCACCTGAGAGTCTCTCCTCATGCGAGGCTCTTCTTCCTCTGACGTCGGAAGCGCATGCACCACAAAGCCCTGACTCTCATTGCCGTCGTCTAGGAGATATAAAACCGTTTTCATTAATTAATGTTGCTTTGTATTCTGTATAAAAACATGAATCTAAGAGTCTTGCCTTTCTGGTGCTGGATTTCCTCTGTTAAAATCTCATAGTCTTCCTTCAGCAGACAGATGTTGTACTGGAGCTCCTTCTTCTCTCGTTGCAATGACACCACCTCCTCCTCCAGCTCGGCCTCCCTGGTTCTAATCCGCTGCAGAGGACACGCGTTTTTACCAACCACGCGGATCGAAACTCATGGCCATCCCCAATGTGAACGGCTAGCATACCTCGACTTGGCTGTGCAGCTGCTGCAGCTGTTCAATACTGAGGTATTGGTTCTCCATAAGCTTTCCATAGCTCAGCTGCAGCTCTTCATAAAGGCTCTGCCACTTCACTGCCTCTGCTTTCGCTGTAATCAGCGCTTCCTGCCGCGGTAAAAAACAACAAGTCAATGACATCCTTGTGTCCTTCAACACAGTCAAACAGAAATGTTTCTTAATCGGGTTGAAAGCGAGATGTATGACCTGCATTGTCTCAGCCTTGATGAGCGCATCAGTTTTTTCCTGTATGACCTTCTGCAGGGCGATCAGGGCCTTCTCCTCATACACCAGTTTCTGCCTCTCCAGCTGTATCCCCAGTTTTTTCACTCCATCTTTGGGAAGCTTCTGTAAGTACAAACATCTGTCGAGTTAAACGGCCAAATGCCCATCAAAGTAGAGTAGACGCTGCAACAGAGAAGTGAAGAGCAGCTCGGCTATTTTAGGAAGGTCAAAATGTTTCGTTTTTTGCTGTGAAACTATTTTTCAAGAAGATTTAAAAAAAACATTAATTGTTTGGGGTCTTTACCACCAGCTGCTGTTCTTACCTGCAGGCAGACTTGCAGCTGCGCTTCCAGAGCCTGGATCTTGCTTCTCAGCAAGTCTTCAGAGCAGCGAGCCTGTGTGGGTTAGAAAGGAAATGACTGACTGTCACGCTGTGGCCTGCAGATAGAACATGAATGGTTCATCTACCAGAGTCTGAACTCACCACAGCAGAACACAATCCACAGCAGTTAAAATCCAAATCCAAAAACAATTAAACCAAAAAGGGGAACACAATTTCTTTCCCCTTCATTCATTACAGCCAGAGCAGCCAAAAGAGAGCTAATGAGGATTCATGTAGCTGCTGACTGTCACTACCTTCCTGTTTAAGATCGACAGCTTGCACTACTCCTGTGCAGGAGGTTAGAGCAGAAGCAGGAAGCTCCAAACCACAGACCTCCCTGAGGTAGCAGCATCGGCAAAGACGTGTTCAGTGTAACATCAATCAGGGAGGCAAAAACGACAACATGGCCTCATAAAACAAGAGACATTTGCTGGTACTTGGAAACTGTAACTGTGACCCACTGGGACGTGCCCGATGAGAGGCCTCGCACACTGAGGCACAGTCTTACCCTCCATATTGTGCTGGAGGAGTTCACCAGGCTGGACGTGGCTTCTTGGAGGGCGGAAAGCTTCTTCTTCATCACCTCCTCTCTCCACAGGGCCTCCTGTACAAAACACACAGAGGAGAGAGGGATGAATATTGAATCATTTTGCATCCAATGTTAAAGCTTATAACATATGTTTGCATCCTCTCCACTCTGTTAAATATAACGAATATTATTTGCCTAAATTGGTCTCAAATATTAAAGGGAGGCGATTTACTTTGTACAGAATTGTTCTTACAGTAACTTCAGAACAAATGAACAAAGAAGAGGGGAGTGATGAAGACACACACATCTTTTGTGTTAATTGAACAGTTAATCTAATTCCATATTAGGCACCATAAGCTACGAACCATATATTAGTTTCACTTTTCATTCATTAGAGTTACAATGTATAATTAAGTCTCTGACAAATTACATACAGCAAAGAATACATTTGGAAAATAATTGCTGTGTTTACCTGCAAGTAGTCAGTTAGCTTCTGAAGATCCTGTAATGCATGAGGTGGGAAACATCCAAAACAGTCACATTTAGTTAAATCCAGTATAGAAATGTGTAAATGTATAGATTTGAAAACCAATTTGATAAAGTAACGGCTTGAAACTCACAGACTCTCTGACCATGACAAGACCTGACCTGCGCAAAAGAAAGCATCTCATTATAGAAACACAGAACGCGATTACATCCCGCTTTGATGTTCTGTGTGACGAATAGATTCAACGCACTCTGTCTGCACGCTGGTCTCTCGCTGTATATTCTTCTGGAGAATCTTTTCTGCTCGGATGAATGCTTTGAGGTTTGTCTTTTGAGCTTTGAGAAAAAATCAAAACATGTATCCTTCACAGGCCGACGAAAGATCATTTTATAGCCTCTGATGAAAATGCTACACAGCTAAGCAAGATGTTTACCATTAACACTATTCTCTCTTCTGTCCGCGCTCGCCGCCCGGAGCTGGTTCGATTCCTTTGCTGCTGGCGTGGAGTTAGATGCTTGTTTCCTTGCTTGGCCTTTCTCCTGCCTCAGCAGAGTTACCTGTTCTGTCCATAATGAAGCCTGGGAGATGTGCAGGGAGAAGAGGATGCGGGTATTGTTACTGTGGACGTGGAAAGATTAAACATCTGGTGAAATAACACATATAACTTATTACCCAGTTGCTGGTGCTTTGGCCTCCAGAAACGCTGCTGTTTGGTGTTAAAAACATAGTGCGCTTCCCATCAGCGGTTGGAGTATACTGGACATTTGTGTGCAATGTCTCCGACTTGCTGATTGAACTGTATTGTTTCATGGAAAATGTATTTGGTGAACGTTTTTGCCCAGAATAATAGTTTGTAGTATTCGAAGCACACGCCTCGGGGCTCACTGATCTCCTCCTCAGAAATTCACGTTGCCTTTTTTCCTTCAGTTCATTCTTGATCCGTCTGGTGTCCACTTCTCGAGTGGGGCTGCGACATGACGTCACGTTGTTGCGTCCTCGCAGGTGTTCCCGTTTCTCTGCCCTGATGTCCACCATCCGTTCAAAGTGTCTCACTGGAGAGAGCTGGATCCCACTGACAGTCAGGGCGTCCATGGCAGCCCGGCTGGCTGTTACAGTGTCTCTGGCCTACAACCACAATGTATCCTCGAATTTTATTGTAGTTGTCTTACGTTACGAAAAATACACAGCGTAAATGTTATAGTTGAAAGGGCAGAATGCACTGGTGTGTATCAAATGTTATAAGCAGGTGAAAAATAGAAAGATAAACTTTCTTAGGAGTTTTGTTGTTATTTTATTATTTACATGTAAAACACAGTATCTGAAATGTGCCCCTAAACTCCTGTGGTACAATTGTGTATTTTCCTGATATTTAATCTCAATGGCAGGTTACCTGCTTTGACAAAGGAAAATAAAGAAAGAAAGTTAGTGTTTGTTGGTGAGCAGCATGCACAAGGCAAAATGCACAACCTGGACAGTATATTTTAGGATGCTCTGTGTACAGCAATGCCACTTCTACTTGAACAAAGCAGGGCAGTGGTAGTAGTGGCTTGTATAATGGTACTTTTAGTTGTATAACAGTGAATGTAATGTAGATGCTGCAGTGGTTGCATTGTTGTTGATGTTCGTCAGAAAGCTGAAATAACGCTGAGTAGCCTACAGTCGACGACAGCCTCGCCTCTGGAAAGTGTCGATTGAGGTTTTGGAGGGAAAATGTGCAAGTTAATGCAAAGAAAATACATTGCTTGATAAACATAAAACCACAACAGGTCTTACCTACAATGCCATTTCATTCAGCGGGGAAAGGTCTTCACGAGGCGATTGAGAAGTCAACCCTTTTCTCATTCTTCTGAAATAGTGCCGGAGGTTTTGTCTGTGTTTCACATGTAGCCGTTTCGGTTGAGCATTATTTTACAGGAAGTGAAGTGAACCACAGCGTCATATGTTCCTCTATCTCACCAGCCACTCGCATCAAACTGATGCCATACACGGGTGGGCCCAAAGATTACAGACGCAGACAATTCCCCCCAACACGCGGCCTGGGATAAAACACACCGCTCGGGAGATAGAAATGTGTGTGTGAGTGCGGCTGCTTCATGGAAATGTGCATAATGTTCAAGAATAGCCGTCTGTTTTCTTAAAAATGTGTTGAGAAGCCGTAAACGTCATCAGCTTCACTATTTGCTCTTTGTCTGTATTTCTGTGTAGGCCTATTTGTTAGTTGCTTTAGGCTGACTGTCTCCTTTTTTTAATTGTTAAGACGATTTGATCACTCGGGACTATTTTCAAGATGAATCCACTCAAAACCCTGGATCTCAGCATCACGCGTGACCTAAAACTCCACGTATACACCCATTAAGTTAACTACACCCAGACTCGACGCGGCAGGTCTGCGCGCAGCGCCATCTCGTGGTGGGTTTCCTTAACGACGCCTAGAAACAGTCGCTCTGCTCTCGCGATGCTTCACGAGGTTATCGTGTGTTTCCGCCATCCTTGTGGCTCTTTGCAGAAGGGCACGAAGAGGCCGAAACAAGGGTGCCCCGCATAGCAAGAAGCTCTTCATCCTCCAAACATGCTGTCAAGACTCGTGGTTGTGTCAGGTACGTCATATCATCGCTTTCGTCGATTAGTAAAACGCACTCAGCTCGGACACAACAAGACTGTTGAGCGGTGTAAAGAAAAAAATAAAGGGAATGAAGCTGAAGGGTAAAGGGAAGGCCGCGCATTGAATGAGACACATGCTAATGCTAGCTTCTAATCCAGAGACTACAAGCAAGATGTAGCATTACGACCTGAAGCTTATTGAAGTTCATTGCATATACACGCATAGACCGCTATTGAATGTATTGTGTTTTCTGTGTTAATGTCAGACATCACAACTATTTGGTTACTGCCAAGTTAGATGACGATAGCTAACGTTAACTGCACACCAGAGCTAGCTTTAGCTAGCGTTAGCTCTGCACGCCAGTAAATGTCACCTTTTTGACAGCTAACGTTAGTCTCCTTGGGCTTTACGTTTTTAGTTGAAGGATAAACCCCATTGGCTAAACATTTCAAATCCCTCTTAAATATCAATGTGAATATACATTTCAATGTGCAAGTTGTTTCATGCCCAGACGAGTGGCTACTAGACAGTTATGCCAACATCAGGTATTGATATGACCTCGTTCTTTAACTTGGTTTCTGATGACTCTCGTAGTAGTTTTATATATCTATATATAACCTGTGCATTAGGTCTACTTCACAAATACCAATATCATGTTATCAATCCAACCTTCATGAAGGGTATAACTTTTAGCTTTTGATTAAACATCTTTTTGATTTTTCTTAATTTGATCTATTAGTCATCCAAATACAGCAGCTTATTTTCCTTCCTGAATTTGTGTCATTGTCTCATCTGTTTGCAGCTCATGGCCTGAAAAGCAGCAGTCCCCTTGGAGCTGGGTATGTGTCTTTACAAGTATCCTAGAACTTAACCGTCTTGTTTAGTAACAAACATTTTTTGCAACAACATCTAGAAGTTGTTATGTTGTCTCCCGCAGTCTGGTCCAGGCTTCTCGCTCCCTGCACACATCGTCCCAGAGTCGGGCCCCATTGCCCCCTCTGCCAGAGAAGGGAGGCCAAGTCCGCCATGGCATTTTCCCTGAGGAGATTTTCCAGCTCCTCTATCCCAAAACTGGAGTTACAGGTCAGTAGCCAGAGGCGAGATAAATTTCCCATATTTTCAGTTATTTCAACGTTAATGCTTAAAAGATTGGAGTACCGCTGTACCTTTCCCTCACGTAGAATGACGAAGAGCAGTGTTATCAAACTTAAAAGGCTGTTGCTGGTTTAGGACCACATCACACTAATGTTATTATTGATGTGAATTTAGTTTATTTGTCTTACGAACATAAGTTTTCATAAAACATACCATGAATATACTTTTCTCACCAGGACCGTACATGCTGGGCACTGGCCTCCTCATGTACATGCTGTCCAAGGAAATCTACGTCATCAACCATGAGACCTTTGCTGCTGCTTCCATCGGCGCTGTCATCATTTACGGTGTCAAGAAATTTGGCCCAAGTGTTGCAGCTTTTGCTGACAAACTGAACGACGTGAGGCGGACACCAAACTATTTTACATTTTGTATCTTTACAAACCATTGTAAATTCAGAGTGGTGGTTTTATTTGTCTTCATAGATTACTGTTCAAAGATGATTGGTCTTTTTTTGTGCACAGACATTATAAGCACCCCTTACTGTGTGTGTTTCTGCAGGACAAAGTGGCTAAGGCTCAAGAGGTGAAGGATGTGTCCCTTACCAGCTTGGCTCAGGCTATTGAGGATGAGAAGAAGGAACAGTGGAGAGTGGAGGGAAGAGCAATGCTCTTTGATGCTAAAAGGGTAAGCAGAATGGGCTTTTGACATTTTTATTTAATATAGTCTATTTACTGTCCATAATTCCTTTTGACTGCTGCAAGCTGGTCAGCATTACTGTTATCGACCTCTGCTGGCAACAAGTACAAATTGCAATAACACAAGTAAACCTATGTGTAGGAATATTTGGTGCTATAATGCTATGAGAAAACAAGCTCATTATGTTGGAATTGTCAGTAAATAAATGTGCTTGAATTTGTCGTCTGTCTTACTGAAATGCAGTCATTCATTTAATTGAATTGATTAATGACTGTGTTTATTATCATATTGATGCTCTGTGATCACCATAAATGCTTTTCTTCAGTAATCCCAACAATTGCCATTTTAAAGCGATTATGATTCACAAAAAATCAAACCCAAATCATCAAAAAACGGCAATGTGGCTATCCAGAAGTCATGACCTGTTTACTCAAGATTATCCACAGATCTTGATCTAGGATGAAGTTCCTTAAATTTCCTCAAAAGTATCAAATATATTACAATAGCCAATGAAAAACAACCATTTAATTTAAAGACGAGACTTCTCAGACACGGCCTGTGCATTGATCTCCTGTGCTTTTTCTTCTTTGAAGAAGACATTTTAGCAACCCAAGTGTGGACCAGGTATTTCCACAGTATGGTTACATGGACTCCTCTTTATCCTCAGAACAATGTGGCCATGCAGTTGGAGACCAACTACAGAGAGAGGCTACACATGGTGACCAACGAGGTGAAGAGGCGCCTGGACTACCAGGTCGCGCTGCAGAATCTCCACATCCAGATGGAGAAGGAGCACATGGTCAAATGGGTGGAGAAGAGCGTCATCGGCAGCATCACTCCTCAGCAGGTCGGTCTTTAAGTGTCAAACTGTTCTTAAGCCTTCAGCCGCGTGTTGATTCTCAGTTTGGGTTTTGACCTGTGTGCAAAGACTGCATTGATGATCCAATATTTCTCTGACAAACCTTATTAGTATTTTGAAAACTTCTTTTATGAATAACTGGACTAATATAGGACTGTTCACACCAGTGAACTCTGGCATTTCTTCTTTGTTTAAAACTGTTGATTACAGCTTACCTCTTCAAGCAACCCTTTAATAATATTACTTTCTTTGGTCACAAATTAAGGCTGCCAGATGTGAATATTTTGAACAATTGAATGTTGATATTGAACAGTGTGTCCGTGTGTGACCATTGTTTACATAAAGAGACGAGGTGACTCTTGAGGGCTTCACATCTGTTCCTGTGTTTGTTTGTTTGTTTGTTTTAGGAGAAAGAGAGCATCGCCAAGTGCATCACAGACCTGAAGGCTCTGGCCAGGGCCACTCAGACCAGCGCTACGGCCTAACCGCCAAGTCTTCAAAGAAGACTTCTCTATGTCCCAAGACGAGGCGCTCACTTCTCTACAGAATAATCTATTTGTCTCTGTCAATATGTTAAGGGTGTGTACAGTACTGACACGTCAGCTGATGGTAAAATAAATGGTTCTCTTATTCAACTGGCTAGTTCCATTTATTTTTTCTTTCAACATTTCATTTAACCTTTAGCTTATGTGTTTTCTCGATGATGATATGTGTGATTGTGGAAAATATTCACTATTTTTGAGGCCATAAAAGGTAATTGCATGATGGAATTTTTTTGAGCACTTAAGACCTTTGATCACTTTGAAGGAGATACAGCAAAGCATTTTCCTCAACCTTTGGACTCATAATGAGTCACCAATGCATCTCCCAGTGCCTCAAATACTTATTCTCAAATGACAAACCCAGCCAGGCCCCTTGATCCGTCGCTCACGTCAGATTGTTGCACTTTGGTCCCGGTGACTTGAAGCAGGAAGTCGCGCATTTTCTCTGTCGTCTTTATGTGAGGAGCGGGCGCTTGTTGCCTCGTAGGAGATCTATTTGAAAGAAGGGAACAATGACACCGGAGCGCAGCGTACACTGACGGGTAATTAATTCATTATGTAAAGCTGATTTTGACGTTGCAATGAATCAATGAAAGGTTAAATAAACATTGACCAATGGTGGAATCTTAATGTTTTGTCTTAAGGAGAGTGTGGTGTTGACCAGAAACTCATCCCGGTCTACATTCAATCGAGCGACTATATGAATATATTCTAATATATATTTCTTGTGATTTTTATCTTCTTGCTGAATTGGAGCAGGTGTAATCAGAATTTCTTTGCCTCAAAGTTCCCTTTAGTGATCTACCATTCAATCACTCCATTCACTAGTTGAAATCTTGTAATAATTACTAAATCTTTGGTCTTTTAAATCATAAATTACTAACAGTTAAGTAACTGGTAATTTCTGTCTTGATCAGGAGGAATCAGGAAACATTTATTACTAAAATATGCCAAACATACAAGGAATTTGTCTTGGCGGTTGGTGCGCGACAGTAGACCGTGTGACAATAGACAAGACGGCAGTGCACAAGTAATAAAATAAAGTAAAATGAAATCCTAATGCATTGATGCCTCACTGCTTCTGTTTATATTGAGGTTAATTTTCAAAGCTATTTAGCTAATTAGCAGACACAGTCTATAGTAGAATAATGGGTATATATAGTGTTCTACTTGTGATCAGCCAAACTAATATACTGTCAATAGGGGGAGACTAATTAACTGGAGTAATTTTGGGCTGAACATCTTTGTCTCAATCTCACAGGTTTTGGTGGCTTCTTGGGATTCATTGAAGTTTTGTTTTGCCGAAAAAGACCGATATTGGTTCAAAATGTTTGGAAACGGCACACACTTCTCGTTTTCCCCGAGGTTGGTAAATTGAATTCTACTCGCAAGCACTGGAATTAATTTAGTTGTTTACAGCACTATAAACACGCGCTCACACCCATTCACGATAAAACACTCCGGTGTTGTGGTAACTGCAGTTGATGATTTATCTCCACTGGGCGTCTGCTTTACCTCAGGGGTTTCTCACCGGAGGACCTCCCTCCGCAGAGGCGAGCTTTCCAACAAGATGACCTCAATGTTGCTCCTCTGCAGAGAAACAATATGTCTAGACCCAGTGGGAAATCTATATACAGTATGCTTGCACATAAAGTACCATCTCATCTATTTATATTTCATGCTTTGGGAGAATAGAATCTGTTGAACCTTTTTTCTTTTTTTTTCCCCACATCAGTGCAAAGAAAGGAGTATTCAGAGGTGCTGGACAGACATCCTGACAACTTTCATGTCCGAGTGGAGGTAAAATGAGTGTGAACAGTGCAGCCGAATGGAGACATATAGCACAGCCCGTCGCTGTCTTCATCCATGACTTCTCCACACTGACTCCTCAGCACCTGATCACCTGCAAGCTGGACGGGCAGGAGGTGAAAACAGTGGACGACTGTTTGGCCAAACTCAAGAGGCTGGATGCCAAAGGTCGACTGTGGCCTCAGGAGATGGGGATGGAGATTCAGGGCGGATATCTACTGCTCAGTGACATTGAAACCAAGGTTGGTGGCCTCACACGTCAGGACATTTATTAAGCACGACACGTGGACAAACGCATGTGGACATTATATATTATGTATTATAACATTCATCTGGAGTTCTAAGAGTTCTGCAGAATATGACATGCTAAATTAACTTAAGTTACACGTGTAAGAGCAGGACAGTGTTTGAGAATAAGTTTAGTAAGTGCAGCTGCTGACACAATTAGATGATACAACTTTAGAAGTATTTTTCAATCCTTTGTCATTGAATATGAAGTCTACAGGAATTGAAAACATTCCAATACATTGATAAAAGTATACCATTGTTGCAGATAGAAACAGAACGTCCTTGTGGTCTTTCCATCCCTGGTTAAGAAAATGTCAGTCTCTGGCATTTAGATCTATTAGAAAACAATCTTAGTTCCACTTTTCTCTGTGTGTGTGAAAACATTCAACATTGGTTAATAACTGTATTTTCTTCGTCATAATGTGCGTCCCGTTTAATCTGATTCTAAAGTCGGAGCTGGAGTCGCTGCCTTTGCGCAGCATCTTGGAAACCAAAGCTGTGCTGGATAGCTGCGCCTACAACTCCCTGCTGATCCTAACTGTGCAGGAGCGCGGCAGACGGGTCCCCCAGGTCTTCATGTTCCAGTGTGAGGAGACCGGGGTGAGTCACGTTTCAACTCAAACTTGAACCTCTGAAAGCGACCAGGCGAGGATCATCGGCAGTAAGCAGTGTCGCCTTTTCATAACGATGCTCTTTGTTGGTGTCGAGACGGTTTGATGTAAAGCAAATGCGTTTCGATAGGCGGACCTGATCAAGAAGGATTTGGGCGAGGTAATCCGAAAAGGAGGTGATGATGATGGACCGCGCAGAGCCCAGCCGGACATCAGGTGCAACATGTCACATCTCAGGGACAAAATCACATTAACGAGAAGGCGACTTAATGCTTTAACAGCTGTCTGTCGGTAACGTTGTCAGGGCCGATCTGGAGAACATCATCGGGCAACAGGTTTCAGGGAGTTTTCGGCAAGCCGGGCCTCGTCCTGTCCAGCGAGAGAGGAGCCCGCCCCCACTGGACCAGCCGGCCGCTGGGTGGAGGAGCAGAGAACCAGGTGGACGCACGCTCTGAAGAGCACATTTAAAACCAAAGTTTCTTTAAGTTCCTCAAGGTCAATGGAGGCGTTCTTTGCAGCTAAGATGGGTTCAGTACGTCTGACACTGGATGATGACGTTTGTGTTCACACAATTCTTTTTTTTCGTCTGGTAGAAAACGTGCCTCCTCCACCTTATGTTGGCTCACAAGAAGCAGAGATGTACCGACCTGGTCTTCGTGGGTCATATATTGACCCAGAGGCCGCTGAGCAGATGGAGATAGAGAGGAACACGGTCAGTACTGCCACTCAGGTTGTTTGCATTAGTCACGAATGATAGATTTTGAATCATTTCGCTTATCTCAAGGAAAACATGCTCACACACACGCGACAGTGTTTTAGAAAGCTCCCACAGTCAGCCAGATGATTTGTGCCGTGCGTCTGCTCCTTTCCACAGGACATTTTAAACCACATCCTAAATGATGTGGAGTTCTTCATGGATAAAGTGTCTGCAGCAAATGAAACTTCTTTACCGGAAGTCAAGAAGAAGAAAAAGAAAAAATCAAAGAAAAATGGTAATACCTTTTTTTTTTTTCTTCTTGTTAAGGAAGCCATTATTGGAGAAGTAATGTCATTGAGGTGCTGATACACAGATTGCACAGATCTAGATGTTTTTTTCCCCTCCTCTCTAGAAGCACCTGCTATCATTCTGCCTCCCTGGGAGGAATATGTTTCCTTTCTTCAGAGAGTCAAGTATGGATTCAATCTCCTGGTAAAAACGTCATAAAATATCTCCAAAGTCGCTAACGAGTTGTTTTTCTGGAGTGAGGTTGCAGCAGAAAGCCTCGCAGAGTGAATGAACAGCTCTTTTGTATTACAGGCCCAGCTGGACGGGTGTCTATCCGGCCCTACTGCTCCTGACTACGTCCACATCTTCTTCGATAGTTTAGGCGCGGTAAGATCTTCTCGGCGTACGTTTCACTGGCCGAGTCCACTTTCAATGCACCACGGCTAACACCTCCTCCATTTGTCAACAGATACTGCCCCGGTACCCCGCGGATCTTCCCCCCACTGTTCTCTCTCCGCTGCTGACGGAGGCAGCGTTGCAGCTGATGTGTGAGGTCGTCAGCCCAGAGGAGGACCTTCTGTGGAGGTCTCTGGGAGACAGCTGGAATATCCCCGGGTAGATTCATGACCCATGCACGCTTACACAAGTCTTTGCCTTTATCAAGCCGGTTCCCTTCTCGTATATAGCACTCTGATTGTGGCCCTGACGCGCCCCGACCCGGGCGTAGTGTGAGCGTGTGTGTTTGCAGTTGCGTAAATGTCGGTCAAAGTTTAGTTTCAGTCATAATAGACGAATAGATAAAGTGTGAATTGAAACTTAAAACTCCTCATTTCAGTTTGAATTTGTGTTTAATTTACTAATGCTTTAATGAGCAGTTTTAAACCATTTATAAAAACAGGTTGGGAGGCACTTTTTATGTCACTAGTTTTTCAAGAACAAACCTGCAGTAAACTTCTTTATTTCTTTCTTTGTGCAAGCCATGTTTTTCTGTTTCTAGTCTTTATGTTTGCAGCACAGAGATGAGTGGACTCAGTCTCATCTGACTCTGGGCGAGACAATAACTGAGCCTCCGTCCCGTAATGTCAAAATCCCTCATAATTTATTTATTTTTATTCTCAGTGTATTTTATTGGGTGCACGCTTGAATTATCTCAGCCATCATCAACAGATGTCGGTAAAAGGTCATAAAAAGGTCATAAAAAGCAATGTCAGGAGGTCACTTCGGCATTAGAGCCTTTGTTTTTCCTGTCACCTGGTAGTTCTAGATGGCCGGACGACGACGTCCCGCCTTACATCCCAGAGTTCTATAATGGCTGGCAGCCGCCCCCCCCCTCGAGCATGCCCTCCCCTCTCCCTTATCAGAGCGGTCCATCGAGCACGAGCAGCAGCCAGCACTTCCCATCGAGCCCACGGGAGCCCCCCCTGTACATGCAGGTCATTTACGACTTTGTGGCCAAGAACAGCCAAGAGCTGAGCGTCATGAAGGGGGATGTTGTTCAGGTGAGATTGAAAATACAACTGACAAACATTTTCTTAGATAAAGCTTGTTTGGAGCAGAATATGCCTGAAAATATATCTGTATGTATCTCCAATTAATCACTTTAAGTAAAACAGTTCAAAGTAACTGGAGTTGGATTTGTTTTTTGGCTCCCACCTCTTTTGACAACATCTGTGTCATGTGATAGTAACCCAACCTTTTTCCAAAAGTAAATGAGCAAAAGTGCATAAATTTATCCAAAGTAACCATGCATTGCTTAATAAGTCAACTTTTCTTGAGGACCTCTGTAAAATAAATATTTTTTCAGCGTTGTGATGATTAGAACGTGTTTTTAAAGTTTATTTAGCTTAAGAAGGAGAATTTTCTCAACAAAATAAGGAACACTGCATCCATCAGTTTACCAGAAAACCTCCAATATATATATATATATATATATATATATATATATATATATATATATATATATATATATATTTTACTGGACAGAAAAGGAATTAGTTACATTACACCACTTTCCCTCGCACTCCCATGATGTACTTCTATAATACGTTACTTGCAGCTTAATTCGGACGAGGCTGTTTGTAAATTCTCATTCTCTGGGCTTTTTACAGGTGGTTCAGAAGTCCAAGCAATGGTGGCTTGTCCGTAACGGCGGCGGCGAGGAAGGCCACATTCCCCAGAATGTTCTGGAGCCGATGCAGAGCAGGGGGCCCATGGAGGACCTACCGGTGAGCTGAGGGACGCGCTGCCGTGCGGAGTAACCAATGTGTTGACATGTGACTTTATCGCTGTCCCTCCCTAACAGCGGGACAGTCGCCGTCCTGTGACTCTGGACATGAACTCCTCGTCCACAGAGGTCAAAGCCTGGCTGGAGCACAAAGGTTTCTCCAGAATGTGAGTGACGTGGCGACCGGCTGGGAGCTTTAACACGTTCACGCCGCGGACGCGGCTCGTGTGGGATGCTGGCGTCAGACTTTCGGTATCTTTTGATCCGCAGCACTGTGTCCAGCCTCGGGGTGCTGACCGGTAATCTGCTCCTGGGGATGACCAAGGATGAGATCAGGACGGTGTGTCCCGAGGAAGGAGGCAAGGTCTTCTTCCAGCTGCAGGGCATCAAGTCAGCCATCGCGGTGAGAAGTGTGACACGTGACACGCACACTCCAGAAATCCAGCTGCAGAACATCAGTAACGTTTGTCCCGTCTCCTACAGCTCGCCAGTGAACCATCCGGCCTGTACGGCCGCTACTGACCAGCCGCTTCTCTTCAGTTTGTCTTCACCACATATGAACAACTGTAATTATTGTGTCTGATTTGTCTTTGTCATAATTTATTTGCTTTTACTGAATGAAACTTGTATTTCTTAATTATCATCAGCAGCAGAGATAATTGTGAGTTAATGTAATTCATTTGTAATGCAATTTACTTCCAATGTTCTTTGGTATTTCAAGTTAATTTAGCAGTTCCACGACCGAGTGAACCAAATGTGCATGTAACATTTGCTGCAATTAAAAGTGACTTAAGTGATGGCAACTCTGTAGCGTCAGTGTCATGTCAACTGAAAGTGATGTTAGAAATGTTTGACAACAAAGACATGTTCCCTTGCTTTCCGTGGTCTCATCTGTCTGGTATTATGTCCAATTTCAACTTAAGAGTTTAAATTCTAATATCAAGTAACAGCAGATTCAGGCTCTGGACAGCGGTTTTCCTCTGAGGGCCTCATGGGGTCACAGCAGCTACAGGAACTCACGGAGTCCCCGGAGCTATTGCTTATATATAGCGTATCATGTGATTAAAGGTTCTACTTATCTAAATATTGATACAAAAATGGGTTTATATTTACACAATTCTGGAAAAGTGAAAAAGACTCAAACAGACACAACCAGCCAGTAAACAGCTTATAAAATAAGACAAAAATACAGACAATTGTTTCTCTAATCTTGAATTTATTGGTTAGTTGCACGTGTGGTCATTGCCTTCTACTCTTTCTTGTTTCCCCACTTGGCCACCCTGCCGTTGACGGGAGTCTTCATGAATCTGTTTGACTTCATGTAGGCAGCGATCTTCTCGAGAGCCTGCGGTGACATGAGATCAAGGCATTGAAACAAGAACATTTATCTCTGTGACATCACAGCGACGCAGAGGAACACAAGAAGGTATTGATGTGCCGTTTGAGGGTTCTCACCTCGAAACGGGTTAGAAGATCTTGGAGGTTCTTGAAGTCATCCAGACACGTGGGATGGAACATCTTGTGTTGGTCCAACAGCTCGTACATGATGAAGTCCACATAAGTGATCTGTTACAAAGAAGTTAGAATCCACAACGTGTTGAAAAGCAAAATAAAGCCTCAAACCAGGCAATCTCTAGCTCCACAAATATATGGTTTTATTTGAGAAAACAGTGAAATGACTATTAAAGGCCCCATTGCAAGGATTTTAGCCTTTAAGATGGATTTTTGTTTGATTTACCGCTTGGTTCAGTCTCCTCTCATAAACTATAGATTTCATAGATAGATTAACGGAGCTTTAAAAAATAATTGTGCCACAACTTCAGATATGAAGACGTGGCTGACTGCATACCTTGTCACCAGCAAACCACTTCCTGTCCCCCAAGTAATCTGAGAACTGCTTCAGTAGCTTTGGCAGATTCTCCAGGTAACCTGCCTTCATATTGTCCTGATTTGGGAGAAGTGACGCTGTCATTAGTGAAGAATTTGAGGCATAACGTGAGACGTTACGTTTTGTAAAACTTTACTACATTACATTACTACTCACATAATCAGAGTAGCAAAGCCGCACAAAGCCGTTCCTGAAGTCCATCGCCTGGTTCTCCAAGAAGTCCACGCGGACTTTCTCATCCTCTGTCTCTCCACCTGTGGTCAGATCACAGTTAGTGGAGCACTCGGGGAATAAAGACTGAGGTGCCACACCAGAAAAGTGTACAGTTGTGTGCTATCTGCTCTTTAAGTAGATTTATACCAGAGATAAATCATAGTAGAAAGAACCCGCAATACTTACACATATTGTGCTTACGAGCGATGTATCTCATGATAGCATTGCTCTGCACGATCTTCCTGTCCCCATCCTCCAAGTACGGCAGCTGTAGTGAGACGTTAATTCTAATTATTAGTTTGCGTTTCATCATTTGCCAGATTTATACTTCTATTAATACTCAAAAGTTAAACTCAATTACATTGGGGAAGTGCATCCCAAGTTTGTCTTTTACATCCAACCAGCTTTTCCTGCTGTAGTCGGGAGCTGTGTGCAACAGAAATGTGGGTTAGATGAATAAGCAGAATGTTTATGGACACTTAAGTCACTAATTGGGTTGAAATGATGACAACTGTTGGTTGCATTTGTTGAGTTACCATCTCCATAGACGTAAAACTTGTCCTCATACTTGGAGCCGGTGTACTCCAGCAGCAGACGGGCGGGCTGGGCGAGCTGCAGGAACAGAAATCACCATTTCTTAGCTTATGCAGTACAACAAGGCATGAGGAGACGACACAAATGTATACTGATGAAACCGCATCAAACATCCGTGTTACGGCAAAAATATGAATTCATCAATATATCAACCATTTATGAACGTCCGGTATTAATAATAAATATGGATCACAATCACAAAGTATTATTGATGTACTAATGTGCATTGTGTCTAAACAAAGCATTGCTTTGTAAAAAAAAGGTGAAAGTACAAAACATTTGCCGTAGACTTATTGTGCGATACAATCCAATCATTGAGGTTTTAGGTCTTAACAAAGCTTAAATAACATAATGCAGCTTATTCAATCACCCTATTATTACGCAAGTCAAAGTGATGAACAGACAAAGTGAAAAAGAGCAACCGTTGAAATGGCTTCAGGCATAATGGGATTTTAGCTGTTGTATCTGAAAGTTGTAACCAATGTCGTTCACATGAGCACATTCTGCTTAATTGTTTACGATATAGTGTGCAGAGCTGAGATTTTGTCAGGGGTGAAGAAAATATCCAGGAATTGGAATTAATTTGGGGTTGTAGCCATGTTGTGCCCTGCAATGTGGTTGTTTGTGGAGCCCAAAGTCCTTGATAGGGGCGGCCTACTGGAGGTGGACAACATTGGGCACATTCTGAGAAGCAAAGACATGAAGGTTCCACCCCCAGGACATTTTGGTTTAAGTAGATGTTTTTTCCTGCAGTCTAGTGGACTTTTGGGTGGGAGATGTACAATACCTGAACTTATTCAGGTATTCTGGTTCATGTTCATCTGATGACTCGTAGGGCCTTCTAGACTTGAGCTGAACATTGAACAAGAAAACTATGCCTATGTACCACAATATAGTTTAATTAATAGACCTGTGTTTAAGATTTGACAAAGGTATGTTGATTGACATCTTGATCCCAATGATATTCAACCAATTCTTATCTGAAACCTAACATATAGCCTCATTGATCACTATATTATATACATAAAGTACTATGAGGTTAATCACAATTAATTAATGTAGAGACACAGATAAGTATGAGGTACATTTTTAATTTAATTTATTGTGACGTCTATACATTAAATTTAAGTAACACAAAGACAAATGGTAGGTGGGTATTTTAGAATGAGGCCCTGCAGTAAAATATTAACTGTTTAATTGTTGTTACTGTATCCAACCTCCTCTTACTTTATGAAACCTTTATAAAGCTAATGCAGTGTGACGTAATACAACAGCCCTGAATTAAACGTTCACCTCAGTAACGTTTTGTGTTTCTTCCATCCAATATGAATAAAATATTATTTTAAATGAAAACGAAACAAGCTTGATAGTAAAATACTTAACAGCCAAGAACTGTATTAAAATGTGTTAGAAAGACCAGCTGATGCGGTGACGTCATCAAGTCCGCTGCAGTTTGAATTGCGGAAATGACCGTTCTCCGTTCTGCGTCCTCGCGGACCCGTGAGTCCGTCTCCCGAGGACGCAAGTCCGCAGTCTTTAGATATTGAGAAATTAATGTTTATGTGCGAATAGGGTTACAGATGCGCTCCTTAGCGCCGTCAACCGCCGGGCGGTCGGCAAAGGAACGAACGCGTTTCGGACCAAAATCAGTTTTATTTTTCTTGCGTGAGAAACCGGACGTGTTGCCTGAGCGCGTGTAAAAACATGCAAAAGCGTGTGTCGCACGGCGAAACCTTGAGAGTTGGCAGCTCTGGTGTGTGTGTGAAAGGTTATAAACTTAACAGGCCTTCGCTGTAACTAGTCACCCAAACGCGATCTTATTGACCTGCGGCGGCCGCCGTCGAAGCCCACACATCGCTGCACGCAACAGGTTCTACTTCATGAACAAAAAAGACGACGGAACTCACCCCACGAATGTCCCAGTAAGCCAGTTTCATCGTCATTTTGGATCACTTTTAGGAGACCGAATGTGTCTGAAGGCGCCTCGGCAGCTGCTATAAATCGCTGGGCGGAGAGGTGGTGGCTTCATTCTGTAAGGGGGCAGCGGGCGGGGGGTGGGCGGGGCGAACCGGTCGATCACGCGTCTGAGTGGAGAGATCTTAGACCTGCTGGACAGCCATAGGCTATCGGTCACAAGACGGATTCAAAATCCAGCCTGAGAATGCGTTATCGGTCAAAGTAAAAAATAAGGCAGTTGCGTAACAACAAAGCCAAAAAAATGCGGTCATTTCAGTTTGCATAGTTGCTCATGTTCATGGTGTGTCATGATGACAGTGCAGCTGCTCACACAGGTATATACCCACCTGGCATGACATTGCAGGTATTGAATAAAATGGGCAGAGCTGCCAACTTTTTAAAAAACCTTGGGAGCACCACAGACTACAGCTGCTCCTCTTCATCTTCTTTTTGAAAGATTTTTAACACTGATCTGATCCATTGAGATATTTTGCCTAATGATTTTTTATATATATATATATATTGGACATAAAAGTAGAAAACGTGATCAAAAGGACTCGAAACAGACACAACCAGCTAGTAAACAGCTTATAAAAAAATAAGACAAAAATATAGACAATTGTTTCTCTTATCTTGAATTTATTAGTTAGTTGCACGTGTGGTCATTGCCTTCTACTCTTTCAGTAGCTTTGGCAGATTCTCCAGGTAACCTGCCTTCATATTGTTGCAAAGAATGCCTGTTATGCATATTGATGAGAGAGGATTTTAGCTGCTGTATCTGAAAGTTGTAACTCATGTCGTTCGCATGAGAACGTACTGCTTAATTGTTTACGATATAGTGTGTATGAAATGTTATTAACTTAACAGGCCTTTACTGTAACTGGTCACTGGACATTTACGGTGTTAAACAGGTAACCGGAATAAAGGTTATTTTAATAGCAGATTCTGGACAATGATAGAAGAATGTGGAGAACCCCTCTTACTACTTCTGTACAATAAATTAATTATACCATACAAATTGAGATTTTTCCAAAGTAAAAGCCCTATAATTGCAAGTTGAAAAACACCATTTCTCCATCTTTTGAATTAAAACAGATTCCTCAATAGTTCCCGACAAAGACCAATTCATGTGTGTCAAAGACCTCTCTGACTACTGCAGAAAAAATGAAGTGAAATGAATGAAAATGAAGTATTTCTACTGTACAGATCTGGAGATTCCGGTTTTATTTTGGCGATTAAATCTCCTCTCGTTTCAGGTTCCTTGCCCTTCCTGATGTGTCACCCGTCCGATTGTCTTCCCTGATTCCTGATTGTGTCCACCGGTTCCCTCTTCCCCCATGTGTTCATATAGTCTGCGTCTCCCTTTGTCTTGTGCCAGTGTGTCAACCTACGTCGTCATACCAGCAGTGTCCATAGCCATAGTTTGTCTCGTGATCACCGGTCTACCTCGTGTGAGTGCTTTTTCTCAGAGCTCTTTTTTGTTCCCGTGTCGGGCCTTAGTTAGTTTTTTGGTAGTAGCTCGGTTTTCCTCCTTTAATTTTTTGGGGATTTTGTTGTACTCTGTATGAAAATAAACTGTCATCCTATCAACCTGCTCTGCCTCAGTCCTGCCTCCCGCCCGGTACTGACACATAAATAGTTGTCTTGAAAACATGCATCAATCATAGTTTTTCATTGCTATTCAAACATTGATAATTATGTTTTTGAAGTTGCAAAAACAGGGCTTTAACAATAAAGTACAGTAAAAATATTTCATGTTCAGCATGCTAGTAGTCGGAGAGGTTCTTTACACAGGTACATTGGTCTTTGCCTGAAATTATTGAGAAATATGTTTTTATTGCATTTCAAATATGGATTTATGGTCTTTTTGAACTTGCAATTATTACAGTAAAAATATTTCACTTTTCACGTTAGTCTTTGACTGGAATTATTGAGAAAAGTATTTTTATTGCAGTTCAAACTTTGAGAAATGGTTCTTTTGAACTTTGAAAAATAGAATAATGATCTAACTTTGTAAAACAGTAAACAATCCTTTTTTACAACAGTAGTCAGAATGTTCCTGAACACACATAATTCAGTCATTGTCCAGAATATTTGATTGAATAGCTTTTACTCCAGTTACTTGTTCAATACCGTAAAAATCAAGCGTTTGCTGAGTTCACCGCAGTGGGGGGGGCAGCGGGCGGGGGTGGGCGGTGCGAACCGGCTGATCACACGTTTAAGTGGAGCAAACTCAGACTTGCTGGACAGCCATAGGCTATCGGTCACAAGACGGATTCAAAATCCAGCCTGAGAATGCGTTATCGGTCAAAGTAAAAAATAAGGCAGTTGCGTAACAACAAAGCAAAAAATGCGGTCATTTCAGTTTGCATAGTTGCTCATGTTCATGGTGTGTCATGATGACAGTGCAGCTGCTCACACAGGTATATACCCACCTGGCATGACATTGCAGGTTTTGAATAAAATGGGCAGAGCTGCCAACTTTTTAAAAAACCTTGGGAGCACCACAGACTACAGCTGCTCCTCTTCATCTTCTTTAGAAAGATTTTTAACACTGATCTGATCCATTGAGATATTTTGCCTAATGATTTTTTATATATATATATATATATATATATATATATATCGGACATAAAAGTAGAAAACGTGATCAAAAGGACTCGAAACAGACACAACCAGCCAGTAAACAGCTTATAAAATAAGACAAAAATACAGACAATTGTTTCTCTAATCTTGAATTTATTGGTTAGTTGCACGTGTGGTCATTGCCTTCTACTCTTTCTTGTTTCCCCACTTGGCCACCCTGCCGTTGACGGGAGTCTTCATGAATCTGTTTGACTTCATGTAGGCAGCGATCTTCTCGAGAGCCTGCGGTGACATGAGATCATGGCATTGAAACAAGAACATTTATCTCTGTGACATCACAGCGACGCAGAGGAACACAAGAAGGTATTGATGTGCCGTTTGAGGGTTCTCACCTCGAAACGGGTTAGAAGATCTTGGAGGTTCTTGAAGTCATCCAGACACGTGGGATGGAACATCTTGTGTTGGTCCAACAGCTCGTACATGATGAAGTCCACATAAGTGATCTGTTACAAAGAAGTTAGAATCCACAACGTGTTGAAAAGCAAAATAAAGCCTCAAACCAGGCAATCTCTAGCTCCACAAATATATGGTTTTATTAACAGTGAAATGACTATTAAAGGCCCCATTGCAAAGATTTTAGCCTTTAAGCTAGATTTTTGTTTGATTTACCGCTTGGTTCAGTCTCCTCTCATAAACTATAGATTTCATAGATAGATTAATGCAGCTTTAAAAAATAATTGTGCCACAACTTCAGATATGAAGACGTGGCTGACTGCATACCTTGTCACCAGCAAACCACTTCCTGTCCCCCAAGTATTCTGAGAACTGCTTCAGTAGCTTTGGCAGATTCTCCAGGTAACCTGCCTTCATATTGTCCTAATTTGGGAGAAGTGACGCTGTCATTAGTGAAGAATTTGAGGCATAACGTGAGACGTTAAGTTTTGTAAAACTTTACTACATTACATTACTACTCACATAATCAGAGTAGCAAAGCCGCACAAAGCCGTTCCTGAAGTCCATCGCCTGGTTCTCCAAGAAGTCCACGCGGACTTTCTCATCCTCTGTCTCTCCACCTGTGGTCAGATCACAGTTAGTGGAGCAGTCGGGGAATAAAGACTGAGGTGCCACACCAGAAAAGTGTACAGTTGTGTGCTATCTGCTCTTTAAGTAGATTTACACCAGAGATAAATCATAGTAGAAAGAACCCGCAATACTTACACATATTGTGCTTACGAGCGATGTATCTCATGATAGCATTGCTCTGCACGATCTTCCTGTCCCCATCCTCCAAGTACGGCAGCTGTAGTGAGACGTTAACAATTATTAGTTTGCGTTTTATTATTTAAACTTCAATTAATACTCAAAAGTTAAACTCAATTACATTGGGGAAGTGCATCCCAAGTTTGTCTTTTACATCCAACCAGCTTTTCCTGCTGTAGTCGGGAGCTGTGTGCAACAGAAATGTGGGTTAGATGAAGAAGCAGAATGTTTATGGACACTTCAGTCACTAATTGGGTTGAAATTATGTTACTGTTGGTAGCATTTGGTGAGTTACCATCTCCACAGATGTAAAACCTGTCCTCATACTTGGAGCCCGTGTACTCCAGCAGCAGACGGGCGGGCTGGGCGAGCTGCAGGAACAGAAATCACCGATGAGAGAGGATTTTAGCTGTTGTATCTGAAAGTTGTAACTCATGTCGTTTGCATGAGAACGTGCTGCTTAATTGTTTACGATATAGTGTGTATGAAATGTTATTAACTTAACAGGCCTTTACTGTAACTGGTCACTGGACATTTACGGTATTAAACATGTAACCAGAATAAAGGTTATTTTAATAGCAGATTCCGGACAATGATAGAAGAATGTGGAGAACCCCTCTTACTACTTCTGTACAATAAATTAATTATACCATACAAATTGAGATTTCTCCAAAGTAAAAGCCCTATAATTGCAAGTTGAAAAACACCATTTCTCCATCTTTTGAATAAAAACAGATTTCTCAATAGTTCCTGACAAAGACCAATTCATGTGTGTCAAAGACCTCTCTGACTACTGCAGAAAAAATGAAGTGAAATGAATGAAACCGAAGTATTTCTACTGTACAGATCTGGAGATTCCGGTTTTATTTTGGCGATTAAATCTCCTCTCGTTTCAGGTTCCTTGCCCTTCCTGATGTGTCACCCGTCCGATTGTCTTCCCTGATTCCTGATTGTGTCCACCGGTTCCCTCTTCCCCCATGTGTTCATATAGTCTGCGTCTCCCTTTGTCTTGTGCCAGTGTGTCAACCTACGTCGTCATACCAGCAGTGTCCATAGCCATAGTTTGTCTCGTGATCACCGGTCTACCTCGTGTGAGTGATTTTTCTCAGAGTTCTTTTTTGTTCCCGTGTCGGGCCTTAGTTAGTTTTGGATAGTAGCTCGGTTTTCCTCCTTTTGGAGCGTCCTTAGTTTTTGGATTTTGTTTTACACTTTGTATTTTCTTCCTTTTGGAGCGACCTTAGTTTTTTGGGATTTTGTTTTGTACTCTGTATGAAAATAAACTGTCACCCTGTCAACCTGCTCTGAGTCCTGCCTCCCGCCCGGTACTGACACATAAATAGTTGTCCTGAAAACATGCATCAATCATAGTTTTTCATTGCTATTCAAACATTGAGAAATTATGTTTTTGAAGTTGCAAAAATAAGGCTTTAACAGTAAAGTACAGTAAAATTTCATATTCAGCATGCTAGTAGTCAGAGAGGTCCTTTACACAGGTACATTGGTCTTTGCCTGAAATTATTGAGAAATATGTTTTTATTGCATTTCAAATATGGAGATATGGTCTTTTTGAACTTGCAATTATAGGGCGTTAACAGTAAAGTACAGTAAAAAATATTTCACTTTTCACGTTAGTCTTTGACTGGAATTATTGAGAAAAGTATTTTTATTGCAGTTCAAACTTTGAGAAATGGTTCTTTTGAACTTTGAAAAATAGGATAATTATCTAACTTTGTAAAACAGTAAAACAATCCTTTTTTTTAAAACAGTAGTCAAAATGTTCCTGAACACACATAATTCAGTCATTGTCCAGAATATTTGATTGAATAGCTTTTATTCCGGTTACTTGTTCAATACCGTAAAATTCAAGCGTCTGCTGAGTTCACCGCAGTGCAGCGAAGCCCACACATCGCTGCACGCAACAGGTTCTACTTCATGAACAAAGAAGACGACGGAACTCACCCCACGAATGTCCCAGTAAGCCAGTTTCATCGTCATTTTGGATCACTTTTAGGAGACCGAATGTGTCTGAAGGCGCCTCGGCAGCTGCTATAAATCGCTGGGCGGAGAGGTGGTGGCTTCATTCTGTAAGGGTGCAGCGGGCGGGGGTGGGCGGTGCGAACCGGCCGATCACGCGTTTAAGTGGAGCAAACTCAGACTTGCTGGAAAGCCATAGGCTCTCGGTCACAAGACGGATTCAAAATCCAGCCTGAGAATGCGTTGTCGGTCAACAACAAGGCAGTTACGTCACAACAAAGCCAAAATGAGTAGTCATTTCTGTCTGCACAATACATTTTCATGGTGTGTCATGATGAATAGGCCCTGCAGATGCTCATAAAGGTATTCTGTATGAGCATCTGACATGACATTGCAGATGTTGAATACAATGGGTGTACTAGGTGCATGTTTGTATAGCGATCCGGTTTTACCCAAAACAAATTCAAGTCCAGACAGAAGCCCAAAATTAAAGCTACCGTCTGACTGGAATGCAAGAAGAACTCAAAGGAGTTTCTTCATGGGGGGTTTGTGCAATTGATTGCTTCCACGCAAAAAAAATAGGAAGAAGAAGAAAGTTCACTTTAACCTTAAAAATTACTGAATTGTTTTTCGTGTGGAGCTTTTGAAAGTATCACATGGTCTTCATCAGCAGATTTGCAAAACTTTCAGTAGTTTTAATGATATAATTTTAGCAATAGCACAGCTAAAGCTCTGGAAGGATCTGGTAAGTGTACCTGTGCATTAACTATAAGAGGACAATTTTTGTTTTCAATTTGCTTTAACATCATGTTTTGATTGTCATGAGAAAAATCATCATAATTCAGTATAGAGTGAGGAGCATTTGCCTATTTAGTCCCAGAAATACTAAAACTTATATAATTTACAATGATTCAATTACAGAAATGCTTGCACAATTAGGTATGCTTATTTTCAAATGACAAATGACATTTTTTAGAAATATCCTCTATTACTTTTCAGTTGATCAACTAATCTAAAACACCACCAGATGCGCTAAATCTGTACAACAATATGTAGTGATATTATAAGGTTGAAGTGTATATCAATTTCTTACTGTTACATGCACAACTATTTCTTACTGTACTTATCTATTTATTCACTTATTACACTTTCCATATGCACATACTCTGCACTTTTTGCTATTTTGCACTTCTGGTTGGATGTTAAACTGCATTTCGTTGCCTCAGTACTTGTACCCTGTGCAGTGACAATAAAGTTGAATCTAATCTAATCTAATCTAATATAAGGTTGAAGTGACATTGAGCTATAAGAATGTATTTTTTGCAGCCACATCACAATCTTTTTTAATTTTGAAGCCGGTTGGAAATAAATGTTAGACCAGCTGCTCACTTTTACCTACAATGGAGAGTAATGAGGTGAATATGATATAACCTCCTTTATTCAGTCCCACAACTGCACACAAAGCAAACGACTAACTAATAACGGCTGAAGCTCACTCCTTATTTGTCTAAATGAATTCATCATACTTCAAATGTCATCTCTTTTGTAACCTGCTGTTCTTATTTTACATTATTTGTCATTTTCAATAGCAGCAAGACACACCAAAGATAACACCAGGAGCCAGAATGAATGCAGCAGTTTAAAAAGGGTGTGTCCACTTAATGTTCTCTATTTAAATCTTTGGCAGCATTTGAACTCTGGTAACGTTTCAAAACTGAATGAAGAGATCATGTGTCATTTCCTATACTCTGACTCAAACGTTAAATGTATTTTAAACATCTAGGTGTAAAGGACACATTGGAGTTTGTGTCATGTGACATGTGACAACCGAGTGGCATTACTGAACACTTTAATCTGATAGGAATTCCAAAAAAACATAAAATGAGGATGCAGGGAATGTGGTGATATCTCATAAGTATATAAATGAAAAATAATGTAAACAGAGTTGGCGTAACTACAGACAAAACTAAGGGTAGCTACGAACCCTTATCTCTCCTTCTCTTATCTCCCGTCACTGGCCTCGCTGCACAGAAAGGAGCTCAACATACCCAGGACATCTTTTTATTATCTGGCCTTAATAACCCCCAAAAATCTCTACTGATACACGGGTCACGTTAGACATCTTATACAATGTTGTTTTTCACTATATATATATATATATATATAAATTCTTTTTTCAATATGACGTCAACGCGCTTGATGCACTTTTCTTTGTGAGCAGGACTACAGACTCCTGCAGGTCTCGGCCTGCTCTTAAACAAAACTAGGGCGTGTTGCCTTAAGGCCGGGCTAATTTACTCCTCCTAGACAAGAACTATTGTCTGCCAACTATTAGCAAAAGAGTGTATCGCCCTGCAACTACTCTAGGTGAAAGTAAATTCATTTTACTGAAAAAGAAAGTGCTAGAAAACTCCACTCCATCAACATAATATGATTCACAATTGTCTACAGGTGCAGGTCCAGGTGTGCATACAGCTGTGTCTGGGTCCTGATGCAGACTGCTGATCACTTAATTGGGACACTTGCACTACGGCCTTTTTAGGACATTTGTACATGCTGTTCTTCTTCATGACCCATTTAGACGTAGCATACTGTGACTTTCTTTCAATGCACTAGTGCGACCTGTATGACCTTCTTTCAACATTTACCTATTTAGACATCATCTTTTAGTACTTGTTGGGGATCTTTTGCTATACTATACCAATACCTTTCTAAGACTTTTTCTGACTATGACTTTGATGACATGTTTTACTATGACATTTCTGTGACCTTGTTAAACAGGCTCTACTATGATTTTTGTCTACATAATATACTATGACTTATTATGACATAAAACACTACTACTTGTTTGGACATGCTGAAACACTGTACCATGACTCCTTTGGATCCAGGATGCTGCAGCTTGTGAATTAAATACTTACTCCCTGTAAGACATAAAACAAAACACAATACACCCCACAGCACAAATGCGGCTAACCAAGTACTCCAATATGAACATTTATTTTTTGTCGACACAATTGCAATTAAATAATATTTCCAGAACAGCACATATAGTTCTCTTGGAGGGACATTTTGGGCTTTGGAATAACACCAAGAAACCCCAGAGACAACGACAGGACAAAGATTTAAGGCAGGAGTTTGAAAACGGGGTGTCATTTTTCTCAAAACAAAAAAAAAAATGTATGCAAAGAGTGAAAACTGAATGAAAAGATCATGCATCATTCACTGTACCATGACTAAAATAAATGTATGTATATTTAATATCTGAACATAAAGAACAGATCAGAATTACTGTTCAGACTAAAACAATCATCAATTAAGAGTTACTGCAATAATATGCTACACATAACTAGCAATACTGCACACAAGAAAGAACTATTGAGGAGCCATCATGCATGTAAGGAGTGTAAAAAGAACCACAACAATCAAATGAAACAGAACAGCCATCTGTGAAATATGTTGTCATTACGAGTGGTAAGAAAACAGAATTGAAGATTTTTAAAGCTACGTCAAAGTTTGGACCTCAGGTACAATGTGTAAGACATACTCCAAGGAAATAGGGGGCAGCCTTTCATATCAAACCTGCACTGACAGCGCAGATAAAATGTGCAAAATTCAAAACTTCAGCCTTGGAAATCTGCAGCCGTAACACTGGATAGACCCAGGGCGGCGCGCTGCCTCCCAGTGCTGGAGTTTCTAATATTATGCCCCTATCGCCACCATCAGGTGAGGGGCGGGCCGAGTAAGCGTTGTCATTTCAGAAGATATCTCTGTGACACCACCAGTCTCTACACATCTTACACATTGCACCTTTAACAGCTGGTGCAACCCAACAACTAACTAGCCTGCTCCACACTGCACACTGGTTTTTAACTTGAGAGTAACCATCTCCATTCAGCAACTTTCAAAATCTGCTGAAATGGTACAGAGAGCATGACCTCAGTGTCCTCAATGGTGTAGCTCCAGCCCTGTATTGGGCTCTTTAGTGTGAAAAATCCTTTCAGATGGTCATTTTATTAATGGGTTCAATCTTGAATGTCAATATTATTAAATGATTGTTACAGGAAATACAAAATCTGTGCAGAAAACAAAAATCACAATGTTTATAAATGAATACATCGAGAGACATTGTGAAATTGACAAGACAGATCAAGAGGAAAGAAACTAAAGGAAGTGAAGACCTTGGGTACACAAATTATACAGTAGATCCTCTCTCGTACTGCCAGTAGCAACTCTCATAAAGCTCGTATCTTTTCTCCAGGTGTGATATGTCAAAACTGTCCAAAGTCCCGATGGGAAAAGAGGGAACGCCGAGAGTGTTTGTGTTGTGGTGCCTGTTCACTTCTCCCCGTGCCCAGCTGCCCAACACAGACTTTCCTCTTCCTCGATGGTCTCCAGCTCGTCTGTGCGGATCGCCTGTGTGATTAAATTTAACTCCTCACACAGGGTCTCATACCGGTACGCCACGCGGATGTCGGGAACGTTGGTGCGCCGGATGTCGTTGCACTCCTGCCCCTCCTTGGTGTGATTTGGGCCGAGCCAGGAGCACTTCACCTGGTGCATAGAAGAGAAGAATTAAAATTGTCCGCCCAGTAAAAGACCGGGGAGGGAGTTGTGTTATTATGGACAGTAAAACTGCATCACGTGCGTTGTGCTATAAAGATAAGTGATACCCTTTGAGAGAAGCCGCTCATCAGCACGCTGTTTCTGGCCAGCTCACACATGTCGCAGGAGCTCAATTTCCACACCTGGGCTGCAATGCTGTACTCCTCCATCAAGGGCTCCTACACAGATCACAAACCAAGCAGAGTTTTAATGTATCTGTATTAAAACTAAGATTAAGATTATTACACAGAAAATGTGTCAAATGTGTCAGGTTCCTAATTAGAGTGAGTGAAATAGATCTAAACCACTCATTTCACATTTTAGAGGATTTAGGGAAAAGGGTACAGAAAACCTAACCAGGTAGAAAGTCAGAATGATTGACAGGCTGTGCGTACTGACCTTGGTGAAGTGAAACTGCAGAGGGTCGTCGGTGGACAGAGAGACCACGAGGCCTCTGGACAGGTACTCTGGGAGAGGGTTACGATGGTAGCTGAGGAACAGGCTGTTGTTGCTGAGAGGGGACATGGCGATACCTATCTGGGCCAAGTAGTACAGATACTGCAGCACAGGAGCCTGGAGGACCATAAAGGCACAATACGAGCTGTAATAAACAATCAATGCTGCAGGAGTAGATTAATACCACGGCTTATATCGTTCACCAGCCTTTAAGGAAGTATTATTAGAACACTTTAATGCTCAGCTGAACAAATAGTTAGTTTCGGACTAAGAAACTGAGCAAAGTCATGATATTGAAGCCACACCTTTCTGAGCAGCAGCCCGTGGGAGATGTTCTCAGACAGCATGAAACCAGACACCAGGTGATGGATCGGACCCGCCTCCCCACAGTGAGGACGCAGGACCAGCGTGGGAAAGCCGCGCTGCCTGGACCAAAATACACAGAGACTCAACGGATTAGAGACCACAGCTTCCCGCCTGGCCCGAAGGTCACACAGTTATGCAAGCTATACCATTCCAAAAATAATTACATGTAAAATCTTCTCTCTGTGTTTACAAGCTGGAAAGAATGTAAAGGAAAAGAAAAACGGGAAAAAAAAGAAAATTAGATGATGTACCTGCGCAAGTGATTGAGCACGGTCATGTTTGCGTACATATAATAGAGGTAGTAGGAGTAGGGCGGGTTGTCCTCCTCTGTCCAGTTGCCTGGCAGCGGACTGTCCAGGTTGAAGATATGTTGCTCTGGTTTGGATTCATCATCCACACTGTCAAAACCCACGACCTGTGAGAAGAGGCAGCAAGAGAAACCCTTTGAGTTCTGTCTCCACGCGAACAGCATCACTTCACGACTGCCCAGTAGTAACTCCATACGTGCTGCAGGAAGAGGTGCAGCTCTGGATGGCTGCCCGGGTTGACTGTGACCTCAAACAGAGGCGTGAAGATATTCTCCAGCATCTCCTGGAAGTTGCACAGCTGTTTCTTTGTGCGGTAGACGTCACTTTGAAGGAGAAATGCAAATGAAGAAGTGACTTGTGAGGTTATGGTTGTGTTGGTTTGTCTAATGTCTGTCTGCATCCCTCATAAAAGGTTTAATCAGTGATGGAATTGGAGTACTCAGGCATTTCAAGTATGAGATACTTGGCTTCCAGGCAGTTGTCTTTACAAAAGGTTACAAACTCTAAAGGAGCATTTTTCCTTTTTTCTATTATGTTGCATAGTGCAATCAATAACGCTGAAATATATTCTTGTGTATCAAGCGGTAAAAGGTTTGGAATTCCTCAATATTCTATTTGAGTAAATGCAGTGTCATACTCTCATGCACTACTCACAAGAGTCTGGGCACTTGCACCAGCCAGCGCACGTTGGTGGAGTAGACCTGATGTTTTACAGCCCACTCGGCCAGTTTGTCCCACTCGTCCCTGCAGCGTCCGTAAATGGACAACCTGAGCTCCACGTTCTGGTACTTGCTCTCCTCCAGGTCTGCCATCACCTCCTGAAAAGCAGTGACACAATCAAGCAGTAGGTGGCGGCAGTGTCTCGTGCACAGCTACCAGGGGTGATGGCAGTTCTTAAAGTGTAAGTGAGCACCTTAATAATGTGTCCAAAGTATTTCCCCTCAATGTAGTTATCTGTTTTGATGAAGATCTCTCTCAGGATGGACTCGCCAATAGGGTTGTATTTGGCATTGAACTTGTCAAAGCGATGAAAAGTGTTACGGTCCTGCCAGGGGAGTTGAAACACAGCAATTCAAAACCCCCCCTCTCATTATCTGATGCTGTTGTCCTGAGGAAAAAAAGAAATGTGACCACTGATTAGCCTTTTGTCTGTCCATCATGGCCGTCACTCACTGCGTGCATGTCCAAGGTGTCCACGCTCAGGTCAAAGGCCGTCAGGTTCATGGTCTCAAACACCTGCATCAGCGTCTGGCCCTTGCCTCTTTCTACATGCACAATATCCTTAGGATACTTCTTCATTGCCCTTTTGATAAAACGCAGGAGGTGCTTCTGGTTCATGCAGGATGAGGCGTGAATGTGTGTGTCCACCTGTGAAATAAATTCAATCATTTCTTTCTCATTTCTTTTCTGTCTGGTTCTCTCCTTTCTTTTCTGTCTGGTTCTGGGTAAAGAATTTCCATTAAGCCAAGTAGAAACAGGTGTCAAGTTCACCTTACGGATATTGTAAAAGTCGCGATGTGGGACCTTCTTCTGGGCCGCCAACTCTTTCATTTCATTCAGCAGAATGTGCATCTGGAACTTGGAGCTGAGGTACTGCAGGCGACGGTAGCAGAAGGACTTTCTGTGGCACAGCGAAATATAAACAAGAAATTGGCACTTTCTGAGAGACATTGAACCAGGAAGACCAGGAAGTCAAATGATTAACAATTTGACCGGTCACATATCAACACACAGTTGTGAGGTCAACAATAAGGAAGCGTACACTGGTCCGTTGATGATGAGGGCCATCATCACGTTCATATCAGCGATATACTCCTGCAGGTCTGGGTACGGCAGGTCCAGCTCGGTGCCCCTGTTGGCAACATCAGAACTTAAGCGGGAAAGTCTCTGCCGCCAACTTAAAGGTGTGAGTCTAAAAGCATCCGACCACCTCGAGCACCACAAGATACCAGCCAGATGCCGGCGCCGTGTCACTGAAGTCTTACTTTTCCAAAGCGCTCCTCGTTGTGTACACGTGCATGACGCCGTCCACCATCTTGCAGCCGTAGCCCGCGTCGGGGGGCATGCTGGCAGGGTCCGGGTTCTCGTAGGGGTGCTTTCCGGAAGCAGGTGGGCGCCCTGTGGCATCTGAGAGGAAGCAGAATGTGGCACCGCGTCACGGCTCTGAACGAAGGTGCGCGCACGTGCAACCAAGGTCTGGTTTTAGGAGCCTGCGCGTTGAGGCAGCTCGGTGAGGAGTGTGTGACAGATGGGTTGTGAAATCTGTGGGTGGAATTGGTTAAACCCAAATATAAGAGCATAGCACATGCCGCTGTACATGACTTGTAGTCCTATATTTAACAGCCCGTGTGTAGCACTTCAGGGGGCCAATAGGGTGTTGACTATTGATCTGTCTTGGATGAGGGACCTCCTCCTGTTGCTTTTACTAGTTTTACCTCATTTGTATTGAGAGTGTGAGAGCAGAGGATGTTTAATACAGAATTCTTTGGAACAAATTTGCGATTCAAGATTTTGGCGACAAATTAATGACTGAAAAAATGTTGATTTTACATTTTTAGTATTTCACAAACACAAAGATAAAGAACTTGCATTGATAGAATACAAGGAAAAGGCAAGAAACTCCACAAAAACAAGAAGTTGGAAAAAGAAAATGATACTGTACATTACACTAATAGATCTATTATCCTTGTTGTTGTAGAATATCTTTTTAACGAATCTACTCGTTTGAGTATCCGTGCCTCGTATTTGTATTTATTATGGATGAATGTTTTTTTCTGCCTAGTTTCAGGATATCAGTCTGGTGGTGGAGATGCGTACATGCGTTTAAACCTGCAGTGCCTGAGGTCTCTGGGATCTCCTCCTCACAGACGTCCAACTCCAGAGGTCTCTCGCTCAGCTCCTGGAGGCAGCGAGCGGTGGTCCTGCAGAAGCTCTGCAGCGACAGACCCATATACTTCTGTCTGATGAACAGAGCCTTCACCACACACTTGGCTGCATCCAACAGATCTGTGAAGGGAACCTTGATGGAAGAACAATGGAACGAAAAGGAATTAGAAGAAGGTGTTATTTTTACTGTGAAAGACCACAAAGTGCTTCTATCATGAAATACTGTCCTTTCCAATTCTCCAATTCTACCTTACTGTTACTCTCACATACCCCACATTTCTCCTCTCCAGAAATAGCAACTCGCTGGTACTCTTTCTCTGGGACCGGTTCTCTCTCCTGCAGGTCAGGAGATTGGCTCTGCTCCCTCATGTATCTGATAATAAATCAACCAAAAAATGAATACTATTTTCTAATCTGGTACTTTAAATATACTTACACATTCACTGCATGATGGCACAACTGTTTCTTACTGGCAGAATAAAGCACTCACTCGAGATCAGTGGCGCTGTCGGTCTTCATGAACTCCTGTTTGGCTCTCAGGAGGATGTCGGGTTCAAACCTGGGAACAAGTCTCATCATTGTTGGCTTCTGGTTGCAAATGCAGCTGCAAATGCTGGTGTGTTCTTCCATGTCCTCAGTTCACTTACTTCACATCCTGGCTGATCTGTCGCTCGAGTCGCTGGCGTCTCTCCTCCAGCTGTTCAATCGGGCTGTCCTCTGGAAATTCATAAGGGGCGCTTCGCATCTCACTCTCAGCGAGAGTGCGTGAGAACAGCTCCTTCAGGCACACATACAGTAAACAACGTCTGAACTTCTAACCACAATGCATTTTAAAGCACGTAAACAGAGTGCTAACCTCAGCAATCTCCTTGTACTTCCCGTCCATGGATGTACGCAGGTCAATGGATTGTTTCAGGGCCACCGGGATCCCAGGCAAGGAATGCTGGGAAGTGAGGAGGTGGCGGGCCCCGCGGAGATCAGCTGGAGATGAAGAACGAGACATTAAGGGCTCGGCATCTTCTAATCATAGTCAGACACGTAATGCCTGATTTCAGTCGCTGAAACACCGCAACTCATTTTGGGTCGAAAGGTCATTAATCAGTTTTTGCTCAAAACAGCTGCATCGTATTAACTTTCAATGAGACTATCAGCCGAGATAAAAATAGCAATCATCGAAAGCGGGTTCGACATGAAAATGAATCATCTAAACGAGGTTAATCAGTTTAATGAGAGAACTCTGTCTTTATCATTTGTCATTCCTACAACACAGGAACAAAGGTTTAGTCAAACCCATTAGTTCACGGAAAGGAAAGAAAAAGGAGAAGATGGCTGGCGAGTGGATGCTTGGAGAGGGAGGTTGTCAGCAGCGATGAGGAAGACAAAGATTTGTCCTTAGGATACATTTAGTGAGGAAAGACAATCCCTTTCGCTGCTTCACTGTTTTCCCTCTGGGTGAACATTTACCAGTCTGTCTGCCATGTTATTAATCTTTCCCTCGAAACTACGCACCCTTCCACTGAAACATTCATCATCCTGTTAAATATTTCATCCCGCGTGAGCTGGAGTGTCATTGAGCCTGCTGTCTGTCAGCAGAGATGGACCACGAAGAAGGTCACAGAGGGCACAGCGAAGGACGCTCGCGCCCTCTGCTGAGCGCGATCCATTCAAACCCAGCACGTCTGCTGAATGTAAACAGGAGAGAATACCACAGGGGCCAATCCACCGGGCCGATTGGGACTCAACTAAAAACTTTGTTTCAGTGGCCACGGTTCTCCACGTCGTTTATCAGAGTGTTCAACCAACACGTTGCACAACAAGATTTTTCGGCATCAATGCGTCAAAACATACAGAAGCATCTCGGACTGAAATACCTCAGATAACACAAACTTCCCCCCTGTATAAATATTCAAGGGGGCACATGCTTTGACCTTTAAAAGATTAAATAGTTGAGCTTAAACATTAAGCTTTAATTTGGATTCAAATCAACAAACTGACAAGCAAATAATAATAGAATTTAATGTTGACCAATGAAATCGTCTCTACAGGAAGAAGACTGAGACACAAAATGATGGTAGATATACAGTAGATAGATATATGTTTGGAAACCATTAATAACAATAATGCCTATGCAATTCTTAAATAAAATATGCAGGAAATTGAATTTGAATAATCATAAAGATGATAAGGAAAGTGGTAGAGGACACATAGTCAAAAGTACACACATTGCTAAACAATTACGTAATTGGGGTGTATATTTAAATGTATATAGACATTTGACAATTTGATTAAGCACATAAAACAGTCAAGACCAAAAATTCTAAATGAAATTGAGACCTGAAACAATAAAAATTGTCATTTTTCCAGCAAAAACACCACACATTCCATTCCCTGGTTCCACACAATGAATTTACTTCATAATCATGTTATCTGTGGGTTTTGGACTTCTGGGGAGAACAAACAACATATCTAAAAACTTCATCTACGGAGTTCTGAAATACTGTAAAAAGGAAACTTTGCAAACAAATAATCGCAGAAAAGTTTAACTAAATTATAATGAGAACACATGCGGTAACACATGCAGCGAAGCCAAACTGTCCTCCAGCCTCAGTCACAAAGTCCATCCACAGATGCTGCAGGAGGAGGACGCCTGTCTGTGTAATGAACTAAGATGTTATCTCTGCTGTCCGTTCGGTGCACATCAATTCGCCCTGATAACAGTGGACGGCGGTGTGGAGGGCAGCAGCCAACCGGCGGCAAAGACATCTATACAAGGCCACGGCAACGTCTGGCCCAGCCAAGCCTGCTGGGCCCGCAGCTAATCCCCTAATGGCTGCTATATTTGGAGCGTGTGGGGTTACATAACAACTCATCCCGCCACGGTTTGACCACAAACCACAGAAAGTAAAACCCGCCATGGTTCACTTTAACAAATGGCACACATTCTAGTTGTATGACGCTTTTATCTATCCAGCAGGAAGAAAGCAGCACGAGGGCCGGGCTGAGTAAAACATAAACAAAGCAGGACTGAAGGGTCATTTTTATTTGTTTTTAACCAGATTAGATATCGTTTAAACTATGGAGAAGCTCGTGCTGTTGTACCACCTCCGTTTTAGTGCAGATATTAGATTCCTACTACTTACCGATTTAGGTAAAGTTACTTTGAAGAATGCACCTTTTATTTCCATCTTTGATGTACCAAAAGAAGGCAACAGTCTCAATGTACACAAACCATCTATATTTTGAATAAAATTCACACTTTATCTAGAAACATTACATATCTCACTTGGCATTTGAAGCCCACTGTCCGTATTTGAGTTTTTGACACAATGTAGTTTGAACACAAAAAAAAACAATCTACTTTTCAGTCTGGCCTCAAACCCGGAATATGAAGTCACAGCATAATAACAACTATCTCTGGCTGCTCAATATCACATCATCATCAATGTTATAGGATAAGCACACGACGCTCCCCAGCTCCTCTTAAGGATGCTTACTCCTCCAGCATCCCTCGATGGCTCTGCATCAAGCTGCAGACGTCTCTCCAGATGTGTTAGCGGACTAGAACAAACTTCTTTCCTGCGTATTCTTTACTACTGTCGGATTTCTCATTTGAAGGAGACAGAAAAGGAATTCAAAAAACATGAAGGCAGGACCTCAATTAGGCCTAAAAACAATCCTTCAGAGTCATGAACAGTTATTGATTTGGTCGGCCTCCATGCACGCAGTTTTAGTTAGCAATCAATCAATAAACTAAACACTATAGACAGCACTGCTCAGCGCTGTTACACGAAGCCGTCAAGGACCAGGGAGGAGGAGTGAGGACGTGAGTGTGAAAGGAAAGAAGGGGGAGAGTTAGAGGGGAAGAGAGAGCAAAATTTGTGCTTTTGCACGGGACAAGGTTAGTGTCCCTGTCTCTACCTGTCTCAGCGTTAGTTAATTAACCCATCAGAGGGAGGAGGGACAGACGGGGAGATGGAGCGTGACAAACAGCACGTGGCCCAGTCAGCTGTTTGTCACGCATGCTAAACATGATCGGAGGGAAGGACGGAGACAAGAAAGAACCACTTTAAACAAACTGGCTAAAAAGCACACACGCTCTCACACACCAACACGCAATCATAGAGTCCCAGACTCGTCTCCTCTGTTTCCTTAGTCCCGATCATACATACAAAGGGCTGGTCCAGCCGATCCATGAGCTCATCCCAGCGGCTGACCCCTCTCTGCTCTGTCTGCCTCCCGGTTCAGGCCAGCTGTCGCTGCACTCGCCTCCTCTGGAGCTGATCCTCCTCATTTAAATGCCTCTGACATTATTCTGGAACGTACCACTGGAGGCAGAGGGAGGGAATGTGGGGGGTGTAGGATGGAGTTCCATCCTGCCGTGAGTTTCCCCAGCAACACCCCGCGCTCTCCTCTAGCTTCTCCCCGCTGAGGGGGACCACGTTTTGGGGGTGTTCGTGTCGCCAAACATCGGTGCGCTTCGAGACGTCATGGTGAGATGAGCACAGCTGCAGTTTGAAGGAGGGGACCGTTGCCTCCACGTTCTCACATGGATGAAATTAAAGGGCCGGCACGTTTTCCGCATTATCGTTGCAGCAGGGACACGCGTTCCAATACGAACACAGAGCTGTGTGTATGCTAAAACTGCTCAAATAGCACGTTCATAATTCTTTGAACTGATGTAATTTCACAGAGTGATATTTGTGAAATCTGACATGTGGCTGCAGTGTGCAAGTTCCTCTGGGGTCATATCTCTTATGTCATATCTCTCTCCTTTTATTATCCTTCTAGTGGAACAATTGCTCAGGATAACAGCTGCGTGCTTGAATTGCAAAAATATGTAATGAACATTTTACTGGATTGCACTTGTTGTTAAGGTTGGATTTGTTATTCTGTGTCACAAATATATTTATTTTTTCCTTTTGGGTTTGTGTAGTTTCTAGCAAAAGTTACTGAAACAGAAATGCTAGTGAATTCTATTTCCAGCGTGCCTGTGAGTATTGTATTAACACCTGCATCACTGTGTGGGATTCCTTTTATATAAACTGTAGTTCCCATGTTTACAATGCGTTTTGCAAATGTTTTTTTGATTGGAAAGCAACCGAAGCCTTCGAGACAGAGGCAGTAGCTCTATTAGGCTGAGAAAGATCTGATCAATTCATTTAATGAGAATATTGCCATTTTTATCGATAAGAAAAGTCAGAACTTTATAAACCGGTTATACAATAGTTCAAAACCCAGTTTGAAAGAGGACAGAAAAAAAACACTGAGGGCTACATAAAGCCAGACGCAATCCAACTTCAGGCCAGATTCAATAATAAGATTAAATTATTGTGTTTCTTTTCAAGGCTCTTAAAGCCAAAATAGCAATCACAAGGTCTAATCAAACAGATGAGGCCTCAAGAGGAGCACAGACAACAATATTGCCATTCATTGATTCATCTGGCTGCTCCAAATCTTCAGACCAGGCTCTCTCTAGTGGTCAAATACTGCATCACACACACATACACACACACGCACACACACATACACACACACACACACCATCGTTTGCATGTCTAAGAACAAATGTAACTATAGACGCTTGCAAAGCTTCAATCTACTCTTCCATCCATCCATTGTCAAACCGCTTATCCTGCACACAGGGTCGCGGGGGGGCTGGAGTCCATCCCAGCCAACTTCGGGCGATAGACAGGGTACATCCTGGATTGGTCGCCAGCCAATCGCAGGGCCACACAGAGACAGACAACCATTCACACTCACATTCACACATCTACGGGCAATTTAAAGTCCCCAAATGACCTGATCCCCAGAGCATGTCTTTGGACTGTGGGAGGAAGCCGGAGAACCCGGAGAGAACCCACGCAGACACGGGGAGAACATGCAGACTCCACACAGAAAGGCCACTGGGCCAGGGAAACCCAGGACCTTCTTGCTGTGAGGCAACAGTGCTAACCACCACGCCACCGTGCCACCCTTCAATCTACTCTTCCTAAGTTTAATTATTTAGTAGAAGCAAAAGTCCTGCATTCCCAATTTGACTAAAGTAAAAGCATACCAGAAAATGCAATGGTTAATATTTATATATATTATATTATTATTGTGAAATATTAACAGCTAAAGAGATGTCTGGTTTTGCACTGGTCTCGATGGAGCTAATTTAACCGCTTCATGTGATATTGAGCTTTTTCTGCCTTGAACAAGGACACATTTCTTGAATGAAGATGTGCACGGTCGCAATCAACGGATCTTTTGACCAACAGACCAAAGGCTAAACACATGATTGTCACTCAAGATAATGAATGAGCAAATCTTCATATTTAGGCTGATGTTTGTTATTTTAGTTTAAAAAGGAGTAGTTGATTATCAAAACAGCTGTTCATTAATTTGATGTCAGTTGATTTGTCAACGAATCAACTAATAAAAGAGTTATCTGACAAGTAGCAAGTAAATATGAAATCTCTAGTACTTAAGTAGATGTTTAATGAATAACAAGAGTCAACATACTCTACAATATTCCTGCCACTCAATAATGTATTTTAATGTTATATCGCGTAAACAGCAGCATGCAGCGTACCTTCCAAACCAGATTGTGTCTCTCCACGTGTCGATGTGTTGCAAACCACAGCTGGCATCAAATAGTGACTCTATATGTAAAGCACCACACCATTAAGTATGAACAACAATGCAACAGAAGGGTGATCCCACCCACAGGAACAAAGTCCACGAGACCCCCGACGGGCCAGATGTTGGTTCATATAAGACCCAAACAACTAGACAACTGGAGGCGGTGCGGACGCACACGAGGAGTGACTCCCTGGAGGTTATCGGAGGAAGGTGTGTTGGGGTGGGAGCTTCGAGGCTGGGTCGATCATTATCTGTGCAGATTGCGTTACTGAGGGAGTGACAAGGCTTAACATTTAACTTACAGGGTCTCTCTGCTGTAATTAATTAATGTATCTGTTCATGTCACAGACCCCATCATGTGCAAACACCAAGATGACAAAGAGTGACACAACCAAAGGAGGAGGGAACAACACGAGGTCGAGGTACAACGTGTTCAAAGGTCCATCATCAACCGTGCGTACTGTATACATGATCATCCAGTAAATCATTCAGCTCAGTTCTTTGGGATTAATGTATTTGTAGTATTGCTTTTCTGCAGAGGTGGAAAGTAATTCTGCACTTTTTATTAAGCATTGCTTAATTAGTTTATAAAATATGATTGGTACAAGTTGAACTAGTCAACAGAACATGAAGCTACAATATTAAAAATGCTGTTCACACATCAACTCATCAGTAATAATGAAGTAACTCCTCATAACTATATAACATGTCAGAAGGTACTTTCCCTAATGGAGTATTTTCTAAAATGACAATGAATGAATATGTATCTATTTTACTGATGTATTTGGTCTTCTTGTGAATCATTATAGATCATCTGTTATTACACCTTTTAAACACTATCAGCCTATATAATACAGCTAATGACGATTATAAGCAATTTTGTGCAAAGCCCTCATTCTTCTTTAGGTTGTCTAATAAGTGTAAGAGGCACAGAAAAGGCGGACGGGTGAGTGGGCGGCGCTCGAATCTCACAACTACCTTTTCACAGCCAGAGAAGTGATTCACACACGGCTGTGAGTCTAAATATGGACGGACGCAAACTACACTTTGCCTCAGCCCTTCACACAACAGCTGCTAAAGAGAGCAAAGGGCTGTTTGACACACGGCAGCATGTGTCGAGCAGGTCTATAGGCTTTCAAAAAGAGGTCAGATGTGAGTGATTCAAATTGATCTGAGGCTGATTAGATGAGCAGCTGGTCAAACCACTCCGCTCGCTCACTGCGCTCCTTGTTGCTCCATCACAGAGAGCTAAACGCTCACAATCACTACAAAACCATGACTGTCCTGGCTCCTAAATGGTGGAATGAGCTCTCCAATGACATCAGGACCGCAGAAAGTCCACACGTCTTCCGACGCGAGCCCAAAACACGCCTCAACCGACTATACAATATTATATGCTGTATATATACTATGAAAACTGTAGTTATTAAATCAATCCTAACAATGACAAATTATATATATATATACAGAGCTGACAACTTTTCAAAAAACCTTGGAGTGAGATTTTGTCGGGGGTGACCAAAATGTTGCCGCGCACACAGCCACACGCACTGGTGGCTCAAATATCAGGAAATTGGAATTAATTTGGCGTAGTACCCATGTTGTACGCTGCATTCTGGTGGTTTGTGGGGCCCAAAGTCGTCGATAGGGGCGGCCTGCTGGAGATGGAAAACATTGGTTTCATTCTGTGAAGCAAAGACATAGCTGATGGTCCACCCCCAGGACATGTTGGTTTAAGTAGATTTCATGTATTCTAGTGGATTTTTGGGTGGTATGCCTGACCTTATTCTGATTCATGTTCATCTGCTCATGACTTGTGGGGCCTTCTAGACTTGAGCTGAACATTCAACCAGAAAACTATTGCTGTGCCTCAATGACTGTCTATGTACCACAATATAGCCTAATTAATAGACCTGTGTTTAAGATTTTACCAATTTAGATTGATTGACATTTTGATTACAATGGTATTCAACTAATTCTTAACTGAAACTTAACCTATATTGTTAATAATTGTATTCTTAAGAGCACTTAATGATTTATGTTCAGCAAAAAATGACAAATGTTATGTGAGCAGCCTTTATAAACGATGCTATGATGTTTTGAGCATGCAGTATACCAAGAGGTCAACAAGGTGCTCTCCTGCTGCTTGTTATGACAGTTTACATTCACCACTCAAAATCACACGCACAAACACAACTAATCATTTATTTCCAGATTTAAAGTTTAAGAGAGTGAGTACTTAATTGAACCACATGTCATTAACACAACTTAGTCTTTGCTCCTCCTCAGTTTCTTCCGCGGTTGTGTCTGTTTGAAAGTCTTCTTCTGTTGCTGACTGCGGGACTCTTTGGGGTAAATAGGACGTCTATGCAGCGAATAGGTTTACAGGCGCGCTCCTTAGCGCCATCTATCGTCGGGGAGTTTGAAAAGAAACGAACGCGCTTCGGCCCAAAATGAGAATTTTTTTTTTTGCCGTGAGAAATTGGTTGTGTGGCGTGAGTGCGTGTGAAAACATGCAAAAGCGTGTGTCACACGGCGAAACCGTGAGAGTTGGTAGCTCTGATATACCTTGTTCGTGCTATCAAATGTACAGCCTTGCTCTGCCTTGTTTATACCCTGACTAGCTAGCACTTTAAATAGTCTGTCTTTCTTTGTTGATTGTTGTTGTTGTGGTTGTAAGCTTCTTTGGATAAACAGCTAAATTAAATGTAATGTTATATAATATAAAGCTGCAGCCCTCCACGTGTATTCCACTTGGCTATTCTGATTGATTGGCCAGGTAGACTGGCTAAAAAGTTGAGGATGCAGATGCAGTTGAAGATAAAGCTTGATTTAGATCATCGTTAAGGAGACAAAGTCCTTCATGATCTTGTTATGAACGACTGCAGCAGATTCAATAATATCAATCCTATATCCAGATTTTAGTAAAGTGGCAATGGCAAATTCATCCAAAAAGTCAATAAAAATGTTATCGAATGATAGTGTATATGTAGATTTTTTAGGAAAAACAAAAGATTTAGTCTCTTGAGTGTCGTCTTTGCCTACTCAGATGGCTCATTTGGTGCTTTAACAACACTAAATGTGAGTCATCTTATTGTGCCTCTGCAGAGTAATTGTAAATGAAAACACAGAGGACAAATCTGTGCACAGAACAGTTTTATTTATCGTCAGCGCAAAAATTGTTTTCGACAATGCTTTTGTCACAGCATGTCACTGTCTATCGTACATGTGACCTAGTTTTTTTAACACATGTTATGTCATTAGAATTAAGTGCCAGTAGAGGTAGATTTTTATCTTATATCATCTGCTTTCAAATAAAATCAACAAATTATAATCTAAATTATTACAGCAGTGTTTTCTATTAAATGTATGACGTTGAAGTGACCTATTTTTTCACATTTTGTTGAAAAGTCTTTTGGATTCTGAAACGACGCGCAGTGAACAAAAGAGGGCTGTCATTCTGCCACGTGGTCATTCTATGCTCTTTGTAGTTTGGATGAAAGGTTGACCAGCGTGTGCATACATCAGAGTGGAGCCTAATCCTCTCATTCAGCCGGGATCAGGTCCTGAGGTACCAACCTACATATTCTATCTAGGCCACATACCGCCATCAGGCTACATGGAAATCCCTCTCAACATATTTCTCTAACCAACACGTTAATAACAACAAAGGATTTTCAGGAATATTTTCTCACATGGCAACATGTTTTGAAAGGATGTCTGATGTGGAAAGGGTCTCCGACTCATGATGTACCTTTTAATTATTTAAATTGAAACAGATAAAATGGGTTCACATTTGAGCAGCGTCATAATTGTTTCCCTGGGCTGATGGTAAAGAACGCATGGAGCCTTTATACGTTGTGTTCCTAATAAAACAATGAGCCAGACAATTAGTGGTGAAAAGAAAAGCTGCAACCCATCTGCAACGCTGAGAAGATGCAGGGTTTGAATGTCAAAATCCTCCAGAGGATCAACTAGCACCTCCATAATCAACAGGTCAAACTACTGACAACAAGTATTTCACAAGCGTTTCCTGTGACGAGTCTTATCTGATAAATGATCATCAATCAAAGTACCCGTCTTCAAAAAGTCAGAAATCCTAATGCACAGTCCAGAGGCACAGCACCTCAGGCTCATTCAATGTGAGACTCCTCACCCGTCACTTTACCGACACACTCACTCCTTCCTCCTTCTCCATCCCCATGCAACCCCCACTCACCCGTGCTGGCTGCATACTGCAGGCTGCCCCGCTTCCTAAAGGGGGACAGGGGCTTGTTTTTAGCCCCGGCAGCGGTCGCTGGGGGCAGGTTGGAGGACATGGTCTTCAGCTTGGCAGTGATGGGAAACAGAGAAATGAGCGAGTCAGATCTGTGGAGAACCGAGCGTTTGAGCGCTGAGGAGGAGAAGAGAGAGAGGAAGGCGAGGCGATACAGCACAGATGCCGGACGCTTGAGGGGGTTTGATTGCAGTCAGCGTAAGTGTGTGTATTCGAATGTGTGTATGGGAGTGTGTGTGTGTGTGTGTGTGTGTGTGTTCAGCTTGCTACGTGCCTGTGAGGAATTCCAGACTGGTTGGTCCAGCGTGGAGCTGCAGGGCATCTCTCTGCAGCGAATCAGACCCCGCCCCCTCCGAATAGCACTCTTGTGCCTGAGCTGCAGCTGATGGAGGCTGAGGGGCGGGAGGGAGGGGCTCGACTTCACCCCTGCAACGCATGAACACACTCACACACACGCGCACACATACATACACAGGGTACAAAACACACGCGGCAGCCTGCAGTTCTGCTGTTGCTATGACAACAAGAATTCAGGAGCAAAGCAATGGGGAGAAAAGTTATGTCTACAGAAAGATGGAACTAGAAAGATGAAAGGCGGCAAAGGAATGTGAAACAGAAATCCTTTGCAATAAAACTAATAATGATCAGAATTTCCAAAATGTTATTAGCTTATGCCCAATTGGCTGATTGTAAAGCGAAATAAAAAGTAAGGTACAAAATCACTGGAATAAAAAACGTTGATGATGCAAGTCGAGCTGTGAGTCCAAATATTAACTACCGGATGTATTATCTCCACATTTTATTGACATTCATTTTCACTGACTTTGATGATAGTTATTCAGCTCCAACACTAGGTGAAAACGTGCATAATGCTTTGATTTAAGACCAAAGAAATGCTCAACTAAGGACATTCTGATGATCCCATGCTGTACCGTATCAGCTCCAGCTCAAAGTATCGCTGTCCAAAGCCATGTCAATTGTAAAGCATTAATATAAGAGATGGAATAAAATCTAGAATCCAGCTCTCCAACACAAACATGCCGTAATCCTCCGGCTATGTGAATATCTCTGTGAAAATCTCTTTACTGATAAAACTATCAAACAGGATGAGGAAGCAGACGCAACTTAAATTGATTTCATGTATAACTGAATTCCAAATATCATCTTTGTGTTATTAACAAACAAATTCATTATCAATGAAACCGAAAACATAAGCTTTTTTTCTGACAAACCTTTTTCTTTCTATTTGAATATATACTGTATATAATCCTCAAGTGGGCCTTGCATGAAGGACAAGCGGCTTTAAGACGAAAGTGAGAAATCTTGTGTGAAATGTCAAAGTTGAAAATACTTCATAATCAAAGTGACAACAAGCCACGATGGAGTGAATTAATGATTAGTGATTTAGTTAAACAAACATCATTGGATATAATAGAATACCCATATAAATGTTTAAATAATAGTATATAAAAGTATAAGTATATAAAATAAAAGTATTGTCAGGAGTAATTAACATGCGTGACGTCGATGCATGATGAGTAGAAATCCATTTTTATTCCAGATAAAAAGTCTAGAAATGCTGATGAGAGAACAATCAGCCCACCTGACCTCTCTACATCATTTATGGGTGTTACACAGAAAACATATTACAGGTTGGTGGAAGACCTCCTGGCTAAATAATACTGTAATATAAGATCATTACAATGACCAGTTACAATACAAACATTAACTCCGCTGTTGTGCAGTCAGACTATTTTTCACTTGTTTCCTCTGTTGTTAATTTCTCTTCAGGAAAACAAACGCTGACTTTGGACACACAGCTCCCTCTGATGGCAAAGACACATCTGTGCATGCACCCGGTGACGAAAGCATTAGGAGAGAATCTGGATAACGTTCTACTCACAGAGTATCCGAGGATACTGTGTGCAGACAGCAGGAAATACTTTGCACAGTAGGTGACCAATAAGTTAGCGGACAGTAACAGACACATTTAAGTGATACGATTTGGGGTTGTGGGAGAACCAAATGTGGATGTAAATTGAATGAAAGAAGAAAGGACGTGAGAATTAGACCGTGTGAACAGATAATTTAATATCAGTGTTTTGCACAAAATGTCTTTAAATATGTGAAAATAGTTTGTATTCTGTACAAAACGAACAAGCATTAAAAGCACAGTTTATTTATCTCTGTAATTCAACATTGAAATCAAATAGACAAATATTAATTTAAATGCTCAAAATTGTTATCATGTGAAAGTGATGAAAGTGATGATAAATCCATATAAAATTGCCCCAAAAACATTTAGTGTTACCCTTTATATTCAGAGTTCACTTTAGCGACAAGAAGGATTTACACAATGTTTTGTGTAAGAGGATTAAGTATCCCAACATCGTGCTACAGTATGAGGTCGCCAAGCTTCCCCCATCCGTCACCAAGAGGAACGCACTCACTTATTTGGGAAACTTGATGAAAAGCATGTCGAGTAAAACCACATTAGCTCATCGGTGGGACGTGATCTCCTGTAATTGAGTCTACTCAGGAATTACAAAAACGTCCCCACGCGTCACACAGAGGAAAGTAAAAAGGGTCCACCTTTATATATCAAACACAAGTTCACTTTATGTTGAGTTGGATGCTGACAGAGTAATTATTGGATTTCTACAGGGGAATATTACTGAGTCCAGAGCTCTTTGATTACCAACATATCTGCCTATTTATCAGCACATATTCCCTCTAAGAGGCTCTACAGTTCAACCCCAGTGAAGATCCAGATTTAAACAACAGAATTAGAATTATTTCTTGTGTATTTATAGATGTAATTTGAGATATTTGAAGATGCATTCAATGGTAAATGTGATCACCAGAGTGCTTGTGTTTGACATTATAGATGAAGCCTCAGTTAGCCTCCAGCTTGACCTACTTCGATATAATCGAATAAACGGAGGATCGGTATCCATTCTCTCTGCACTTTGCTGTAAAAAAACACACAAATCCTACACATTTCAGTTTCCCTGCACCCTCCACCAAAAAAGTCTGTGTGTTAAGCCCCCGCCTCCCTCGTTGATCTGTGGCCCTGTGTGTAATCTCGTCAACAGATAAGAGACGCAGGCGCTGAGCACAAAGCAGGGCGAGGCCATCCACCTGCTAATGGGATTGGCCATCTCTAGATGTGCCACTGTGTTTAGCCTGCTTGGAAGCATTCAGGGGTTTAGACCCAAAACACCATGGCCCAGTTCATTAGCAGCACATGCTTAGGCAGAGTGACGTGAGTCTAATGCCCAGTATCTCAGCACAGAACGGGACTCCGACATTGGTGCAAGTGAGGCCGTGTGAAAGGGAAAAGTATATATTTTTTTATGCATTGATGTGAAATATCTGCACCTAAGCAGTAGTGGTAATGAATGGAGTGGTTTTCTGTGGAGCAATTCAAATTTGACTAAAATGATGAACTAGTATACAAATGCCTGTAATGTTGGACTTCCTTAAAAACAAGAACAACAAGAAGCCACTTTGGGACTTTCGTTTCACCTTTGACCTTCGTTCACACTCAGTCTAAATTGAGTTTGATCCCAGTCTGTCGATCATTTAGCTCCCCGCTGAGCCTGTTTGACCCTGACCTCACAGAACTGGTACCCGTATCGTTTGATCCCACTCCTCTTGGACCAGCTCCTCCTACAATAAACCTAAAGAGAAAGTTAAAGAGCCGTGGGAACAATATGTGCAACGTTCACAAAAGGACAGGAATCCGGCATCCATCCAGAACTCCACCGGCAGTCTCTACTGTACCGTCTCTACTATGAACCGTGATGCTCGCGTCTGACACACACACACATGTTTTAAAAGGTCAAAAACGATTCCACCCGTAAGATGCGTTTAGCTGATTTCCAAGGTGCTTTTTTGGGGGGATAATATGCAGCAATGGATTATCTCAAAGTAAGTCCTCAAACATGCAGGGGAGGACGCCATGAAGACCAGGCCCACTGACTTCCAGCCATCAGTAAGCATCATAGATCAACTGCTCCAATCCTGCAACCAAGCGCTCAGCACACGTAGAATCCTGACTACCGTCTCCTTTCTGAAGGAAAACGGGAACATTTTTTAGATAGTTCCAGATATGTTGGACGTAACTTTTACATGTAGGTCATGTTATGCTCAGACCACACTAAACAGCAAAGAGCAGTGTCAGTTGCTTTATTTAGCAGGCACCACACCACCTGGGATTTAAAGGTCTTAACTATAAGAAGTTTAGGAGAGGTTAATGCCTACCGGCTTCGTCCACGTGACTGACACTGAAGTCAAGTATCTGACAGGAAGTACTGCATGGATCAAACGTATAGACGCTGACTGCAAGCCACACATTTATATAAACGGATGCCTCGTTGCCAATCCAGACCTTTGCAGGTTTAAATGTTTTCAAAATGTATGCAGGAAGCTCTAGGATGACTAATGTGTCTTTAGTATATAGTGTACTGCATATACTCTGCATGTATACACACTTACACAGACACCGTAGACGCTGTGATGGTTACAAACATTTTGCATATGGACAAATCAAATCAATGACTGAGGAGATCAATGACTCACTAAACCCGAGTATTTGAGGGGATTTATTTTCAACTTTTTCTTTGCATCATTCATCATTCACTATTGCCCTTATTATGATAATTGGATTGACTGGCCAATCAGGAAGAGGCATCTTCTAAGTCAGGGGTTTAAGCAGAGGGAATTAAAGGGAGGATCTCTGCCGGAGAGAGCCTCTGAAATGAGTTGAACCTTGAGAGAGTCTCACTGATCACCTAATCGAAAGAGTCCAACAAAGCTGGGAAAGCTCAGGCACCTCCCTCTCAATCCTGCATCCGCTCGGAAATCGCCTTTCAGCACGATTAGTGTTGCAACCAGATTCTCTGCTCCCCAGCTCACAGTGAACCGTCAAAATTTCCTACCTTGAGGATCTTGAGTTTGAGGAGGAAGAAAGCATGGGTGCGGGAGCAAGTGCCGAGGACAAAAAGTCCAAGGAGTTGGAAAAACAACTTCAAGAAGATGCCGATAAGGACTCTAAAACAGTCAAGCTGTTACTGCTTGGTAAGTGGACTCATGAATAGTCTTGTTGCGAGTTTTCCTTTTTGTCCCAGACTGGGTTCTGCAAAGGGATCAGACTGGATGCTTTGCTTTTTTAAAAATTCAGCACTTAACTAATTCTAAATTTGTACTTTCTTTCTCGGCTTGAAAAAAATGTCCCGTCTGCAAAGTAAAACAGTAGTGCTGCAGTCAGCCAACCATCAGCAGGTGTAACTGCTTTTTAAATACAGGCCATCCCTGACCTGTTCAGTCAGTACTAATCATGATTAAGGTCTGGGAAAAGTTTCAGGATAGATGATTTACTTAATGTTACAGGTCCAATTCATGATAATATATTCACGAGCTAATTCAGTAGTAAGTCAAATGGCTCATTTGCTGTATGTTTTTCTAATCTTTGATTTGAGCCATGTGAGGCGCACTAAACGTCTCTGAGACAGCTGTTCACTGCTCAGTTAGATGTGAGGTACATGGTATACTCAGAGGATTTGTTTCTGGATTAAACTCATTAGTTTATTAAAATTTTTAAACCCTTTGCAACACTCACTTGGAATTAGTGGAAGAGAAGTCGAGGGACGTACGAGAGAGATGTTTGCAGGTTGATCAGCTAACACAAAGATCTGAGACGGAACTCACTGCAGCACTTTTTTTGGTGTACTACAGATTTCACGTCGGTAAAAGACTCTAACGTTGACTTACATTTAGAATATAAATACTGCAGATACTTGAGAGTTGTGTCTTTACCACTATGGTGTTTTTTTTTTTAAAGAATCTGAAGATCTTTGTTTGACCTTTTTGATATTTAACTAATACATTCAATAAAAAAGCAAAGGAGTGAAATGGACTTTTGGATTTTTTTTATCCTAGTATCTACAAATGAGGAATAACTATCAGGACATTGGCGCTTAAAACAATCCTAGCCTTTGGTCTAAATGAGTCACAGGCCAGCTGTGATATGTCAAGCCGATTAGCTAACTGGTTTAGTGCAGATCCACTTGGTGAAGTCTTTGTTGATCCTCAACCGGCAGTGTGGAAAACACATGGATAAAAAAAAAAATGTACTACAGAAAAAGTAGAATATTTTTCACAACATTGCATTAGTCTTTCAGAGAGTAGTCGCTGTGTCACACTTCTCGAAGACCTAAAATTCACATCCTTTGGACTCTCATGGTAGCTGCTTCTCCAGCAGTATAAGTATCAGAGATCAGAGGAAAAAACGGAGTAATACAGATGAGAAGACGACCACGTGCCTTGTGAAAGGAGACATCCCAAGATGTTTTTATCTGAATGTGACGGTGTGCTGAGCATAGACATAATTATTGGTGAAGATCTCTCAATTAACTAGAATATTTAGGGTACATAACAATAGCTTTTGCTAAGAACGCCATCAAGAACATAGAAATCTGAATGTAGTGAAGTACTGCGAAGCTTCTAAAGCAAAGCTCTGGTACTCTATTGAATCTAAAAAATCTGCACCCGTTCATAGAGTTAATTAACTAAATCCCAGACTTAGTCCCTGCAAAGCCTAAAGACACATTGGCTAAAGAACACAAGGTGAAACAATGACTCCGAGAGGATAACGCGCTCTTAGTTAAATCGCCAGTCTAATACCGTAATAGTGTCACCTTTACTAGCTGATCTTCAGGTAGTAAAGGTGACACTATGACGGTTGTGGGGTAAAGCAGGGAGACGCTTTGGGTTGCTAAGGGATTTGCAATCTTGAGCTAGCACAAGCAACCGGTCCTTAAATTGTGCATAACTGCGCAGTTCACATTGTCCATCAATGTTCAATGGATGCACAAGTTACATTTTCACTGCATGTCTCTTGTCCTGTCTGCACGGCCTCATTCTGCGCCAGTGGGATTTACTTAAATTTGGAGACGTCTGCCAACCCACTGAGCTTAGAGGAATTTGCAACGGAATAAGCCTTCTGATAACCTTTTGACCATTTTACACTACATTATACCTTAGCAAGACAATACAGGTAAACGCCTTGTTGGTTCTAGGATATTATGTTGTTCTCAATAAGGGATCTTTTTGCTAGTCTCTAAAGGCATCACATGAAACCGCAGCCAGATCACTTGACACAACCTCATGGTCACTGTAGTTTCAAAGACCAGTTCAGACAATGAGTGGTTATCACACCCATAAACCATCTGTCCTCTACACGGGCTCCAACAACATTGTCTCGTCTTGCTTTCATCACCTTAGATTAGATTTTTCTCAACTGTGGATGATTCTGTTACATGAGACATGAGATTTACATTATTATTTTACACTCAACACAAAATATGTAATTGTAAATGTAAAAAATGACATGTAATGTAATTTGGCTCAGACAATAGAAAGACTTTGTAAAACAAAGTCAGTTACATGTAAAACTCTGCTTTTGAATAACCGTGAAATGCTGACGCACATCTATGTGTGTACAGGGGGACTTACTTGTTGCTTACTTTGTAAATCTATTCAAAATGGAAAGAGTCAGTTTTCACATCATACAAGCTGAATGTAATTGAGTTTTTGTACCGTGAGGTGAAAGCCGACATCTGCAAATGTTCTGAAGAACAGATAAATGGCCCTTTCTGTCAAAGTCACAGCATTTTTCTCTATTCTGGCCAGACCAATTCTTTAATTGCTTGTATAATCAAAGCACATTCACTACCGTTTACATCTTACAGTGGGGTTTGACTCAATGGCAAGTCAACCATAAACACAGCAGTTATGTGTGTTGTTGCTCTTTTTATTCTCTTACAGGTGCTGGTGAGTCAGGCAAAAGCACCATTGTAAAACAAATGAAGTAAGTATTAAAAAAATGCATGCAATTTATAACTAGTGTACTCCCCACCATGTCAGTAGCAAACGTTTCCAGTGCTTTCATTCTCATCAGTCAGGCATAAAGGCAGCAGGGAAAAGTTCCCTCATCTCTGACTCTTATACTTGCGGCGAGGCCTTTAAACAAAAGGTCAATAGAGCAAACATCCGCTTACTCTGATTTGTCAGCACTTGTGTTGTGCTGTCAGTTTCACTCTGGCCATGAGAGCTGAGCGAGGTCAGAATCACACCACAGGGTGGCGCTGTGAGTACAAGCTCCAGCGGATGTCATGTTGTAGGTCATCACATTTCCTAAATATAACAGGAACTAAATGACCAATCAGCTCAACCTAGCAGAGGTTACGTTTTTACAAATGTTGGCCTCTGGTACGAAACACTGTCATCCATGTTGCAGGATTCTCCATCAAGGTGGTTATACAAAAGAGGAACAATTGGAGTTCAGAGCGATCATCTACGGCAACATCCTGCAGTCTGTTCTGGCCATCGTCAGAGGCATGGAGATGCTGGCCATCGATTTTGGCTCGACAGCTTCACAGGTCTCACACGACACAAGACGTACACCTGATTAACTTGCAGATATTTCATTTTCACTGACATAGAATCGTACAATGAAGAAGTTAAAAGTACTGTGCCGGTGCTAGTGGATCTTTCTGTGTGCATGAAAACCACAGGAGAATGCACAGAAGCTGCAGAATTTGTCGGACTCCATTGAAGAAGGAACAATGCCTGCCGAGCTGGCTGATGTCATCATGAAGCTGTGGAAAGACACTGGCTTGCAGGCCGCCTTCGACAGAGCTGCTGAGTTCCAACTGAACGACTCTGCTGGCTAGTGGGTTCATGTCTACTACGGGGATTAGTACAGTAAAGGGGTTACATGCAAAACTAAAGGGGCAGCGGGTTTAGCGTTGATAGATAACGGGTGATTTCACATCTGAGGCCTGACTGTTGCACGTTTTTTTTTTTTCTGCCATCATCAGCTACCTCAACGAAATGGACCGAATCAGCAAGTCAGAATACCTCCCCACCGAGCAGGACGTGCTGCGATCTCGAGTCAAAACAACCGGAATCATTGAAGAACAGTTTTCCTGCAAAGAGTTGTACTTCAGGTGAGTCACAACACACGGCCCTCGCTCAGCGAAGAGGCTGAACGCAGCGAGGTATCCGGGACTGACTTCCCGTGTGGTGAACAGGATGTTCGATGTGGGGGGCCAGAGGTCAGAGAGAAAGAAGTGGATCCATTGCTTCGAGGGCGTGACCTGCATCATCTTTTGCGGAGCTCTCAGTGCATACGACATGGTGCTGGTGGAGGACGATGAAGTGGTGAGTTGAGGCCTGCAGAGCGCGAGACGGCAGACACGTGAGCTGGTGAACTCAAACCTGGTTGTCTCTCATCTTTGCAGAACCGCATGCACGAGTCGCTGCATCTCTTCAACAGTATCTGCAACCACAGATTCTTCGCGTTGACCTCCATCGTGCTTTTTCTCAACAAGAAGGATCTCTTTGAAGAAAAGATCAAGAAAGTCCATCTGAGTATCTGCTTCCCAGACTATGATGGTAAGACCTTCAGCTTTTCAGGAGGATGTGTGATGAGCAAACCATAAGAGAAGACTAAATTGATCAAGTAAGGCATCTTGAGATTATAAGTGCAAACATGTAAGCAGTGAGCAGTGATGTAAGCAGTTATATCAAACGCATGTCAGCTGACCCACACAGAGATGTAGAGTGCTTGATCCGAAGTATCAACAGAGTACTTTTGTTCTTGTTAGCAGAAAGATTTGTCTCATTCTCATAAGTTCGCTCCCCGGTCAACACCCTCCGTTTCTCTTTAGGCTGCAACTCATACGAAGACGCCAGCAACTACATCAAGTCGCAGTTCCTGGAACTGAATATGAAGAAGGGTGTGAAAGAAATCTACTGCCACCTGACCTGTGCCACCGACACAAGGAACGTTGAGATTGTGTTTAACGCCGTGACAGACATCATCATCAAAGAAAACCTTAAGAGTTGCGGCCTCTTCTAAGGAGCTCCGGGTTGAAAAGAGGTGCGCCGTGACCACGTGACATCCCTCCCCGGGACCAGATACAGACTAATCGGGTCCAGATGAGGCAGACCCCAGAAAATCCCATTTAACTCCCATACACCTAATCATGTCGGACAATCCGGAGTTGCCAAGCAACTGACCACAAACCAACACAATTGTGTAGCTTTGAAAGGAGCAAAATGCAAATCTCTACAAGACAGAAGCAACAGATTCTATAAATGATTTAAGGTGCTCTCTATATGTACGATTCATTTGTTTTTTGTTTTTCTCTCCTTCGCAGGACTTCCTTTCCGACCGTGACCCGTCACTTTATTGGCATTAACTGAGAAGTGTACTGCTGGAGCACAGAAGATCCTTTTTGTTGTGTTCCCGTCGAGCCAAGTCCCGGCCCTGTACACACAACACACACTCAGCTGGGTTGAAAGAATCACAGAGTCACCGTATTGTTGCTGTGGTCAGCTTTCTACAAGGTTTTCTAAAGTACAGTATTTGTCTCACACCAAAAGGTGTGAGGAGTAGCTGCTGTAGTTGCTCATCCGATCCCTGTCGCTTGCTTTCGACTAACGCTACTGTGTTGTTAATTGACTTTATAATAAGACCAATCTCTGTTAAATATAAATAAAACAATAAAACGGGGAGGGAAATATTAATCTTTTGAATAGCAACATTCCAACCTTGTTTTATGTTTTTGAGTGCAGTAGTCTCTGTGGTCTTGATATTTAAACTGTAAACACTTGCTGAGTAAATATCTCAGATACTTCCAGTGCTGCCGTATGTATCCAGATGACAAACAAAATTGTACATGTATCTAATCTAAATAGTGGTAATGTGTTCAATTCCTTTAAGAAAGTTAATGTGTTGAATAAATTTCAGAAGGTCAAACACGGTAGAGAAACTTTGTACATAAGAGTAGGTAATTCAATATATTTTGAAAGATAAATCTTTATGAGAGGGAAACACTAGCGGGACGATGCTTTGTTGTGAAAAGGGAATGAAAATCTACTGAGTTTGTCCTTTCTTATGAAATGTAGAGGCACGAAATAAAGATGCATTAACATCGCTTGTGTCTCTGTTTCTTTCAAACTGTCAGTCACTGAATAACATGTAAATGGAATCAGAGAAACACGGCTGTCAACACTGAAGGAATCTCCAGGCTGGTTGCGTCTGCAGTGCCAATTCCCTGTTCTGGTCGGACGGGAAATGGCAGCACACGGAAGTTCACTCACAATAAACCTATTGAGAAAGACAAACAAATTAAAGCGGAATTAATCTGCAAAGTGAAATTTACCGGACCGTTGTTCTAGGACATGAAATTTGACCTCAAGCCAAGACAAAGCTGAGAGTTTGAGAGTGTGTGGAGCTGACGAGCTGAACCATCTTCATTTGAGTGACCAGTCATGCTTCTAAATGTAATGAGTTTTTGTATTTTCATCCAACCTCCAGTGGGCATACTCAGAACTCAGATCTATCTACCGGATTATTAGTAATTCCTTCAGTATTGCCCTTGCAGGGGAGACATGTTACATTTCAAAACGCAAACAACCGCCAAAGAAAAGGGATAAAAAGTCTGCTGACATTCTACATGTTTGTTATTCTCATCAAATCCCATGAAAACCAAAAACAATAAGGAATTTCTCCTATGTTTATTCTTCAAACTATAAAACTAGAATATTGTTGTTTTTTGTTGCTCCTAAAAAAATGCTCCTGTAGTTTATTTTGATTTAATCGTGCGTACATTCTTCTGCGGCCACAAATAGCTGAGAACCGTTCGAGAGCAGAGTAACATTTGCTCAGAACTACAGTCACAGTACAAAAATGTGTACACAACTTGTTTTGTAAGATGTACGTCTTGAGTATAACGAATGGCCTTTGCGTGCTCGAGACGAGGTCGAGGCCGTCCAGAATGCTTGAGTACAAAGTAATGGTACTTGTTGAGAAAACGAAACACAGGACACGTGTCATGCTACAGTGACATCATACATGGTAGGACGGTGAGGACATGATGGAGAGCTGTGGCGTGTGCAGCCGCTGGAACAAACCGAGTTAGCTAGAATATACAGATGTGCCTCAAGTCTAAAAATAGTGTTTTCAGTTTGCATGACCTCCTTCCCAGCAGGGTTCAGGTGAGAGGAGCCATCCGTTAATGGGGACCAGTGCAGATCCTCTGCTTTGTGTTGCTTGGAGTAAGATTGTGTATTCGTCTTGAAAATAGAAGGTCAACTGTGTGACCATTTAATGATGTTAAAACGTACCAAATGCAACTGCAACAGAGTACAGAAATCTAGACTTCACGTTTTTGGGGAAGTTTTCTGCTATTTGTCGTTTGTAGAAAGTGGCTGACCTGATATTTATCACTGTATATCAGCAACGGACTTTGCTGGAGCAAAAGAAAACCAATACAGCACAGGGATATTTCAAACTGTTTATGTTTAATATGTTTATATACATCTTCACGGATATCCATAGGATTAAAAAATACCTTGAAAAAAAGGATATTCTATATTGACCTCCACTGAGTGAATTATATTAGTCACACTCAAACTCCTATGGAAAGAATAACAGAGTTGCAGTGATGTGTCCCTTGTATAAAAAATATTCAATAGTCAATACAATGTTGTGTAGTTAATACCTGACTATGTAGACAGTGTTGTTGCCACTCAGCTCATTGTACTCCTGTTAACTAATCCCAGACCCAATTAGTTATGTTACATCGAAACCTGCACACGAAAAAAACTATCCTCTTTATTATTATTGCAATGCGTTCACACATCCAAAACTAGAAATACTGAATAACTGCAACTCAAAAATACAACAAATATTCAATAGAAACATTTTAATATAGACTAAAGTTAGGATAAGATTCAACAGAAAACAGAATTTACATATGAGCTGTAACTGTGAAATGCAGTAATGGATTTGATACGCGGCCTCTTTTTGTGTCTTGGGCCATGGGAGAGAAAACCCACATATTGTTCAAGATTTTGAGCGCCCCCCCCCCCCCCCCCCCCACACCTCCCCCCCTCCTGATGGAATGGTCTTAAATACGACACCGGATACTGTTTCACAACCGTCCCCCAATTATCACTTTCCCCCTGTGTGCTCTGCGTGGTGACATCTATTGAGACAATAATTGTAGAATCAAGTCTGCATTCAGGTGCGGCGTTCAGCTCAGTCCTTAAGTAACACCTACTTGCCCTCTGCAAAAAAGACACACAAGTCCAGATTCTGCTCCCGACACCTGCAAAGTAAAAGGGAAAAATATCGGTATGGAACATAAAAACATTATGATGTGTTGTATTATCCAACCACTTGTTAACAACCACCATTGTGAAGCCTTTTAAAAGCTTCATAATTCAGGGGAGGTATATTTATTAACATTTTATATCATAGAACAAAACAGTACTGACCTGCACGGCCTCAAGCTTCAGTAGAGCCCGATCTCCCGCAGGTTGATCTTGATGATGACATCGGTGACAGCGTCAAACACAAACTGCACGTTCTTGGTGTCTGTGGCACAAGTGAAGTGGGTGTAGATCTCCTTGGTGTCCTTTCGCTTGTTTAAATCCTCAAACTGGTACTGGATGTAACCGGAGGTCTCGTCGTATGAGTTCCCACCTGCGGTTAAAGAGATTGTTTATAAGAAGTTGCTCAGAATTGACGTGGAACATTCCAATATGAAACAGTGTCACTGTGGACATGAAAGCAAAAGCACGATGCCATAAACCTGTGACCAGTTTTTCCACTCTTTTCAATTAAAAGTGTAGAGATTCACCAAGAGAACTTTTGAAATGTAAACAGGCGGCACCTAATTATTGATGACCATTTTGTTCTGCAACGACATTTAGATTCTGTGTAGAAACACTTCAAGTTATGTGATGCTCACTTTGAGTTAGAGGTCTCCTCTAACAGAATGAGATCCTATCGAGGATTCCAGGAACGCTTCCATTCATCAGATGTATAAGGAGTGTCTGATCGCATATGACTAAAGTTCAAACGTCATCAATGCTAATGTGGTGGATCGTCTCACCGGGGTATTGGGGGTAGCAGATGGTGAGCGGACTCCTGCCGATCTTCTCTTCAAACAAGTCCTTCTTGTTGAGGAAGAGGATGATGGACGTGAGCGTGAACCACTTGTTGTTGCAGATGGAGTCAAAGAGCTTCATGCTCTCATGCATCCGGTTCTGAGGAAAGAGAAGATACTCACAATAGCCCCTTTTCACAGGCGAGACATTTTGACAATGGTGTAAATAATAACATGAATGACAGTTTAATTTCATCCAGCCGCTTTGCTTTCCAAGTGTTGGTTAACTTCGGTTCTGCCTGGTGTCTCCTCCAATTTCAACAGCACTTGTACCAAGAGCATCGTAAACTGTACAGACTAATAAAAAGATATTTTACAAGGCTGTTAATGACTGAATCCTAATGGATACGGTCTGTCTTTGCCAGCACTTAATCTCAGTAAGAGATGTGCCCCTGTGATAACTTAATGAGGATAGATGTGAATAGAACACAGGCCATCATCAGTGTTATCAGTAACTTACCATCTCCTCATCCTCAGCCAACACAAGGTCATAGTCACTGAGCGCTACGCAAAAAATGATTGATGTGACTCCCTCAAAACAATGGATCCACTTCTTCCTCTCGGAGCGCTGACCCCCGACATCAAACATCCTGGAGACATTAATACATGTAGAGTGAATGGGCTCATTTTAATTGTAATGTACATTTAATCCCCGTGATGTATGAGGACGAGTGTAAATCCCGAGTCATAAGCAGAAACACACACACACGTGTGCGTGTGTGTCTCCCCCTGAGTCCGTCAGCGGCAAAGTGAATCTGCACTGAGCTGATAACAGACGAGCCCAATTCAGTGAGTGCACATCTGCAGCTCCTGAGCGTTTCTCCAATGGGGTTACAGAAGGGCGGGGAGGCTATTACCGTAAATGATTCACCAATATTTATAAGTACAAGAGAAAGATGATAATATAATGTAAAAGGAATGAAGGAAATGTAATCACATTTACTGCTTTAGAAGTGGGTCACAAACGGCTGAATGCCTCACAGCAGGATTAGTTAAAAAGACTTATGAAACAGGCTGCAATGTCAGAACATCGATATGCAGCTTCTAAAAACAAATAACCAGCCAAATCCTCTGAGATTAAAGAAAAAAAAAAATCAACTAAAAAGGTTGTTACTTTCATGAAACGTTTTTAAATTTTCACATGGCGATGAATCAGATAATGATAAGATGAAAAAAACGCCCCGTTCATAAAATAAAAGGCTTCATGGTGTCACTACAAGCGTTTCTTTATCGCGGCCCCCCGTCCCAAATAGTACATTACTAAGACAAAAAACAAACCAATTGTCTATGAAAATATTATTAAACTAAGCAAAGAATGGAGAAAAATCAAAAATCAAAAATTAAATACTTCCATTGGAAGTATTGATCCCTCTGCGGGGGGCTGGCAAACGCACATACTTAAATACTCTGCCAGCTCTGCCTTTAAACCTTCAAAAGTTACTTCTATGGCCCACGCAGCCAACCAGGGGCGATTTCCATCCATGAACAGATCAATTACAGCCGTACTAACTTGAAATAGAGATCTTTGAAGGTGAAGTGAGTTTCCACGATGCCAGTGGTTTTCACACGCGTGCGTAGCACATCCTGCTGAGTCGGGACGTAGCTCGGCTGACAGATCCTGTCCAAGTCGTTCAGGTAGCTGAGGGACCGGGACAGAAAGCATACACATGTAGGCTGCATTACCCCGATGTGTGGTATAAGTATTCTGAATTGATAAAAAGACGACATAATGAGAAAGAAAAAAAAGATTTCAGACACTTATGTCTGGAGGGGTATTTGCTCTGCAGACCTCCAAGCACTGCACAGAATCATACTAAATATGGGCTTATATTTTGGTGCACGATAAACACCGGTTCCTTGTGGGCTGAGTAAAAACAGACTAACTCCACTGGTTCCTCTCGTCTCGCAGTGCGGATGAAGTGCACCAAAACAGCTTGGATGTTTTCAAAACAAAGGAAGCGTCCTTGAGCTACTTTCTTTCAGGGAGAGTGTGATATAAACACTACAGAAACAAACCCTACTTCATCCACGTCGGCATGACTGGACTATATTTAGCTCAAACCAAGGTGTTGTCATTTTCCCCTGAACTTCATCACATAATCGTCTGGTTGACTATTATAATAATGTGAACGCATTTCACAGGTGGAAATTGACAGAAGCCTTTTTCCTTTGTCAGTTTCTCCCTCGTGTTATTCCTTTTTGTCAGGAATGCATACAGTTGTACAACAAGCTGACACAAGACCATGAGGAACAAGACGAATCTTGCCCCTGTTTCTACCACACTGGAAATGTTACCAACACGAAGGAGGAAAACTCACTCAAGCGAGTGGAGAAGGAAGACTTTTGTCAGCTTCATAGCAGGAAGATGCATGACGCAACTTCAAACTTCCCTATAAATTAGTCATAGCAGTGTTTTTATCTGGAATTTTCAGAGTGTGTCAGTATGCCGAGCAGTGTTAGAAAAAGGACACTTTTTTATTTATTGGAGGTAGAATTGGAACTAAACACAGACTTTTTATTATTAGCTTATCTGCAGAAAATGTTTCTCGATTCATTGTTTGGTCTACGAACGTCAGACAGTAGTGAAAAAAAGAAAAACTGTAATTTATTATGGCGCAATCTGTAATGTCATCAAATGTCAATCTGTCAAAAACAAACATATTCAACAGCCAACCCTCGCAACAGAGACGAGGTTCTTTCTGTCAGTAGACCGACTGATTAACGACAAATCTCAATCTCTTAGACTCAATTTTCCTTGAAAAATCGCAGCGAATGAATCTGTGAGTCACTCAGTGATTACGCGACGTGAGAAGTGAATGCAGTCCTCACTATGCGGCTGAGTCGTTGAGCTGATACTCTCTTGACCGATCGAAGCACGCCTGCACTCCGGCGTCGCCCCAAAGCCTCTGGATCACGCCGGTCAGCTCTGCCGACATCGCTCCTTCCTCTGCCGAGCTCGCCAGCACGAACAGCTGGCGGGCATCGTCCTGCCGGAGAGAAAACGACGAGCACACGAATGAGGATGTGACCCCTTTGAGAGAAACATTCGATGCAGCGTGGATGTGGACGTACCGTCCGCGCCGCGTCCCCAAAATCTATCTTTAAGCGTCCCATCGCCCGGATGACGGCCATGATGGACTGGATGGTGTTGCTGTACACCACCACTTTGTACTGCTTGCACTCCTCTTCTGTGTAGCCGTCTTCATGAATGATTCTGACACAGAAACAAGTTCACATTCAGGTTTTGAGAGTCCAGAGCTTTAACAAATGGATGGGATGGATGAAAAAAATGTCATGCAACACTGTCATTAGTGGTGGAATTTGAGCTTTGGTGAGCGTGCAGCGTGCCTAATGTGGGAACTGGGGGAGTCTATTCAGGACCTGCCAGGCTACAGCAGGCCGCTGTGGCCATTGTTTCACATGGATTTCAAAAGGCTGCATCCTACTCTGCCTACAAGCTGAGTGAAATGACGGCCCCACTTCAATCCCACAGTATTTCCCCAAAGATGAGCCCCATTTGTGACCGCAGCTCTCGCCGTGTTATTAGACAAGGCTGCGGCTAAAAGCGGGAGTGAGTCACTGTCTCAAAAATAGCATCGGCCTTTCTATCAGTTTGATATAACGTCATATCAGGCAGCTGTGACTTACTTCATCTGCTTCACTATTGTGCTTTTCCCAGATTCACCAGCACCTGAAAAAGAGATGCAGTAGTTAGAGGACAGCAGCCACTGCTTAATATCTGACGGATTCACACTCACATAGATCAAAAGAGCTTTTTCATGAGGGTGGAATTTCATCTGATCTAATTTATTCATGGTTCACACAGTGTGCAGCATGTTTGTGTCAAAACGCCCAAGAGAAAGCAGCCGTGTGCTGAATTCTGATGGCAGGGATTTAAGTGGGGCCTGAGGGAAAGTACAGTACATGGTTGTGAAGCGCCACGGGGAGGAATCAGACGCTCGCTGCTCATCATGAAGCGCGTGTGTGCTGCGGCCGGGTGTTTAACAGGTGCAGAAATACAGAAAGGATGATGGGAAATAGTGAGCGTTGTGAGGAGCTTCTTTGGGACGTGAGCGCTTTCCCAATATCGTCCATCTGTGAACTGATGACGAATGAAGACCAGCGAAGTGATGTTGGGGAATATTTTGACACAACTCAACAGTATTTCTACTACAATCGGCCCAAACAGGAAACAGTCAGCATGCTTCTGGCTGAGTCCGTGTTTTTCCACTGGAGAGACAATCCCAGACATCATGCAGCTGCTCCGGGCGTTACAGAGCAGAGAGGCTACGCCGCATACGATTAAAAGTCTGTTTGCATTGAAAATAACATGTAGTGTTGACAGCCAGCAAAGAATATATACTATCTTCACTGATAAGATCTGCTATTCCCCTTTTACAGAACCCCATTTAATTGAATGTGTAATTCGTACACAGTCTTCTGTGGAGATGGCTGAACCCACAATTAGCAGCTGCTACAACGCCTACATGAATTAGTTATTACTATTGTCTATAAAACCCTCTGTTTTTGAAAGCTAACGGTGACGTTCTTAAATTGTTTTCTCTGGTTTAAAACCCTCAAAAAGGAAAAGCACATAAAAGCCACAAGGAACTTTCTGTGATCTGCAGGTTTTGTTCCCTTGGCCCGTATGGACTTTCCCCCTCGTTTCTAGTGCTAAACTAAGCTAACAGTCCTCATATTCCCTGCCGGGACAATATGGCAGCGCGGTTGATTGGCCGCGGCAGAAATAGTCCTACTAACAGGCCGATGGTAAAACAAACATAACCGTGTCAAGCTAAGATTTTAACACAGGTGTTTGTGGTTACCTGGTGCTTTGTCTGTGTGCCACGTGTGTGCACATGAAACATTACCAAACTCACACAACCTGCGAGAACCTCTTTCCATAAACGTCTGGGCCGAAAACCTCCTTTTACTTTGTACAACAGCAATAATTATCAGAACTGCCAGAGGAAGAATCCTTCAGAAACTGGATTGTGAAATATGGACGGATGGTTCTTCTTTAAAGCAGCCTGGGACAAGTACGTTTTCAAAATAAAACATACGTTAACGTAATGCTGTTGTTCCCCTAAAGGGTGAAAAGACACGCTCCTATTGCCAGTTCACAACCCCCAGCAGGCTCCCAGGAGAGAAATATGCTCCGATGGCAAACAAAAATTAAACCGACAAATTCTTTGGTTAATCTGCTCACACAGTGCGGGGGGGGGTGGGGGGGGGGGGCTACGGGTCTTTCAACAAGAATCCGAAATGCAGGTTTTCATGAATTACTTGACCTGGTCAAACGGGAGACGATTTTCATTGGAACGGAGCGTCAGCTCTCCAGCTTTGTGGTTTGGTACAAAGAGCAGCAGCCAAACTCTTCATTTTTTCCCTAATACTCTTGTTCCAGCACAGGCAGGGAGTGCAGGGCACCGCCTGGAAAAATACCCCCCCCCGCCAACTCTGTGGTCAGAATGTGTCCACACAACAAGATTTGATCCTGCATTGTTATGTTGCACCACCAAACGCATCAAATATGTAAAGATAAGAGATCCAAAAAACCACATGAATGTGACCTCAGGTTTAACTTGTGTTATTACACTGAGAGTTTGTCCACGTGACAAAACAACGCAGTCACGCTTCCTTCTATCAACTAAACAGTGGAAACACTTTGATTCACTTCTCCTCACGGTTGCGGGTGCTGGCTATGACTTGGTAGGAAGCAGATTATTCAGCATGGTTTTGTTCTCGGATTGAGGTGAAATAAAAATCACAGCAAAAATAAGTGGACAACTGCATTTCTTCGTGAGAATAACGGCACTATAAAAAAAAAACAGGCAGGAAAACACATAAACTGATCGGATTTGGAGATTTGAAAGGCATTAAAATTGTGTTAGTCTTAGTTGTCAAAGATACTGTAATGAATGGCACAAAGCATTTTACACCTTAATAAGATTTACAAACTGGCTCTTCATTTTTCTGAAATACCTGATAATAAAATGCTGCAGCTTATTGAGATGCGGCACTCAGTGGGCTTCATGTGCCATCAGTGGAAACCTGCATGAATGAGTGCAGTGATTATTTCATTTCTAATGTAATCGCTGCATCTGCCAAAATAAACATCCATATAATCAAATACTCTGCACTTTTACTTGGTTCATTTCTGGGGAAACATGTTAATTTGAAATCAAGTTAAAGGAAAAATGAAAACACCTAAGCAAAGATTCACATACTAAAAAGGTTCTGGTCAGTCCCCCATCTCCTAAAACTATTTCAATAGCACAGAACTTTCTACAACATATCACTCTTTTTATGTGAAGTGTTTTATGTGCAACTCTTCTTACACAACATTTCACGAGAAAAAGAGCTGTGTCTCAACCAAACGCATTGCATCACAATTGCTTCATTACAATGGACTCGAATCTACATGTATTTACTGTGCAAAACATTAAGGGTGCATCACGTAGCTGCAGGTTATACGTAAGTCCTGTGGTTTTGGACTCGGTTTAAACTGTCCGGTATTGAGTGAGTACGCTGCAGACTGCACATGCCAAACAGACTTCAATCTGAATGGACTTTCACATGGAACGCAACAGTGGCCCCAGTGGCCCCAGTGCTCTCTGAAATCCATTACTTCCAGTGGCTTGCACCTCACCGGCTTTTCACAGCGTTATCGCACAAACTGTGCTCTGTGTGCGAGGTGCACCAATGTAAAGTAGATCCACCAAGAATGCCTGTTGGTCTTTGTCATTTTACCAAAAACACACAATACACATCTATTCTTTGTTGGTAACACTAGTTGTGTAAACGCGCACGGTTTCTGTGTGTCAGCTCGCCAAAGTAGTAAACTGCCAAAGAACTTTTCCCACATGGGGTGTTTCGTCGCCGAGTTCTTCGCGTCACCGCTCTTGTGGCACAACAGGCGAAACAGAATAGTTGCCGTACATCCAGCGATGTCTCTCCATCGGCAGTTCCTCTGATGAGGTGTGTTCAGGCACCGGAAATGTTTCTCCACATACGCACAAGCAATGCCGCCCACGCAAAGTTTAAACCCTGTGATGAGAGGTGGACACCGACTCGTGTCAAGAGGCCAAACACTAAAAGACAGAAAGTGTGGAAAACTGATACGGGACTGAAGGTCCCCACCAGACGGCAGCGAGCATAAAAGTGCTGCTGGAAGAAGAAGGTGATTTGATCCCTTTGACACATCTGTGCAGGCCACGGTGTCAGAACCACCAGGTTTATGTCGGCAACAAACACCGGCAACTGGTGCCGTTACAGTAGTCACAGGTCGGTACAGACGGGAGCTGTTCCGGTGTGAAAACCTGCAGTTAAGTGTAACCGTGCTGAGATGAATCTCTGGCAAACTACTTCCAAAGACTGTTGAATCAGTGCGGGAAAGAACCACGTTGATCCAGTTATCAGTCAACAACAAATGAATTAGCTCCTGTTATTACAACAGTTCATCATTGATTGATCATTCTAGCAAAATGTCATCTTGTCCGGTTCCAGCCTCTTTATTATGAGGATTTGGCGCTTCTTGTTTTATTACATACTGATAACCGAATCACTTTGAGCTTTAAACTGTTCTTTGTGTGAATTAAGAAATATGAAGACACCAATCTGGGCTTCAGCAAGGCCATTTTTTTCATTTTCTGACATGATTTTCTGACATTCTGGCGTTAACAGGCTGTTCAGACTTGTCAGCACCTGCCTTCAAACTGTGCACAAGCCGTATGGTCATGTGGAGTATGCGCAGAAAATACCAGAGAGTTAGATAATCCACCTTCTCACACTTAACTTGTGATGATCTGAAGCTCTGCTGCTTCAGACTCAGAGAGCGTTGTCTTTGCGCACAGGCGTCAACATGGTGTGAAACAATTAAACAAATACACGTTGCCTTTATTTCTCAAAACGGTCCCAGCTGAAAGGTCTAGTTTGCACTCTGATGTTAAACAGGCCTGCGTGAGTTAGAAGGTTTCTGATAAGTGACACCACTGAACAAACGGCCTGTGAGCACCTTCCAACAATCCAACAACAAAGCTGCGAGGCAACACAGGACGTGTACTTTCCCTTCTACCAGGGAAACATCTGCTTTACTCAATTCGCTCAGTGGACGCATGATGAGCCACAGCTGGATTAAACCAACTAAAGCAGCAGAGTTTGGAGTCAAGAAAAGTTTTGGTTTGTTTTCCGGTATAAAAAAGCAGTTCATACCAAGCAGAAGGAGTTTCACTTCCCTGGAGGACTTCTCCCTGTCGTCCCGCAGGTTTTTGTCAATCATTTTACTCCTCTCCACCGCGGCTTTGTCCTCGGCGCTGATCGTGCAGCCCATTTTCACCGTGTCCGCTTCTTCTTCGGGCTCGGCTTGTTCAGCAGCTCATGAGTTGAAGGCAAACGTCGTTAAAAAAAACAAAAGAAAAGAAAGAAAGAAGCGGAGTCCAGTGCGAGCTGAAGTTTCCCAGAGAGAGAGAGAGAGAGAGAGAGAGAGAGAGAGAGAGAGAGAGAGGGGGGAGAGAGGGAGAGAGGGGGGAGAGAGAGGGGGGAAGGCGTTGGCACTGAAGGCTCGTCGGTCCAACAGTGTGATGTGCTGAGTTTACAGTCCGCTCCGTCCGGACAGAGATTTAGAAATGACCCTCCCAGTCAGCCGAAGTTGTGCTTTAAAGGCTGCTCCCACAACAAGGTACAAATAGGAAAAAGAATAAATGAAAAACACTTTCAATTAGAATTCGTGTATGTAAAATAGCGCGCGGGTCTTCGGTCCGTTTAACAATCACTAGGTGTTCCCCTCAGAGAGACAAGGCTGCTGCGCAGTCGCGGTTCATCCAGCTGCTCCAGCTGCAAACCTGCAACAACAAAAAAAAGGCCACCGAAAAAATGAAAATCGATGCGCCCCGCGGGGCTGATGGGAAACGTAGTCTCCTCCAAACTGCCGGATGCGTGAATTCTGCTCGTGCGGCCTGAATAATGCTGAGAGTCAGACAGAAACCGAGCCGACGCGATCCTCACACGCTTTCTATTAACGGACCCATCGTGTAGTTTGAAGCGTCTGCGCCCACAGACAGTCACCAGGAACATTACAGCAGGAGCTGTGTGCGGTGCAAGAGCGCCCCGACTCGACCTACAGCTGAACTGCAGGGCTTTGATCCATCTGAGCGTCTCACCACAGACTCATGCAGAACATGCAGCTTCTACGGGTCACACATTGTAGTCTTCGTTGATGCAGCTCTCTGATCCCGAGGCCTCATGCTCAGAGCAATCCCAAGTAAAGAGCCGTTTATACGGGTTTTATTCATTGTAGCCATCGGCTTTTATTAAGAGGGAATGAATAGTTGACTGATTAAATCATTTAAAACCCATTAAAACAAACACATTTCGGGCTAACAAAAGTCCTTTCTACTGACTAGACATGATGACCATGTATACTCTCGATAGGTGCAGTTACTCACTGACAAAAAAAAAAAAGAGGTCTTTATGAATTTTCACAACCCTCCAAATTGTTTTGGGGAATGGCTCCTGTTACCAAGGCAACAGTTAATTTCAGAGGAATCAGAATATAAGGAAGTAAGTGAGAAACGAATGTGTTTGAGTTCATGTCACAGCCCTTGAGGGGTTATTCTCTCGTTAATGGCAGATTTTCTAGGTATGCGAGACTCAAATCTGTCTCAGATGATCTCACTTCTCCGATTAGCCGTTTAGTTCTGGAGAAACGCGGCCAAGTCCTCCACTGCGGCACCCTGCGGCTGACGTGATGGTGGCGTCTGTCCTTGAGCCATTTATCTGGGCGTATTTGAGCCCATCACAAAGGTCAGGCTGTTTGAACCCTCACGCCTCAACATGAAAGCCATGAGTCACTGGGAGCTCGGATGCTGCTGTGAGGATGGTGCAATCCTTGCACTTTTTCTGGGGATAAACCAGTGAAGCTATACATACCAGAGCTAAACATTTAGCATAGATGTGGAATGAATCAAATATTTAAGGGATCTTTTTGGCGTTACCTTGCATGCAAATAATATTGCATCCCTTAGTATTTCTATTGTTATTATTACTTTCATCACTTGATTTCAGATACATATATGGAATCCTTAGGAGATAACGGCTTTGATTCATATATGCCTGCACTCATTTGAAGGATTTTGCATCAACCTATAGTGTTCTACAGTGGTCCGTGTTTTGGGGTTTTAGTTATGGAAAATGATTGTGCCCTGACAAGGTTCAGCATCCTCATCCTTACTCCTCCTTCATCCTGTTTATGGTGCTTTATTTCCGCTCTGTGACGCTGCACCACCTGCCTACAACACCCACATGCAGCTGGGGGAGAAAGAGAGAGTTGCCCTATGCGATTAAACTTGTTATGGATGCTGCTGCTGAGCTGAAAATGTCTGGTAGGTACAGTAAATAACACCCACAGCACTCAAGTTAACGTTCTTGCTGCGTTTTTATTCATTGATGCTGATGTGTATCTAGTACACAGGAAAATCCTAACAAGGGAAAAAATACCTTAATAATGACGGATCCAAAATACCTAGTTAGGTAAAAAAAAAGATAGGAGGGGGGAAATGACATAAAAATAAAAACAGAAGAGAAACTGACATTGTGACTTACAACAAACACAATTGTAGCTGACGGGGGTCCGTGAACATTCCCGAAGCAGAGAATATTATCTGCCGTTCACCTTCAGAACAGCTTACTTCTTCCTCTGCATAATCAACAGATGGTGGCAGAAATAAGGCTTAAAGCATTCAATCAGATTGGTCGGGGCAATTTTGCTGCTACGGTAACGGAAATCCAGCTGATTGAATGGTTGATTCAATCAGCATAAGGGGCTTTGTAATGACCCGGACTGTGTGAAATATCGCAGGTTTTATTACAACGTGATCATCAATAAGGCTGAATGAGAAAGATCGCAGATTATCTAAGCAGGTGAAACCACACTTGTTGCTGCACACCGGTGGTTACTTTGATGCATAAAATTGAACAGTTCTTGTACTGTAGTATGACCAACAAAAATAAATTAACAAAAGATAAATACACACGGGATTATGTCGATGATTTCTTCTTGTGCTCAATGTTGTGTTTGATCCAAATTTGGCATCACGATATCGAACCATCGCTGTGACGCAAAAGAAACAAGGTGACACAACCACTCCATTTGAAAAACAGTCAGCAACAAAGTCGTCTCACATGAAAATGAGGAACCGTCTGTGTCCTCCGTACAAAGGGGCCTTTTTTTTTTGTTCTGTCTCCCAGCAAAATGTGAGCCTTCTCTGTACGCCTTGTGTTGCTTGTCTTGTGATCATGCCAACACTCACGTATGAGGAAGTCCAAAATACATGAACACAGCAAGAAAGAGCAAGTGTGAAAAGAGGGAAAAAAAACATGTTTAGGAGATTTGTGAGTTGTCATTTTCTTTGGAACATTTGTCACTGCTCGTGTGACTTGTGCAAACTGTTGGTATTCCACCTGAGAACAGAGCGAGTATCACCCGAGTCGTCCATTTGTTGCTTAATGAGGCCAAAGCTTGCCATGTGTAAGCATTGTCTCACCTGTGTGCCGCTGTGTGTGTAGCCACAACAACCCCAGTTGTTTAGAGCGCAAACACAAGCACCCACACGGCCGCCGTGTTTACCTGTAAGCAGCACAGACAGAGGGGGACGGGTCCCCAACAAACTCCACAGTTTAACCGCGCTGCTGGCCGATGTTTTTACAAAGGTTGAATCTTAACACCGTAACTGGCACAGATATCAAACCAGTCACAATGTTTTTCTTGGAGTGGAGGGGGGGGGGGGGGGGGGGTGAAATCACGAGTAGCAATGTGAGATTATTTTGGTGAGGAGGTGATAATCACAAGACTGAGAGCAGATAAACATGATAATGATGCTCATGGAACATACTTAAAATGTGGCGGTATCTCAGGTTTATTATAAATACCATCAGAAGTTTGACACAATGAATATTTCAAGATGATTTTAAAAAGGCATCTGAATAATAATTGCTCTCGACTGGGAAACTGCCACATGTTTGCGTTCATTCCGGGGTGTTATGAGGAGATGTGAAAGTGCAATAAATAGAGAACATGAATCGGATCGTCATTTGGACTGATGGTCGGGGGCTTCTCCATGCCTTAAAACACAAAAACATTTTGTCTGGTGTATTAGAAAGGAAAAGATAAGAAAAAAAGTATTTTCATGTATTCGCAGTGGAGCACTATGACTAACTTCATGTGGAATAATAAAATCTAACGTCTGATGGAACAAATTGAATTAACTGCATATCAAAACAATCAGTTCGCGGAGCATTTGTCTTAAAAATTGTGAAAACTGATTTCAACAGAGGTTTTGCGTTTTGCCAAGATTCTTAATGTTAACGTGATGTGTGTCACACCACAGACTCATGATGAACAATGCTTCACTGTACTTGTGCTGATATCACACAGAAAACAGCTCAACGCTGTGGCTCTAAAACGGGTAACGTTTCATGACTTTTGTGGACAAGAGTGAGTTGATTCACACAACATATTCTGCTTTGTCTTTCTGTGAAAAGCTACACAACTTAAATCCCCATGTTATGCGGCTGGTTAACTATTTCAACACATTAATGAAAATGACGTACGTTTATTGGATAATCGATGACAAATTAGATGGTACACGAGAGGCAAGCTACAGTTCCGCTACGGTTTTGCAGCAGTTCTCTGATACATGCAGCTCATTGTTCGTCTGTTGCCGCTGTATGAACTCTGAAGCTTCCTCAAGGATCTGCCCTGGGATGTGGAAGTCAGCTGGCGTGTTCTGCTGAACAGCTGATTCCCGATCGCCTTCAGTCTCTGGCTCCTCCGGGCTGGCTCGGCTGTGAGAGACGCAGGGCTCCAGATTGCATCCAGTGCCCTGAAGGAACTGTAAAAAGTTCTCCTCAATAGAGGCCTCGCGGCTGGGCAGCTGCTCTCCTTCGCTGGGCCCGGCCCGCTTGAAGAGGCAAGCCAGGTGGCGGCCCAGCTGCTCGCGAATCTGCCGGTTCAGGCAGCCGTAGAAGAAAGGGTTGGAGATGAAGCAAAAATAGCCGATCCACGTGACCACGTCCTCCAGGTGAGCCAGCGAGGCGAGAGAGGCGGACGCCACAGCCGAGTAGAGATGGAAAGGAGAAGTACGGCAGCCAGCAACAGAGGAACTGCCCTCCAACTGCCACCAGCACCACCGCAGCCTTCCCGCCGCTGAAGGTCCTCTGAGGGGTGGTGCGGGCACCCGTCCCACCGAGGCTCGCCGCCATGGTGGAGTGGCTGCTGATGGACTCGGACCGCCGCCGCGGCGTGTCCATCCAAGTGTGGAGGGGCCCGTGCTGCATGGCCGCAACCCGCGCCACCTTGAACATGTTGCAGTAGACCACCAGAATGATCAGCATGGGGCACAGGAAATAGATGACCGTAAAGAAGACCATGAAGAGCAGCCTCGTGGTCCTGCCTCCCGTCCAATGGAGGGAGCAGTGTCTCTGACCGTGGACGAGAACCGAAGGAGTCCCTGCGGTCTGGTTCGCCTGGAGCAGCCACCCCAGCAGAGGCAGCGCCGACATGACGACGGCTTTAATCCAGATCGCCGCCAGAACCATCCCCACCACCCCCACCGTCATCTTCACCTCGTGGGCGCATGGGGTGGACGATGTAGTAGTAGCGCTCCACGTTGATGGCACAGATGGTGAGGATAGCGGCGCTCACCAGACACACGCTCAAGCAGAGGTAGCTCCGACACAGCGCCTCGTCCACCAGGATTCGGTCCGAGAGCATCCCGAGGGGCATCAGCACCAGCGCTGCCAGCAGGTCCACCAGACACAGGTGAAACACGAAGGCAAACTTGCGCAGCTGCGGCGTTTTGGTGATGACAATCATCACGGCCAAGTTCCCCACGACCGCCAGAACGTCGATGGTGAGCATAGCACACAGTGCCAAGGTCTGGTTCAGATCGACCCCGCCCCGGATGCTCGCAGCCGGCGAGGTCACGTTCGAGATATTAGCGTGCAGCGAGGCTGAAGATGCGGGGAGGCCGGAGAGAGAAGAGTTCCAGGAGGGGCTCGGCGTGACAGGATGATCCATGAGAGGATGGGACGAGGAGGAGAGAGTCCGCTGAATTTCACAGGCCCATCACCCATCCTCCCCTGTCATAGGGCGACACCGAGAAGCTCAGGCGGTTGTGTCCGTCATGGCAGCTGGAGCTGCACAGTCTCTGAATCCTGGGAGACTTTTGCCCGGAGCCCTGCAGACGATCAAAGGATCGTCTGCAGAGAGAAGGGTCCTTCTCTCTACAATGTGACCTTCACGTGGAAATATCTGAAACAAAGGAGAGAGTCCTGTTTAGAAGTATGCTCAAGTGAAGGTTTTGTGGTTCTGCAACATACTTATGATGCGCCTTACTGTGTTTTGTGGGAATGTAAATGTAGACACTACTTTTAACGTGTAGGTCCAAAAACTACTTATTTGCAGTCTGGAAATATGATCAATTGATTTGTCATCCTTAAAACCATCAGAATCTTTCTTTGTTTAGATAAAAAATATGCCATGAAAACCTTAAGACATCATACTTATCTAAAGTTCATGCAAAAAATTAAACATTGGTCTCCAATATTAAACAAAACGCGTTGTCCTTTGTAACAATATGTAATTTCTATTGCTGTGAGCATCTGAATCTAGCGCTTGTGCTCTCACTGTGAAGCCCCACTTGTAGCCTGTGTCATAATTTACTTCCTATCCGGCATCTGCATCCTCAGATGTGTGTTTTCAGCGCAGCAGCTGCTGCCTCTGGGAGAAGCTAAAAGCACGGAGCCGACCATATGTTCCCCTTAGCAGAGTCAAGAAGCAGAATGGATGAGTGAATAAACTGTGAAGCTCTCTGCTGTCTGAGGTGAGTGGAGGAGAAGAACATCGATGAACACTTATTATTACAATCGGGAATGTCAGACCTTCTATGATTTTTCTCATTTATGGGAAAATACATTTTTTTGACTGGAAGCTCTTTGGAATAAATGTTGTGTCGCTACGTGGAAACGGCGGCCGAGCACCGCAGCCAGTCTGTAGCCGGCCCGAGTTGTTGAGAGGAGCCTGCGTTGTGTTTACTGTCACAACCTCACCTGGAAACAACCCCACACACGGTAAAAGCCGTGGAACAATTGCTTTGGTACATTTCCATATGCTGCACACCTGCATGTGCAAGTTTTCCATTTCACCAGTGTGACAGGCCTCATCCCTGCAAGGCGCCTGTTGTTATTCCTCCCCACCTCCCCACAATTGAGCAAGATGGTCACCTGAAAGACGTAGGCATATGCAGACGGCCTTTTCTGAATAGGTCAAAAGGTCACAGTCACCTTCAGAGCAATATAGGAACCAATGAACCACATCTCAGCAGTGATTTAGCAGAAACCGAGCAGCAGCTCTCTATAGATTTAATCAGCATTGATTGTTTTACGGCTCTCTGGCGTCCAGGACTCACTGAAGTGCTGTAAGGACCATCGAAATGTATTTGTGCTGAAAAGAAAGATATCATCCAAAATGTTTAATCTAGTCCCTCAAAGAGCCCTTTATTACACAAAGATCCGATTCGAAAAACATCCAAAATGAAAAATGTGCTTGTTTACTAAGTGGTTGTTTAAAATTGATTTTTATCAAGTCGAAACCACACAAAGAGAACTATTTAAACATCCTAGGGGGATAAAAAGGAACTAACTGGATCTAATGCAGCACATAATGCTGCTTTTAAACATAATAAAATCAGAGCCTCGGTCAAACTGAGGCGCCAAACAAAGTCACACAAAGCAAGAATTTAGGGTTGCTGCAGAAATTCTCCGGCTGCCGACTGGAAACCATATGACCCAATAATATGCACATGACACGGTGTTTACTGCGAGAAGAAAACTAGCCTGTTGTTCGCCTGTTCCTTTTATTACCAAGCCCTCTCGCTCCTTAGCGGCATCATGCAAATGAAAACCAGGAGTTTAAATGAACAAATGTGAAATTCCCATTCCGGAAATGCTATCATTTTACATGGACACACAAAGACACTGTGGACAAAGTGATAAAACAGTGTCAATGCTGTTTCCTCCTTAAGTCAGATGTGACTCCTTCCAACACCCTAACTTCCATACACTTAAACACACACACACAGACACACACACACACACACACACACATACATATACGCACATCCCAGTCTCCGCACCCTGCTGACGGAGCAGGGACGAGTGTGAAGACACATCGGTGACATACCTCAGTCTGGAGACGGCTGCTTCCTCCCGTGCAGGTTCACAGTGTACTGAAGGAGTGTCGACCTGTTTCGCTTTCTCTCCCCCGTACACACACACACACACACACACAGCAAAGACACACTGACATCCAGCACCCCCCCCCCCTCCCTTCCCCCTCCACATCCCTCCCACAGACACACGCACACCACGTCAGAGAGAGAGAGAGAGAGGCACTACTGAATCTCCCCCTCACCTGGCCCCTTTCATCTCGTCATCACCTCCCACCCGACCAAGCTGATACCCCCCCCCCCCCCCCCCCCCATCCCCTCTCTTCATCCCTTCAAACACACACCTCCTCTCCTCTCTCCGCCATCAGCTCTCCTCTTGCCAGGTCTTCGGTTGAGGTGGGGGAGAGAGATGGCACGAAGAATAAATGAGGAGAGTGCTCCTGTCTTCCAGCCTGTGATGCACAAGGACGTGACATGCACACGCACACTTATACACACACACGCGCACACACACACACGCGCGCCCGCGCCCGGGGTAACTGCGGAGCCGTGCAGAGCAGACAGGCAGGCGGCGGGTGGGCAGGTTGGCAGCAGCCAGCCTCGCTGCTCTCCACTGGGTCTTAGTGCCTCGCCGGCTGTGGGCTCCTTGTGGAGGGGCGGCTCTCTGCTTGTCAGCCCCCCCCCCCCCCGCAGGTCACATCAGGTCCCAGGCCCGACAGGAGCACAGACGTTACAAACAATAACAATAAGGAGAGGACATCTTCTTCACTCTCTGGATCAGCGTTCCCGTGCTGGTCCAGATCTCCCTCCATGCGCAATCCGGATAAAGCCCTCTCACGAGGCTGGATTATTGATTGAATCCTCTGGTTCATGTTAATGAGCTGAGATTAACGTTTGGTAAATCTCCTCACACACATCATACATTTTACACTCTCTGAACTGTTGGATGCCCGGAGGAACGACTTTGTTTTCCACTGCAGGGCAAGATTTTCAGGTCAGAGGTTGAGCTCAACAATATCATGACTCTGCTTGGGTGTAACATTTTTTTAATGTTAAATAAATAAATAACATTATTATTTCGTTTTTTGTCATTATTGAGTCAGGTAGACTCATTGAGATCAAGATAACACACACCCAGGACAGTCAGACAACCAGCAGGAAATAAGAAATGTAAGAACAGACGCCTAAAAACTAAGGAGCTGAAACAATTAGACGTTTAAGTGATTTAATGATTTCATTAAACGTTACAGCTGTTTGATCAAGCAAAAGTAGCACAATAATATTTTTCATTGGACATAATTTGCACCTTTTAATTGCGAACCCGCTGGCCCGTTGTAGCCGCCATTGGCTGATGTCCTCTGTTGTTTTCTGTGTGAATCATACTTTTAGCAATCGTGCCAAATGAGATGATTTAATAACAACGTGCTTCGGTCACAAGAAGTAACCTTTTCATGTGTGGAGGCGGCTGTTGTCTCTGTCAACTCTATTGTGTTTTACTGTGTAAATCCCCTTTTGTTTTCCAACCCAAAGCTTTATTATTAGGTTTTCATTTTATCTCAATTGATGCTCTAAAAGTTGTTATTTCCTCCCCCAGGATTTGCATGAATGGACGGTTCCATCAGTATGTGACATCTCCTTTTCTTGCTGTCTATTTCCTGAGGGAATCATTCATCAGCTGCACAAATGCTGATTTGTTTTGGAGTCATTGATTTTTTGAGACGCCAATAAATCAATTGGTAAATTGAAAACAATTTTTTGTTTTTAATCCAAGTGCTGTTACTGTTCAATAGAGGTTATCTGCCATGAAGCTGCTGCGGAGGGACTGAGGTGGCTCACATGCTCTGTATCAGTATCACGTCTCTGTGACTGAAGATTTCAAAAAGCCCTCCGAGTGTTTGTGTGCGATGATCAGGGATGTGAAGATACCACTGAGGCTTTTGAAGGAAGAACTAGAGAATAAAGGATTCTTTGTGTTTGTTAATGTTCAAGTTGTGTGCATCCTGTGTGTGTTTGTGTCTGTGTGTCCTGTGACTGCGCTCGTGCGTCTGAGGTGTTGAATAATGACAGAAATAGCAGATACTTGCTCCTGCCAGGAGCACCAATCAGGGGAGGGAAATACAATGGTTTCTATGGTAACCCCCCCCAACCCCCCCACCCTCTAAATCCCCCTGAAATCCACAAACAGCAGATAAGAAATTAAGAAAAGCGTATCACCCTCAGAGTATAAATCCACACACTCACTCGCCAATGGGAGGACAGTTGTATGTGTGGGACGCTTATTATCTCAGCTTCCCTTTTCCCTATTTCACAGAACCGCGGCGAGCAAATTCGTGTTTAATTACAGCTGCTGATTAAAAATCTTTGTCCGTTGTGATCTCAGCTCTCGGCAGTAGGGGGAGCCACCACATTAACAAGCAACTGCGACACCTGAAATCCCAGAACACGTTGCCTTTTGTAGAGCACATCAACTCTGAAGGTGCCAACTGACTGACGCTCACAGAGCAAGACGTTTAATAGCTTGTGTTGTCCTGATGTCATCGCTAGGAAATGTTTGGTCCCCCTCCAGCTCACACACGGCAGACAAAAGCTGTGGATCAGTCCTTCATGTTTTTATGGAGGGTGCAGCCAGGCAGACAGACTCACTGTTTGCAAGAGAACACCATGTTAGGGCTGAAATCAGACCCCCGCGGGTAACTTGATCCATCAAGAATTTTGCATTATTTTAGTGAACTGCGTCACTCAGGGCTTCATTTCCCCCATGACCCGCATTCCAGCAAATGAGGATGCACATCATTGTAAGATCAAAACCCAATTTAAATTTATATATGTGACTTTGACGTCCTCAAGACCACAAAACAATTAATTTATAAAACCATGCAGGAAGCCAGTGTCTGACAAAACTTCCATTATCTTTGCTCAAGTTTCCCACGTTACCCAAGAGAACAACGTCCACCTGGAGGGTCACATCACACCCTGATCACTAACCTCCCATCATGCAACAGATGAGGGAGGTTGCGCACACTTACATGAGCTGACAAAACTCTCAGAGCAACAGCAGCAAAACTGCCTCTGCCAACCGTGTTGTAACAGAGCGAGCTGCAGGGAAAGAGCAGCGCTCCGAAATAGTTCTCAGGGTTTTGTTTTAGTCTGTTTGACTCAGATGGAGGGAAAAAGTGTCACCTAATATTGATTGACATGCCACACTAAGTCATTAGAGCATGTAGATCAAATATTTACGCCTGATCTCAAACATCTATTCTGCAGCACAGAGGAAACACCAGCAGACTCTTTGAATACCCAATGACATTAATTTTTTTAGGAAATACATATTTTACAGCAAAGATTTCAGTTTACTGAAAATACTGCATGACTGAAATCTATGAGTTTAAGCATTAAGATCATGGAACAAATATTTCTGCATAGCTTGCTGGGAGTCCTGGGACAGCCAGAGAAGAGACTAACCACTGAGGGTAACTGAGCTGTGCCGTTAGGTTTCCCACACTAAAGCATTGGAGTCCGACCAGACACAATTAGCTCTCCCTGTTGGCTGCAGGTTGGCACCGCCATCGACATCACACGCTGAGTCACCGGTGACTGTCGGCGCTCCGGGCCACTCTGTCTGTCTGGGGACGCATCATATCACTGAACCTAAAAAAAAATGAAGCCAAGACTGTTTTAGAAAATAAACGAAATCGAGGTTGATATGGCGTCTTGCAGGTATTTTAGTTTCTCCTGCCGTTTATAAAATTCTATTCTGTCATTTTTTTCCTTAGTCCGCGTGCTTCAGACTCGGGACTCAAGTAGACTTTATCACATTATCACTGGCTGGAAAAATACAACGTGCTGCCTCAAGCACAGATGCTCAATGACTCTTTTCAGTGTCACTCTTTTTTATTGAGAACATCATGACCTTTCCGAATTACTGTTTCCTATTCACTTAGTGACTGACTGGTTTTGTGTCATTTTGTGTAGTTGTGTGTCATTTGTTTGTGACTGTTTATTGCAAAAACGTGTCTTTACCGTAAAAACATACATTTGCTATATGGCTTTTTTCACATTTGAATTGTCTGGGCTTTCATGAATAAAAACAAATAGCTTTAGCAGTTTTGAGGTCTGCACAGGCTTTGCTACTTTACACTGTGGCAGACAGACCTGGCACAAGAAGCCCTTTTGTTACTGTTAAAGTAGGAACACAAGAATGCAAACATCAGGTCGTTGATCTGCAGGGGTTATTGTACTGGACCAGGTCTTGACGTGCACAGTCAGTCCAGCATATTACCCCCTTAAAACCACAAGTTATGTTTTGTTTTAAACAAATGAGATAGAGCGGTTAATTTGTATTGTTAGGTGGACTTTGTCGGGAAAGGCCCGACTGTTTGCATATTCATGCTGTGCTACATGGTAACAAATTGCTGTAAATTTACGGTGCATTTCTAACGGTATCTTACAGTATGTAAAGATTATAAATATTTGTATTATTCAAAGTGTTCATTGCCTAAAAGTCAATTTTAATATTTTACCAATGACAGTGTTTCTAAATATTTTATTTTGGTTTGTTTTACAAAGGCTCTGGATTAAGGACGCCAGCCGTTTGCTGCGGTCAATTGAAAGTGTTCCATAGCGTATTGTTGCAGTTAGTTTACCTGGTTCCTAATGATTTTATGATTCATTTTTTTATTATTGTATACATGCGGCATATTTTATGTTTTGTTCTTGGTTACAAATGTCTAACATTTTTGTTTTTGTTTTTTGTCTAATAAACTCCAACCACTATGACCGAAATGAGTTTGGTTGTCTTTCTTAAATTTGTGGGGAATTAAATGCAAAAGTATACGGTTATAAGTAAACGGTAAAATTCTGGTATTTATAACACAAAAACAGTAATCGTATGGTAACAACCTGTAATCCAATATACGACAACAACAAAATACTGTAAATTACGGTAGGGCACTGTAAATAAAACAGTAAGTAACTAGCGTTTACTGCCAGTAAATTGCAGTTATTTCACAGTAAAAATCGTTCAAGTTTACGGTAACATACAGTTATCCAATTTATGGTAACATGGTGTAAAAACCATTTACGGTATTATACTGTAAAATAACGGTAAATTCCTGGTGTCCTTGCTGCCAGTAAAATATCGTTAATTTACGGTGACATTTTTTAGAGTGTAAGATATTGTATTTGTCAGCCATGAGCCGCTTTCTCAGCAAACTCTCAGCAAAAAAGCAAATGTCTCAAATGTTTTTCCTGTTTTCCTAATTGTTAATCCTTCCCGCAGTAACGTAGTATGATTTTCATTTAAACCAATCGCTTTATCATTAAGCAGAATCAAGCTTCACGCACTGTTATACATCACGTCTTTCCACAGAAAGCAACGGCATATTTGATTTGTTTTCTGGAACCTCTCTCACTTTCATTCACTCTCATCAGGAAGCTTGAACTCAGCAGTATTTGAAAAAAACATCCAGCATAGATATGTGCACTAAGTGCGTTTACTGTCAGGGAGTATCTGCACTGTAGAGCTCAGATGTATTTCCACTTAGCGCACCTCCCTGTTTGTGTTTGAACCATTTGGACATTATGAGAATGGGTATAATCTCTAACTTTTTATTTTTAATAAGAGGATTATGTTTGCTTTCTCTCTCCAGAGATAATGTGTAGTTACATAACAAATTACATCATTCTTTAAAAACAAATAAGTCCCTTTATTCATCAGATTAATTTTAAATTTGTACTGTAAATATGATTCAACACAAATTAGAATGGTCTAATAAATCCATGTTGTTCTGCCAAGTCAGTACACAGTTTTTATGTGAATCCATGATTACAGACTCGTAGTTGATGTCGTTGTTTGAGTGTAAGAGTCTACATGCTGTGTGCAGGTCTACTTGGTCTCATTGGTTCTTTGAACTAAACTTTGATGTCTGTTATTAGCTTTGGCTGAAATGTTTAGCATGTGGCGAACGTCATTTATCTTTGACCAACTTACTTCTCCAGTACAGCTGAGCGTAGTGTGAATAATGATATGATATGGAAAAAAACAGGGGTCACTTTATGAATACCATGCAGCAATATAAATGATCAAAGAAAAAACTGTGACAAAAGTAAGTCATTTGTTTTGCTACCTGTAATTTTAACAATAATGCAAAGTTTTTTACATCAAAAAATTTGACACGATGTGAATAAAATATTTAAAAAATGAAAACGTTTTCTTTGCACAAAATATGCAGTATTTCACTCAGTTGAAGGAAAAGAAACAGTCACTGATGAGGCTTAAAGGAACAGTATTACCGTAGTCAGCAGGCAGTGTTTACACATTAAGTGTTTTTCCTCTTCAACGCCCCATTTACTCCACTTCATTAAGACCTTTCTACATTTTCGTGATTCTTTTTCCGGTGTGCAGGAAAAAGAGAAAAAGTTAGATTGGCAAACATTCTTTTGATTATATGTTTTAATAAAACTGTGTACATTTTCATGTGAGGCGTTTAAACTTCATCTTAAATGCTTGCGGGTTGATGGGTGAATTAAAAAGTCATTGTGTGTTAATGTCACACTGGCTCACTGCACAACCAATTCCCCCTGGATTGACTTGTGAGGCAAAAGCATTACTCACGCTAATTGTCTGCTGACAGAAATAGTCACGACATGCATATTTATGAGAACATTACAAATGCCACAGGTCTGCAAAAGTGAAACATTGGCAATCTCATCCCTCCTCCTCTGTCTCAACTGCCATCTTGCTCACGTCGTCTGTGCTCATTAGAGCCGGAGAGTAGTGCAGGGGGGCGTTGTGAAACGCAGACAGATGCTACACAGTTAATAATCCAAGCCAGCTGTCAGCATTCTGAAGGGTGAGAAACTAGAAAATCAGCCAAACAGCTTATTCGGGCCGGTCCGGCATTCACGCACAGGCCTCGGCAACCTAAAACAACATTTAGATCTCTGCCACAGCAGCAAATGCACAACTTTACATTGCTTACGGCTTTTCTTCTGCCAGGTGACTGCAAAATACAAACAACCCAGAATTTAAAAAGCCTTTATTTGACATTTTTGGGGAATTCACTTAATATATACGGTCCTATTTCGTTAATTCAGCAATCACAATGCGGCACAAATCCATAAAGTGTCTGTAAGAACAATCCTCCCAAGATGCAGTTCCAAGCGGTTATTTTATTCTACACCGTACTGATCGATTTTTAGACACAATGTTTTTCGCGTGAAAAAAATGACTTATCAATACTTAATATACACTATTGACTCAGGGCCAATCATTGAATATCAAAAAAAGACAAGAAAAGCATCAGTCCTTCTTTTCTATGGTTTGGGACAGTATGTTCATGCTTATTGGTTCAAATGTCAAACAGTAAAAAAACATGCGCTTCCTTCTGCCCTTATTGATCCTTATTGCACGTGATCAGTGACATTATGTCAATATGTGAAATGTAATGATGGAGCTCTGATGTACAGTCCGGCACCATGTTGCTACCACGGATCAATTATCATTATTCATCATCATCACAATAGATTAACAGATAGATAATAGATTTCTTTCCCTGTTTACAGCTGAATCAGATGTAACAATCTCAGTGGACGTTTGAGAGCTCGAACGCACGTGTCTTCAAATAATCACTATGATTTGTTGTAAAAGGGAGAGTTTCATGAGTACATGTCACCGGGCCCACAGCTCTGTGCTAATGACACCAGAAACAGGATGGACTGGCAATAATGACCCCGCATTAAACCTCCGTTTGCCAGAAATCGTCTTTACACCACAGAGAGCAGAGGGCTGTGATTAACACAGGAAACACAAGCAGCGTCTTTTAAACCCCTTTAAGCGCGCCACGGACTGACGCTGTCATGAAACAAATCTCTTTCCAGTGGCATGCTCTCTCTGGTGGTTTTGGGTGGAGTGCGTGGGACACCCCTTGACCCCTTGACCCCTTGATCCCGGACCGGCGATGCTGTGACACAGATATCTGACGGCAGCAGGTTTGCAGTAGCAGTCCACACCAGTCAACTGATAGAAAGAAGAAAAAAACGGTTTTCAGAGAAGTTAAATTCACAGTATGTAATATTCAGTAAGAAAGTCCCGTATTTAAATGATACGCTAAACTAATTATGGATCTGATGACTACATGTAAGGTCCAAACAGTGTCTGTTTTGTCTGTTGACGCGGCATTGATGCTCTCGTCCAACGGGATCTCACAGAAAAACAGCGAGAGCAGGTGGAAATCATTTTACCGATGGGGGCGTGGTGTGTACTCTCAGACCCTAACACACCTTTTGATTAAAATTAAAATGCAGTCGGTCATCTGAGGCCTTATTCCACTGCTTCCGACTCAAGGTCCTGGTACTGTGGCACGATTGTCTGTTCGTTTGACACTAAACTGTCCACCGCGACAGTGAACTCTTTCGTCTCCGGTGCTTATGGGGAGCCTTTTTATCCGGACTTTCTGAGTGAGTGTCCAGTCTTGCTTGGAAGATTGGCACACGTGACAGCACCCACGGGCGAACCTAAATAATAGATGCGTCCTTGAGCAGCAAAGCAATCAAAGAAGAGGCACACTCAAATAGATTGGCAAACACACAAGTGAGCAGACACACAGGCAAACGCAAACACAGTGTGTGCTTCATTATTCACAGCACAGCGCTGAATAAATAAAGGCAGTAAACAACCCCGATCTAATGACGCAATACGACACTTGTTTTAGAAAAGCCGGAGGACACAACGTCCACCCTTCATTTATCTTCCGTCAACAAGCTCCCCTTTCTGCCCTGCTTCACCTTTCACGGGCCTGCTGCTTTGGAGGACATTTCATCAGCATTTCATGCAAAAGTGTAGTCGATTAATGTTTTCAGGCTCCTTAATCTCTTATGGGTTATGAGTCAGTCTGACTTCTGAGTTCCTTCCTGTTTTGTATAGAACGCAACTAATTATAATGTAATGTTCCATATCCAGCTCGCTGAGGAGAAAGAGTACCAGACAAATTATTAAGCCATTAAGTTTGAATTTCTGCCACACACATTGTGATAAAAGCAGCTTGGTTCTATTTTGTTATTGCAGCAGTACATTCACAATTAAAGAGGCTAGGATAGGATTACTGTGGTATGTTACTATTGATAATGACTGTGCTTCTTTTCTTAAACAAATGCAGAAGAACGTGTGTATCAACACGGTGTAAAAAGATACTCAGGACTGTACGCTGTTACTTTCTTTCGTCTTAGCCTCATTACAGCTCTCCACCACAAAACGAGGATTCAATTTGCTGGCCGCCCTCGAGCACAATCAGTGCCGTGTGACTGGAGAACTGTGGAGAAGTCCTCTTTGCCCGGACTTGAAGTGCCACGAGTGGCCACGGGCACCGGCGCTGAGGAGTGAAAAGGGAGTGGAGGGAATTAATGTCAAGTATTCAGAAAAACAAAGACTGGAGGTCAGCGTTTTGACCCGCCCACTCCGGGTAGCGGCGAACACAGCGAGAGGGAATCCGGGGTGGGAAATCCTATGTGGCAGGGTGACGGGGCTCGCTGCACCCCTCTGACACGCTCCCAAAATGGCTCCAGGGTTAGGGTGCAGTTAAATGAGGAGAAATGTGCAAAGCCGAGTGCTAAATACAGAATGGACTCCATGCGAAACCAGCGGGTCATGCATAACTTATCATGATTTGGAATTTGTGTGTCTAACTGTTTTTCGAGGCCGTGCGTCACCGCCTATTTAGAGTCTTTTCTTTCCTTCTCCATGGGGCCCCATCTTATTGTCCGAGTGCAGGACCACAGCTCTTATTGCAAAGGCAGAGGATCAATGTTGTTTCCCCACGTTAAATTAGTAGAGAATCATTTGTTTCCTTTGGGAGCAGCAAGCAAGCATCAACTCCCTTCTTTTTCCCAAGAGGAACAGATTAAAAGGTATTAAATATACAGACTCCAATAACTCTCTCATTCAAAATATTATAAGTTATCCTCTTCTTTCTCTACAGAACATAATAATAACAACACTGATACTTATTGCAGATTGCAGATTTAGTATTTCCCCAGCTTTAAATAGACCTGTAATGGGTCCTCGGCTTGACGGTTTCACCTGACAGAGGTAATTATGCACGGTTATTAAAGCAGAGCTTGTAACTGCATTAGTGACAGCTTCAATTAGTGAGCGAAAACAATGTGTGCCCTTATGTGCTGATTATACGCATTGTTCATGCTCACAGTGGGGCTGACACCTGCAGCCCCGTGATTTAAAGCAGTGCTTTCTGCTCTCCGATGCATGCACGGCTAAAGTACGGGCCTGTTGCTAAGCAATGGGACGTGCCGAGACTACAAACAGCTTTGCTTTTATTGAGGCATGTGCCGTCCATGTGGGTTTTTCCCCGAGATATGATTGTTGAGCGACCTTGTTTCATCCCTGCAGTTCTGCTCAAACACAAAACCAAAAGTGTTGCCAAGGAAATCAACCATTTTTTTCTCTAGACCAATACTGCTGTGGTCTTTTCCTTTGAGCCAGAGGGAGGATACTGACCCCTGATGAGCTAAACGCTTGACTTAGCTAAAGTTACCTGCGACATTCACACTACAATTTAACTGATGTATTTAGAAGTTTTACATTTAGCGAAAGCTGTCCTAGTATTTAGCTGTATGATTAAACCAGAATTACAAGCAGTTAACACAGTGATGTCAATACTGCACAATAAATTAATCTGGAGGCAGCTATCATTGTGTTGCATCATTATCGTCATCATACAGTACCAGTCGAAAGTTTAAACTATTAGTATTGAACAATTCTATATTTTACATTTCAATCACTTGAAGACCTTTTGCCAGAGAAAAACAGCAAATAAAGAGTAAAGAGGTGGGCAGAAAGTTTGACTTTTACTTTCTGCTAAAAATTGTTAAGAAAGAGATAAATTATCCTTATTGGTAATTGCTTTTTCATCCAAAATTAGACAGCCAAACAAAACCAATCTGCTACCTAACAAGTGTTCAACTAGCAAAAAGAGACCAAAAACAGCTATAGGAGAGTGAATATTTCCCCAACTGATATATGTTTGCTTTGTATCTACTCGCCTTGCTACCTCTACTGCCAACAAATGAATCATATCAACTTAAAAAGTCTTGCTAAAATACTTTTTATTGCACGTCTAAAAACTTGTTTACAAATGCGATGGCACAGCAACAGCGATCATAACTGTAGGTAAACAACTCTTCTCCGTTTCATGGACGCAGCTGCAGGCCTATAACGTGCACAACCACCATGCAGTCTAATTGCATCCAGTAGTGTCGTCATGTTGCTGTCAGCTCTGAAACAAGAGTGTGTGTTTACAGTGTGTTTATATGTCAGCACAGAGGCTCGCTGGAGCACAGAAAGAGCCTGCTGTATGTAAACATCATGTACATACGTGCAATCAGAAGCGCGAGCGAATAATCCTCTCACGCAAATTCAGCCAATAGCTTTCAGAATGCATAAAATGTGGCGTAACTCCTCATGTTGTCCCTTGTGAAATGTAATCGGGTCATCTCAGGCAGTGGTAACGAGAGCCACAATGCCGTCGCCCCTTAATGGAGTCACAATCAGGGATTTCTGTCTGATTGACAGCTTTGCAGCGAAAAACACATGTTCTGACACATCTTTCAATATTTCAATACAAGCTAATGAGTGAATAATAAATTGGCAGTGGACGTTCCTCCCGGCGCTCATGGAGAGGCATCGCGTTCTTTATTTAGTTGTTGCCAAGATCGAGACATCGATCGGTGCGAGAAACCCAATCTGAGCAGGTGCACAGAGATAAACAAGAGAAGGAGAGCCACCCTTATATTTGCCAAGGAGCCGGAAACCGTCCACGAAAGGCCGCAGACAGTTGCCAGGCAACACTATCCCTATCACAGCAGGAAGTGCAGTGGAACATTAATCACTTTCACTTACATCTCACCAGTCACAGTGCTGCAGTGGCTCGGCCCGTACCTGTTTTTCTTGGCATTGGCGGCCTGTTGAGAAATAATCAAGACGGGTATTTTGTTGCAATCCTGTGACAAAATTATGAATGAATATCATATCAATACATTTTCATAAAAATGTATAAAATGAATAATAACACTAATTTCAGCGTCTGACATTGGGGATGATTCCAGGGGGGCACAGTTCCGCTCACCTGGTGCTCTAACCTTACGTCTCTATCTAATTAATTAGAAGAGGGTCTCACACAAATTTATATGTCTTGTGAAGTAATAGTTCATGTTGCTATTATATTAATTAGTGAAATGATTAGTTGGCTTTTTGAGTAAGAAGCTTCATCAGCTTATTGGCAATGCACGAGTTCTCACAGCTTTGTTTAAGCCAGGCTATCTGCAGGCGAGTTGTGAATTAAGGAAAACCTGAAAGAATGTGAAAAGGCAGCATGTGGGCGGATTCACTCGAGTAAAAAAATGACAAGGTTTCCCCCGCTCAGTCGGCACCCGTAAACAGAACCAATCCAAAACACATAAACAGAGTCTACTGAGCGAGAACAGGACAACAAAATGAGCAAAGGTTATTGTTGGAAAGCTGGACAAGCCTGTCAGAAGCTAACTAAACTAATGTTCTGATTTAAATAGTTGAACATGATACCCGTGTAAACTACTACATGTGAGTAGTAACACAATTAAATTAGTGTCTCACCTTTTATAAAGTACCTCAACAACCGGTGCAGATGGTTGTTTTTTTATGTACATAGGGAGTGCAGGCAGAAATACTAGTATAAAAGTGAGTGACTTAACTGCCGCTGGATTAGAAATGCATCAATCATTGACCACAGTTCTACACATATTGCTGATTGTGAGTCGTAAGATAATGAACCAAAGATAGTCTTGGAAAGAATAAAATAATGACACTCGTTGGAACTTGCAGTGATTCACTTGAAGATGGTGAGATGTACAAATGTGTGACTGCTTAGCATGGCCACGTTCAGCCACATGTTGGTATATATTTTATATATGTTTTCTTATTTTACCTGAAACCGTGCAGCCACTTTGGTGTCACACCAACGGAAGTTACACATCAACAGAAATCGTTCAAATTTGCTATTTGAGACCACGTGACTGCAGTCGAGTCCCATATGACTAATAATGATGGTGATGTAAACATGCATGAACCCTGCAGCTAAACGGCCACTACAGTGGACAGCGGATAACAGGATTAGCGCCAGTTCAGCCCTCTCGTGGCTTTTCGGTGCGTCTCCGCAGCGCATCTTTGGTGCGGCCACTTTCAGTGAACTGCGCCTTCTTGGCGTGAGCGCACTATACCTCCAAAACGCGTCGATCCCCGGGGAGTTGGGGGGTGGATCAGCTTTGCTCAGCTCATTCCTAATGACCTCCGTGGCTGCTGATGAGACCAGACAGGAGCCAGATCTGCTGGAGATGCGACGGTTATCCGCAGAGGACGGATGTGCGCCGGTCTTCGTGCAGAGCATCACGCTCCGTTGAGCGCAAAGACGGCTGATCGTCGGCGGTCGTCAGCAGTTAAAAGGACGCGCGTTGTTTTCTCTCCTCTCAATCTTATTTTTTTTGCGCATGTTTTTTTTTTTAGCGGGTACTGGATGCGGCGTGAAGCAGGGTTCCTCTAGGGAACACCCCACCTCCCTCATATGCGCTGTTGTCCTCAACGGCAGACACGCACAAGACTCAGACGGGGACTGTTTGTCTGGAGCAACATCGGAACGTGATTTAACCAGACGACAGTTTTTTTGTGAAATCCAGCATCCCGGCACCGATCGAAGGTAAGAGCATCTCTCGGTTTCCGTTTCCATGTTGTGCTCGTTTGTTTGTCGAGCAGGAATGGTGCAATGCAACGTTTGAAGAGCTCTCCCACAAATGCATAGGGACATGCCAGAATGCTCCATAGCGTAAATTCGTATTATTTCACGTTTGTGTGACTTCGTGGTTTATGTTTTAGTGCAAAACATCCTTTCAGCTGCGTCTTTGGGGGGGTTGAATAGAGCGAAGGAGACGGACGGGCAACTGGGAAGAGGAAGAAGAATCGATGCGTGTCTTCCAGGAGCGTGAATGCACATGGTTTAGTGCGAGCACCGCGTTTGTGTGCGTGTGTGTGTTTGTTTTAAGGGAAGACGCACTTTGTGCAAAGCGGCAGGTTCAAGTTAGTATTGTAGCCAATAAATGCGCGAGGAGCCGTGGGGGACAGACGCAACTTACTGCATGTGCAGATGGGTGCAGAGGGGAAGTATGGACATTATGGACATTATATCCAAGTACTGCACAGCTATGCACATAAATACGTCTTAGCTTTCTTTTCTGACAGACTAATAATGCAGTCAGTCCATGCTGGGCATCCATTCAGACTCCTTTAAGCTTTTACTTGCAAGACTAACTGTGGTGCGTTTTATTATATTTCCAAGGACAATTTGAACTGACCCTGAATACAAGTATACTTTTTATACTTACAGCTAATGTTTACCACTTTTTATGTATTATCTGACTGTCGTACGGGTATATTCATCTACACAAAAACAAGCGTTTATGTTTGGTTTAAGGGATCATACTTTAACATGTTTCATGTGCTTACAGTTATTATTGTAGTAAAGATACGGATGGCAGCATCAAAACAGGAGAATCTGTGGTTTGTTCTATTAAAATAATTGTATAATGTGGGTGTGACAGCAGGTGTCAGAGATTTACATTGTTGTTGGGATTTGAATACGTGTGACATTCCCTTCTCGCTTCTACAATCTGTGTTTCTGTTTAATAATTAATGTTTTTGTTGTCTCTGTTTCTGCTTTCTTCCAGCGTGCACTTAAAAATGCCTGGAACATTCTCCAGCTGCTCTTCCATGCGTTTCTCCGTGGCATCGTAGTGAACCTTTCAGGGATTTAAATCTCCTGCTAGCATGTTGCAGCCTTCTACCAGAACAGGGGACGGCCTGCTGAAGACCGTACCTCATTGGAGTGAGTGTCCGGGATGGGTCCTCTCGCTCACCCTCTGTATGGCGCTCCTCTGGCTTCCGGGGGCAGCGGCATCCACCCTAAACTGCCATAAGACATGCATCTGCGCCTCGAACATAGTGAGCTGCTCCAAGATGAATCTGACCACCGTCCCAACAGGTCTGCCGCTCTACACTGCTGTGCTGGATCTCAGCTACAATGAGATAGACCGTCTGCGGTCAGAGTGGACCCCCGTCAAGCTCCTGAAGCTGCATAATCTCCTCCTCAGCCACAATGGTCTCCACTTCCTGTCATCGGAGGCGTTCCACAACGTGAAGCAACTGCGTTACTTGGATCTGTCCTCCAACAACCTGCAACTGCTGGACGAGTTCATCTTTGAGCCTTTGGTTAACCTGGAGGTCCTCTTGCTGTACAATAACCAAGTTTCCCAGATTGACCGCTCAGCCTTTCTCGGCATGATCAACCTTCAGAAGCTCTACCTAAGCAAGAACCAAATCTCCCGCTTTCCTATGGAGCTGGTCAAGGAAAAGTCCCACCTGGAGAAACTTAGTCTTCTGGATGTGTCCTCCAACAAGATCAAGATGTTACCCATTGATGAGCTCCAGGCGCTGCCTGCCTGGATAAAAAACGGCCTCTACTTCCACAATAACCCTCTGCTGTGTCACTGTGATCTCTACACACTCCTTTCCCATTGGTACATTCGAAAGATGAACTCCGCTATGGACTTCAAAGACGACTACACCTGTATTCTGGCTGGCCCTCAAAAAAACAAAGTGGGCGTTTTCAATCTCAGCGGTGACAGTATGAACTGCAGCACCTTCAAGGAGGCGGACGAAGAGGCTTTTTTGGAGCAGAGGTTGATACTTGGCTGTGACACCAAACGCAGGGGGATGTTAAAAACCTGGATAACGCCTGGTAATGTGGTGGTGACACCTGGAAGCAACCAGACAGCCAAAGTATTGCCAGACGGAAATCTGCAGATTGACCCGGTGAGGAACGAGGACTCTGGGACCTACACTTGCTTTGCCATGAGCGAGGCCACCAATGAGACCATCTATGTGGTGCTGAAGGTTCACAACTTCACCATGCATGGTGGCAGTGACAGCCTGAACACAGCCTACACAACCTTGGTGGGCTGTCTGGCCAGTGTGGTGCTTGTGCTCATGTATCTGTACTTGACACCATGTCGTTGCTTCTGCTGCCCCAACAAAGGTAAGGCTCCGGGTGATGACAGCATCCACTCGTCCATGCTCAGCGTGACGCCGACTCACGAGGACCCGGCGCTGAACAGGCACGTGGCCTTCATTGACTCCAAGGACTTACGGGGCCAGAACGGCAAGCTGAACCCCAGTGGGGAAGACGATGACGATGATCTGGATGCAGAGGCTGGTTCTCTTATGAAGGGGAAGAGGAAGAAGTCAGTAGCAGAGTCCATCAGCTCCGTCTTCTCGGACACTCCAATGGTGGTCTGAGATGAGGCCGACAAGGACTGGATGTTCATGGTACAACGTGGGCCATGTTTTAGATGACGTAAACTGTGACCTTGTGGGAGGATAAGAAGAAAGGAAGTCCATCTACAGCTGTCGGCAAGTGGAAATAAGGATCTCAAAGGGGGTAAAAAAACAAAGCAAGTCTTGTTTCCCACAAGGACAATAAGCAGGACCTTTCCAGCATATTAATCTGTAGCACTTAATATTCATACTGTGAAGGAATGGCAGTGTTCATGAACCGAGGGAACAACGCAAGTCTTATGACAGTGAAACAAAGACAATTTATTGTTGGTGTCAGCACTCAGGAAGTGATCCATTAAAACGATAAATTGTGGAAAATAAGGTTTGAAAAAGATTTGAATCATGGCCACCTCATAATTCTATTTATTACATGGACTAGAATAGATTCATCTTACCTAAGCATCAAAGCATAGATACGTGTGCTCCTCCTCCATCAACACAGGGCTAGAGACTTACACAGGCCGCGGCCGCCAATACATCCGTCGTTAACCTCGAGTCATCTTTAGAAAAACAGCATGCCATCAACACGCATTATGTGAGTTCTCAGGCTGATCTTTTTAAGTGGGATGAAGAGAAAACAGTAGTCCAAACATTACTAAAAGGTCATCGCAGGTTATTTCCCTTCTGCTTTAAATCCAATACTGAGTTACGCTCAGATATATCTTATGGGTCCAATCGTTATTCAGAGCTGTGTATTGTGTTAAAGGAGAAATAGAGATCAATTTACAGATAGGTATGGTATAAAATAGTTTACCAGCTTGATCCAGAACATAAGAAGAATTCATTATTGCACAGTTTAACCCCAAAGGAAGCCGTACACAATTAAAAACATGGCACGCAGCTAACAAATACAGATTAGATATAAGCAGGAAATTGTTTTGTCTTGAATGATTAGCAACATATTGTCTCAGCTATGTATACAGACCGGTACCATGGTTCATTAAACAGACTATTACACAGAGCTGACTCTGACTCACACAAGCAGGTTAAAGACCAGGTTAAAAGCTGCCAGCTTGAGTTTATTTGAATCATTCTTATATGTAAAAGGAGCACCTTACACAGAGCATAACCCTGAGTGTACTCATATGCCATAAATTATGTAGTAGATTTTAATAAGTGTCACGCTGTCTTCTCCTGTAGTAGATATACGCTGCGTCAGCAGGTAAACAGAGTTCGCCAAATAATAAAACCTACTGGGTTTCGTCCAGAAGAGTATGAGTATGTTGATGAGGCTGTACGTATTTGACAGGACGGAGCTGACTTTAGCGTTTGAAGCTTCTGTCGGGGAGATTTCAGAAGAAACGTTGAATTATTTTCCATGCGAAACACCTCGTATGCTGTGCATATTTTCATCAACAAGGTTGAAAAGAGGCACGGTCAAGAAAGGGTGATTTTAATAAATGGTGCAGTTAGTGTCGTAACACAAGAAGGTTAGTAGTTGGTAAATGCTAATAGAATCTTTTGATGCCATTGTCTCTCTGACGAGCAGGTGATAGGTGTGTTACATCACGAGTCACAGCAACACAAAGCCGTTCTCTCTGGCTCCCTGCACGCTGACAGCCCCAATTCAGCCCAGATGTGTTTGCCTTTTTGTGTGTACCTCTGTCATTACAAGGCCGATAAGCAATCACTCAACCGTGATTCCCTTTAAGTCTTTAATGATGGTTGTGAGGGAAACGCCTGGAACGTTCTCTCAACATTTGTTCTCTGAGTCTTATGATTTACAAGAAGTATAATACAAGAACTTTGGAAATAATGTATTGCTCATATACAAATACATATGTATGTAAAATCCCAGACCTCTAGCTAGATGTCAGTATAGCTCTCAAATCATAAGATGTACACTTTTCTACCCAAAATGTAGGTCATGTTCACAGGTGCAGGGTGCAACGCAGCATCTTCTGTGTGTGTGTGAGAAGAGGAAGCCACACTTTTCAGAGAGGTGGTGTGTTAACCGTTCTCGCACACACATGGGACCACCAGGTGGAAATACATGGAGCAACATTTAACACCACTGCTGGATTTTTAGAAACTACTTAATGGGGGTTGCGGAATCTAATATGGTAACAAAATATACTAATATGCCCCAAAGTAACCCAATATCAATCGAGTTCATTCAGGCCTTGTTGCCACTCGTAATAAAGGTTTCACATACAGAGAAAAAACTCCTATTATTCTCCTAAGTCCTATTGCAAAGGTCCCAACGTAGAGTAGAAGTGTGGCTTAACCTTTCTCCAAAGCAAATCTGCCTTCCTATATATATACAGTATATATAGATATATATGTATTACGAATCACTATTCTTGTACTGCTATGTTGTACTGACTCCACTCGTGTATAATCGGATGTCATTCTGCATCATGTGTGCTGCTGTGCTACTGTTTCTGCATTCAAGTCTTGACCATAAATGTTCGTTCATGTTTTAATTTTTAATGACATAGGATGTATTTTACGCTTGACAATATGGTGAAAATCTTTATTGAACATGTATGAAAACCTTCATAGGAGTGCCGCTTTTCCTAATGGGCAGTCAGCATGTAGCCACCAGTTATTCTCAGTCAGTATCGTAAAGCCATAAGGAATTAAGAAGAGTGCTTCATCAGATTGGTGGCTGTATCAGGTAACATATGGAGATCTCAAATGGATACCCTACAATTATTAAAACATAACATTTTTAAGAAAAGTCAAAGAATATTTTTTTATAAAAGCTGGGGAGGAAAACCGAGAGACTTCCCCGAGGAATTCCTGTAACACAATGGGTTCCAAATGGATTAATTAATCTTCTCAGGACTATGTCATTTTTAATTTCTAGTTTGTTATGATGCACAAATGTTTTCACACTTGCAACATCAATAAAACACACAATCTTAGGTTGGAGATCTGTGTAGTTCACAGGCCTTTTTCTTTCTGCCGTAATGGTATAGTTACTGTTCACTTCATTATTAAGGAAGGGAGTGGTCTTTGCCAAACATACAGCTATAACCTTTCATCTGATGGTGTGTAGCAGCAATTAAGGAAACGTCCTTGAGGCACTCTGCTTGAAATGTGTGCAGCTGCGAGTGGCCACAGGACAGGAATGGGGCTTTTAACAGCCTTACAAGCTCAGAGTTTATTGATTACCGCCCTCAAAGATGAGCTGGAAGGTCCCTGCCAGAACAGCTGAGAGGTCTTGTGGCTAAAGTGGAATGGCTTTGCATGGTTTGCTTAAGAGCTTCTCTGACTGCAGGATAGGTGCAACCCAGTAGACATTAATGATAAAGAAAATGTCATTTGAATTAATAAAAAAGATCAAGATATTCACATTGTGCTGGTTCTATTTTTACTGTATCTCTATTTCCAAAAATCATCTGTGACATATTCCTATGTTTGTGTTCCATGAGGCTGATATCTAAGGGAGTAGTTGAAGGACAAAGCTGTGACATTTAGCCAACGCTACTATGACTAATGTAGAGGTGCTAACATAGTAAATATAGAGTAGCCCCTGGGGGTTAACTGTATGGCAAATCTCATTTACAAAAATGTGTATTAACTCCAGTAAGTTATAAACGTCCATCATGAACTGATTCAGTCATTTCACCCATAACAATAGACTCAAATTTTTATATAAAGTGTGTGCGCTTACATAACTTCCAGGAAATTGATAACGCTGCATTTGAAACATTAGAAAAATTGATAGCATAACGGCATCTAGTGGTAAACTTAGGTAGTGCACTATTGAATAATAAATAAATTGAATAATGATATTTACCGGCCATCGCAACCATTTGACGAATACTAAAAAATATATTTCCACTTTTACATAACTGTACAATGAGTCAAAAAATACAAGTTTGGAAAAATGTAAAGGAATGTTGACTTTTTATACATGTGTACAACAAAATTGCATTTTGACCATCTCTAATGGTCTATTGGTACAGAACTGCAGCATCAAACAGACGACACGGGGCGATGAGGATTGAAGAATCATTTACTTTTTTGCCATATCACTTTTCATTTTAGCAGCATGACAAGTAATTTGAGGTATTTTCACAGTATTACACAAGTAACAAACTGTCATTTAGTCACATAGAAAAATAGGTTGTTTGCAAAAATATATACATATGGTAACATGCAGACCAATATTTATTCCTGATGTCTGTGCATAAAAAGGGGAAGACCTAAATATTTGTGGACAGAAACATACACACACACATACCATGCAGGCAGCAGCAGACTTCTTCTTCAAGTGTCTGTTTTAAAAGGCTGGCTTATTTATTGGCTGTGAAGATAAGAGATTAACAACTGTCATCAAGAAATGTATTCATCATTGATAAAACATACAATCCAGTTCAGATCAAGAATATGATGTGTGCCACTTCCATTCATGTCATTTTAGGCTTTACGGTCACGAGTCACTAACATGTATGACATGTATGTGACCTGCAGCACGCGGCCAGCTTGACTACTCACGTTTCAGGGGTTGGATCTTTTCTCCAGGCCCAAAGCATGCGCGAGCCCGTTATTCTTTCCATCTTCTCTCCTCCCTGGGGAGGGGAGGCCAAGCGTTGACACTTGCTTCTGGATAGCGAGGAGCCCAGAGGCTGAGATTCACTGCCGTCTTTGCGCTTTTGTGCAGGACCTCTCTGGTCGTAGCCCACCACCTTCTGCTGAATCCCCAGAGGCCTCCCTCTGCTCCGGGGGCCGTGGATAGGAAGGCATGGCTTCTTTTTGTGTGAGAAGGTGCCGTTTACTGTTCCTTGAAGGGAAGGGAGGTGTGGCTGCACCTTCTCATTGAGCACGGGATCCCTGATATGTTTGGAGGACTTTTCCTCACCGACGTGAACAACTTTCTGTGCTGCACTTGCATCCTGCATAAGTCTCGCAGACGTGGTGGAAGACGGCGGTTTGGTACTCTGAGCGTTGTGCTGACTGGTTTTGGTTTCCAGTGGTCCAAGTGAGGTAGATTTGAGGCTGCGGTAGGCTGTAGATTTGGTGGGTACGGCAGTCCTGACAGGTGCTCCTACGGTGGGATCTGAGACATGGCAGGACCTGAGACCTGATGATACTTGAGGCATTTTCCTGTAAGTTAAAGGAAAAACATGAAGGACATTACCACTCCTGTATTTCACAGAAATGAAAAGGAAAGCAGAAGAGAAAAGACAGTTCTGGTCAGCTTAGAAGCCCGCCCGTCCTATAAACTGTGAAATTAGATAAACCAGTGGGTTGTGTTTTGTGTAGCCCAGTTTGGCTGCATAGTGTGGATATTATCACTTCCTGTGATGTAGTTTAGGTGCATGAACGGCAGCCTAATTGAGTTAAACAGAATATCTAGTAGTTGATCCTCTCGTATGTAAGTTAACATCCCAGTGATTGAGTCAGCACAACAAACAGCTAAAGTTCTGAAATATGGGCCCATTAAGGGGGAATAAGGGGGCAAATACACTTACGTCTCTGATGATGACGTGAAAAGAAATGGCAATCAATCCTTTTCATCCTCAACCAGATCAATGTCTGTCCGTTTTCTCACCAGATTATTTTAATTTGAGCTTTTTGTACTGGATCGGGACACACCATCTCCACACCCACTGAGCAACTCTTCCTTTCACCTTGTCATGTATGGATAGGTGATAACAACGTAGAGAAGTGATACTCACTTCCACAAGTGTGTGCTGACATGGCGTTCCAACATGGCCCCGAGGGCAAACCGCAGATGGTGCCATCGGCGATTGAAGGTGAAGATGCTGCAGCCTAACGTGCGGCATCCGAAAGTGCAAAGCTACAAAAAGCAGAAGCAGGTTGAAATCATACAGACTGAATCACGGGTCATTTTGAGAAGTGTAAACAATCAGTTTAAAAGTAGCACCCACCCTTTTCTTTCTAAAAGGGACACTAAATCAATCAATCAATCGCTATAAATTCCCGACATTCCTTAAAATAATCATACTACTTTTGCATTGCACTACTATTTCTGCACTCACCCCGAGAGGTTTGGGGTGCCAGGGTGTGGCCGGCAGGTCCACGGCTTCCTGCTGCCTCCCGTCGTCGCTCTCCTCGCCTGAAACCACGCTCCCGTTGAGGGGAATCTGAGGCTGCGCCTCCACTTCCACAGAGCTTTCACCTTCCGCCCGTGGAATGCTTTCTGATGGGACGCCGGAACTGCTTTGAAGGCAAAATAGATCACAACCAGCTGTGTCGTGAACGTGTGTGACAAAGTACTTTGTCTGTGTAATGTGTGTAACTGGAGGGTTTCCCCACAGGGCACCGCAGGGTAGCGCATACAGAGGACAAGCAGATTTGTCAGTGTGCAGCAGCAATGACACATTGTACGGATGCCGGTAATTGTCAGTAATTACAGATCGAGTCTATCAGCTTATTTTCAGAGCTTTTCTGACATTTTCCTGCCTACTGACCCTTGACCCACATCACCTTACTTCCCCGTAGTGTACGTGAGCAACCTACGCTCTAAACTGACACAGGGAACACATGGCAACCATCACGCAGACACAGAGCAAGAAAAAACACATTTCATACCTGAGAACGCTGTTATAAGTTATTCTGGTCTGAAGATGTTTCTCTGGTTGTTGTTTCTCGTTGTCTTTTGATCCGACAGGAAGCTGCTCCGTATCTCGATCTGCAGAAGGCGTTTTCTGCTCCTCTGTCAGTTGATCGAAGGTCTTAGTCCTTCCCAAAGCTTTCTGCTGCTGGTGGATAGAATCCGTCTGCGTAGAGAAAACAGGGGTAAAAAAAATAGAGGCTTTAGATGCCACACCAAACTATGATAAACAGATTTAAAAATCTCCTATCTTCCTGTATCAAGTGACAAATGCAACCTCTAAGACAAAATACTTGTATCTTTGTTCGTAATGAACACCAGTAAAGACACAGGAAACAATATTAGACAAAAGGCCTTGAGAAGGCATCTAGCGTTTACGGTGCATATGAGCTCCTGGCTGCTCAGCTCCTTCCTCTCTGGATCCAGAACCCCACACGGTTTGTTCAGGTCACACTTTTTCTCTGTGGTGAAGAAAGCAAACACAGTAGTTAGTGAGCAACACAGACGGTCAACCCGAGGCACTAATATTCATGCAATCTGATCATTGATTAGCACTAATACACTACATTTTTGTTGAAGAGACATGGCAGAGAAGCAGTCGAGGAAAAAAAACAACGGATGTTGTGTATAACAGCGGACTTACTATCGATGTTTTTGGAAGTCCGGCTGTAGGTTCTCGTTCTCCGCAGAGGACCACGAGACTCACGGGACAGCGGCGCTGTGGGCTTCTGCACTGAGGGCAGGGAGGACGCGTGGGGTGGGAGGGCAGACTTCTCGTGGGGGAACCTTTCCAGCGAACGAAAACTGCAGCGGTAATTAGAGAAGAATGAGTGAATGCAATACAGGCTCGGAATTTAGACGCAAAAGGTAACTGCATTCAGGTTCATGCCAGTTCAAAATCACGTAACATTGGAGCATATTGCAAAGCATCTTGTATGCAAAACGTAATACTTATTGAGTTCCTCAATGCTCTGCAAACATTAGTTACTGCATATTGAACATAATGAAGAGCTAGTTCATTCATTCAGATTTTGTGGTATATGCTTCTGTTTCACCTACATCGGTCTTCTTAGAGCTTTAGTTAGATTCAATAAAGCAACAACAGAAAAAGGGGAACTGGGCCACATTCTTCAGTTAAGCTTCTTCTAAAATCAGATAATTCATATTCCAATTTTTATATATTCCAAAAATTAAATTGTACACAGTACCTCACGGCGTCCTGCTGGGCCTTGCAAGGCCTGTGCTGGTGCACCGGTGATGCTGCGGAGGAAGAGGAAGAGGAGGGGACACTGGCTTCATGGCATCTGCCGTCTTTCCGCCTCTCTCTAGAGGAGGAGTGATTTGCAGGAGGGCGCGCAGGACAAAGGCGCTGCTGGGAGGCTGAAGCAGAAGACTGTCCGCACATCTTCGGGAGAGGACCGTGCCGCCTCTCACAGTGCTTCTCAAAGGCCTGAGGCTTCACCACCTGGCCACAGTGGCTGCACATCACCAGATAGATGTCGTCGTGTGCTGGGCAGTGCCCAAATGTGTGCATATCTGTGGAGGGGAGCAGAAGAGTCACACCGATGAACTGATGAGGATTGAGGGGACACAGATCGCACCGGGTGGGACTGAGGGTCACGTGTCACCTTCTTTCTTGAGGGTCATGGTCTCAGGCGGGTTTCTGACATGCTTGCTGCCGTCCTCAACATTAGACCCAGCTGCATGAAAAAGTCAAATAAACATTCAGGGTGAAAACTTGTCAGTGGACAAGCATTCTTTGCAGCATTCTTTCTATGGACTGGTTTGAAATGTGCGCTCGGAGCTTCGCGGAGGACAACCGGAACAGGTCGCTCCGGTGAGTTTTTAAGTAGTAAATTATCTAGAAGCAATTCCCTTCCCGTGACCTCCCGTTTCATGCATCGACTGGCAGTCTACAGTTTCCTACTTAAGCAGCGTTCTTGTTCAGTGACAGTAGCTCGCGGGCTCACGATGCCACTAAACGCACCTGTGCATAGGTAGGGTGCGCGCGTTCTAATCACTACATGACCCAAATGCATGCAAACTATTATTTGTAACGTCATCTTTTTGCGAGTTACCTGTCCCTAGCCAACTTCGCCCGCACTAGGACCCAGTGTGTCTTTTGTTTGGGTCGCTCTTCGTGCCGCTATGTGAACGTAACAACACGTAAATCACCGGACACGAGCAATGTGACGGGATGGACGCCGGGTTCGGGGCAGCGGGTGCGACTCACCGTCAGATGGTGAAATATTCACTCTTTCCACCCAACAACTCCAGTTTAATCCGACAAAATCGTCAAGATTAGGATTTCGCCGATCCAGAGCGGCCATTGCTGCTCTTGCGCGCTCACGAGGTGATGCCGTCAGTTCACGCGCATCAAAACCCGCGTCACAAAGCTCGCGGCCGCGATTTTCTGTTCACGTCAGTGAGGCCACGATAACCACCGAGGGAGAGGATGCTCGTATTGACACCTTTGACACCTTTGACACATTTACAGCCGTTCTTCATATCGGTTCAACTTTGTTTTATGACTACCAACAGATTAAATTCAGAATAAATGCACCACAACAGCCACTGATTATATATATATATATATATAATGTGTCTATAGATTGTAAACACAAGCAGAAACAGGCGTGGTTTCATATATGATTTTAAGGATTGTAAGTCATGTTTAATTTTCTTGGAAATAATTATATAAATAGGGACAGTGTATGTGCTGCAATTGACTGCTTAGTCCAGTGGTTCTTAAATAGGGGTGCACGTACCCGTGGGGGTATGTGAGATTTAAAAGATCTATTCAAATCCTTAAAAAATGTTATATAATATTCAAGAAAATAAGACACGTTCATGAACTGAATTTTATATTTAGTAGGCCATTCAATTTACTATTAAAGTAAAGTATTGGTAGTAGGCCACCAATACCTCTTCTCAAGCAAAAATGCCTTGCGCTGGTTACATTGCTGAAAAAAATATTTCACAAGGTGTACAATGCTGAAAAGGTTCAGAACCACTGGGTTAGTCTATCGAATGATAAAAAAGGTTCAATAAATACCCATCACGTTTTCAGTATTAGGCATTCACATCTGATTCACCGTCTGACGGCTCGAACTGTATTGCATGGCGACATGCCTGTTCTAGCTGAATCCTGCCTGATCAGCACAAATAAAATCTGAACAGGAAGTGTGAGAGTGGTGCAAGATGTTATTCTCCTGTCTGATTAAGACATTGCGTGTGTGTGTGTGTGTGTGTGTGTGCGCGCTCCCACTAGATAGAGCAACCTGGTGTAAAATCAGACACTTAACAAAAAGTTCAGTCCATCTTTTAATGATGCAGGGCATTTCATGCCCACTTCTTCCTGAAATGAACACAAACTGCAGTTTCATCTATTTGACACTTGTATAAACACAGTTGTGGAAAAAGCTAGAAACGGAATCAAGCAATATCAGAGTAGGAAATCATAAGTAATACAGTAAAGAGCTCATCTTACAATAAGGGGAAAGCCAGGCCATAGCAATAAAAAAGTAAAATTAGTAACTGGTTAAATTGTTACTAACACAAGCTAAGGCTATAGAATCCATTAAGCATTGGCTTTTAAATACTGTAGGACCTTGCTGGGATATTAAAAATAAAAAAACAAAACATCCAGGAAAAAGATAAGAAACTCTGCGTAATCTAAATCTAACAGTCAAATGTAAAAAATAAAGAAGCAAACATACTTTGTTAATACTAGGAAGTATTAAATCTTCCATAGTGAGATGATTACACATACAGATTGAAATTAAATTGCTTTCTCCCATTAGAAATAATCTCATAATGGTAACTGGAGCGATGTTCCAAAGTAACTATTAAACATAAATACATTTCAACTACATGTTTTAAAACCTATTGCATGTTTTTGGTTTGGGAAAACATTTGATTTGAAATTAGTCCAGACCTTTTAAAAAATGAATGCATTGAGAGATTAATATTTGTTTGCTATATTGTATTTTTGTACACTCAACAGCCCTGAGATTTTTTCAAAGAGAATGTAGATGGTAAATAAACACTATTGCAGCTTGACAATGTGATGCGTCATTCTGATTTATCAGCAACAAGGATGCGCTGTCCACATCTTTAATACGATTTTGAATGCAGGGCACTTTATTTTGGGTAGAAATGTTTTAAACCAGAGGTCTTCAACTATTTCAAGCAAAGGTCCCCCAAACTGATGGCGAGGTGGAGCAGGGACCCCCTATTCTACGGAGTTTGGTCCGCCATCTTTTATTTTTGAGCTTCACGCTCTTTAGACGTGAGCATGAACGTGATCTGATTGGCTGGTGCCGGCGCTGTCGTATTCGCATGAAAGGAGCTGTGAGTGAACCGGTGCCCAGCTTGAGAGCTGCTGAATGTGTGTTTCGCACTGACAGATAACGTCTTCATCAATTTACCTGTTCGCTTCAATATGTTGGATTCATGTTAATGTGTATTTAAAGACCATAAATAAAATTCTGAAGACATTTACATTTGTGGGGGAAAAAAAATTGTCTTATCAACCAAAAACTTGCAGTACCTTCGCGGACCCCCTGTTGAAGACCTCTGTGTTAAACCATGCAATCGATGACTGCAAAGTTGAATTAAGAAAACACAACCATAAAAAACTCAAAGGAGCTGCTTTAAAACGGATGTTTGAAAATGTATACCTTTACACATTTAACAATTGTTACCAAAAAGACTCATTCAATTTTGAAATGAAGGAGTTGTGCGTTTAGGGCGGCCCGACTACCCTCTCCACATCTGCAGGCGGGCTGGCTGACTTGTGGAAAGGGGTTTCCTTGTAAATGAACCAGCAGCTGCTGACCCACAGGATGAGGTTGAGAAAACCAGAAATCTACCAAAGAATATGCAATAAATCAAATATGCCAAGTTGTTGTGCACACAATTTCTGACAAAGATAAAAGGTTCCATACAACTTACCACAGAGGCGTTTAGTCGGCCCATGTGAGGCAGAGCACCTGGGCTGCAGTTGTTCATATCCTTGCACACCTGAACGAGACCTACAATGTTTGTAGGACTAGTAGCCCTCTTAACGTCGGTCAGTCCCTGAGCCCAAGCAGAGGATGAACACAACCACAAGATGGCCATGGCGACAGTCACCAACAGGTCCTTGGGAGAAGAAACATGATCAGTGTTGAACCAAAACACAGCAGTAGCTTTACTTAAGTGGAGTACCCAGTATTGTACGTCCCTTAGTTGCTTGGGAACCAAAGCCCTTCTCTCCGTTTCATTTACACAACTCTGCTAAGTGCAGAGTCGGACCTCCAGTTGGATTCCAGCATGAAGTCAGATTCAATACTTTACACACAAAGCAATATAAATATTGCCTGCAAAGGTAAAACATCTTATCAGCAGCGCTAAAGTCTCACAGCAGCTCAGAGGAAACACATGTTAAGCGCACCTGGCTAAAGCACAAACATGACACCAAAACTGTAATATGTAAAAACGGTAAATGGTTAAAAACGTACCACATTGGGGCCACGACTAGATTCTCTGTACAAGGGTTGGTAGCACAAGTAGAGGACTAGCGTCGCAGAGGCGTAGAGAAAGGCCAACACGCCAATGCAGACGAAAAACTGTGCAGAGGAGCTGTGGTCTCCCATCAGGAAGTACTCAGTAGTAGTGGCAGTTTGATTGATTTTGCAGTCAGGAACATTATAAGAATGCTGCATCAACCTGTGCAAAACACGGATATGAATAAAAGATTATAAAAAGCCTACAAGTAAACACTCGCTTTCCATAGGCTGGTTCTTCACTGTAAAGGATTGAGAGACTTTTTGCTCCCCCTCTCTCTCACACAGACCTGAATGGGTAGTTAAAGTTTGCCAGTATTTCTTGACTGGCATTTCCTTTGCACTGGACGTTGATGCTGGTGGTGCCGCTGTAGCCTCCAGTCGTAGCAAAGGCAAAGATGGCGAACACCTGCATGTGCAGACACGAGATAAGACGCTGAACGTTTGCGTGAACGTGCTCTTGCACACACACACACTTCCTTTTTTGTGCAACACCCTTTTGACGGGAAACTGTCTTAATCATCGGATGCCACCACTTGAATGGTTTTCACAGTTCACAGCAGACGTTTCTTCATTTCAAGAGCATTCCTGAAACTATCTGCACCACAAATGTTTTATCTGAAAAAGTGGAAAAATCTGCTGGCAAAGCATCATTTTTTTGTATTGTTATTAAGCTGGAAACATTTGTCATAGTTAATGTGTGTATATAGAGCCTCCCCGTGCAGGTGCTCCGTTGAACGCGTGGTTGGAGGTTGGCAGACATGTTGGCGTAACGTGGCGCGTCTGCACGCGGACCGTTTCGCAGCCCTCACGCGCGCACGCAGCGGGTCACAAGACAAAAAGACATAATCCATCTCCGTGGACCGCGGCCGCCGGGGATGCACAGCGCGTGACTCGCCGCGGCCCACGCGCTTAATATATAATATGTATGTACATACATATAATTAGGGGTTAACGTTACCCATTGAAGCAGGCGGATGAACGCCAGCGGTTCTTTCAGGGGCGCCAGGTCCACGTTGAAGCCCGCGGACAGCACTTTCTAGTGACACAACAGACACGCGATGTGAGGGGGGAAGAAGCGCTACACTGCGGAAGAAGTCACACACACACGCACACAAGTAGGTGTGTGTTGAAAAACAAACGGCTTTTAACGCGTTCCAGGTTTCTTGTCGGCGCGGTTACCTGGGCGACGGAGTCCATCGCGCGTCAGGAGATGAAAACCCTTCGGTAGCTTTGGTGCGCCTCCCTTCCGCGATGTGTGGCTCTCTCTAGCTCTCGCCTCTCGCTCTCTCTTCCCCCTTTTCTCTTTCGCTCTCAAACTTTTCTCCAACTTCAGCGAATCGTTGAGGACGTCACGTGATCACTGACTTGAATGCGTCGAAGGGGGCGCTGCTGGGACTCGGTGGAGTCACAGGGGAGAATGAATTGTGTTTGAACTTGGATCTCATTTCTGTAGATATTTACACGTGTGTCTTGTTCATTTCCTGTAACACGGAATAGCAGCTATATTAATTTACAAGTGAACACGCGGGAGAACAATTGTGCAATGCTGCAGAGTGCACAGTACGCTGGACCAAGGATGGATCATGAAACATTTATTGACAAAATATGTCATACATACAAGGAATTTGACTTGGCGGTTGGTGCGTGACAGTAGACAGTATGACAATAGACGACAAGACAGCAGTGCACAAGTAATGAAATAAAATGAAATTCTATGGGTTAGTAGAATGAGTCTATGGGATAGTTTAAAATAAGAGAATAAAGTTAAACATTTTAAAAAATATTTAAAAATTAAAAAATAAAGTGCACTAGTGAACAAGTGACAAAAGTGACGTGTGAAAAATGACAGTAAATCTAGACGTGAATACATACTTATGACAAATAATTTAATGTCATAAAAGGTACAAGTGCTCATAAAGCTGAATAGCCTCTGTCTTACTGTAGTAGTACATTGCATTTTGCCAGCAGTGACTAGGTAGACTACTGCTGTGGTTTCGAGTTGGTGTTTCGTCCTGTTTTAAACTTCTAATCCTGTACAATAGATAATGTACGTTTTACTCCACTACATTTGTTTGACAACATAAATTAGTGTTACTTTGCAGATTTGGATTATTAACACACAATATGAATTAAAGTATACCATATTAGTAATGGATCAAAAATATTATAGGTACTCTGCAGTTTATAATGTCATGCAAATTTGCCATCATTTAAGTCTATCACATATTTCTAGATCAATTGTTATAATTCAGAAATATAACATTAGGAAATGGTCCATTCTACATAATGATGGGTTTCTTAAGTTGTTCTTTTAGGCCTATGGAAGTAATATTTATAAAGCAGGACTTTGACTCAAAGTGTTGTTTTACAAAATGTCAGTTCCTGAATATTTGAGAACTAAACTTTTCTGTCTTAAAACAAATTCAGCATGAATGTTAATATCATTACAATGTTAATATCCACTCTGCATTAATGTATAAAGTCAAATTGTAAATTTAACACGCCATTTTCTTGCACTATGTTGTCTTATTAGTCTCGCTGTCCATTGTCTTACTGTCTGATGTTATGCATCAACCACCAAGTCAAATTCCTTGTACATCAAACATATTTTGGTAATAAAGGTTTCCTGATTCCTGATGTACGAAGGGTGTTTAAAATGCTCCAAAGTGTAAAGCACTTTAGTGGCAATTACTTTTTACTCAAAGTTGCAATTTCCACAGACAATACCTAGAACCTACTAAACAAACCCTTTTTAGACAAAGCAAGCCTTGTGTTTGCCAGGACTGTCTTGTATGCTGAGCCGCTTGACACACAAAACCTTGCAGATAATTACTGCCGTTTGGGTCTAAAGAAAATCTTGGTAACAGGAAAGGGACCTTTATTAGTTTCTTCAAAATTTCCACTGTCCAATACAAAAAGGAAAATCTGCAGGAAGAGTTGTACTCTGTAAAGATGAACAGTCTCTAAGGCATAAGAGTGGCTTTGTTCTCCACCTTTTAATAATTGACTGAGCTGCCATGGGGGAAGGGCTGCAACTCCATTGTACAGTCTTTTTGTAAAGGAATTCTACTCGCAAGATCAGATTGTTTGGCTTTTTGAGAGAGTCTGTGAATCAAGAAATACACAAGCAAGACCTACATACGAATGATCTAAGACACATTTGAACAGAAGTTCTGGGTTTAACTTTGAGGTGTCATGTTTTATTCAGGGTCATGGAAACTTGTCCAAAAGCTTTTTTATCTTCAATTATCAAGAGATTCCACCCTTATGTTGCAGTCACAGGGTTTGTTGTCTTGTCAAACAGGTTATGCCACAAGCATAATCAAATACTCATTTTGACTCACGCCCAGAGACTTAGTTTCAGTAACTCGGCTGACTACGCAACAAAATCCCATTCTGTGGAACTGGGATTACCTGGCAAATTTAAAATGTTCCCTTGTTACGCTTGACCAACAGTTTGTGGTTTGATGAATCTTTGATTTGCCCCGTGGTCGCTACAGGGTTTTCCCTGCATCACATGACCAGTTGTCGTGCTTATGACCCACTGTCCCATCACATGCACATAATTGGAATCATTGCAACCAATAATATTTAAATTGTAGGAATGCAGCAGGCCAAACAAATAACTTGTCTTAGTAAGGATCAGTCCCTTTGGGGGGGGGACTTGAGGCGTCATCGCAGGTAAATGGTGAAACAGGCCTTAAGACCAAAACGCATGGCAGGAGTAGGTCAAATTCCAATGCCCCTGAGCCCTCACGGACATAACCTCGGCCTCGGTAAATGGTTGAGGTTAAGTCTGTGAAGGCTAAGGCATTTTGCTGCAAAATATCCCATCACCATGACGTCAAAAATATGGTTTACAATTGAGGGTACCAATAGGTAATAAGAAGAGAGTTGGGGAACAGTATTTATACTTAATCAACTGGCCCGGTCTGAACTTCTTTTCTACATCAGAAATGCAGGTTATTTTTCCTCTTTGACTCTGTCCTGCTTGACTTTGATGTGAAAGCTCTTTTTTCACAAGAAAAAAAAAGGGAAAAGAAAAAATACAAAAACACGACGTAAAGCAGAAGCTTAAAAATTCACATTCGGTAATTTCTAAAATATTGTGAGTGATCTTTAAATTATTTCTGATAGTATTGCTCAACCTAGCATGAAAGACTTTGACAGCTAATAGGCAACGCCTCCATCGGACAACCCCTTTTCAGGAGTGAACCAATCAAACCGACGGATAGGTGGACCAGAAAGGATCAGCCAATCAGAGCGGCCCTTCTCTGCATACAGCGATGCAGCCCACATACTCAATTTGCGTGATGCTTACAGTGTGTCATGTTAGCTGAGGAGTTGCAGCGCGTACGAGTGGTGTCAGATTCTCCGGTTAATTTCGTAAAATTCGCAGTTTATTTCTGCGTTGATATCTGTTCCGCCGCCGCGTGGGGAAGCACTCGGAGCTCCGAGGGGCCTCCGTGTTGTCAAATCCCGGAATAATCGCTGTCAGAACGACCACCGTGTCGCTGATGTCATCTCGCGGCGGAGCCGTAGCGATCTTCAATTTGCAGAGAAGACCGACATAAACAAAGACTGGTTTCTGGGGGCCGCTGCTTCTTCCGCGTGTGTTTTTGTTTCTAACCGACAACCGCGGCGACGATGGGACCTTCGCTGCGCGCGCTCCTGCTTCTCTCCTTCTCCGCCCTCGCGGCCGCTACGGATTTCCAGCCGGGGGCGAAAGCCTCCGGGCGCTCGTTTCTGAAGCGGGCGCACGCCGAGCAGAAAGCGGCGAGCATCATAAGGAGGTCCCTGCCCGCGTGGCTGTCTCCGCCGCGGAGCCACGCGACCCGACGCAGGAGGAGCGTCGAGCTGGGCGAAAACTGCAAAGCCCTTCAAGGATATGACGCCAAGTTAGCAGGCAACACCCACAGTGTAAGTTACCTACCGACCTGCGGTCCGGTTACTGCCCCGCACGCGCCCGACAGCGGAGACGAGCCCGGGCGAGGTGACGCGCAGGTGCACCCGTCGGCCTGATCGGCGCCCCGCGGCGCGCGACACACCTGTCGGCAGAGCTGCCGATTTCCATGAAACCGGAGACACCAGATGCGATTGTGTGCATGCAGCTCTGTTTTCTTTGTGTGGGCTGAACAAAAAAAACAACCCAATGAGAGCATCAACTTGAAATCTTTTACACCCTCAAATAGCCATCAGGGATCCCGCTTTGGCTGCCTGCTCAGTCTTTAGCCCTCGAATGGTTTGTTTTTGTTAAGCATTTGGTGCAATGACAGCAGCAGTGCCTCTTTCCCCGCATGCTTTAAGACCTACGCAGGCTCCACTGTGCTTTCATCCCCCACCACACTGGTCTACTTCTCCAACGCTCTCAGCAATAACCAGAACCTGTATTTCATTCTTCTACAGCTCAAGGATGCGGCTCCATCCTGTCTTTGAGGACTTTGCATGTGCCTCGTGTCTGTTGACGGGGAAATTGGCCCAGTGGGATCCATGTGACTGGCTGTGTGTTAGTTATTTTGTAATAAGCCTAATTAAAAGCTGTGTTTCTCTGGTGGTGAAAGCAGTTCGCACTGCCAAGCAGGAGCTCTCTTAGGACACAAAGAGACTTCAGTGCTGCGTTCGGATCGGACAGAAGTCTCGGATTTAGCTGTACAGGAAGTAAAGTCCTCTGAACGAAGGCAGTTTATAACATTTCCAGTGCAGAGTTCTGTGCTGCTCGTTTTCCTAGCTCAACATTGCCCATGTGACTGACTTTGCATTGCAGTCTTTGTAAGCTTGGTCCCGGTAATCTCTGCAGAATTCCCTTCATTTCCCTTTAGGTTTCTGCTGCAGGTCTCGTCGGTTTTGGAGCTGCTAAAAGGATGAGCTACTGACAGAGACCTGCCCCTCAGACTAATGGACCACTCTGTTGGTTTCGGGGGAACCAGACTCAGTTTAGTCGGGTTCTCTGTTCTGATTATGGAAGCAGAAGTGTTCTTCTTTTTCTTCGAAGTCACATTGCTTAGTTTGTTTTCTGAAGTGCCTGCAAATGTATTGCCTAGTTTGATAAGTTTCCACATCCGTTCAACGGGTTCTGACTCTGGTTTAAATTATGTGTATATGAATATGTGTGGTCAGTTCATCCCTTGTCATTTTCAAAATTCTCAATCTTCACTTAATTTCATGTCATTTGACAACTATTTAGACAATAATAACAATTGAATAGTGTTTTACATTGTGTTTTGCATCTTCCCTCAGTATATCTTCAATGACCTGAGTGGGTCGGTGTCGCTGGCCTGGGTCGGGGATGGCACAGGGGTGAGTGTTATGTTCTCCTCTAATTGCACCAAACGCGCCTCGCATGCAGCGCTGTTCCCCTTTGACGTGAGCGTCCATTTGGTGAACCTGGTAGATTACACAACAAGTTCCCTCACGTCAGGGTGTCATCATGCACGTTAATTAAATGATCCATTCTCCACTTTCCTCAAGCTGAACATCCTTTTCCCCCGGCAGGTCATCCTGGCTTTGACGACTTTTCGGGTGCCCTTCTTCATGTTGAGGCTCGGGCAGTCTAAACTCTATCGAAGGCAAGTCTCGTTATCTCTTGGGAAAAACGTTTGGTATTTGTTTTGCATCTAACATGACTGGAACCTTTTGTCTGCCAGTGAGGACTATGGGAAGTCTTTCGAGGATGTGACCAGTCTCATCAACAACACCTTCATCAGATCAGAGTTTGGCATCGCGATCGGGAACTCTGGGAAAGTAGGTCACGTCCTCATCAGGAAATGCAATGTGTGTCTTCTGGGAGGAACCTTTCTTTTCATCTCGGCCTGCGGCTTGTAGGTGATCCTGACGGGAGAAGTGTCCGGAAGCTACGGATCTCGGATCTTTGTCTCCCACGACTTTGGAAGGAGCTTCACCCCTCGGGACTTGGCCTTCGTCCCCATGATGCAGATCACGTACAGCCCCGATGATTCCAATGCGCTGCTCGCCCTCAGCAGCAGCGTGAGTAGAGAATGTCAACGAGCTGTTTTTGTTTAACAAAGTCACCAGTTTGGATACTGGGTAGCCCTTATAAACCTGCAAGCTCACATTAGTGAATAGTAATAGTGTCTTTTTTGCAAATTTAAGAGGGCAATTGACCTTTTTCATGGCAGGTTGTAAAACCCGTAAGCAAACACCATCCTCTCACTCCTGCATAGCAAGATGAGCCCGGATGGTCAATCATTTGTTTGCACACCGTATTGACGCGGTTATGTTGTTACGGGCAACTCCAGTTAAAAGAGTTTTGCATGACCTGCAAATGTGAGCGAGGGTGTTATTTGAAACAGAGGTTCATTTAAGAAATGTTTTTTTTTTCCTGTTCTCAGAATGAACTGTGGCTGTCGGAAGATTTTGGCAACAACTGGAAAAAGATTCACGACATGGTGTGTCTTGTGAAATGGTAAGAACCGAAGAACCAAACCGGTGATTTTTAGCGTCTTCGTCAGGTGCTTGAGTAAAAAAAAAAAAAACGTACTTCGTGGGCCCCAAGTGAATCCGTCTCAAGGAAATGTTTCTAGTCAGTGCGATGAGGGAGGTGTGGAGGATCGGCCTTCTTATTGGTCGGATTTCAAAACACGACATTGCATCTTCCCTTTTCCCCCCCCCAACAATAAGCTATTTATTAAAGGTAGTTGACAGAGTGGGGATGAAAGTAACGTTTTAAACCCTGCTGTGACCTCTTCACAGATTAACAGGCTTCACAGACTAACAGGCTGTGTGTTATAAGCAACCCGGGGACAACATGTGCAGAGTTTTTTTTCATTGTTGCTCCACCTTTGCGGAACAGCCAGTACAACTGCATTGCAGGGCAGTCAGTGACTGACTAGCGCTGCTGAGGCCAAACCCTCGCTGCATTCTTGTTGTTTTTAGAGGAACTTCCTGGTTCCATCGCTCTGTAACCTCGGCCGCTCTAGATGTCTGATTAGTTATGTTTAACGCTCCATTTCACGCTCCAAGGTCGGAGACAACTTTATGTACAAAATGAATGTCTTTATTAATATCCAAACAATTTGAACAAACTCGTGGAAAACAGGTCATTCTCAATTAGGGCAGACAGCAGTGAATATACTTGATATAATGTTATTGCATTTTTGAAGGGCATGGTTATATACTGGTTGTACTTAATACGCTTGTCATGTGAAGCTTACTTTCACAGCCAAGCAAAACCTCTTATAGGAATAGAATGATTTTGTGTTTATTTAGATGAAAGAACCCAAGAGCTTTATCAACAAAGCAGCCTAAATTCATCTTTCGCTTGCTTATCTTTGAGTGTGTTGACTCAAATGTGTACGTCTGCCGATCTGACATTTTTGGTTCTTTCCACTCCAATTCTAGGGGAAGAAAAAATACCATCTTCTTTACAGCCAATTACAACGGATCCTGCAGTAAGTGATCCCCTTTTTAAGCAAAACCTGAAATGAAACGTATGCAACTTCTGTGCACATGTCCTCAGGAGAAGGACATGAAATATAAGTATTTAAAAAAACATTCTCATGGCAGTTTCCAAGATAAGCGTCTACACGTTTTTGATCGAAGCATGTTTATTATTGATTACCTTGACTTCAATTGTATCATGAGTAAAAGTGACGATAAATGCTTTCAATATTTTCATACTTTACATACTATTAGTTCAACTTGTAGATTAGCATTATCTGACTGCACTTTCCTTCAACATGTATTTTTCAGATGATCGGGGAATGCTGGAACTGAAGAGGACGACCGACTACGGGAAAAACATCAAGACAGTCGCCAGTAAGATCTACTCCTTCGGCCAGGGAGGACGCTTCCTGTTTGCTTCGGTTATGACGGGCAAGGTCGGTCTCCAGTTGGGCCAAATAACCTCCTAATATTGTTTGTATTTAGACATTTGTGTTTATTAGTAAAATCTCTAGTCTACTAAATTTAAAATAAAGTATGCTGTTCTGAGGTGAGACATGTCCGTACCTATACATCCTTTCATGACATGGCATTTCAGATAAAGCATTGGAAAATACTTTAGTAGCATTGTTGTGTTTTATGATATGCATTCTACCACATCAACATCACCGTGTTCGGTTTTTTGGTAAATCATTAATGAGAAAATATTCTCGCTCATCTTAACAGATGGGAAATGTTTATGAGAAACAACAACTGACCATATGAACTTCAATGGTTTCATTTTAATATGCACTCATGTGCGAGCTCATGTGGTTATTGTGTGCGTTACCCTGTTTATTTTCCTCTACCTTATGAGCATGAGATAATAAATCTCCAAACTGATGTGATTATTTCCTTTCTTTCTGTCCTGCGCCCCCTTTTTCTTTTCCCTGCAGGGCACTCTGAGGATGATCCACGTGTCAGTGGACCAGGGGGAGACGTGGAACATGGCCCAGCTGCCTCCTGTTGGCCACGAGCAGTTCTACTCCATCCTGGCGGCTAACGATGAAATGGTCTTCATGCACGTGGACGAGCCAGGAGGTCAGTTCCTACAGAACTCTCACCCGTTATTTCAGTTGACCAACTCAAAAAACCTTCCACCTAAATGTTGTGTGTGTGTGTGTGAACTAATTTGTGTTTCTTTCTTATAAATTCACAGATACGGGATTCGGCACCATTTATGTTTCAGACGACCGGGGCACAGTGTACTCCAAGTCCCTGGAGCGCCACCTTTACACCACCACGGGGGCCGATACTGACTTCACCAACGCCACCTCCCTGCGAGGAGTCTTCCTCACCAGTGTGCTCGCCAAAGGTTCCTCTATTCATGTGCTTTGATAAAAAGAATTGCAGCATATGCTTGTACTCAAATTCCCCTCAGAAAAACATACACATGCGACTTCTCCATTTCTCGCCACAAGGAGGGCGTTAAGTAAATATTTAATTAGATGTTCAGTGTTAGATGTGCTGTGTATTCGATGCTGCTCGGTGACGTCACCAGCTAAGTCATTATCCCATTATGTCCGGCTCCCTGTATTTTCTGTCTTTGTCCTCGTGAATAAGATTTTACAGTCACACAAAACTACTTAAATCCGGATTTGTTGTTGACAGTGGATGTATGAAAGAAGAGGTTTAAAGGAGAAAATTTAATTTGGCAACATTAGCAACCCGGCAGCGCACACTAGATTTGATAAAGACAGCAGAGAATTGTTCACAAACAAAAGTCTAAAAAGGACCTATTTTAATGGGAAATTAATGGGTATTTGACATACTTTCATGAGTCCTTTCAGACTGCTGGTAGCACCAGAGTGACCGAACAAAGAAGCTAAAATAGCTGAAAAGAACACTGCCAAAGTAGCAACAGACTAAAGGATACACTGATGAAAACAGAGCTTTTAATCTTATATTCCATTTCTGCCAATAGATCCCCCTACATGCCAGACATTCTGCTTCATTTACACACATTTTATTTGGATGGAGGTATCGGCCCAATGCTTAATGCGATGTCCTTTTCTTCTTGTTCCAGATAAATCTGTGCATTCTGTGGTGTCCTTTGATCAGGGAGGAGAGTGGGTCCCCCTGCGGAAACCTGCCTACAGCAAGTGTGATGCTACAGCCGGAGACCCAGACAAGGTAAAGAGAGAACATTTGACAGTCTTGATCAGGGTGCTTTGATGAATTCTTTATTTTTGACAGTGTTTTTTGTGAGATGCCTTCTTTTGTTTTGCCCCCATAGTGCAGTCTCCACATCCATGCAGCTTACAGTATCGCTATGAAGCTGAACGTCCCCATGCTGCCTCTCACTGAACCGAATGCTGTGGGTCTCATCTTGGCTCATGGTAATTCTCCCGTTTTTTCTTGGATCAAGTGGAAGTTATTGACTGGATAAACCAGCGATTTTTGCCATATCACCATTTCTATCTCATCAGGGAGTGTTGGTGATTCGATGTCAATGATGGAGCCAGATGTGTATGTGTCTGATGATGGGGGGTACACCTGGATTAAGGCCCTGGTTGGGCCCCATCACTACGCTATTCTGGACTCTGGAGGGCTGATTGTTGCCGTGGAGGACAGGCCCAATCGACCTATCAGCGAGATCAAGTCAGTTACTGTTTGTGTGATTTACATGTATTCAGATTTCAATTGTAATTGCTGTACTTTTTTTCAATTGTATTTGGCTCATGCGAATGTTTGCACATTCTTTGATGTCATTTCAGATTTTCTACCGATGAAGGACAGTGCTGGGGTGTTTACAACTTCACCAAAGACCCCATCTACTTTACCGGGCTGGCGTCGGAGCCGGGAGCTCGCTCCATGAATGTCAGTGTGTGGGGCTACAGGGACTCCCTCCTCAGCCAGTACTGGATCTCCACCACCATCGACTTCAAAGAGCTTCTTACCAGAGACTGTGAGTGATTTGGCACCCATTTCACTCAACGATCATTTCTCAGTTATTTGGGAATTGTTTGAGGTTGTGTGTTAAACCAAGTCCAATATATCGATGATTATAGGTGGCGAACATGATTACGTGCAGTGGTTGGCCCACTCGGATGACATCAGTGACCCCGACGATGGTTGCATGCTGGGGTACAAAGAGAAGTTCTTGCGTCTCAGGAAGGACTCTGTTTGCTGGAATGGACGCCATTACCAGGTCACCACCCAGCCAACCCTGTGTCAGTGCACCCTGGATGACTTCCTGTGGTAAGACCCGCGCCGCACCCAAATCCATACGACGTACACATCCTGTACTTTATCCTCCACACACCGGTTCATTATTTCACCATTTAGTGTGTCGAAGAAAATAACATACTTAGGATTAACAAGATGTAATGAAAATACAGTAACTTGAGGAGTCAACATTAAACATGCCAATTTGATATGGATTAGAAGTCTTCAAGCGTCCTCAGAATAAAAAAGAATTGTAGCTCATATTAACTCCAGCCTTGCTCACCATTCTTTTCTGACTCTTCGCAGTGACTTTGGCTACTACCGTCAGGAGAACAGCTCGGAGTGTGTGGAGCAGCCAGACCTGAAAGGCAAAGTGCTTGAGTTCTGTCTGCACGGCAAAGAGGAGCAGCTGCAGACCAGTGGGTCAGTAAACGTGCAGACTCATATATTTTCAAATCATTGTTTATTATATTGCAGAGTCTTATCAAAGCATCACTTTTTAATATGGATATGATACTAATATTATAAAAGATTCTGTTTAAATCTTACATTGTATATATCTTCACCTCTACCATATTTCCTGGTAGAGACAGTGACAGGGCTTTGCGCTGAGTGAGGAGGAAGTAAGTGTCATCTACGGATTAGTTAGAGGAAGCAGATAAGGACGAAAGAGGTGATTCTGAAGCAATAGACATTCTTGGTCAATCGTGCTTGCTTCAGTGCACGCAGACTGACTAATAGAAAGAGAATAATTGTTACACAGAAATGCAGAAGATGCCAGTTATATCATTATGTTTAGTAGGAAAGGTAAGCTGTTTCCCTAATATAGATTCATTTATATGTGTCTAGTTGTAATAATTAATACATGAACAATTAGTGTAATAACAATGAACAGTTTGAGACTAATTTGTATTTGAATAGCCCAAAACCTCTAAATATTCATCTGTTACGGTCGCAAACCTCCAACTAACCACCATACACTCTTGATGTGACTTTGGTCCACAGCTACAGGAAAATCCCCGGAGATAAATGTGAGGGAGGAAAGATGCCGGAGCGCAAAGAGATCGACCTCAGCGTGAGGTGTGTGAGTGACCTGGTGGCCCCCGAATTCCAGGTCAGTACCGGTGCATACTTCTGGAAAATGTCAGGACCGTAATTCCATTCACACCACGTGAACCTCCTGTTGTTCTCTGCTGTTATTTTTACAGATTGTCAGTCGCTCCTCCAAGTCAGTGGCCATTGTGATAACGGTCATCGTCGTCATGCTGCTGAGCGTCGCAGCAGGAGTTGTCTTCATCAAGAAGTACGTCTGTGGTGGCAGGTCAGTGTTTCCTTCCAAATCCAAAACCTGTCTGTGCCCCTGTTTTAACGCGTGATTTAAACCAGTGGTCCCCAACCTGTTTTACCTCACGGACCGGTTTCATGTCAGACAATTTTTCGCGGACCGGTCGAGAAGGTCCGGCGGAATAACGGGGGGGGGGGGGGTAGTAGATGTTGCGGGGCGAACGACCTACGGGCGGGGGGGTTGTGGGGGGGGGGGGGGGGTGTAGTAGTCGCGCGCTCTGTGTGCGAAACTGCCGTGCACGTGCCGTGTAGGAGGACAATTGTAAACGTGAAGAAAAACGGGAAATCTGTCAGAGGGACGAGCGCACAAGCCGGTCAATTTTCAAAATAAAACATTTTTCAGAAAAAATATATATATATATATTCTTTCTGTGGTGCGGCCCGGTACCAAACGGCCCACGGACCGGTAGCAGTCCGCGGCCCGGTGGTTGGGGACCACTTATTTAAACCACGAAAGGTCCAGTTTATTGTTTTCTCAGCATAAATAGAAGACGTTCTCTGTCTTAATGTACCTTTTCCTATTCTAAATTAACATAAATCATAACACTTGTTACCACCGGTTATCATACGCTATCAAATATTTTTGCACGCCTTTGCATTCCTTGCACGCCCCAACGCGGTTTTCTACTGCCAACAACGCCCTGTTCCTACTGATCCTGTTCCCACTGATCCTGTTCCTACAAATCTTATTATATTGACCGTGTGGCTGAATTGGGAGCAGCCCGACGCCCCCAAGTGGTTGGAAGTTAAATAAAACAAAACAAAAACAAAATGGTTTCTTAAACTATTTTTCTAGTCAGTACTTTTCTTTCACTTTCCTTCTTGTGGGTTACCGGATGACAATAAACGACTTGACAGTGTTTGGAATGTGCCCCACAGGTTCTTGGTTCACAGGTACTCAGTGCTGCAGCAGCATGTCGAAGATAATGCTGCTGATGGGATGGACGACCCCCTGGAGACCAACCACACGCAAAACGGCAAGATAGAGTTTCACGACGACTCAGATGAGGTACAGTGGAAACAGTTTTGTCCTTCGTATCTATGATTGAACGGGCACCAGGTTTTCGCCACCAAGACTGCGCCGTTGTTTAGCAATGGAACCGATGGCATTTGTCTGTATCTTTTAAAGATTGCTTGATGTCCTGCAAAGAAATAATCTGCAACAACACGCTGAAGATAAATAACTATTCAATGTTGTCAAGAACCCCAGAGAATTATTGCTACGGTGGAAATCAACCCTAGCGGTAGTTTTATTTGGCTCCGGTTTATTGACGCCATGAACCTCGTTCAAGAGACATTAATACGTCAAGAACCCTCATGATGAAGCCATGATGTCCCGCTGGGCCCCAAGTCCCCCCCCCCCCCCCACACATCTAGTGACATGTACGGCACTAGATTTCCTATTTGCTCACCTGTGTTGGTTGTGTGTTCATTGGTATGCCGTGTTCTTGTCTTTACGCAGGACCTGCTGGAATAGCAGGCACAGCCTGTCGTGCTACTGAGCAGCAGGTTTCCATTTCACCCCGAGGCCGGACCCTGCTCCTCTCGCTCTTTTGTCTCCAGCTACTTCTTCTTTTCACCTCCCATTATGAACTTTGACCCACCAGACAAAGAGTCTGGTGGGTCAAAATATAAGATGACACTCTGCGCTCATCTGTGAGATCTAATGAATGTACGGAGGCTTCCTGGGACTAAGGCCACAGTCGAAGAGGACTGGTTGTGCTTCAGTTATTGATTATGTTTGGGACTCAAAGTTATTTATTCCAAGGTACAAAAAATGTGTGCAGTAATTTGAACAGCTGACATTACAAGAGTAATGGGTTTTGAAGCAGGGCTAGTTATATAAATCAACCACCATTGCATTAAGGGTTACGCCTCCCATCACTTGGGAGCATTCATGGAAATACTTCTCACTTCTGTCGGAGATCTGTGTCCTTTTTTTCTCTCATGAAATTGTACATAAACTGTTTTTTCTTCGCCATTTCTGACGTGGTATGACTTTTGTAGGTGTAAAAAAGGTTGCTGTTGGTTAATAACTCTCCCAAAACCATTTGAGTCTTAATACCTACTTTTAACAAAGTAGTTGTTTGTCGGAAAGTTTACCCCATACAGCCCAAAGTATGTAAATTCTGTGGGCACTGATTTGTGAAATCCCTTATTGTAGTTTGTGTTTGGAATACAAGCCAGCTTACTTTTACTGCATGGAATTTAGAGCCACGGTTTAAGTAATAAGATGCACGTGGAAATGTCCATTTTGCATTAGTTTTGATAGCAATAACAATGTTTGGATTCAGTAAATTGTTAATTAATCCTCAAGGCACATTTGGTGAGTGGGGATGTCATCGCGTGGAACACGTTACACATTACAATGCATTGGGGGGCAAAGTGTGTCGGTTTCAAGACAGGATTTGTTGTAAAAACAAAAATGTAAATCTGCAGTTCTAACTGCCCAAAGCACAAGGTCCTTTGTACGCTTAGTTAGTAGTTAATGGTTTCAACGTGATAAGACCGTAACAATCACTTTAGTCATTAACAAGTTGAGTTTAAAGTCATTTGAGCAGTTTTTGTACCAACGAGATTTTGAAATTGTGGTTCAAAGATGTTCACAAATCACGGAAATAATTATAGTTTCATAGTATGTAGCTGCAGATATTTTTACACCCTATTCAACTGAATACATCAATATGATTTGACGACAGAAGCATAGGAGCAATAAGAAGAAATTCAATCATGTAAATGTTGTACAGCATAAAGTGTAGCCTTTTAGAGCTAACAGACGTGGTTGTTGGGACTGTTTTTAATTGATATTTGAACCTGAGGTGAAGCAAATTCCCACAAAAAACAGGGGTTTTGCATTTCAGTGAACTGCTGTTTGTTCTTTTCAATAATCTTAATACTGCTGTGATTTTAAAGCTAAACGGTCTCGAGGTCTGTCTCGTCTATCAAGTCTTGTTTTTTTTCCCCCCAAACATTTCTTGTACAATCGTCTGTCTTGTGTTGAATTTGTTGCTTACATGCAGGACTTTAGTTGATTCAGAGTACGGTAAATTGGATGTGGTTCTACAAGTGCCTGTTGTGAGGACGTGATGCGAGGCCAGCATCTACGATTCATATCAAGTGTAACCAGTTCCCTCCAAAATGTCATCGACGCCCTCAAGTTGCACTTGTGCTTCATGCAAACTCCCATTGAACTGCATGTTAACTCTTACGGTTTAAATCCACAGACAAGTCAAGTCCACAATAACCTGATGATTCTTTCATGTCTTGGTACGATGCATAATTCTGACTGGTGATATTAAAAACCATAGTGGATACACGGTTTTTATGTAGTTATACACTGGGAGACGCTCGCAAGTTACATATAATGGTTTATTGCATTAAGTGAATAACACATTTCTTACGGTTTAAAATTGCTGTATAAAATAAGTCCTTGTGATGGTTCTGTAAATATACGTATATTTGAGACCATTTTCTTTTGGTTTGGCAATAAATTCATACGTTCCTCTATTTCTGTCACCGGCTCTTATGTTACAGCAGCACGATGTTGTTTACAAAGGGGATCTATCAAACATTCTGGTTCTTAAATAGTCTTAAAAGAAGAACTCTTTGTATTGTTGAAGAAATGCATTAAATATGTTTTTATTTTGCATGTTCAGTCATTTCTTTAGAAAGTCACACCGCAGATAAATGAGACTTGAACATCACATCGCTCTAAGTGTGATGTTCTCAGATTCTATACAAAAAGTTGCCCTCTGCATCAAAGACTTCATTGCCAACTTGCACCACAGAGCAAGGCTTTTGCTTTTCCATTTCCATGAACTCTTCAAGTTCCTGGTCTGTCAGCAGCTGTCCATCCCAGCTGTGCTCGTCCTCTTTGACGTCCTTTGAAGGCCTTGCGTCAGAAGCACGGCCGTGGTCTTCTTCTGATCTCGGCCCGGGCGCGTCTTTACTACCAGCGCTGAGCCGGGGGGTCAGGAGCGTAGCAGGCGCGGGAATATTTGCCAGGGATCCTTGACCTTCCCCCCGGAACATCCTGGTCCGGTCAGCCACAGGCACCACGGCACGTTCTCTACCTCCTGCTGAGAGTGCAGCTGATGCAAGGTGCCCAGGCGGCCTCAGCCTACTCTGCCCGGTCCCGCCACCTGAAGGCAGCGCTCGCTGGCCGAGAACAGACATCACTTTAGCGTCCTGCTTTATTTTCCGATCCGCAGCAGGGACGTGCTTGCTCCGGAGGACTCTGAGGATGACATCAGTGGTGACCGAGTGGCCCTCAGCCAGACGCTCCACTGTCCACTCCTCTGGTTGCTCCTGCTTTAGATACCTGCAAACCAAGCACAGTTGATAAACTTAGTTTACGCAATAACGTGTAAGGCAGAACCACTTGTGTCTTGTGTGACCAAACCATGGCACCTCACCTGATCTGCTCAATGGCATCCCAGCTCAGCTTCCTCTGTGGAGCTCCGGGCGGCGTCATTTGCCTTCTCAGTATGTGATACTTCAAGGTCCTCTGCCCCTTCCTCTCCTCCCTGAAAAACACGGAGGAGGTGGTTTGAGACCGCAGCGCGCACACGCGCACACCGACGTTGTCGCTCGAAATCCCGGTGACTCTTACTCGGCCAGGGCCTGCAGCTTGTCTTCTACCTCCTCCAGTCCGAAGTCCCCAGCGGACATCTCGTCGGCGTCTCGCGGAGCTCCGTGCGCGCGGCTCGGCCCCGTCCTCGCCCCGCCGGCTCCTCTGCTGCTCGCCGGTCGCCGGCAGTGAACAGAAAGTGCGGGCAGCGCAGCGAGCCTGGAGAGGACCCGCACAGCTCGCGCCATGACGCTCGCGCCGCGTGCCTCCCTTTTCTGGGCCGGTAGTGCGAGCTAGTTGGTGCCGAAGCGGACGAGCCTTCACCGAAAACCAGACGGCCGTTAAGCCCCGCTGACGCACTTCCCCAAACAGCTCGCAACGCGAGGACGGGGAGGTGCTGCCCACTGCCGGAGCGGAGGTGCGCACTTATTAGCTGAACTGAACGAAGAGAAGACGGATCTCAATAGTTTCCATTACACGGTTCCCAGGGCCACTTTGGTTCCAAGCGATGTGATGTGAAAATTTAAAATATAACGTTAACCCGACGGGAGCTGTCAAAACGAAAAGTTACGAAAACTGCAGCACCTGTCGGCGGGCCCGAGCTGCGCGTGCCACGCAGCCGCGCGCCTCCTCCCCCCCAGAAGGCCTCGTTTTCATTTGCGCCATTTTGTCCGCTCACTTTGTTGATTGGGCTTTAGCGAACTGTACTGGAGCCAATCAGAGGGGAACCGGACAGCGGAGAGACGGTAAGGGAGACCCGATTGAAGGCGTTGGTAGTTGACAGCACGGATTGGTTTGCCGCGAACCAACCAAATTACTAACCCAGACAACTTAAATGCGAAACAGAAAATAGAAACGAGCGGGGCTGTAAATAACTTTGTTGTTCTCAACGTTGGCCGCTGGAAACGTGACCTCTGGTGGGTTGACAAGGCTCGGCTAACGTTAGCTAACACAGAGAGTCTCAAACAAAGGGGTCGGGGAGAACGCCGCTGTCCTCCCCCCAGTGAACGTCGCCTCGCATTTAACCGTTCGGCCAACGTCGTAGACGTGAACCGGGCGAGCTAAAGACGGCCGTTCGGTATTTTATCGTTCCCCGTCTCCCCAACGTTACCGCGCTGTGTGCGGAGCTAACTGGCGCTAGCCTTTGTTAGCTTCAGCGGTAATATCCCGAGAGCAAAACACCCAGTTTAAAGACACCCGGCAGCGTTGAACCCCCGTGTGAGGTTTTTACAGTACCGCTATATGTCCGGAATTACATTTGGTTAATTAACGGTACTAGTTAGTTACGTGATACGTTGAAATAACAAAAGGCCGTAGTTGAATATCGTCAAAGCCAAACAAGAAATGAGTTGGCTCTAACGTCAGAGATCTTCTGTCAATCCCTTCTTTTTCTCTTTCTGAATGATCCAGAATGTTGTACATTTCAAATGCATTGCTAAAGAACCCTGCATCCAATGCCAGCTAACACAGTATCTGGTTTTCTTTAGTTTCTAGAGAGGCCGGTGAGAATAACAAGCTATGGAGCAGTACACCACTGCCACCACTACCACGGGGGAGCAGATCGTTGTGCAGACATCCAATGGACAGATCCAACAGCAGGTGAATACAGGATTTACACTCATTCGTTTTGGTTGCATGAGAAAAGTGTGTCCTAAGATCAACAATTTAACACTCTGCTTTAAGCCCAGAGTCAACAGGTACCCGCAATTAAAGCATTCCAGTGGATACCAGCCCCAATCTTTTAATTACTTGTCTGCGACTGTATTATCCTGCATTGCCTTTAGACACAGGGCACAGTGACCGCTGTGCAGCTGCAAACAGACGCGCCAGTGGTGACGGCCTCAGGCCAGCAGGTGCAGACACTCCAGGTAGTGGTGTCACCGCCGCCGCCCTGCGTCAGAGTCATGACAGCGTTTACGGCCCAGGAGATTGCATGCTACACAACCGTGGCTGTTTTTCATGACCCTTCTATGTGCTGTTTGGTCCATCTCCACTTCCACGGCATGTCTTATTGCCTGAACTGCATGTTCCTCAGCACAGCGCGGTTGCGCGTTACCCTCGGATTCCCGCCCGTGCTCTCATGAGGGTTGTATGTCTGAGTTGTGTTTGTCTCTTGCAAGCTAAGCAAGTTAGACCTCCTTCGTAATGGGAACGACATTTGTGTGAAACCTGAGTCCTATGGATGTGTTTTGCAGTTTGCTGAAGAATCAGTACCGAACTGCAAGGATCCATTTTCATTATTGGCTGTCACCTCTCATCATCTAGCTATGTTTTTCTATTTTTCTATTTACAAGGTGGCAGTGGATTGCTTTCCCCTGGCATTTTCCCTATGGTACAACGGCTGCCACCGGCTTCCAGTTGTCCATTGTCTCACCAAAAACTGAAAAACCAAAAACTGCTCAGTTTGTGCTTTTCACGTTGTATAGTGAATGCAAAATGAATTTGATGGCAATGTCTTTTACTTTTTAAGCAAATCAAGTGGAAGCTTCAGTTAACTTTCTTGTTGAGTAACCTGTGTTCATAAATAAAAGGCTTTTTAAATGTTGCAATTATAAATGTTGCAATTATAAAGAGTTTTTTATGTTGCAATTATAGTGAATCTTAACACAGTTTGGATTTACTATGTTTGTGTCCCAAAAATGAAATTACAGCAAATCATCATATTTCATCCATGATGTGGTATACTGGACGTTCCTGATTTTGCATAATTTGCTTGTGGTCACCGCGTAACACATCGGCGACGTTGAGGTAACAAGTGACTGCAGTGGTGCTCTAACAGCGTTCTGTATTTCTCTGTAGGTCCAGGGACAGCCTCTGATGGTCCAGGTGAGCGGCGGGCAGCTCATCACGTCATCAGGGCAACCTATAATGGTGCAGGCCATGTCGGGGGGGCAGGGTCAAACCATAATGCAGGTCCCTGTATCTGGAGCTCAGGGATTACAGCAGGTGAGCGATGAGGCTGAGCCACTCAATTAAGTTTTGAAGATAAAATCATCCAAGTTCTCCAGAACCCCTTCCAAAAGCGGCATAACATTTACGTTCCTTGGATAACTTTCACGTTGGGGAACTTGCATGTTATTTGTGGAGATGTGTGAGGTGACTGCAGCTAAATTTAAAAAGGACACTGATGGGATGTTCCTAAATCCCATGTTTGGTGCTTTTTCCATGTGTAGATCCAGCTGGTGCAGCCAGGTCAGATCCAGCTGCAGGGCGGACAGACTCTCCAGCTCCAGGGCCAGCAGGGTCAGCCCCAGCAGATCATCATCCAGCAGCCCCAGACGGCCATCACAGCTGGCCAGAACCAGGTCTTAAACTCTGACCAGTTGAGGAACAAATCCATTTAATCAAATGATTATTAACATGAGTGTGTTGTCCTCTTACGTGGGGGTTCCACAGGGACAGCAGATCACTGTGCAGGGCCAACAGGTGGCGCAGACGGCTGATGGACAAACCATTGTGTACCAGCCTGTCAATGCAGACGGCACCGTCCTGCAGCAGGGTAAACTCACATTTTCCTTTTTCCTTCAGCTTTGTAGACTTGATAAAGAGGAGCACTGCTGAGTTGTCTTTTTGCATCACAACTGTCATAATAATTTGTTTGCAGGAATGATCACAATTCCAGCTTCCAGCTTGGCGGGGGCCCAGATTGTACAGGCAGGGGGTGCCAACACCAACACTACGAACAGCGGCCAAGGCACTGTGACCGTTACCCTGCCCGTCTCTGGTAACATGGTCAATGCAGGTGGAATGGTCATGGTAAGGCCCCGTGCAGTGCAATTATCCAGTGTCGTATTACCCTTTTTTGTCTTGATTCAGAGAACCAAATAGTTTGTTAATAGTTGATTAAGAATTTTTGTCCCAATCACAATTGCCTTTGTGAGGCTGTAGAAATGGGATGTAGTAATACATCATATTGTTTTATTATGATCATATAGTGCTGATTAATTGCTTATTTGGTGATATATCATGTTTTTTTTCTTCAAATTGTATACATTTCAAGAAAAAGCTGTTGCAATAACATTAATGTTTTTGTTAGTTGAATTCCGAGAATAGCGGCATGGTGGTGTGGTGGTTAGCACTGTCGGTCCCGGGTTAGACTCCGTCCAGTGGCCTTTCTGTGTGGAGTCTGCATGTTCTCCCCGTGTCTGCGTGGGTTCCCTCCGGGTTCTCCGGCTTCCTCCCACAGTCCAAAGACACGGACTGGGAATCAGGTTAATTGCCCGTAGGTGTGAAGAGTGTGAATGGCCATTTGTCTCTGGGTCAGCCCTGCCATTGGCTGGCGAGCAGTCCAGGGCGAACCCAGTCTCTCGCCCGAAGTTAGCTGGGATAGACTCCCGTGTGCAGGATAAGCAGTTTGACGATGGACGGATGGAATTCAAAGAATAGTGTTTATTTTACATCTGTCCTCCCGCATAGGTATTTTCACTCTTCTTAGAACTGCATGGGCGTTTACAGACTAAGGTCGATTGACATCTCCCTCAGCTCTACTGAACTTGTTGGGGCAGCACCTCATGCACCTTTTAGGATTCTTGCTAGTTCAGGGTATTTGGTGGCCGCATGCAATTCCCATAATAACTCAGCTCTGTCAGCCTGTTAATAATTCTAGTCTATTCAGCCAGAATGACCGGTGACATCGATAGTTGCACAGTAACTACTTGTTTATGTAAGCATCCTCCTCTATTTGTGTGCTCTCAATGCCCGAGCCTTCAAACACATAGTCCATGTTTGTGTGTCTCCTTCCAACAGATGGTGCCTGGAGGTAGTGCAGTTCCCACAATGCAGCGTATCCCCCTGCCAGGTGCTGAGATGCTCGAGGAGGAGCCTCTGTATGTTAATGCCAAACAGTACCACCGCATCTTGAAGCGAAGACAGGCTCGTGCCAAGCTGGAGGCTGAGGGCAAAATCCCCAAGGAACGGAGGGTAAGACACATTGGTTAGGGTCCCACATGAAGGCACATTGAAGCATCTTCTTCCTCACTACCAGCTACATGCAACTGCACAAGTTTCCTTCTGTAGATCCACTTGTGCCCTGATATTGTCTGTATATTGGTCTTTACATTACATTACATGTCATTTAGCTGACGCTTTTATCCAAAGCGACGTACAGTAAGTGCATTCAACCATAGGGTACAAACTCAGGAGAACAAGAAACAAGAAAGTGCAATTTCCTCAAATAAGCCAATTTACAATTTGCTATAGATGAGTGACGTTACAAGTACAATTTAAGTGCTACAATTTGTTAGTCTTTAGTCGTGGTAGAGTCTGAAGAGGTGTGTCTTTAGTTTGCGGCGGAAGATGTGAAGGCTCTCTGCGGTCCTGGTGTCTTCAGAGAGCTCGTTCCACCATTTCGGCGCAAGGACAGCGAAGAGTCGAGACCTAGTCGAGTGTTCAGCCATTCTTCAGGTCTTCAGCCATTAATCTCAAAGGACCAAATTGCAAAAAATATGTTACACTTTTCAACTAGTACTAGTAGAGGGGCCACAAAGTTGAAAATACTTACGCCCCTGTATATCCGTTTATTCCTTAGCAGAAATACCTACACGAGTCTCGCCACCGTCACGCCATGCAGCGCAAGCGAGGAGATGGAGGACGTTTCTTTTCACCTAAAGACAAGGAGGAAATGGCTTTGGCCCTGGCACAGGTAAGACTTTTGCGCAGAAGAACATTGCCTACATCAGCACTCAATAAAATACTAAGTCAAGCTGATATAGTAAATATGTTCATACATTTTCAACACTTATTTGGGGTGTGTCTGCGTGTGTTGTTATGTGTCATTTCGGTGTCTTTGTTTGAATAGGAAATATCTAATTTTGTAATGAAACTAATCTACTATGGTGACCTCACAGCAGCAGCAGCAGGAGGCGGCCCAGGCGACAGCAGATGAAAACGTGGCTCAGATGATCCGAGTTTCATAACCCTTTCGCCACGATCTCTTCTGTCTGTGAACTCTGCCCTGCCTGAGACTCTTCATCCCATCCAACCTGATCTGCTGCAACCCCAGGCTCCCTCTTTTACCCCTTTCTGCCACGCCGTTAAACACCAAATCACAGAACCACCACCGGTTGTTTCTTCTTTCGTCTCTCCAACCCGACACTTGTCTTCCAGCGAGCTGATCATGTGGCTGCTGAGCCTGTTTATGGTTCTGGTCTTCTTCACTGAAATGGAAGATGCTTCCACCCTCAGCTTATCTGGTTGACGTTGACGACAATTTTCACTAGGATTTGTCTAGTCAATAATGGATGCATGAAGTTGTAGGTAGCCAGGCCATCTGATGTCACCTGGTGTGTAAAAAGATGGGATTTTGTCTCCAGTGAATGCTTTACATATTTCTTGTTTTCAGAGGACACTTGTTAAGGTATCTTTTATGTGATGGCCTTTATTTTTACTTTTTGGGAGGGTCGTGGTTTCAACCCATGTACTGTGGAGCATGGACTCAAAATCAAAAGTCCAACCTGTGTCCACTGAGCAAAAACTGAAATGTGATACTAATGTGAAGATATTGTACAGACATTATTCTCTTCCCCAGTGTACCTACTGATTTTCCCAATTTTGTGAATGCATTTTATACAATTTTGTGCAAAGTGTTTCCAGGAAAACAATAACTTGTGTGTTTAATCACATTACACGTTCTATCCATGTAGTTACTATCGGTCAGTCTGCCTAAGTGTTTTGTATTTTCATTGTAGATAGATTTTTTTTATCTATAAAATGCACCATTGTTTTTTTTATTATAATGGTAAAAAGGTTGGACATTATAGAAACCATGTCAATTAAATTTTATTAAGTGACCCAATGCTTGTTTTTGGTTTCTTTACTCCTCACATTGGTTACTTTAGTCATCTTTCATTAAAGCAATGCCTAGAGTTTTATCCATTACATTATTGGAACTGTAGTTTCCAGTACTTTATATAATTTTGTGTAGTTCAATAAAGTGTAGCATATTTTCTAATTGTATAATTTAACGTTCTTATATTTACATTTTTGGATGGATGTATTTTCGTTATGGAAATAAAATTGCATGATGTTACTGCTCGTAGTTCGCAGGGTCAATCAACCTCCCGAGCCGGCTCCGCCAATCAGACGCCGCAGATGACAGACGTTGCTGCCCCAGTCGCCCAATCACAGCGAAGGGGGCGGGGAATGCACTCGGCTCTCTGCAATGCCAAAAAGGGCCGTTGCAGCTCTGCTTGTAATGAAACAACATAGCAGCGACACTTGCGTCGACTCACGGATACGCGACCCGGCAGTGAGCAGTGAACGAAACCAAAAACCAGCGCTCTTCTCCATTTGAGACGCCGGCACCAGCCGCCGCTTCTCCGCGTTCCTCCGCACCGGCGCTGAACGGATGGACGCCGCCCACACGCGCTAACGTTACTCGTTCAGGTACAGCCTCCACCAACCGCCCCCCTCCCTCTCTCCCCCGCCCCCCCCCCCCCCCCCCCCCCCGTTGGAGATGATGCTGTCTGCGGATGACAGCAGACCAGAGGACCGAAACAAGTGCCTGTGCAGCTCTCTGGAAAGCAGTGAAGATAGAACACGGGTTAATATCTCCTTGAAGTATCTCCTTCTTGTTGCTCCGCGGTCCAGTGAAAGAGCTTCAGCCGCAGTTCCGTCATTTTAAGCCACGAAGCTTAACGAAGACACAGAGCGAGAGAGAGGGGGGAAAAGACAGCGGGTAAAGCTAACGCTAATGGTGGTCTGACCTGAACTCAAGTCTCCTACAGCAACGGGCTCCACGTCTCCTGGACGCAATGACCGACTCGGATGTGGACAGCAAGGCGGAGGTGAAACAAGCGACGAAATACGTCAAAGAGACCGAAAACGTCGCGGAGAAATACTCCGCGATGACCGTCAGCAAGAACAGCAGCGACGTGAACATGAACGTCGGGGAAATGCCCTCCGCCGCCTTCACCGCGGTCCCCACTCTGAAATCAGTCAAAAAGGTAAGAGGCGCGTCCCGGTGCGGCGGCATCGCACTGCGGCGAAGGAGCTGGCGCGCACCGGGCCGGTACACGCACCGCGCGGGGGTTCGTCACGCATTCACAGAAAGGTTCATGTTGCCCCGTGCGACGATGGAGCGTATGAACATACATACATATATTATTATTATTATTATCCACATGCCACTGTAGAACAATTGCGGTTAGAACGTTATTACTATAGGTTACTGTTTGAGAAGAGCTTTCATCAAGATTGGGTTATTGTAAAAAGAAAAAAAACCTGCCTTCGTGCATCCTTCCTGTTTATAATGTCTGCACATCGTGTCAACACGGTGCAGGCGGGAAACAAGTAAAAGCCAAGTTGAGCGCTTAAACCTCTGATTTAAGGCCCGCAAAGGGAAGCAACACACGGGCGATACCTGCGCTTCGATACGGGGCTCCTCACCAGAAACAATCTCCATTGCCTCTATTTGGCCACCGCAGACCTTTTTATTTTGGATTTAGTTGAACTTTTAGGGGTCAGGGACATTTTAATTTGTTAAAAGGAATAATCCCCATTTTTTTTTGGTAAATCCGTCCGATGGGCAACTACCTTTTATTGCCTTTAATATTATGAACAGCGTGGTGGGAATGTCGGAGCAGCACGAGGCCCGAAGAGAAAACGCCTCGCGTGTCTCGTCCGTCTCACAGCGGCACGGAACAATCGTGAGGATTACGGACCCCCCCCCCCCCCCCCCCCCGAGATGTGTGTTCACCTCGGATCCCCCACGGGGGGTTAACAAGGAATTAACAAGGGACGTCTCAATTGAGGAGAATTTTTCTGCCTCTCAAGGTGACCTTTAACTTGTGACACCTGCCCATGACACAAGTGATGTAATGTGATGCTGTGCCAATATTATGGCCTTTGCATAAAAAAAAAACACAATAGAGACAAAACATATATTTTAATTCATTTGCACCATTTTTGTACGACCATATATATTGACATTTATTTTAATTCCATTTAGGCTGTACAACATGTAGGCCTGTTTCTCTGCTAACTATACCACTATCTTGATACCAGCCTCACAATTTGAGTATAACTTGCGTTCTGCGTGACATTATATAATTGCACAGTGCTGGCGACGGACACAATTGCTATTCTCGGACCAAATGCTGGACTTGATGTAAATTTGAAATCCCACATGCGATATCTGTCGCTATACCTCTTGATGCCGCGCGTTTCATGATTCCTTCGTCTCATTACGCACATTGGGGTGTTTGGGATGTCTCTTATACTTCTGTATTTTTTCCTAACGTGCATGAGAATAGTGATCCTCTGTTAAGTGCATTGACAATTGGTGTTAGGATGAAGATGATGAGTCATTGCCTTATTGAGCTGCAATATTTGTTGTAGAATTATTTGCCAATAAATCAGTCGCACGCGTTGCACAGTTATGAAATGTGGTAACGGTAAATCTCAGTTGTCACAATGACATTGACCCAGCAAAAGACAAATGCAGTGGCCGAGGAAGTCAACCAATCACAAGCCGACCCCAACAAACAACGTGTGTGTGCGGTACGCTTTAGTGATGATCCTGTTCAAATAAGAAAAACCCTTAAAAATCCTGTTAGATCTGAGTGAATCTCTCAAACACTTCAATAAATACTATAAATGTGAGCTTTACTTAATAGACTTAGTGGGGTCAAAATGTATAATGTAACATTAATGGTTACAAGTATGTATTTGTTAAAAATACCTTTTCTCTTGTCTGGCTGCATTTGTGATTTAATGGCTTCAAAGTTTTTAGTTGCCCGATGTCCAAGACGGGGACAAAATAATCAGCGTAATAAAAATATCTACATTCCCAGCAGCGGGGCTCACAGACATCAGAATATTAGCTCAGACCCCCCGTGTGATGAGGCAATAACGCGTGGACCGCGAGTCGCCTCGGGGAGCCAGATTGAAAACATATTGGATGGTAGGAATGTGGAGTCCGCTCATGAAAACAAGCAGTTTGTTATGAATAAACGTGAGAGCCCGGCGTCAAACGGAGCCACCTGTTTGCAAAGAAACAATAAATAAATAAAACAAACACTCTAAATGATTGGGAAAAAAACAACATAAAAGCTCATGAATATATTCAGAAAAAAGAAGCGCTGGATGTGGGAGGAAGTTTGGAGGCCGTGTCACATAATCTACGGAGAGGGGCCACGAACAGAAAGTCATCGCTACAAACTAGTGCGTGTGTGTGTGTGTGTTTGTGTGGGTGAGTCAAAGAGCAACTCTACTCTCACTCTCTCAACCCATCCAGCAGTTACGCAATACGCCCCCTCCTCCCCCCCTCCCCCTCAGGGAACAGGACTTACTCACTGAGATATTGTTCATGCATCATCAGCATCTTTTTCTGATCCCTGTGGGCTGTTTAACATGGATAAAAAATAAAGGATTGCACCGTATTCTTGCTCATTATGTCAGAGTTTTGTGATGATTTTCTTTTCCACCTATATTATGTAAAAATAAAACTGACAACGGTCTCTTTCTAGTGTTAGTACTGTGTGATAAACATTAGCACTGAAGGAAAAGTCTCCATAAGAAACATAGCCGTGTTTTTACTTTTCCTCTTGCTATTTAAAAAGGATTCATCTAGTCCAACTAGTGTTTTTAATTAGCAGCCTGTCTCTTTTTTAACTTACAATTCTGGGAATAACCAGACTTTGGTATTTTAGGTCATAGTGTCACATTTCCTAAGGGTTTGTTTGTGAGGCTTGGTTTCAAGTTGTCAAGTTAAACCTATTTATTAAAGATTTAGCTGTATTAAGTACTAAGTATAGGTTAACGTTTCTGCTAAAGGTCACGTAGTTCTGAAGGAAGGATTAGCATTGTGTGTTTCTTTCACAACACTGTAATCCGCCGTGCATGCGCTGATCTTAGAGAACAACTTTGCAGAACAAATGAAGATCTGCATCTGAGCTCAGTTAAATCTATGAAAAACCTTTCACGCCCTTTGACCTTGACTTGCTGTCAGTATACAAAGATCTACGTCGATTAGACTGCATGGCTTCTCTGGTAGATGGTGCTGTAGAGCACTAGTGGTGTCTGGCTAAGTAGTTAATGTCACCTTATGCCAGGCCCATATTGAACGCTTTATACCGCCGGCTGACAGTCACACCGTGGCTTAAGTCTCTGACCTGGCTGCTATCTGGCAGAGATGGGTATTTTTAGCCGTAGGATGGGACTGGATGGACCGCTTATTGATGCAGCTGAAGCCTAATGGAAACCGGGTTTAATTCCTCTTGTCAATCCCCTTTCATTTAGTACTCCAGATCAGGAGTGCAGCCTGAAGGTAAAAGCCGTAGCAGATGTGTTTTAATTTATTTTTTTTTGGTAAGTGATTTACCAAATTTTTTTTGTGTTGCTGATTCTTGTTGGTGTCATTTGCTCTCACAGCACTGAAAAGCATTAATCATAAAACGCGACGTACTGCCTTTAGCAGCTGGTTGTCAAGGGCAGAACCACAGAGTGAAAGAGAGCGAGAAAGAGAGAGGCTCAGTGGGAATCAACCTCCCCTTTCTCTCTCTCTCTCTCTCTCTCTCTCCAGGTTGGCCATTAGAAATCACGATAATAGGTGGGAACCTCCCCCCCGGCTCTGCCTGGGAGTGTTCTGGGATAATAGCATCAGGGACACCTAGTCCCATCACACTGAGGACACGCAGGCACAGCAAAGCAGGCTAGAAACCGGGAGAGTGACTGCAGCCATGGCACACAAACATGGGCACGGGAAGGAACGGGTGAGTTGCCTGTAATGCATCACCGGGGGCTCATGCTGCACACTTATTCTAAAAGATATTGCATATCCTCCTACACAGATGTGCAGCATTTACTTTTGTCAAGATTTCTTCTTATTTCTTCAGTCTGTGTAAAATGATAAAAGGATTCTTTACGTTATGCAATGATTCAGATCATCGAGGGTTTCTTGTGTAATTACAACCCAATTGTTTAGCTGAAATGCAGGTGCAGGTAGAATCTTCTCCACAACAGGGCTCTCTTAAGTAGCACTTCATTATTCATCAGAGCAACCTCTTGTTTTTCCTGATGCTTTCCTTAGTCTCTGATTTGTATGTCTATGAATAACTGTACGTAATTTAAGAGACAAAAACCAATGCAAAGCCGTGTGTGAAAGAAGCGCATATTGTCAATCGTGAAAACAGAGACATGCAGAGATCTCAGTTCAGACTTCTGGAGTTTTGTTTTACTGACACAGTAGATATTAAAGGTATCATTGTTCTCAGGAAACCGGGGCTATGAGATACACAACCCCAGTGAAAAAAGCTACTACTATTCCAGCCGTCAGTTTGACAGTAAAACTAGTTTCATTTTGAACAAATGGCATATCGGTCGTAATCAGTTTTGACTTTTAGGTGAAAGGGTTCCCATTTTGGTCTCCTATAAATCAGAAGTAGTGTGGTGTGATGAGCTATTTTCCTAATAGATCACAAATAATGTGGGTGCTGGCCGTGCATCATTAATCCTCCCCGTCCTCTCTGCTAACGTTTAGTGGCTTCCAGGTAACTGCATGCTGGTTGCACAGTTGTGGTCTGACGTTCGTGTGTGTAGTGCAAATCTTACTTAAATATTACTCCACCCATTGTTGTTAGTCTGTTTCCAGATTTATCCTCTGTGTGTTGTGACAACTCTGCTGGCCGACTCGTCAGTTTTAAGTCCAAACACATTCTATGGACATTTCAAACACGAGAAAAAGGAAAATCCCATAATATTGTTTTCCAAGAAACATAATTGAATGGAGTTATCACTGAGGGAAAATGTAAATATACCACAGAAAGTTGACTATACACTTTTAACCTCATTTGTTTTGTCTGGAACTAGAAGGCGTGAGCAACAAGAAGTCCTTTGAATATGCTTCAGGGGCCTTGATGAGCCTCCATCCATTCAGCCACACGTAAACCATCAACGTAAAAACACAAATATTATGACAACAACAAGACATCACTCAATGGCCATGACAAAGGCAAGAATGTGTGAATGTGCAGGTCTCAAGTCCACCCCTCTTCATTGCACGACATTATACGCGATGTGACGTTATGCATTGTGGAGCTTGAACAGCTCGTGCAACAACACCTCATCCGGCTACTGGCAACGGCAAGGTAACATTAGTCCAATGCTTTATTCATGCAACATAATGGAGCAAGAGGAACCGATCAATTAAAGGACCTATAAGCGGTTCACACCCTAACCCAGCTGCAGACTTCCTATTTAAGTAAAATGCTGCCTACGTGTCTATCAGGCCTATTTATCTACAGTGTGATGAAGTGGTGAAGGAGAGAATAAGCCACAGCCAAACTGTGTGAAAAGTGCATTTACTTTGTAATTATTGTGAGGATCAGTGTAGGTGTTTAACTATGTAGGTAGTTCTGTGTAACTGTAACTCTTTACAGTCCTAAGAGTTAAAGAGCCAGAGGTTTAGGGCTCCCTACCGCTTCTAATATTGTCATCCGACTGTTGTTGTCTGCTAGTGCAGCAGTTTCAGCAGGTTAACAGCCAAATTCACAGAATAACTTTCCTTATTGAACGGCTAAATAATAAGACTTTTTCAAATGGCAGCATTCTTCTGTGGTCTGCAGGAGAAACCTCAAAGACCGGACGGCTGAGGCTGTAAGTCTGTTTAAAGCCGAGCTGGCTGTGTGCTGGTCCACTCTGTGCCTCCAGGTCTTTGATCTTCCAGGTCTTTGAAGGGTCCGGTTGACACGATGAACAAATGAAGCCTATGTTTTTGAACAAAGCATAAATCGCAGGGCTGGAGGGAGGCCTCTAAAAATAGGCAACAGCTCCCTTCTTCCTGATCCACCTGTGATTTACTGTAACAGACTCTGGTGACTCACCTTTTTAAAAGCACCTCAATCAGCTAAATTAGTGCAAATATAAACTAAAGACGAACACACAACCTGAAGCACATAACTGAATGTGTCAGATGTGATGATGATTTTCTTTGCTCCTCACTCTTCCTTTTCTCCCTTGATTTTATTCTTGCGTACAGTGAAAATACAAGTGTTGACGCGAAGTCAATAATACTATATCTATAATATCTGCATGTATTAAGGTTGTGCACATTTTTGTCCTGCTTCTCTCCAGATCCAGTTCGCGAACACTGAGGACAAACAGGAGTTCAGCAAGTACCCGACCAAAGCGGGTCGCCGCTCCCTCTCTCGGTCCATCTCGCAGTCCTCCACAGACAGCTACAGCTCAGGTGCAGCACACCTGAAACATTCATTTCTCTTTCCTTTTCTATGACCCGCGGAAATTTTACAGACCGACTGTCTGACTGTTTGCTGCCAATATGGAAGATTATTGCGAATGTTCAGTTACAGCATGTTGTTTATCTGATTTAACGGACTATTTTTAAGTCGTTTTATATTCTTTTGTAATTGCATATGTACCATGCACATTTGAGCATTGATTATACATAAACTTTCTGACTCCAAAAAAACATCTCCAAAGAACAGTATGTAAGTATATATTTCATAAATGATTTTCCATGATAAGTGACCTTTGGTGTTCTCCATTTCATAGCTGCGTCCTACACTGACAGCTCCGATGATGAAACCTCCCCCCGGGACAAAGCCCAGGTCAACACTCAAGGCAGCAGTGACTTCTGTGTGAAGAACATCAAGCAGGCCGAATTTGGCCGCCGCGAAATAGAAATTGCAGAACAAGGTATATTTGTTCTCACGATCGTTCAAGGATTATTCACTTTTTTTTAAACCCCATTTCAGAATTCTTAGCTAAGAATCTCTGTAGTGTTTCTTTTGTAATTAATTTACTCATGTATTATAAATTCATTTTTTTGTGATTTTGTTTGACACAGTCTCATAACAGAATCACTATATTCAACATTTATACAAAGAGGCTTTTGTTCCACCCGTTATGACTCGCAGGGGCGAATCTCTTAGCTTCTGTTTTGCTGCCTGGACGTTATTTGATCCTCTCGTCCTGATTTCAATGCCGTCTTTGACCAAAGGCTGAGTCAGTGTCAACATTATTCTTGAAACGTGACCAGCGCTTTTTTTATTGCTACTTACTTTTCTTCGGTTATCTCTTCCCCATCTCATCTGCTTTTCTTCTCTGCACTCCAAAGCGGCGAGTGCGTCTCTCCGCTTGTTTACGATGCCTGTGAGAAGAGTGTTCTTTTCTCCTAAAGCCACGGTAGCACCAGCAGTTGATGACATCATTGTTTAATCAGTTCATCTCATAGCCGTTTACTTCACAGCCACGTCGTAGAAAGGGCTTTTTATCCGTATTCAAAACAAATTGTTCTTTTTCACTCCCAAAACCAAACCGGACCTTTTTACGTGCTCTCATCTTCCGCTGACCTCTGCTCAATCTGTTCCTCCCCAGACATGTCAGCCCTGATCTCCTTGAGGAAGAGAGCCCAGGGGGAGAAGCCACTGGCTGGGGCGAAGATAGTCGGCTGTACCCACATCACTGCTCAGACTGCAGTACGTCCTCTCTTCTGGTCGCTGCGGATCGTTGTGATTGTTCAGCGCTTCTCGCTTCTATCTCTGGTACCGGTTCATGTAGCCGTGCATTTTGTCGTTCCTTCTTAGGTCCTGATTGAGACCCTGGTAGCCCTCGGGGCCCAGTGCCGCTGGACTGCTTGCAACATCTACTCCACTCAGAATGAGGTGGCTGCTGCGCTCGCTGAAACAGGCAAGTCTCTCCTCTCCCGCAGAACACCCGAGACCTGGTTTGCCGCTAAAGAGAGTGAGCTCATCGATGGCACAAACGGCACAGCTCCATCATTCATTACTGTTAAGCATAGTTAAGGTTTGCAGATTATATAGAATAATACATTTTACTCATACTAATAATCTATTAAGCATGGCTGTAGCTAGATATACACATGCACTATAATGGGTGTCTACAATGGATTGAACAATATTGTTGCATTTACTTTTAATTGCCTGTGTAATATCTTGTGTTATAGTAAATCCTGATCCTGATCCTGTGAATGTGCGCTCCCTCAGTAATCCCTGTTTGCTAAGTGTGTGTGTGCTTTATCTCCTGTAGGGGTGCCTGTGTTTGCATGGAAGGGGGAGTCAGAGGACGACTTCTGGTGGTGCATCGATCGCTGTGTCAACAGGGAGGGCTGGCAGGCTAATATGGTATCAACTTGGCAATGCCATAATGAACTCAACACTGATCTCACACCTGTTATCTCCCTGGGTTCGACCCTGCAATGATTGATTGATGATGGTTATCATCGTGCCGCTGCTGTTTTTTGTGTAGATCTTGGATGATGGTGGAGACTTAACCCACTGGGTGTATAAGAAGTATCCCAGCGTCTTTAAGAAGGTCCGGGGCATCGTGGAGGAGAGTGTGACAGGAGTCCACAGGTGGGATGCGGTTCACATTTGATGAGTTTGAGGGTTTTAAAGGAAGGCGTGAACTATGTTTGGTTGGACTATAAGTCCTAGAATCCGTGGCAATATCTTTAAGTTATTAGCATTGATCAAACCCCCGGTGCCCTGATGAATGACACATGCTGGTCAGCACAAACGGTACTCAAAGCAGTTCTATAAGTAATAGCCGTATTAATTCCTACTGACACTGTAGACGGAAAGGGGCACTGGCCTGAATTGGCTTCAGTCTATTTCAGAATACCACAGCTGGACCGCAGCTGTGCGTGTACCACAATCAATGGAATCAATTAGCCGGAAGCCCCGGAGAGCGTGAGGTCACACTCGGCTCAGTTTATGCATTCACGAGTAACATGTTTTCTCGTGTGTCCTCTCAGATTGTACCAGTTGTCGAAGGCCGGCAAGCTGTGTGTTCCTGCCATGAACGTGAACGACTCCGTCACCAAGCAGAAATTTGACAACCTCTACTGCTGCCGTGAATCCATCCTGGACGGGTGAGGAGAAATAAATCATCCAGAAAGCTCGCCACCATTTGCAAACTTTTATTTTCTTTGTTTCAGTTGAGCCTGTGAATAAAAGTGTGTGTGTCATCTTGTCTCTGCCAGTTTGAAGAGGACCACAGATATAATGTTTGGAGGCAAACAAGTTGTTGTTTGTGGTTATGGAGAGGTGATTCATTCTTTGATTTCAGATTTTTTTTAAATCTCACTTCTAAATGGAACGACTGAATTTTCACTGGTGCAGCAGACCTTTGAACATGAATAGTAGACTTATGTTCACAACTGTTGCCCTGTTCTGTGGTACGTAGGTGGGTAAAGGCTGCTGCACCGCTCTAAAGGCCCTCGGTGCCATTGTGTGCATCACAGAGATCGACCCCATCTGTGCCCTGCAGGCCTGGTGAGTCGCTCACATTACCATTCAGCACTGCTCCGGGTCGGGCTCCACTGTCTCTCTGTGGTGCATCCCATCACTTGTTTCAGGTTGTGTTCACTGTGTTTGTGCGGATTTGAACTAATGATAATATCCGCATGTGTGTCCACACAGCATGGACGGCTTCCGAGTGGTCAAGCTGAGCGAGGTCATCCGGCAGATGGACGTGGTGATAACCTGCACTGGTACTGTGCCCCATGCAGTGACATCCATTACTTCTGCTCTGAAAATCCCAGTGTTTCAAACAGGAATGAGGCCTCTCACTTGTGCTCGCACAGTGACTCTGTTTACAAATCACATTTTCTTCCTCCTAGGTAACAAGAATGTTGTCACTAGGGAACAGCTTGACCGAATGAAGAACGGCTGCATCGTCTGCAACATGGGACACTCCAATACTGAGATTGACGTGGTAATGTGTCTTTTTATTTAAAGGAGTGTTTTGTAAAGATGAAGACCAACTTCTCTCCACTACACTCTGTTTAATGCGCCTCGCCAAGTGCTTTCGCTCAGGTATTAAGTGCCAAATGAAGATATCCATAATGAGAGACTTCTCAAAATGTTCGGCTGTTTTCATCCTATATTTTAGCCAGGATATTTATTTTCATGAATTTAGCTGCTATTGTTCCGCTCTGCTTTGTTTTGAATTCTTGGACAGATCTTTCCATTACACAAAATGGTCCGACCTTTGTTCTCCTTCGTTTATTCTGATTCTATCCGTCATACGGTTGTAGGAGTGACCTTCTTTTATGTGCCCAGGCGAGTCTGCGTAGCCCCGAGCTGACCTGGGAGAGGGTTCGCTCTCAGGTTGACCACATCATCTGGCCCGATGGAAAGAGGGTCGTTCTGCTTGCAGAGGTAATGTCCCTCTTATCTCTTTTTGTGATGCCTTTTGTATCAACTTCTACAGTGCAGTTCATGTATGTGCTTTGTTATTTCTCAGGGCCGCCTCTTAAACCTGAGCTGCTCCACAGTGCCTACGTTTGTGTTGTCCATCACTGCTACAACTCAGGTTAGTAGTTTGGCACCTCTCTGTGGAGCCCTCACATTTCAGGGCTAGATGAAGAACAGTTTCCCCTCTTTTGCCACATCACCCTGTGTTTCTGTTGCGTTTGAGTTCAACCCCTGTGTGGTCTGTAGGCCCTGGCCGTGATTGAGTTGTTCAATGCTCCAGAGGGCCGTTACAAACAGGATGTGTATCTCCTGCCCAAGAAGATGGGTAAGACCGATGTTTTTGCTTCATAGGTTTTTGAATAAGAACGATCATATTTGCCAGTTGAGCAGCAAAGCCTGTTTCTCTCGACACGATCCAGTTAGCCGAACATGACGCACAGTAGAACAATATCTCTCCAGACAGATTAGATTCCAATCCCTCTTCTTTCCTCCAGATGAGTACGTGGCCAGTTTGCACCTACCAAACTTTGATGCCCACCTGACGGAGCTCTCTGACGAGCAGGCGAAGTACATGGGTCTCAACAAAAACGGCCCCTTCAAACCTAATTATTACAGGTAGATTTCAGCACACGCTGTGTATCTTTCACTGCCGGTTGTCTTGCATCGCATACATTTTTGGAATAACACTGTGCATTTTGTTTACAGGTATTAATGGCGGTTTCTGGCGACGTGATCCTCGGCACACATTTGTCCTGGAATAAACAGAGATATCTATTTTATTTTGTAAATTGCTACAAAAAATGGAGAAATTATTTTAAGTATGCTGAATGTACCTTATGATTAGCACTACGGTTATAGTGTTAAATATGAAGACTAAGTTGTTTAGGAATCGTATGCAATCTATAGCCGACTAACATGTTACCTGTCCTATCACGTGTTTAAAGGAAAAGTCTGCTTGCATGCTTTCATGTGTTTGTGCATATTTAGTTGCTAATGCTTTTGTTGCTAGATTACACAGTTGTTGATTGGTTTGCTTACTCTATTTATGCACAGTGCCAAATGATGGCTGCAAAAATGGAACTGATACAAAGTATGTTTCGTCTGTCGATAACATTAACATTTTTATTCGTACATTCCACGATCTTATGTGCGTCAAATACTCTCATTGAATGGTATCTGCATACATTCCGTAAAAGGTATCATCAAGTCACACTTTTTTATTATAAAACTTGTTATAAAAGCTAAAAGTGTGTGAGTCTTGGTGTTGGCATTTAACACTAAACGGCTTAAACACCCAAAGCTTAAATCAAAGTGATGTTTTATTTTCTAAAATTTGAAGATGTTCTTTTGTGTTGAAGATAAGAAGCTATCATTTTCTTCAATTAATACAGAGTTTCCATTTGATCACTGACCTCCCAGCAGAGAAATGTTTCTCTGGCATGAGCGAGGTCGGTTATAAAGTGTTTTGACTGGATAATACCTTTGAGCCCATTGTATGAATGTGCCTTTTTATTCATTTACAGCACGTAATAAATATCAGCACTGACCTTAATTAAATAAACATTCCTCTTATGTAAAACCACATCTATTAGGGGTGTGCTTAATGTCTTCCTTCCACTGCTTCTGGTATTTAAAATGTGTGAGCTGTGTTGAGAAAAATATTAGAATTATTTTTGCCATATGATTGTTGCTGTCTTAATTTGACTCACAAGGGTCACCTAACGTAAAGTCATCAAAATGTGTAAAGTGTATACAATTTATGTAAAAGAATGCATTAAATCAGCAATAAAACTACTTCTAACAGAGAAAAGTAACTTTAAGCATGTCATAATTATTGAAATTTTTTTATACCAAGAAACCAGAGCAGAAAGGCCTCTTTCGGTCAGTGGATGTTTCCATATTGCTTCTGTTCATGCTGTTACATTCTCTACATTGTGATCCCTCGCCGTCAGCCCTGCTGGCCAGGCCTCAAACTGCTGTCCCTTTCTGGAATATTCACCGTCTCTCTCGCACCAGCCAGCTGCATTAGTCGCTATTATTAACAGTCGAGTCACTCGGCCCGGAGGAGGGTGTGTGTGTGTGTGTGTGTGTGTGTGTGTGTGTGTGGGGGGGGGTGTTCTGGGGGCTTCTGGAAACCTGCTCACAACTATAAAAGCAAAGGGCTCGAGTCCGTCCAGGCATTAGTTTACAAAGAAGCACAGCGAGGCCAAAAGCTGCAACAGAGAGATCTTTCAACGTCTTTGAGCAACAGAGAGACCGTTGTTGAAAGTAAGTAGCAAAAGATTTTCCCATTTGGGTTCAGCTAATTTTAATAGAAGCATCAGTGCATACTTACTGTTCTGAGACTTCTGTGATGGTATTTTCAGGTGTTATTTACCTCCTTTTAAAAAACAACTCTAAAAATCACCATTGTTAATGCATTTCTGCTTTGCAGTATGTCTTTATGGATGGTGGTATGAAGTAAATAATCACGTGAAAGAGTTGATTTTTATACTTAAACCAATTATAATTACTTATTACTAAATGTGGGATTATAGGGATTGTAATTATTATATATTTAATCAAATGGAAAGGGGTAATACAACCATTTAATTCTTGTTCTGTATAAATTACTATATAAATATAACTTGTAGTAAAGCAATTTTAGATTATATGTTCTAAATTAACAATGGAAATTTACCATTTGTCTCTGTTAGACCACTGACATCAATGATCCCTTCATTTTGAGTTATATTTGGTTGAATAAGTAGCAAAACAAAATTACAATGTAATGTTTTCTCATTTTTCTAAGGCAAACAAGCAAAATGTCTTCAGCCAAGGGAGTATCGATTGGCATCGATCTGGGCACCACCTATTCTTGTGTTGGTGTTTTCCAGCATGGCAAAGTGGAGATCATCGCCAACGACCAGGGAAACAGGACCACTCCCAGCTACGTGGCCTTCACAGACACAGAGAGGCTCATTGGAGATGCTGCCAAGAACCAAGTCGCCATGAATCCCACCAACACCATCTTTGATGCCAAGCGGCTCATTGGGAGAAAGTTTAACGACGCCGTCGTCCAGTCCGACATGAAACTCTGGCCTTTCAAGGTGATCAGCGATAATGGAAAACCCAAAGTCCAGGTGGACTATAAAGGGGAGACCAAGGCCTTCTACCCGGAGGAAATCTCCTCCATGGTCCTTGTTAAAATGAAGGAGATTGCTGAGGCCTACCTGGGACAGGGTGTGTCGAATGCAGTCATCACAGTTCCGGCTTATTTCAATGACTCCCAGAGGCAAGCCACCAAAGATGCCGGGGTGATCTCGGGTCTGAATGTTCTGAGGATCATCAACGAGCCCACGGCGGCAGCCATCGCCTACGGCCTGGACAAGGGTAAAAGAGGAGAGCGCAATGTGCTCATCTTCGATCTCGGTGGAGGCACCTTCGACGTGTCCATCCTGACCATTGAGGATGGCATCTTTGAGGTGAAAGCCACCGCAGGAGACACGCACCTTGGCGGGGAGGACTTTGACAACCGGATGGTCAACCACTTTGTGGAGGAGTTCAAAAGAAAACATAAGAAGGACATCAGCGGCAATAAGAGAGCAGTGAGGAGACTGCGTACTGCTTGTGAGAGAGCAAAGAGGACCCTATCCTCCAGCACCCAGGCCAGCATTGAGATCGACTCTCTGTTCGAGGGCATCGACTTCTACACCTCCATCACCAGGGCACGGTTTGAGGAGCTCAACTCAGAGCTCTTCAGGGGAACACTGGAGCCAGTGGAGAAGGCCCTGCAAGATGCCAAGCTGGATAAATCAAAGATCCATGAAATTGTCCTAGTTGGCGGCTCAACAAGAATTCCCAAAATCCAGAAGCTCCTACAAGACTTTTTTAATGGCCGAGAACTGAACAAGAGCATCAACCCGGATGAAGCTGTGGCGTACGGCGCAGCGGTCCAGGCCGCCATCCTCATGGGGGACACCTCAGAGAACGTCCAAGATCTGCTGCTGCTGGATGTGGCTCCACTGTCTCTGGGCATTGAGACGGCCGGCGGGGTTATGACGCCGCTAATCAAACGAAACACCACCATCCCATCCAAGCAGACCCAGATCTTCTCCACATATTCAGACAATCAGCCAGGTGTGCTGATTCAGGTGTATGAGGGCGAGAGGGCCATGACCAAGGACAACAACCTCTTGGGCAAGTTTGATCTCACTGGTATCCCTCCCGCTCCCAGAGGGGTACCACAAGTTGAGGTCACATTCGACGTGGATGCCAACGGCATTCTAAATGTGTCCGCCGTCGACAAGAGCACCGGCAAAGAAAACAAAATCACCATCACAAATGACAAGGGGCGCCTCAGCAAAGAGGAGATTGAGCGGATGGTACAGGACTCTGAAAAGTACAAGGCGGAGGACGACGTGCAGAGGGAGAAGATCGCGGCAAAGAACTCACTTGAGTCCTACGCCTATCACATGAAGAGCAGTGTCGAGGATGAGAACCTGAAAGGAAAGATTAGCGAGGAGGACAAAAAGAAGGTCGTTGACAAGTGCAACCAGACAATCTCATGGCTGGAGAACAACCAGCTGGCAGAGAAGGACGAGTATGAGCATCAACTGAGCGAACTGGAGAAGGTGTGCAAGCCGGTTGTGACCACGTTGTACCAGGGAGCAGCACCGTCGGGAAGCTGCGGCAGCCAGGCTGGGGGAAGCTCCAGGGGCCCCACTATTGAGGAAGTGGACTAAAGCTACGGATATCAACATTTGGTTTACAGAAATACTTTTAACTGTTGTTCGGTCGCAAAAAAAATTGTGTTGTTCCCCCCTAAATTTGACTAACTTGTCAAAATAATATATAATATAATAAAATAAAATAAAAATACTTAATCATATACTTTATCTGTCTTTAATTTTTTTGTTGTGTCACAGCTGGTTGGTGCTCAGTGTGTATCTGTGGGTATGTTTGCAACCCTAGATCAGTGTGTGTGTTCAGTAGCTGTGGGTATGTTTGCATCTCTGTATCAGCGTGAGTTTATTTATAGCTGCCTGTGTAAATGTTTCCTCTGTGTATCAGTGTGTGTGTAGCTGTGGGTATGTTATAAACTGTAACTTTGGATATGTCTGTAATTGTGGATAACCGCTCTGTAGGTACGCTTAAAACTCTGTGGATCAGTGGGTATCTGTGGTGTTGTTTGCAGCTCTGGATGTGTGTGTGGAAATCTGTAGATACGTTTAACCTGCAGTTTGTGTGTAGCTTTGAGTATGTTTGCAGCTCTGGATCAGTGTTTAGCTGTGGATATATTTGCATTTGTGGATAATTGTTTATCTGTATGTGCATTTTAAACTCTGGTTAATGGATTACTCGTGTGAAACGCTTGCATATCCTCATGTAAGAGCATACATACATATAACTGAAAAACGTATGCATACACATTTGAAACATTTATACAAATACATGGTTAACCCTTGCGTATGTATCTAAACTTTTTATATCTTTGTAATCATATGGAAGAGATTCAGTTATGCATGTCTAAGTGTTCAACAATATATAAACAACCTTTTCATGTGCATGCATAAATGTTTCACTTGTATGCATGTAAGCATTTCATATGTGTGTGTATATGACACAGCAGTATGCGTGTGTTTCTCATATGTACGTGTTTCAGTATGTATAATGTTTTATAATTGTATGTTCTGTGTACATGTATGCAGGGCTGTAGTGGAGGGTAAACGCACGTAAACGCCGTTTACGCACCTCTGGAATTTTGGAAATAGCGTTTACGCACCTATAAGTGGCGTTTACGCACCTCAAACTTCCCTGCGCCTTGTAATCTTCCGTTGGAATAATCCGAAATAAACTTGGTGTAATTTTAAAACAGCTAAGACTACGTTTCCTATTGTTGAACATATAAACGCCGTAGTCTGAATCATCTTCATTACGGTCTGTGAGCATCCAATCAGTGCCTTGCGGCTGCAGCAGCGACCAATCAGGATCCAGGAGGTGTGTAAACATACACGCTGTGGATCAGCCCAGTGGTCCCCAACCTTTCTTACCTCACGGACCGGCGGGGGGGGGGGGGGGGTAGTAGTCGTTGCGGGCGGAACGACCGACTGGGGGGGTAGTAGTCGCGCGCTCTGTGTTCGCTGGTCGTGCACGGTAAAAGGACAAGAAAAACGCCTGGTTACGCGTAGATTAGAAAACAAGTCAGTTCTCAATGTGAAAACAAAACATGCTGTATAGGCTATTTATGATGACATAGGTAGTACATGAGTGTTCCTTTAACTCAGAGGTCTCAAACTCGCGGCCCGCGGGCCAATTGCGGCCCTCGGGACGATATTTTGTGGCCCCCGCCTTCATATGAAAGTGTAATGTTAGTGCGGCCCGCGAGTTCTATATTGTAGCAACCTCGCTGTTAGCAGCCACTTACAACCTCCACCCCAGCGCCGACCGTTCCGTTCGCCGGTCGGACCGTCAGTGTTATCCCCCCCGTCGGCCATAATGGTCTGGCCCGCGTTCGGTCGAGGTGGGCTGCATCTGGCCCGTACCTGACTTGAGTTTGAGACCCCTGCTTTAACTTATGTTGTCAGTGTAATTGACAGGCTGCTTAACTGGTTAACTCTTAAATTCAACATATTTTTTCAAGCAGTGAGAGGACAGGCAATGATGCAGAGAGCACAGGGAGAGGAGAAACACCAGAGCCAATAGAGAGAGGAGAAGCACAGAGGAGCCATGAACCTCAGAACACGCGTGCCATGAACCTCTGGGGGTTCATGGCTCCTCTGTGCGAGGCAGGACCTGACGTGGAGGACAAGGAGGCCCTCTGGGCACTACTGTAAAAAGGAGACTCCGTATGTAGATAGTTCTTAATCTGCAATTGTCTTGTTATGTTGTGTTGACATACTTTTCTTCAGTTTTCTTAGATTTAATAAACTACAAACTACTAACACATGTATTCAATGTCATTGATTGTATATGACTTTTACTGATAACATAATGCAATATAGCCAGGACAGCCTTACAGAGTCGCAACGCCTTGTGTTGCGTTGCTTCGCATCGCGTCGAGGTCTGTATGATCACAAAATTCAGAGTTTACCCACCTCTAATTTTACCACTACAGCACTGCATGTATGTATAAGGTTTTATACTTACACGTGCATATTCTACATAGAGTATGTATGTACAGTTGTGGTCAAAAGTTTACATACACTTGTAAAGAACATAATGTCATAGCTCGCTTGAGTTCCCCGTTATTTCTACAAGTCAGATTTTTCTCTGATAGAGTGACTGGAACAGATACTACATCAAGTTTGGTTCTTTTATGACTTTATTATGGGTTAACAGAAAAAGTGATCAAGTCTGCTGGGTCAAAAATAAACATACAGCAACATGAATTAGTCATTTTGGTGACTTAAAAAGTTGTGTCAATGAAATGAGCTTCACAGCATGGCCTTCCAGAAGAACATTCCAGAACCGAATCTACAAACAATACAGAGTTGGGGAGGCTTTTACTTCTGCTACCAAGTGTGTGGTCTTCGTCTTCTTAGGATAAGATCTCTGGCATAACAGGTTAAAGTTCAAATGTATGTCATCCTTGTTTGAAAACCACACTGAAGAATGTGGTGCATCTTATGTTATGTTGCCACGAATGACAAATGAGCCTTTCCACCTGGGTGTGATGTTTCCATCACTGGCAAACACAGCTGATAAAAACCTCTGACTATCTCAGTCTGATGTCATTGTTCCACCAGCAAGAAGTTGGTGGGTTTTAGTCAATTACAAAATATTTTAAATGCTCAAAATATGACCCAAAATAAAACCCTTTGAGACCGAATAAAGTTGAAACTAGATAGAAGCTCTCAGGTGAGACCAGATATTTTCCAGGTGTGTCTGCAGCATCGATACAAAGCTCTAGATGATCCAAATCATAATCATCTCTACAAGAGCCATTTGGTTATTGTTTTGTTTTGTTTAACCGCTTGAGGTACTGTCAATCAGTCAATATAATCAGGAGGATGTTGGCAGGAGCATGTGTATATATATCCAACGAAAGGTTTAATCTAACTTTTCTTCATACAGCGTTACATATTAATCTAATTATCTCAAACACCTGAAAATAGACTTTGAAGTCTAAAATCAGTCGAGTTCCCCTTTTATTCATATTAGGGAACTGGCAATTGCATTTCTTTTCTACTCTTGTATTTCAAATTTTACCCAACCGTATTAATTGGACACATCTTCCACTATTTGTAATCCACTAATAATTGCCCTAATTCCTGACCGGCCCGACCGATTCGGTCGGTACTGGTGTAGTTCGCCAAAGGGACCACTAGGTGGCCGTGTGGGCTCGTGTCACCATCATCATCAGCTTCCTCAACACACCTGACGGCTGCTGGATCCCACTCTGTAGGTGCTCACTATAAAAATAAACATAGTTATATTAACTTGAGCTACTCTGAATAGCGGCGAAATCACAACCGTGTCTTGTCAAATAGTAGCCGGAGGTTTTGGCTAAATCTGAAAAGGATATGGCGCAATAAAAAGTGATTGTCTTTGCAGCCGCCATGCAGTCATCACAATCAGAATTGGCTTTATTGACCATGTATGCTATGCATACATGGAAATTGACTCCAGTTTTCACTGTGGTCTCTGTATACATACTAATAAAGAAGGAAAATAACAAGTAAAAACAAAGATGACAGTAGGACATAATTAACGACTACACAGTATACATATGTGCAAGTAGCATAAGATAGCAGAAGCCCGTTTTTCACATGCTGGAGTGGACATGTCACCAACAATCCACGCAACAGCAACAGCAAGTGCTTCTGCAATACGTTTACAAGACATGTGTTACCCCAATGTACCATATCTGCAATATTAAAGTTCCCAAAAGAAAGTTAATTGAGGGTTGATCGTGTCTCTTTCGTGCACACGCACGCACGCGCGCGCACACGCTCGCGGTGTCGTTAGAGGGAGTGGTTGGATGATGCGCCAACCTTCGCCAGCAGCCAAAGGGTTGAACTGGCGAGCCTGTCGTCGAACCCATCCAACCGGGCTTTGTCCTCGCGGAAAGAGCCGGCTACATGTGGGAGAAAGCAAAACAGACCCACAGCTGGGGAGACCACCCCACATCTGGCACGCGAGCTGAGCTGGAAGCAGCGGCGGAATATCTCGGCGCGCAAGGAGACGAGCGACTCGCGTCGTCGTCAGGGTTCCTCGTCTTGTGTTGGAGCGCAGAAAAGTTGTCAGGAATAGTTACGTTTTTTTTTTTGTTTTTTTTAGAAATGATTCGTTCTAGGAGAGACGTGTGACTTTAGGGAGGAAGTGGTTCGCCCAGAGGCGGGCGGTGTAGCGCGCAACTGTCGCGCAAACATTCTGTCGCCGCAATCTTGTTTTCTTTCATGAGCGGGAAAGAAATCGAAGTCTCGTCGTGGAATCCGTCCAGGAGGAGACCTTGGAGAAGCATCCCGTGATCCCGAGCATCTCTCCGGACCGCGGGCGCAGTTCAGTAACAGGTGGTTTCTGTGTGCGCGTCTCACTTTGCGGCTGTCTGCCTTACTATGATCTTACTGTACACGCTCAATGAGGCGCACCGGTCAGACGCGTGAATTGAGGGCGCACTTTGCGTTCATTTTCTAATTTTGAATATATATTTTTGTATTTTTCTCAAGCGGACTGCGGCTGTTGACGGGAGGGCGAGTGGGCCGGCGGCTGTCTGCTCCTCAATGATCAGCTCCGTGTGCGTCTCGTCGTACCGGGGCCGCAAGTCGGGCAACAAACCTCCGTCCAAAACGTTCCTAAAGGAGGAGATGTGCAGAGGGGAAGAGTCGGACAAGATCACCATCAACGTGGGCGGAACCCGACATGAAACCTACAAGAGCACCCTGAGGACCTTGCCCGGGACGCGCCTGGCCTGGCTGGCGGACCCGGACCCGGACCGGGAGCCGCAGGTCGGCTCGGACTCGGGCGCCGCGCCGCCGAGTCCCGAGTTGTTCTTCGACAGACACCCGGGCATCTTCGCCTACGTGCTCAACTACTACCGGACCGGCAAGCTGCACTGCCCGGCCGACGTGTGCGGCCCGCTGTTCGAGGAGGAGCTCGCCTACTGGGGCATCGACGAGACCGACGTGGAGCCGTGCTGCTGGATGACCTACCGGCAGCACCGGGACGCGGAGGAGGCCCTGGAGACCTTCGAGCCGCTGGACCAGGAGGCCGAGGACGACCGAGAGGCGGCCAGGCGCTTCGGCATCGAGGACTGTCCCGACAGGTCGAGGGGCTGCTGCGAGGTTTGGCAGCCGAAGGTCTGGGCTCTGTTTGAAGACCCGTACTCGTCCAGGGCAGCCAGGGTGAGTCCGCCGGGTGTCTCTGTCCTCATCAACAGGTGTCCCCTGCAAGCCAAAGGTTCCACACACCTGCGCTTGTCAACGTTTAATGGCCTACGGTTAGGATTTGTTTTAGTCAAATTGCATAGTTTGAGCAGCTCAATTAAAATTTCAATTAATCGGTCATGTCTCCGGGTAATTCACTCAATATTAATACTACAGAGTAAAATCAAGACCGGACACAATAAAATAATTTAACAAATGAAATATCGGCACTCTGCACTCAGTTGATTCCCTTGACTCTGTTCTTAAATCATCCATCCTATTCACTACCTGATCAAGTAAGGAAATACAAAAATAAATCGATTCTATACCATTAATACCAAAACTATTAGAACCTGCTAATGTCCATGTGGCTTTGACCAGCTGGATTTTGAAGTAAGTCTGTTTTCCACAGGTTGAGTTGAGGCTTGATTTGTTTGTTCTGTTTTCTGACCGTTGTCATATCATCACATCAGTTTCATTGACTTCTTTCCAGGAACAACAGTCACTTCGCCCCCACACATCGCGTCTTACGTTATAACAGTACAGCAAATCAGATACGAACATCATATATTGCTGCGATGGAGCTAATTCGTTTGAGTTGGTTAAAAAGCACGAATGGTTTGACCTCAGTGAGGAGATTTTTCAAGATGTTCAACGACAATCAGAAAAGCAGTATTTAGGGAAGAGCAGGAAAGGAGAAAATGAACATCCAATTCATTTGACAAAGTTCTCATGGTCCCTGCCGTCAAAACTATATTGACGAAAAGCAGAAATGATAAATCAGCCCTAACAGGAGGACGATAACACAAAAGGCCCCTGCTGGAGGTGAGCCAGTAGAATGGATGACCACGGGCGCACAATGGAAGCCGGTTGGATTTGTCTCTGAATCTAAAGGTTTAATCTCGTGTGGCTGGTATTAATAAAGAGTATTCATACAACATATATCAAAGCGAGCAGCAAAGTGTCTCACAGGCGGACCTAAAAAGACCGATATATTCATAAACACATCTGCAGGAAGTCACTCTTTCTTTCACTTCCTGTTTATTCTTAAAGTCACCCGGCTTTCCACCTTGCCTGCAGTCTCTTTGTCAAGGCCCCTGACGCCTCCTTGTTTATTTATGTATGTATTTATTAAATGCCCAGTTAAAGATACCATTATTTATTTCACAAATATGGCACAGTGCTCCCAACAGCTAAATATCGCTTTCAGTCATCTGAACAGCCGGTTTTTGGTAATTTCTTAAATATATGTTATGAAATTCTACCAGAATACAGTGAATAGAGAAAATGCTGTTTCATGACAGAAAGACAGTGTTGATGAAGTGTTCCCACACATCCTGTTCAAGAGTTGCACTCAAAGCTTCTCGAAACAGTGTTTGAAAGGATGCAGGAGTGTACTTCCATGAACAGTAAATCATGCTGTGTACTGAGCAGAAGAACGGGCTTTAACATACTATTTGTGTGTACATGTATAATATACTCGTATTGTCATTCATTTATCAACTTTACAAGTCTATGCTCAAGTCTTTATGCTCATTTGTGAATTCAGATTAATTCAGAGATTGTCATCATGTCACACCTTAAATGCTAGAGATGTATTTATGATTTTAATATATTCACTCCCCCAACGATCAATCTCAGTTTCTCATTGAATTGCAGTGAACAAGATACCATTCTGTAGGGATAAAAGGAGGGTTTCCGTGTTGTAAATTAAAATCATTTTGCTCTGATATTCAATAGGAATACCAGCCAAAGGATTCTCCGCCTAATGGCTTAGCAACAAAAGCAGCAGAGCGGTGAATGAACTAAACATGAAGGTGTTGAGTGTCACCAGCGGAAGTTGCCAGGTGATGTCATTGGTCAAAAAAGGAAAAAAAAGGCTTTTAGGCAAGAAGAAATGACAGTGATGCTGCTCACTCGAACCGGAGTTTGTCTGTTTATGGAGTTGAATGGTCTATTCAGAAGCTCCGTCGCAAAACTTCTTATTGAACGCCAGTCACAATACAGATAGTGTTTATTTTAGCTTCCCGTCCAGGTGGCACTTGCAGGCTTGTCACTGCCGAACAGCCGACATCTCTGAGTCACAGCTGCCATCCAAACATGACCGCGCTCCGTCTGTCGGATCACCACGTCGGCGCCCTACTGCTGCGTATATTTGTATTTCGATCAACCAGGTTTTCCACTGCGGAGATGTTCTCTGTCCATTTGCTTTCCAGCGGATTCATGCGCGTATGTTTGCTCCGTGTGCATTCTGAGGGACTCGTGTTACCTTTATGGCCTTTTTTTTCTTCACCCTCTCCAAATAGCCTCCGAGATCAGCTCAGTTAATGTGATTTTTGAAAGCCGGAGGGAAGATAATCATTTTGAACCACGTCCTCCTCACTAACAGCCATGACTGGAGGTGCGGTTCTGGCAGAGTCTGCACATAAGGACTGTACTCTGAATCAAAGGCTTCAGAGGATCCTATGCAGCATGTGCTCGAGCAGTAATGGTCAGGACATCAAAGTGCTGACTTTACATTGCAGAGACCAGATCACTTTGATAAATGCTCCCACGTGCAATATTTCATAAATCCCACCTTCCTGCTGCCTGCAATCAATCGGCGAGTCTGTTATTGGTGGTGAGCAACTAAACCTGCCTTTCCAACAGGAAAGAGCAAGCTGAATTAACACACATAGAGCGATAAATCAATGTCTCTGTTCTGAGACAAACAGATTAACTGATGTCTATTATCTGGGATCTACACTTCTAATAACCAATTAATTAGCCAATAAAAAATGCTGTTGACTTTTGTTTTTCTACACTTACATTTTCTGATTGAATCACATTTTCATTCAACGTTTGCCATGTGGAGAGCTGTTGAGCGGCAAAACAAGGGCTCCCGAAACACTTTAACTGTTACATATGATTGGGTGGAAAGTCAAACTCTAATAAGAAACAAATATTTTCTTTTCACCTTTTATCTTCAGCGGGTCACATCAATGTCTTCACATCTCTGTCATTACATCTTGATCAAAATATTATGTTATCTTTCTTGTCTGAATGTGAAACTCATTCTCACACGTCCCATCTCGGCTCGGTGTGATATCCATTTGATGAATAATGGAGGAGGCTTCTGGCCTTGACTTTCACAGCACTGACACCTTTCTCGTCCTCTCTGTGATGTGAACACAGGATCTGATGTTTAACACATCGTCAAAACCCTGCAAACCTCGTTAGGAAACTCTTATAACTCAATCATTTTCAGCAAAAGGGACTTAATCCTGCAAGAATATGTTGGCTGCTTATTTTGCTCAGTTCTAATCTGTGTGCCAGGAATATCTCGTCTGTTTTATTGTGAGGTCACCAAAAGTATATCCAGAGGTGTAGACTTCCTTTTCTAAAGAAAACAAAGGCGGATCTCCGGGGAGAATTGTAATAATATAAATAACAGGAGGTCTTTAAAAGAACACGGTAACGACCTGTTCAATAGGAAAGGAAACCTTAATTGACTTCTGTTGTGATCTGGCTCTATTTAGACAATGCAACCCCAAATATAAGGATATTTCCTCCCAAAACTTCACCACAGTAAACCTCACTTGTGTCCTCATGAATATAGCGAATAGTTGTTATGGCAACGGGTCCGTTGTTGTTAAGGTATGGAAGTGGAGGTTCCTCTGTGTTTCCTTGATGTTCCATGTGATGTCCAACCCGACTCTGGTGTTGAGAACATACTATCAGAAGTCTTACGAGGTCTTAATAGAGTATTGTATTTCATTCAAGCCGCATGTGAAAATCTTCCTTTGTTTCTGTTCTTTTCCCGCTGATGTCGCGTCCGTCCTGGTGTTTAAGATTCTCAGCATCAACTTCCTCTGCCTGTTGGCCTGGAGTTACCCCACCTCTGCCTCGCTCTCCTCCTCCTTGTTAATGAGATGTTCAGCTCTGTGTCGGACAGTCTTCAACATTGATCAATGAAGTGGTTATTTTGGGACTTTCCCTGTCGCTGCTGCAGGTTATTCATTGATGAGGAAGACTGATTAAAGCTGAAAATGGCCTAGAAAAGCCTAGAATCGTCTCCTTCCTGCTCCAGTATGTCTTCTTTTCTCCCGCCATCTTCGGCGTCGATCGATTCTGAATCATCGCGACGCAGACTCCAAGAAACCCTCACAGGCGGCTGCTCTCGCCGGCGTTGCAGCTGCTGTGCTGGTTGCGTGCAGCGTGCGGGTGTTAGTCACACAGAGCGTGATGCTGAACAGCTGCAGGTGACGGCCGTGTTGGGACTCCCCAGCTGCTGCAGCCTGACGCGCGGCCCGCTGCCCGTCCAGCGTCCCTCCCTCCCGCTCTGGTTTTCCCATCTGTCCCCTCGGGGGAACACCGGCTCTCCTTGCACACCGACACCCGATGACCTCGGCTCGATGTCTTCATGCACGATGGATCGGCGTTACACTCGGCACTCGACCCCGCGGGTTAAGTGCTCGTGAGTGACGACAACACGCGGGAGGAAGTAGCTGACGTGGGCTTTCAAAGTGATGAACTCACAAACAATTATAAACGGACTTTTTTTCGTGAGCTTTGGTGTCTTTTAAGTTTTCGGTGAAAATGTTCACTGATGAGATAGTTCGTAACTAGCTGGTTAATAAAAGAAAGGAGAAGAAAGTATTCTCTGCATTTAACCCACACGCAGTGTGCTGCCGGGAAGCGGTCGGGCCGTTAGTTGTCCTGCTCATGGACACTTCGACACCGGACATGTCCAGGCAGGAATAAATATTGGACATACGCACAGAGAGAAGCGTTAATGCTTTCTATGCTTTATTTGATATCTTCTGTGTGTGCAAATAGAAATCTGTGCACTAAAAAGAGGGACAGATGCTTCACTAAAAACAAAAAATAATAATCGGCATTTACCTACGCGCACACGCACACACACAATTGAGCAGTGTTGTGTTATTGTCGAGACTTTCTTGTTAAGCCTTTTATGAGCAGAGCAAATTGTCCTTGAGTTTCCCTGCTGAGGTAGCGTTGGCTGCAAATACCCACCTCTGTTGAGTTCTTGGATAAAGCGTTTGGCATTTGAATGAACTGAACGCTCTTAAGGCCCTTTGGTCTCTTCACAAGCAACAGGACTCAGTTGGGATTCTGGTGGCTGCTGATTTATTGCCGTACCGAGGCGATGAGATAGAAAAGTCCGCTGCCAGATGATGTTTGTGTGTTAGACAAACTGCAAGTGCATGAATACTAATTAATTAGTGATGGTGAAGAAGAAAATGTACAGTCGGTTTCACTGATATGCAATTAAAACCATTACACAAACACACGGAATGTGCATGTTGGACACTGGGTGATGGTAACCAAGTATACCTACTCGTGCTATTTTGAGTTTGATTTTTCTACACCACTAAAACTCAGAAGGAAACTTTCACTTTTCACTCACTCTACTGGAGTATTTTACATCACAGTACTCACTAACTAGCAGATGTTGATGGAAAGAGACTCATCCTGATTGAACTGCTAGAGAGGAGCAGCAGAACCCCTCTGGTTGCCATCCTTAAGTTCAGTGCTGAGTCAGCGCTGATCCTGCTGTGTGCTTCTGTTCCTGTTGGTTCGTTGTGATTTTCCCCGTGACTCAGACCCACCGCCGGTTGTCCTGGTGACGCTGAGGGAAACTGAGGCCGTGCCACCAGGGGAACTCTGAGCTCCTCCTGGCGGTCGAGTCTTTGGGCTTCACATCCATTCCTCTTGTCCTGCGGCTCAGCCCTCATCATCTTGAGGGGCTTGAGGGGGGTCAGAGTGGAAGGAGGTTGCCATGGTAGAAAGAGCACGTTATGTGGTTGCACAAAAGAGATGCAATCATAATTCTAACATCCTGTGTGTGCAGCATTGCTGTTGGGGCTGCTATTATTTTCAGCTCCACGAGCTGTCACATTCATATTGATTTAGTTTGTTCCACAGCGAGTTGTTACCTCCATTGGACCTCGCATGGTTCATTTGGGTTTGTCTAATCACAGACTCAAACACTATGAAGCAGATTAATATGTCAGAGGCCCCTGGAGGATAAAGGTAGCTGTGTGCATGCAAGGTACAGGTACATATTTATCCAGCTGAACGGGTTGGAGAGGCAATGCAATTCAAGGCTTTAGTAAACAATGAAGTCGGATCGGGTATGAGTTGGCACACAATATTAGAACAAGCACAAACAAAACATGTCCATTGTGCTTTTAGTTTCCGTAAAAGCAGATGGACTCACTTTTGTTTGTGTTTGTATTTTGTATTTTAAGTTCCTTCTCCTGCACTTGTGGTTATAAAACACTTTGGTTTGCAAAAACCTTGTAAACCGGGTTACAGTTCAGTCTCGGGTGTATTTGATGTATGCATAGATCTATTGGTATAGTGCTAACTGGCAAAGGTTAGAATGCTAACAAGCTAAACCTGTGCTGGATTTAAGTATTCTTATATCACTGTTTAGTCTTTGCTTGCTGTCAATCATCCAAAACTCAATGCCTCCAAAAAGGTCTCCATCAAAACACGCAGCTCTCATATTAATGTATTTTGTTATTGGTATTACAATCAATCAAAACAGTTTTGAATTATTGGAATGTACAAATTGTATTAACTATTGTTTATATATTGTCTTTTCCAGGGAGTGGCGTTCGCCTCTCTCTTCTTCATCCTGGTGTCCATCACCACCTTCTGCATGGAGACCCACGAAGCCTTCAATGAACTGACGAACATAACGGAGCTGGTCAAAGTGGGCAACATCACGCAGAAAGTAGAGAGGCAGGAGATGGTTACCAACCCCATCCTAACCGTGGTGGAGGGCATCTGCGTGGTCTGGTTCACATTTGAATTCCTGGTGCGCATCGTCTGCTGCCCGCAGAAGCTGGTCTTCATCAAGAACACGCTCAACATCATTGACTTTGTGGCCATTCTGCCGTTCTACCTGGAGATGGCCATGAAGGGCATGTCATCCAAAGATCCCAACAACGTGCTGGGCTTCCTCCGCGTGGTGCGGTTCGTTCGGATCCTCCGGATCTTCAAGCTGACGCGGCACTTTGTGGGCCTTCGTGTGCTCGGCCACACGCTGAGGGCCAGCGTCAATGAATTCCTCCTCCTCATCATCTTCTTGGCGCTGGGCGTACTCATCTTCGCCACCATGATATACTACGCGGAGCGCATCGGAGCCCACCCCGACGACCCCACGGGGTCCAATCACACGCACTTCAAGAACATCCCCATCAGCTTCTGGTGGGCGGTGGTCACCATGACGACGCTGGGCTACGGAGACATGTTCCCAAAGACGTGGCTGGGCATGATGGTGGGGGCGCTGTGCGCGCTGGCCGGGGTGTTGACCATCGCCATGCCGGTGCCCGTCATCGTCAACAACTTTGGGATGTACTACTCGCTGGCCATGGCCAAACAGAAGCTGCCGAAGAAGAAGAAAAAGCACAACCCCAACCCGGACGCTCCGACCGACTCGGCCTCGTTTGGGAAGTCTGAGACAAACTCGCGCCGGGACAGCACTCAGAGTGACACGTGTCCTCTGGCTGCTGAGGAGAGCACCGGCAGGAACCGCTCAGGTCAGTCTGCGATGGTTTTGTTTATGATTAACGTGATTATGTTTGTGGCGCTGAGTAATGTGTCCCTCTGTAAACGTGGTCCATGTTAACAGAATATTCCATTCCATTAGGGACGTTGTTTCTGGTTTTTGATTTAGTTTTTATGATTTATATTTCTGTGTTTTTAGCAACACAAACAAAATTGGATTCACCTTGATGGTATTAAGGCAGATTCTGGGGTAAATAAAATCAAAAACTATCTGCATGACTAGATATTTTTGGGGATATGTTTTTAATTATTTATTAATTAATTGTTATATATGTTTGTTTAATTAATTATACATATTGAGCAAATTCTAACATTCTGTATATCCTTAATCTGCCTGAGGAATTACTCCCCTCCTAACATTTCAGACAAAATCAATTTCGTAACAGAAAAACACAGCTTTTATGCAAGATGGCCGTGCCTTTGTCCGGGCACTCGGGCCAGTCTCAGTAAAAGCTTTGGCATTCACGCCTCCGTGTTTCTGTCCTCCTCTCAGACTCCAAACAGAACGGGGATGCAAATGTGGCCCTTTCAGAGGAGGAAGGCTGCAGCTTGACCCAGCCGCTGTCCCCCAGCGAAAGGTGGTCCCTTCGGTGCTCTCGAGGGCGGGACAAGACTAAGAAGGAGTCCACCTGCTTCCTCCTAAGCCCTGGAGACCCTAACGTCCATACTGGTGTGTCACATATACAGTATATCACTACACACGTCTGCTGATTGAACAGTTTCTCACTTTTTCATCCGCACTTTGTTTTCGATTCACCTCTCTTCAGATGTGGCTCTATTGGTGTCATCGGGTGATTTGTTCCTTCCATCCTGCTAGTTAGTTGGTCAATGAGGTTTCTGACATATTACAGGAGATATTTAGTTTTTGGAAATCTGCTTTTTTGAAAAAGTTATATGAGAAGATTGGTACTATTCTGACGTCTGTTCTCCAAATATGAACCTACGATCCGGACACAGTTAAAAATAAATGGTCGCTTTACTACAAATAAATATCTCAATACAAGATCCTCCAACGTTCACTAATTAAAGTTTTCTATGCACGCATTAATATAGCTGTGTAAAGATAAAGTGCAGCAATGTGTACCTTAGCAGTGAATGCAGTCGCTCTCCACCTGTGGACGTTGTAATACGAGCTTGTGCTGCTGTGTTGACTGAGCAAAGCCAGCTGCGTGAGCGTTTTGTGCATGTGAGCGCGTCCCGCTGCTGTGCTGATGGCGGCTCTCGTACGGCTGGTAAAGCTGGTGGCGACGTTAGAAAAAATTAAATTAAAAAAACATTAAAAAAAATTAAATTTACCACAGTTAAATTGTTTGACCACGATTGTTTGATTTATTATGATTATTAAAGTGCACAAATGACACCTTTGAGAACTTTGGTACCAAAACCACCTGTTGTGTCTAAATGTAAATGAAGCTCTATGGGTCCAGGTTCCTGTACAAGTATTTGTACTGCAAGTTGGATCAGTAATCTTGGCGACATTTCCTTCACCTCCCTTTGATCTTGACATCTCAGGGATTACTTATATAACACCAATAACATTTAATGCTGACTATCATAGAGCTGTCTGAAACAGGTAAACAGTCTCTGGATTGACATGTACTGTCAGCCTGTCATCTCTCTCCTGGAATGGCTGCTGGATCTCACAGCTGAGCCTCCTCAAGAAGCCCAGTGGGAGAAGAGGCCCATCTTTGTCTTCAGCCCATTACAAGGAAATTGTATGTAAACCTGTTGGTTGAAAGCCTTGTTAATCGCCGAGTGTGTTGAGTTGGTTGATGGTATGTTGTCACGAGCACATAGAGAAGAGGAAACGAAAACGCAGCCTCAGTTAGATCTGATTTCTGCTAAATGAGTAGAGGGGATGTCTGTCGACATGATGCAATTCACAGCCTCACAGTCGCAGTGGGAAAGACACAAGCGAGCAGAAACACAGCGCAACAGCAGACTTCTCTAATGCTACTCTGAGCTATCTGGTCGGCGCAAGCGAGCTTCCTTCTGATCGCGCGGACAAAAAACGATCGGAGGCAAAGCAAAGGGGGGCGGGGTGGTAATTCAGTCCCGAGCCCTGTGTCTGGTGAGCATGTGGATAATGACATCCCGGCCTATTATGGGGGAAATATCGCACATACACAACGGATTTAAGTGCACATCACCTACAAAAAGGACTTTCCTAAACCGACTTCAAAATAGAAAACTCTTGTTTCCTCCGAACATGCAAGAGGCTTCCATTTGTGAACGTTTTGAGCTGTTTGCATGCAGATGGAATGACGAGAGGCTCTGTTCGTCATGAGGGACGGTATCGGCTTGATTCCGGACTTACAGGACATAATGTATGGATCAGATTTCACCAGAGCGGTATGGCAGGAAGCAGCGAGGAGGACCGATGGATGCAGCAGGTCTGAAGATGCTCACATGGTTATCAGAGACAGGAAACAGTCGCCCGCTTTGCCGTGGGAAAACAATTGCTTTTAAATTTAAGTGATTATGGCGGTCACAGGGAATCATGCGGCATTCTCGCCGTCCCAATTTATACGTGCAAACGCTATCCTGTTGGGAAGGGCATTGCCTCACGATGTGAAAACCGACAGCTCTTTCCTGGTGATGAGTGCATAATGCTGTGGCAAAGCGTTCAAGTGCTGCTAAAAGGCAGCAGCAGGCAGATATTCAGACAAGCAGAGAAAGGCTTCTGAGCTCTGATGGGTTCCGTATTCTCCAGCGACCTCCATTAACATCATGGGTGGTCGTAGCAAAAGCCTTGGCAGTAAAGGTAAAATAATACTGGAACAGGATCTACAGTAATTATTTAGTCATGAAAAATGTAACACATAGTTTCTGCTTGTCCAATTATAAGATTTTTGAATAATTGTAATAATTATTGAATTTCATTTAAGATAGGAAACCTGTTGTGGGGTATTTTCACTATTTTGTCATTTTATAGGTTAAATGCAATGATGGAGGTTTTCTAAAAATATAATATAGAATAGTGGTGACAATATTCAGTAATTCATGGAGAAACGTTACCAGCATGAACAGGGTCAGTTTGTATTCTGCGAGATATTTCATTGCACTTCAACAAAATTGTGCTCAAGGTACATTTTTCTCGATCTTTTGCGCTTACATTAACGTGTGTTTCATCGTGTTTCTCGACAGAGGCCTGTAAGGACGTCCTCAGTGCCACTGGAAACTACGCTCAGCCGGAGGTCACCACGCTGACCTGATGCTGACCTGATGCTCATCTGCGGAAAGGAGGAAGGTGCAGGAGTCCTCGGGGGGTTCCGTGCTGTGCGCAGCTCCTTTTTTGTCCTGGATGACCTGCGGAGTGGATTCTCTTTATCTTTTTTGTCTGTCAAACCCTGTATTAGAAAGCCAGTTACCTACAATATTTACCACATGTACTCTCATTTGCATGTTGCATGTGTTGAATGATACACCATTATACAATGTGGTGGCTACCATTTAATACGTTTTGCATTTACTGGACGCAAAGACAAAACCTGCCATTATTTAAATTGTTTTGTTTAAGTCACATCACAGATTTCTTAGGTTGTTTTTCCTTGAGGTTGGTTATAATTATTGTTCAACATTGACCACTGAGGTTGTCGAGGATGATGTTTCATGGTTTTAATCTGAAGTCTTCTTCAAGTATATGACAACATTTTTGCTAACAAGACTTCACTCGCGGGACTTCCGTTTCTTTTTTGTGATTTTTTACCTTTAGTATCACAGTATGTACAGAGGTGTCAGTTTTAGAAATATAAAAAAACTAAAACCTAATTGTTATTTGGATGAATTTCTGGTGTCTGTAAATGTTAACTGTCGAGTAAGAACACCCAAACACTTGTGAATATGGGTTTGTACAGCCAAACTGTTACTAGGACCAGATGGGAATTTGAAATCATTGTCAATGCAGGACTGGAATTCTTCGTTGGTCATCCGGCCTTCTGTTGTGCTGCTTTCTAACACCGACCTCGGGGACACAGCTTGTCCCCAGAGTGGTATGAATGCTGCTTAGGCAACACATTAGTTGTAAATCCTTGTACAATAAGAGTTTAACAAAGGAAAATAATGGAGCAGTATTGTTTGTCTATTGTTCTAACTGGATACTAGTAAGGTATCACTGCTGGTTGAGTCAGGACCAAATGTACAATTTATTAGAAATAAGATAGATTTTTATTACTATCACCAGAAAAATAAATGATACACACACACACACACACACACACACACACACACACACACACACACACACACACACACACACAGTGCGATGCCATCGAGTCTACTTGTGGCTCATGTAATGTAATTTGTACCTCCACACTTCTGGTCATGTGCGATCTGCAGAAACCCTGTTTCAGCGGAGGGAGAAGCAGCAGCAGTGTGGTTTCTTTCACTTGTGACTTAAAATATATTCCTCATGGTCAACCATAGTGGCCTTATGTTTAATAAACAGAGGGAAAGTTCATTTCATCTTCATTAGACATTCCAGGTTGGTTTCCACACCGACCCCGAGGTCTGTAATTATGTATAAGCACAGTTGTACGTACGTTTGTAGCACAGTTGAATATTCTGGATCATTCCTTTAACTATTTCTCTTTTCTCTATGTGACATGTTTACTCACCATGAAATAGAAGTTAGCCAATAAGAAAGCCCTTTTATTTTAATAATGAACTTTTGTCGCGTCATTTCCTGTTTTCCCTGTTGTAAAATGTAATGTGGTGGAGAAGCACACTCTTTAATATCCGCCTCTTATTGATTGTAAAGGTGTGACAGAATGTAACCCAGTCCACCTGTCAGATGTGTGCGTGTGATCTCGTATCATGTAGGCATGTGTTTCTATGCAGAAAAAGAAATAAAATCTACCTTCCAGGCATTTTATGATTACACCCCCCCCCTCCCAAATCAGGAAACATTTATTGCCAAAATATGTCAAACATACAAGGAATTTGACTTGGCGGTTGGTGCGTGACAGTAGACAGACAGAAACCAAACCCCATTCACTAAATCCTACAATACATTCAATGATCACACCTTTGACCTAAGGCTTCTTTATGTAACCATAACAATATAACAACAAATATAATAACTAATATCTATTAACACAATAACTACAATACTAACGCCGGTGATTATCACACCCATTATAATGTCTACCGGTTGGCGTGCTCTTCTGCTTAAATTCCTAACATGCTGCGGGTTATTTATAGTGGTGACACCGGTGTAGTCTGGTGGCCTGTCTGGTGTAACAGCAGTCACAGCTTGCCGCCTTCATGTGCCTCCATGATTATGGACCAAAGGGGTAGATGGCCTACAGAACCCATCACCATGGAGATCTGGGATGACAGGCAACACCAATGCACGGCTGCTCTGTCTCCCCCTCCTCCTGCTCTCTCTCTCTCTCTCATGCGCACACACACACACACACAAACATAATCAGATCTGCGTGATCATCATGAGTGTCGTAGCCCATGAAGAACGTTTTGATGTTCGGGGATGAATTGTGCAGCGCTCTTGCTCATCAAGCCTGCATGAATATGAAAGCGTGTTCTGAAGCAGATGGTCTTTAACACGGCTACACGTGGAGTGACACACAAATTGGTCAGATAGAAGAAGGGCGATGACAAGGAGATACTCGTACTCTCAAACACAGTATTTAACTGCATTCCGACATACATTTCTTGTTTAAATTTTTAACATTTTATTCTTATCGTTTTATTCTTGTGTTCTAAATCTCTCACCTTATTGTTACAGAACAAAAGGCCTGCAAGTTGAACATTATTCAACTGACTGTCACATTTACAGAAATGTAGATTAATGTCAGTTACGTCATGAATAAAGTAATTGAAAGTAATTTGTCAATGGGAACCGAACTAAAGGCCATGGCAGTCTATTGCTTTGGGCTAGAAAATAAGAAGGATATTTTAAAACACAGACCAATAAATCCAAAAAACGTTAACATGGACATGACCCAACACCATAAGTGTGACCCTTTAAAAAAATGGAGTGACTTTTCACTAGATAATTATTAAAACTCTTTTTATTTCAGTGTTTCCAACTCATCCAATTCAGCGTCACACAATCCCCTTCTGCCATCAGATCAACATCCTAAAAACTGCCCTGTTTTCACAACAATTGTTGACTGCGATTCTGTTTCAGGTTTTCATTTGTTTATTTCAAAGCAGCAACATCTGGAAGGAGGAAGTGAGACTTTGGGTGAATGAATGAATGAAAGTGATTTACAGCCCAGTGTGTCATCGAGCTGTTCTGTTTTTTCTCTTTGGTCCTGATCTTCACCACACCAACAGACACACTGTCGATTACACACAACACTAATGCACCTCAGAGGGGAACACAACACTCATCTTTAAACGTGTACTCAAAGAGCATAATTGACCAGCTGGAACCTCTGATCTGATTGAATGCTCTATTTTCATGGCTGTCAACTCAGAGCAGCCATCATGTCAGCACCTGATAGTTTACCACACTTGAATAACTCCATTAGCGAGGCGGCATATCAGGGGTGAAGACTGACGGATTTGTTGTGAGTCTGTGAATCACTAGGAAGGCGAGAGAGATTCATGTCATCTGTGATGACTCCCTCTCATTTCCCCCTCGTTCCTTTTATTTTTTCCTCCCCTGTTGAAGGTTGTCATGACGATGTTGAACACAGTTTCCATGGAGAAAGGCTGAGCCATTTCACCAGTTCATTGATTGGTGCAACGCTGTGGGAAAAGGGATGATCTTGTCATCTTATTGTCTGGTGCAATAAACAACTATCACTAATTCATCACTTAATGAGGACGGTATTTAGAGGGTGGCCCATAACAGGCAGACGGAGAATTGGTCAATTATGTCTGAATCCAGATGTTGACCCTGTTTTACAGTATTGAAGGCCTTCTGTAAGTCCAGATCCACAAGGTGACATGTGATCGCTTTTGCAGCTCCTATGGAAAAAACTGCCGCTGCACATTAGACAGGCCTCCTCACTGTCTAATGTTAAAACTCTTCTTAAAACGCACCTCTTTTCTATGGCTTTTAACTCTACGTAGGTTGTTGATTTTATGTGCACAGATATTTTATCTGGGGAGGACAGTCAATTTATTTATTTATTATGTTTTATTGTGTTTATTTTATTTTTCAGCACTTGGGAACCTTTGTGTTCATTTAAACTGTGCTTTATAAATAAAACGGATTGGATTGGATTGGATGCAGAGGGAGAGTTTAGCTCTTTATTTGGTTTTCTTTCCACTTCCTTCTCTCCGATGTCAGAGTTAGACGTTAGTCGCCAGCTTGTCAGCCTCCATAACTTGAGTAGACAGAAGCTATTTGCTTCTGTAATTACGAGGAGCAGGAGATGCTGCGTCTATTTCTATACGTTTGTTCCTTAAGTAGAAATGTTGTACTTTCCAAGTTTATTGTGGAGATCTTGTAATGGAGCAATGTTGCGCAATACAAATCTGACCGAGGGAGAGTCGCGAGTCCGATTATTATACAGAGAAAACGATGACAAAGTGTGAAAGGATCATCCAAGCTTTGCATAAAAATGGAAAATCCATCACAGTTCCAACTGTCCATGTTTCACTTGGACCCACGGTGCAAACCACAAACAATGTCATCTCAACCACCTGAAATGATAGTAAAAATTATAAAAATAAAAGGCAAGCTGTGATAAATCATAATTACTGAAAAATAACTTAAGTATAATAACTTAAAGTTTAAACAAAGACCAAAATGTTTGCATTCTGTTGCTGCATCAAATATCAAAATTTTCAACAGCTGCCCGAACTGTGTCTTGATCATGACTGTCCAAAGGTAAAAAGTACACTGACCATGACAACAAAACCCTGAATAACAAGCAAAAGCAACCCGCGATCATCTATAAAGAGCATTTGTCTCTCAGTCAACTGTCCTAAAGGGAATTTCCTCCCACCGCAGAAGCATTATGTGCGCAGCACAAGGCCAGTCCCTCGTGGTACTAATGGACAACACTCCAGGCCCCCTGTGCCCAAGTGTGTGTGTGTGTGTGTGTGTGTGTGTGTGTGTGTGTGTTTTTCAGCAATGACCCTTCACATCAGAACCAACATCCCACGTTAAGATCGGAAAGTAGTTCTTAATCCTGCCTGCTTACTTTTCCTGTCCGGTTAAGGGTTCATTCTTCTTCATTTGAAAATGGATGTGAAGTGAGACGACTGGCTGGTAACGACACTAAAAAGTCCTGAAAGAGGAGCAGTCACAGGACTTATGGGCAACTGAGTTTGTCAGTCGGTCACAAACAGCTGGTGACTAAAACAATTCAAGGAAGATTTAATCAGTAATGTTTGAACGCTTTTATTGCCAACATGTTATTGCAAAAAGCAATGGGTGTTGGGGGGTTGTCTTGGATGACACGCCTCTTCAACATTGCGTGGAAGTCTGGGACAGTGCCAAAAGAGTGGCAGATCGGGGTGGTGGTACCCCTCTTTAAAAAGGGGGACCAGAGAGTGTGTGCCAATTACAGGGGTATCACACTACTCAGCCTCCCGGGTAAAGTCTACTCTAAGGTGCTGGAAAGGAGGGTTCGGCCGATAGTCGAACCAAGGATTGAAGAGGAACAATGCGGTTTTCGTCCTGGTCGTGGAACAACGGACCAGCTCTTCACTCTTTCCAGGATCATAGAGGGCGCTTGGGAGTATGCTCAACCAGTCTACATGTGTTTTGTGGACTTGGAGAAGGCGTATGACCGGGTCCCCCGAGAGATACTGTGGGAGGTGCTGCGGGAGTACGGGGTGAGGGGGTCCTTGCTTGGGGCCATCCAATCCTTGTACGCCCAAAGCGAGAGCTGTGTTCGGGTGCTCGGCAGTAAGTCGAAGGCGTTTCCGGTGGGGGTTGGCCTTCGCCAGGGCTGCGCCTTGTCACCAATCTTGTTTGTGGTCTTCATGGACAGGATATCGAGGCGTAGTCGGGGGGAGGAGGGTCTACAGTTCGGGGGGCTGCGGATCTCATCGCTGCTTTTTGCAGATGATGTGGTCCTGATGGCATCTTCCGTCTGTGACCTCCAACTCTCACTGGAGCGTTTCGCAGTCGCGTGTGAAGCGGTCGGGATGAGGATTAGCACCTCTAAATCTGAGGCCATGGTTCTCAGCAGGAAACCGATGGATTGCCTACTCCAGGTAGGGAATGTGTCCTTACCCCAAGTGAAGGAGTTCAAGTACCTCGGGGTCTTGTTCACGAGTGAGGGGAAGATGGAGTGTGAGTTTGGCCGGAGAATCGGAGCAGCGGGGGCGGTATTGCACTCGCTTTACCGCACCATAGTAGAGCCGCTGCTCCTTTGCGTCGAAAGGAGCCAGTTGAGGTGGTTTGGGCATCTGGTGAGGATGCCCCCTGGGCGCCTCCCTAGGGAGGTGTTTCAGGCACGGCCAGCTGGGAAGAGGCCCCGGGGAAGACCCAGGACTAGGTGGAGAGATTATATCTCTGCACTGGCCTGGGAACGCCTTGGGATCCCCCAGTCAGAGCTGGTAGATGTGGCCCGGGAAAGGGAAGTTTGGGGTCCCCTGCTGGAGCTGTTGCCCCCGCGACCCGACCCCAGATAAGCGGTTGAAGATGGATGGATGGATGGATGGATGGATGTTATTGTGTTATTGTGTTTTGGTTTTAGGACGGAAAATAATTTCCTGGCTAGATTCGCATTTTAAAGAGTGAAGGAGGTGCAGCTTGGAAGGCGATGGAAAGGCCAGGTCCATCCTCAGCGCAACAGGCCTTCACTTGAGGAGAATATGACTTGGTGTGTTTATATGTGATGCAGAACTTGATTGAAACAATTGTTTAGGTACTAAACATGTTGTTTTGAATGTGGAGTTTGCTCAGCAGCAGGTCGTGTGTTTTCTGGATGGATTCTCTGGAAGCTCTTTACTACCACTTAGTCAATTCGTGTTACTAGTGGATGTGATTCCTCTCAGACGGGAGGGGGGGGGGGGTCTCGTGTAAGAGCTTGGCTATTATGTCTGAAGACAGGCGGAAAATAACACAACCATTAGCAGCCATGTGCATTTGCCCCCTAAAATACTGTGTCCATTTAGATAACCATGAAGCCGCTACTCAACCGTTGGAGAGGAAATAATTACAAACTTTGGTGAGTGGAAATATTATTATTCATTGCTCCTTTGGCATCCCTCAAAAAGACACCTTGTCACTGTAAAGGCCTCTTTAAAACGTAGTCAGTTCTATCTTCTCTTTACATTAACAGTATATCGCAAACCCCCATCCTTACAGGATGGTATTGTGCATAATAAACTCTTTGCATCGTACTGAAATCAATGAGCAGTTACAGAATGAGAACATGCACTCGTTCTCTGCAGTGTCTAATCAGTGCTTAGATGCTCTCCAGCCGTCATCCTGGAGCTGCACTCAGAAGGAATGGTTGAACGGGTGCGATCATGACTTGAGCGAGCACGCACTAAACGGCTGATGCATTAGTGATGAATCCTCCCTTCGGTAGGTGTGGCATCATTTAGGCGGCACGGCTACTCACAAAGGAGTTATTGTGCTACCTCCAACTCTTCGGTACAAAGGTTTGTTCAATATTTAATATTGCAACATGCATCCTCAATGCTCGAGACATGACCTTTAAGTTCTGTTGCCACGCTAACAGCTCAGTTTTTTTTTAGTTTTGAAAGAAACTAAAAGAAACGTCTGTAATTAATGCTATAAAATGAGATTAGCTAAAATTATTACACCCTGGATCGAGGCACTGTGCCTTCTTCTTAGCTAAAAAGCCAAACAATCCCTAAGCAGAAAACTTTCTACTTGAGGTACAAATCAAACGGCTCCGTTAAATCCTTTGACTGAAGCCATTGTGTATACGTGTTTTATTTAACCTGTTGTACAGCACAACTGTTGTAGAGACTGACCGATGAGCAGATGGAAATATTCACGTGGTTTTTCTGGGATAAGATGGTGGGAATCCTTTAAATCCATGTTGTGATATTGATCCCCCTAAAATGAAAATACAACATATGTTGTATTTTGTACACTTAGTGGGACATTGACGGCTCACAACAATTTTCTTAAGGCAGACGTGCCGCATTTCCCACTCGAGTGACCTTTACCGCTGATTTCCTGAAGGGCACTTAACGTGTGAGAAACAGCATGAAATGGGATTTCGGTGGTGCTGCAGAGCTCCTGCTGACTGCTTGCTTTGTATGTAAAACTTGAAGCACCCGTACAGAGTTGATGTTTTTCCATTCCTGTGGCGGCTCATTACAGCTGGACGACTACGGTCCCTCAGATGGGAGAGGGGGCTGATTCGTGGAAATGTATTGCTGCATTGATTGAAGTAGCTCCTCATTGGTTGCTATGGTTTCAGGTCTATGCTGAATCCATCTGTTCACACATACTTCTGCTCACGCCAGGCAGGTTGGTGTCAATGAAGGAAGGTGAATCACCATCAAATATGGAATAAGCAAGGTGGTAATGATTGATGAACAAACATTTGTTTTTCATTTTTAGGATTGTGTCTGAGTTTGTATTAGTGTCCGTGTTCCTTAAGTCACCGGATGAATAACCCTGTAAAATGAGAGTGTTTTCCAGACATATTCCATGGGGGAAGCAGTCAGATGGCCATGCTAGTATGAACTTGTCTGTGTTAATCACGTTGTTCCTGATGGATCCTGAAACCTCTACACTCCCGCTCCCTTCCTGTTGAATGTTTTATGCCTTCCTGTTAACCTGTGATGCTTCAACCTCACAGACACAGCTTTAAAGCAAACATTAATTGAACCACTCAGGTGTATTTGAACGTCACTGCTCAAAAGAGAACAGCAGCTTGGCGTTTTCTCTTTAATGTAGTGTTGTTTTGTCTTAACTTCCTGTGACATGAATTCTTTGTCTTTTCACAATACCGAGGAGCGCTGCAGTGTAAGAGGGGTTTTCCCTCAACCAACTAATTTGGGATCCAGGAAGACGAAGGTACATTGTGGTCCATTCAGGCTTAAGTGTGCAGACAATTGATGCTTCCTTGATTTTCTGTTCAGCTAGATCTTCATAGTAAACCTCACGGTGGCACTATAATAATGTAAATATTACTATACTAGCAATGTATATACTACTGTAATTATTTGCTCACAGAAAAATAAAATGCTTACAGAAAAATTTGGATTTACGTCGTGTGTATCCTGCTTCCCTTCAATCTGCGTCAGATAATTGACCTCTACAGTTTTCGCAGTAGTGCGCAACCTGTTGCTCATCAAACAGGAAAAAACAAACGGAGAGGAAACAGTCACCTCTGGTGACCTGCTCAACCTGCTTCTCCGGGTGTCCGACTCCTGTAAGTACATCCCTCACTACACATTTAAATCCCAGTATTTTCAAATAAGGTAACACTTAACACTACTGAAATGGATTTCTGACACTGCTAGTGGAAGTTCTCAGTCCATTTCACCTGCTCAGAGGTTTCATCTCCAGTAAAAAAAAGCTGTCATGAGATGCTAAACATTTCCTAAGTAGCCTGAGGAAACTGCTCCCTCGCTGTAAACGTTGAAATTGTTCGCAATGAGACTCGCTGGACAAACAGTCATGAGCTGTCGCGGCTGGCGGGTCGGTCCTCTCAGCAGGCCTCGCAGAGGACCATCTGGCCATCTGGCCGCTACTGCGGAGGCTGAGAGCAGCTGAAAGAGCTGTGTGAGAATATGACAGATCTCCGGCCCCGCGATCGAAATCTGACAGGAAAATAGCACTCAAAGTGTAAAAAAAGGTCCCCCGGCAGTCTTTTTCTGGATGAGGTGGCGGGGCAGCGGGAAAATCGGAAACGGCCTCTTGGCTTGATGTTATGTTTTTTTTTTGATAAACATCTCCAAGGGATCCTGCAGGTGTGATTGCCATTAATGCTTGTACGCTGTGTGTGTGTGCGTGTGTTATCAAGGCTCCTACAAACTCTTTCGTGCTTGCCATGTTTTACGCTGTCGTGGGAAATTATTTGTCAACAGGATGCAGATAGTGAGATGTTCTTCAAAGTGCACCGGACAGCCGAGTGAAGAGAGGAAGTGTGACGCAACCTGGGAGACAAAAAAGCTCGACATTTACACGCAACAATCTTTGATGCCAAAACCAACGCTGCAGCATTAGTTTCTCCTTTATTGGAGCTATAATGTCCAACTATTTAAGTAACAAGACTCACGTTTTTCAAGTTCAGCGACGTGTTCCCTTTTCAGTACTGATGTTCAGCAAACGTGTCCCTCGCACGAGCCTGATGTGAGTTTGCATCATCTGACTGCCGTTATGAGCCACCGCGAGCAGCTGCACAGCAGAAGAAGGACCTCGTAGCTCTGAAGGATGATGATGTGTCCCTGTCGACAGCCCATAATAAGCCTGCGTTGCGATGGATGCATGATGTGTCGGTGGTGTTAGAGCCATGATCTGTGTGTCACAGCTCTGCAAACGCTGCAGTTTCAATGTGATCTCCAAAACCTGTTCGCAAAAATGTATACGAAAATCTTGAACATACAAATTCGTAACAATACATAGGAACTGGCGGTGGTTAACCACGCCCCTTGAGTGAACAACATGGCGGACCATGTGGGATTCTTGAGTGAACGTCTCTCCGCCATGTTGGATTTTTTGAGGGGGTTAGTATTGTATTCTTACAATTTAACATTGATTTCTCGTTAAAAATGCAATCATAACGCGTTTATTTTACATCGTTAGACTTCACAAAGTGTGTTTACGGGGTACAGGTCCCCATTCACTTTGAATAGGGTGACGTCATCAGTTGCAGTCCGTATTTATTTCGTATGTATCACTACGAAATTTGTATGTTCAAGATTTTCGTATACATTTTAACGAACAGGTGTTGGAGATCAGGCTGGCAGTTTAGCTCTTGGCGGTTTCGATTGGAGAACAGGACGTGGAGCAAACTGCTGCCAGACAAAATTTCTGCCTCCATTTAATCCCTACTGTCTACGACTGTGCAGCTCATCAGACAAGTCCAGCAATTTACTCGTGCAACACAATATATGCTTAGTTATTGATTGCAAGTGTTGCTTTATCAGTAAGATAAAGCACCTCACTTCCAATTGAGGTTCTGTAAAAGTATAAATGTACTTCTGTACTACTTATATGGATGTAAATGTCCACTAGTGGGCAATGGTTATATGCAGCAACAAGCAACGTCATGGATCGTCATGATTAACACATCTTTGCTTTTTAATATTCATATGAATGTGAATGAATCGGAATCAATTAGACAAACAACATTCTGTTTGATAAAAGTCTTTAATATTATTTTCTGTTCGCTCCATCATGTTCCACACTCTTAAACCCCAAAACCTCCGTGTCTTTCTCACCAGACATTTTCTTCTGATTGCGTTTTCAGTTTTGTGCTGGAAGCTGCTGCAGTTCCAATGAGAAACACAGAGAAGAGATTGTTTACATCAGTGCTTCCAGTTTACTGTAACAACAGGATTTATCCTTCTGAATTCGATCAGCAGCTCACAACACTTAGAGAGGAAAAAAAAGAATACATTTAAACACCAAAAACCTAAATATACTCTCCCACACACACAAACACACACACACACACACACACACACACACACACACTTATATACACACGCACTCACACACAAGCACAGTCACTCATCTATTTTGATTGAGAACAACCACACAACTTACAGACACCAAAGTAACATTACAAAAATCAGAAAATATCTCAAAATATACAATTGTTATTTACAGCTCAAGTATACACCCTGTCACTCTTACTGTAGATACTCTGTGTGAATTTATCAGAATGTACATCAATATGTACAGATTACACACATTGTCTTAAATACTATAAATATAACTATGGTTTGGTCACAGAAAGACTATTTGCACGGTTAAATAAATACACTATTATTATTATTGTTTTAATCACAGTAATTCAACTGAGTAAACCTCTACCAGTTGCATTAAAGCAATGACACTTGGACAAGACAACGAGACCCTGGAGTCTTTGTTTTTACAGTAATAATAAAATCAGATATCCACTGTGAAGAGTACTTCAACAGTGTTTAGGCCAGGGGAATAAAAAACAAAGGAATCCTGCTTCTTAGAGACGATATACAATGTTGATTGTGCTCCCTCCTAACGCTCTCATTTCATTATTGTGCTGAGTTTAGTTTCTTGTGAAGTTTGGAGTTCTTCTAAGTGTGCAGATACTCTGGTGACTCCCAGGAGGATGAAGGAATATGACCCATCATCAAGTTCATCCCCGCAGGCCTAATCTGAACTCATTGACTGGAGCTTGCTCCATTGTGCTCACTGTCCTGTGCTTCTACCGATTTGCTTCATCTTCAAGCCAGAGCAGGTGAGTACAGATGAAAACCTCCACCTGTACTCGGCGTTTATGTCAAAAGCCCATTGACCAAAAACGTCTGGTTTCTTGTACATGTTAACAAAGTATTTTTTCTGACTAAATAGGTTAATACCCAGCTGGGGCACGTTTACGTGTTCATTTATCCTGACACATTCAGGATGCAGAGCAACACATTTCCACGTTACAGATCCCCTCTGTGTTCTATTGTTTTGTTTTAACAGTTGTTCACATAGTCATTGGCATTACTAACTCTTTTCTTCTTTGCTTATTATTTACAAAATGTGTGGCAACAGAACCTGAAGCAGTATTGAAGAACATACGATATCATCAGAGACAGGAGGGGCAGTAGATAATGTGGAGGTGTAACGGAATTATACGATCAATTACTTCAGTACACACAAAAGTACATATCACACAATATGTCACACCTACTACAGGCTGATGTACGAGCCATGAAACAGGTCACATGACCACATTTCAAAACAACAAATGGGGGTTATTCTTCATTATGTAAGATAGGAAGGAGAAAACCAAATTAATTCACATCATAAGAGTAAACATTACAACTTCTTCAATGCTAAAATGACCTGATCTGCCAAACAAACGAGATTTTAGCAAAGTAGCTTGTGATACATAAGTATATTTGTGCCATTTTTGGATGTGCAGCCCTCTTCCTCTCTTTGCCAATACATTTCTGTTCAGCATTCTTAAGGGTAACAACAAAGCCTTCATCAAAACTGTACATAACAAATTACTCCAGGGTCTATAAGTTACTAAAGTGCTCAAGTCAATGAGACAAGACATCGGTCCAAACTCACCACCGAGGAAAACTAACTGACAAAATCACCAGGCAAACCGACAACAGGGATGCTGTTCGGCCACCAAACGCTGTGTCTGACTGTGCTTGACGCGACATCTGTTGAGCCTGAAGTGTGCTTGTTGTCTCAGGGCGGAGAGACACTGGGTGTCTCCGCTGGCCGGCAGAGACACCCAGTGGTCAAGTCTGTATATTACCATTCATCCCAAACCTTTATATCACAGCACACACAGTACACCCCTAAACGTACAGGATCACACATTTAAAACATTAAAAAGGTTTTCACTCCTCAGTTCACAAAAATACAACAAAGTGTAAATTATAGTGCTCATGAAATGTCTCAGGGGGTCGAAGTTAAAGGAATGTAAAACAATTAAATCTTCCTCAGGTGGGATGACGTATGGATGAAGATTAATCCAAAGCGCTGCACGAAACTGGACCTTTTTATTTTATGCAATGTAACATCGGAGATCTATTTTTGTAGGACCGTAACGTTAAAACTCCTCATCTGTGTATTGCAGACTAATCAGCCGTGCGGGTTGAAAACAAGGTGCTCTCTTCCTCCTCCTCAACATGGACAGCAGCAACAGGAACTGTATCTATGGTGCGCGGCCACGGCTTCCCCAGGGCGACGCAGCTCTATTTTTACAGCGGCCGGGTCGCCAGGAGCTCTCATTCAGCGGCAGACAACACGCTGACGCGCACACGCACATGCACATGCACGTCTGCACGCATCAAACCAACAGACAGACGCCTGTGAAGCCTCCCTTGCCCGTCGCTGCACCTTCACTACCACCTCTGCACTTCCAAGGCGTCTACTTAAGTGGGATTGCTTCATTAAAAGGATTGATTCAAAAGGAAAAGCTTTGTCTAATGTCGCTCTGTGTAATGGCTCAGAGATGCTCTAAAACAATAACAGGACGCTGTGCTTCGGTGTTCACCAAGAAGAAATGATGAGGTGAAAGGCTTCCCCTCATTTTGCACTACTGTGGTGTATATACACAATTCACGGTGACATCTCAGACTATTGCACAACACATATGTATAATATTCTACATTAGTGGGAACAGTAGGGATAGAAGGAGATCAACGGTTTTACGAGGACTGACTGGTTATTATTGCTGATGCATGATAGGCACAATAAAGATGTAATGTGCTTGAAACACTGTTGACAGTATCAGAATCACTTATTAATTACTGTTATGGATGCATTTGTGATCATTTTGTTTTCTAAATGAGAGGTTTTCTCACACGGTGACGCAGAGCATGGAACTATTTTCCTCGTCTCAGTCTCCTTCCATCCCCGCGCGGAGCAATCCTCTACAACGAGAGAGACGATGAGCTCCCACATCCAGAGACACGCATCTGTCTCAAACAATAACCTTCTCCACACTGGTGGACACACGGTTCAGCACCACGTGAAGCATTTCAGCGCTGCACACATCTTAACCTCGCCCACAGCTTGTGACAAACCAGCCCGTGCTGAAGCCCTCAGTGGACATTTCATTGCTGCCTCCGTTCTTGTATCAGTCCCTCTGTCTCTGCCCCTTTAATAAATTGGCGGATGGAAAGGGTTGTCAGATCTGGTGGGACTCTCATTTCAGGTGGCATTTGGCAGCACGGATCATATGGAGTGGAAGGTGACGAGCATTGGGGCAGAAAATAGGCAGGAAAGAGGGACTCAGCTCTGGCGGGTTAAGGTGTGAAGAACGCTGCAACAACCGGCAGTGAATTTTCTCTCCCTTTTTGACTTTTTCTGTTCCTCCCTGACTTCCCCTGTCTCCCTCTCCCCGAGCAGGCCTGGGGTTTAACAGGCGGGAGGATCTCTGTGCTCAATGGATCATAGCTCAGACTCGGGCGAGCCGATGTTCTGGTAGCCCGTCTTAGTGCTGGTGCCATAGTTGGTGTTGATCATCTCCTGGGCGCCGCCGGGGCCCAGGTAGGCGCGTGGGGCCGGCATCGGGGAAGGAGCCTCGCTGGGGTTCTTGTTGAGGATGAAGCGCTGCTCGTCCTGCTCTTCCAGGTTGGAGATTTCCTTCATCATGCCTTTACGGTAGGAGACGGACAGCTTGTTGGAGCCGTCCGAGATCAGGTTGAAGTGGCGGACAATGAAGACGAGGGGTAAAGGCAGCATTGCCGCCACGATGAGGGAGTAGGCCATGGCTAAAGCCCAGGGAGGGTAGCTGTGGAAACGCTCTGCGCCCTGGCAAACAAAGAGGATAGCATGAAGAAACAGAACAAGAAGTATAAAACAATCACACAAGTCTGGTTGCGTGTTCATCCTTTGTTTATGTCCTTTCTCAATCATCTTCTCCCCAGGTGTAAACACACGTGAACACTAACCTCGGCCTCCACCCAGGCGTTGTATCCCGCAGGACTGATGGCCATCTCGACGACTGTGGCGATAATCAGAACCACCAACACCGCTGGCGACACGTATCTCCACATATAGTAATAGAATGAGTATGGCCTGAAACCAAGCATGTCCTCCAGGTCCTGCATGAACCTGTGAAAGAAAGAGAAAACAAGATTAAAACTCTAAAACCATCAGTTCCTTGGTCACCTGGTCGCATCGATAGCATGTTAGAGGGCTCTCTCAGACATTTTGGCGAAAGAGATGACAGCGCTAACAGTGTAAACCCAGAGGGGAACCTGAAGAGTGGTGCTGCGCTTGCCATGCATGCTCGCAGGCGTCTATTTAAGAAGAAGCTCCAGTAACAACACAACAGTTGTCTGCTGCTATATTATTGGTAAGAAAGTTAGACGCCTTAATTACCTCACTTCACTCACCTTTTAGCATTTTAGCATGCTAACATCTCTAGCAACCAAAGGCCAAACCAAACCAAAGGCACAGCTGAGGCTGATGGGAATGACATGTGCTTCGCAGGCCTCATGCTTTGAGCTGCTAGCGTGGATCGAATTATTGAGATATCGGTGAACTTTTCTTTTGAATGCAAAGGTCTAGGCACAATGGGGGTTGTAAAGCCCCCAGCCTCCCACTTCTGATAAGGGGCTATATAAAGAAAAAGTGACTTGAATTAAGGATTAAGTGATATGTGGCATATGTAGACATATATATGCAGACAGAGAGAGATTTGAAACATGTACCAATTGTCTACATACGGCCTTCAAATTATTTTTTTTATCCAAATATGGCTGCGTCTACACATCCAGTCAGGTCACCTCTTAGTGCCATAGATCCAGGCCACAGAGATGTTCTCCAGGATCACCACCACAGTGAGCGGCAAACCAGCGGAGTAGTCGTCAAACATGGTGACAAAGTAGTTCCCTGAACGCTGCACAAACAGCAAGCCTAGCAGGAAGGCTATGATGCAGCAACCCACTAAGAAAAAGATGGAGAAGACATCCAGTGAGAATCACAAGCACTTCACTTTTATGCACGAGATACTTTAAGTGTGATAACAGTCAACTCACCACACAGGATCTCTTTGCGGATCTTGAAAGCATCCAGAATGGGTGTGGTGATCCCAGTCATGGTGCCGATCATGCTTCCCAGGCCCAAGTTAATCAGCATGAAGAAGAACATGACAGACCAGAAGGGACTGGCAGGAAAATGCGTCATAGCCTCCGTGAAGGCGATGAATGCCAGACCGGTGCCCTGCACCGACTGAAAGAGAGGGAGGCGGGGGTCAAAAGTGTCAGGATGTAAATGAGTACTCCCTGGTGGAAAACCAACCGAATAACATCCATTTCCAGAGTGATGAATTAGTGCAGCCCCTCAAGGTACAGAGACACTTTAAGTGAGGAGATTAGCACAGAACATTGGGCTAAAACCTCCAAAAACACTAAAGACAAGAAGAGTCTGAATGACGATGTCCTAACAACATTCTTGGGACCTCTTAATTATCTTTGCAGAAATGGATGATGAACAGAGTTCAAAATACGTGCAGTCTTGTGCATTTTTTCTGCTAAGTGGTCAATGTGTCCGTGGAATACTACTCTATGAAAAACCGACTTGGTAGAGAAAACCGGGGCTGCAACTATTATCAAGTGTAAAATTGTTTACGCTTTTTACATCCTGGTATTTTTAACCTCCCGTCTTTTTGAATTTTTCAACATGAAGACAAATTGTCCTGAATCACCACCCACCACAAAACAAACCAAATCTAAACAAAACTCAACAATCACACTCCTTTCAGCTTGGGAATTCTCCTCCTCTGACCTTGTTGAGTTCGTCCTCCAGGAGACAGGCGTCCAGGCCCAGTTGTCCAAAGCTGTCCTCCTTCACCGTCTTAATGACAGTGTACATCTCTGCATAGTCCACGGTGGACAGGTGGGAGAAGTTGATGTGGGGAGGGATGAGCGCGTTGCTCAGCACACCTGTGTTTAAAAAGCCCAGAATCTTCTCTGCATTACTGCACATAGGAAATAGGAGACGTGGAGAAGGAGGGCGAGTTAGTAACGGTTTTTGAAGAAAAGAAAGATTGGTCAGGTGGCCCTTGATGTACGACACACTCACTCAACGACACACTTCTCGTTCATGACATTGGCCTTGAACCCAAGGACGGCAAACACAACTAAAGTGGCCAAGATGGAGGTCACGAAGTTGATGGTGGAAACCAGTGCTGCATCAAAGTGGCAGTTATTGTCTCGCTTGTTGTAGCTGGAGAAAGCAATGACGCCTCCAAAGCCCAGACCCAGAGCAAAAAAGACCTGCGTGGCTGCTTCTCTCCACACCTGCGGCTCCAACATCTTTTCCAACTAGAGGCAAGAGAGAATAAAACATGTCATATTTAACTATCTTTGAATTACCTTGAATCTTGCTGTTATATATTTGAATTCTGCCTCTTTTAACACTGGACTGCTATAACGCAACAAGTTTAAAAACATTTGGAGTTGAATGAATATTTTCGAAAGGAATCTTGCATGATAATATTGAACAAATGGCAAAGTGCAGGTTAAAATTTTCCATGCAACTATATATATTCCCCACTAGAGGGGGACATCCACCCAACACGTAACAATATTGATGACATTTACGCCTGATTGGATCTGACCATCAACCACTCACGGCTGAGCAGCTTGCATAGTCAAAGTGTCACTCATGTTACATATCTGTTTAACTACCAGTCTGTGAATAAGTGATCAGGACAAAGACAGCTACCAGCTTTCCTTTTCCCCTCCGTCACACCCTCCACTCCACCATTGCACAACAACATGTGTTATTATCCAGAAAATCCCAATTCTGCTGAGGTGACATTGTTTTAGAGTGGTCAACGTTTTTGTTTGATCCATTTGTCTCACCTTTGGTGTGAACATGTGAGCAATGCCGTCCACTGCGCCCTTTAGCATCAACCCTCTCACCAAGAAACAGAAGAGCACCACGTACGGGAACAGAGAGCTGAAGTACATCACCTGAGAGAGAGAGAGAGAGAATCCATCACACTGTGTTGCCATGGACACGCTTTTCTGAGGCCTCACACATGGAAAAAACGGCACCAGCAAACACACAGATACACACACAAAGACACATTACTGCTTTGTGTTTGCTTGGCTCTGAATCTGTTAAATCTGAGCAAATGTTGAGAGACACCTTTAGGTTGGTAGAGACGGGTAAAAAATCCTTCCTACTTCATTTTGGTGAATCATTGCAGTAATCTGACAACGCTAATTGAATTACGACATTTAGTTTTTTTTTTTACAAAAGACTTGATCCTTAATGTTGCACTGTGGTGTACGACTCACTCTTTGGAGATTACAGAATGTAAAAATATACATATTCCATCTTCATTCTGAGAAGGTCTTTGCTTGGTTCAGTTTAAGCTTATTAATGTTGCCTTTGTCTCTCTTCCATGACATAGATGAGATCCCAAAATAGGCGAGTGCTTTCACAAGGCTTTAGAATCTCACCTTTCACTGACGAGCGTTGGCAAAGAGAATAAAAGACTCAGTGATGATAGAGGGCTTTTTAAATGCATTGTTAAGTTGTTAAAACAATGCATCCTTTATATGTTGCAACCTCTGCTTCTTCTGTGAGACCTCGTACCTTCCCAGAGGACTGGATGCCCTTGATGACAGCCAGGCAGACCAAGATCCAAGCCACCAGCAGGGAAAGGACCATCTTCCAGTTCAGGCCGCCCGTGTCGTCGATGCTGCTGGTGATGTTGAGGGTCTGCCGGTACCAGAAGTAAGTGGTGGCCGAGCTCTTCTCACACTCGGGCTCCACGACTACAACACAGTCACATAAACATTGCTGCGACAGTGGAGATCCGGCAAATACACAACGAACGTCCAATTTCATCGTAAGATGTACGGAAAACGTTATTTTAATTATTTGCTGGTGTTGATGGTGGCAGGGAGCCGCAAACTAAAGACACACCTCTTCAGACTTTACCTGGACTGAAAAACACTAAACAAATTGGGATGTAATGTAATAAAGAAGTAGAGTGTATTTTGCTTCATTAAAAATAGCTCTGTCATGAATTCTTTTAATATGACTGTCAGCTGAAGAATATAAATAGTAGAGTGCACAGCAGGCACAAAAGTTCCTAATGGATTGTTGTCGTTATTGGTTCTTCATCACTGATGCATTCATGTGTAAGAATTGTATTTATGTTGACTTTTAGCCAATTGCTGTATGCATAACTCATTAGCATAATTGTCTTCTTGTATAGGAGTACTTATAGAGTAATGTGTGTCTGTTGTTAAGTCAAAGCTCAATTGATACAACACAAACCACTAGGCCTTGTTATTTCATACTGACCCTGATTTCTAGAAAACTCTTGAAATAAGTCCATTCATGTTGGGGAAGAATGTATATCATCAAATATTTGTTGCCCTTTTCAGTATCGATAATTGACAAAAATCGACCTGCTACTGTGGAGAACATGTTGTGGTGTGTTTTGAATGTAAACTAATTCTTGTTCACATCCATTTTCAGTACCTCACAATCTGCCTTTCTCACAAATTGCTGTGTCCCTTGAAGTATTACCGCCATATGGTGGAATATTGTGATATCATTTGAAGGACTATACATGGCTTGCACGAGTGAGTGTGCATCTTCATCTTCACGTCCGTGCACAACCACAGGAAATGCAAAATATGACCGACTTCGTAGTGCCACTAGTCAATAACTCTCTTTGATCTACAAAGTAACAAAGGCCTGTAACTGTCCGCTCACGTAAATGACAAGTGCTTCTTAACCGTACTGACTAACTGTGCTTTACTGTGCGTAGCTCAACTGAATCCTGTAAGACGCTGCACAGCATCCCCGGAGCATTTATTATCATAAGCACAGTCGACATCCTGCCCTCTACTGTTAAGCTGATGCCCTTTACTTTGGCAGAACCACAGGCTGCCAGCCATTTGTGGCGCTGACCATCCGGGTCACACCGTGTGACGGGCCCGCCCAATGGGGCGGCTCTGTAAGATGACGTGCAGGGACCTCCCGCCTATAGAGACGGCAGAAACGCTTCTCTGTTCGCCTGCAGAGGCACTGCTGCTTCACTGCAGAGACACAGCGAGGCAAGCTGTTTGAATGCAAAGACACAGGTTCTGCAGCTCAAGGCACCGCCCTGCGTAGCGCCGGCAGCTCCGTGTGCGCCTTCTGTTCTGGTTTTGTCTTGCAGGCAGTATTTTGTCCTGTAACTTTTGTCAAAGGCTTCACAATGGAAAGCTCTTCAGTATTAGCACTCGTGTTGTGTCATAGCTGCAGCTGTGTTGTGCGCCCTGCCTTGCGTTTTGCACTCACTGGCTTGGGTTCCATTTATGCGGATGGGGCATTCAGCCCAAGGCAGTGGATACTGGAAAGACTGGAAGAAATAGAAGATGCTCCAGCCGATAATCACGTTATAGTAGAGGCCCACGAAACCGCAAACCTGGAGCAGGAAATGAGAGAAAAAGGCAATATTTATCACTCCTGAAAAACCATAACTGCCTCACAAAAACAAACGCACAAACAGCGCGGTGGACAGAAAACGCGCAGCTTGTCGAGGTGAACGTCTCCTCTCGAGTCAGAGCACACACGCCGAGCACACAGCTTAAGTGGATGAATTATTGAGCTGTTTGCTCTCAGCAGCAATCGCTGTGGTCCTCAATGAGAAGGTATTTATAGCTGCTGAATCTCCCTCTGCCACATCCAGGCTGCCACACGCCCAACTGCGCCAGGACAGGCCCCTCCCTCCCCTCCTTGGCACTGGACTGATAAAAATCGTAATCAAAGGGACGGAATAACAAAGAAACACTGACGCATTCAATCACGGACTGTCTGGGGCCGATGACGCCGACGCGATGGGAGTGTGATGGGTTACTACTCCTGCAGATGATTGGGACAGATTATGACGGTGATCTACGCTGGTCTTTGCATGCTACTCGATGTAAAACGTCGGGAGGAAGCGATAGACGGAGGCAGAGGGAGTGCTGCAGCACGTTTTTGGTTTCTGCACACGACCCATCTGACTCAAGTAGGGAAGATGAGCAAGTTACCATTTCAGACAGAACACTTATTCAATAACAAGACGCTGGTGTTTCAGGGTTTCACCTATATATTGACGTGGTGAATGGAGTAGAGAGGGTGCGCTGGGAGCCACAAAGTCGGCGGTTTGAGCCCCGGCTGCTCCCTGTCTCATATTGAAGTGTCCCTGAGCAAGACACCTAACCGCTAATTGCTCCCCGGGCAATAATGTAAAAAGCCATGGGTTAAAAATGCAATGTAAGTCGCTTTGGATAAAAGCGTGTGCTAAATGACCTGTAATATATTTATATAGATTTCACTTGTCGTGGTGGAGAAAGCATCACAATACACCAGAAACTTCTCCATCTTTACTTCTGCTAAATCAAATTCCCCACTGGACATTTTCCCCACCTGATTAAATGGTTTTAAATGAAGCTCTGTTGAGGCATGTTGTAAAGTGCAACCAGTATTGAACCGTTTGATGGGCTCTTTTGCGCTCACCATCAGACTGGAAACCCCGATGCCTCCGAGCTGTGGGTACACATAGTTCCACACCCCGATGCTCCCACGCCTGATCCTCTGACCCACTGCCAGCTCCAGGAAGAAGAGGGGGATGCCGATGAGGAGGAGCAGAATAAAGTAGGGCACCAGGTATGCACCTGAGACAGAGGAGGGACAGATGGACTCATTGGGGGATCACAGTGTTTAAAAGCCATGTATAGTGAAAGACAAAAGCTCATTGTAAAACAGAGGAGTCCATTCTCCTCATTGTCCATGCGTCTCTTCCTGCCTCCTCTCGCACACGTTTCATCTTTTATTGCAGGAGGAATAATGGCACTCAAACAGAACAAGTCACGTCCAGTCTGTCCTGCTTACGTCAGGACATGAAGGGGCGCCATGGAGACAAACCGTCCACAGCCGGAGAGGACGGGCTCATTATGACGGACAGCTGGGAGGAGCAGCTTGTTGCCAAGCTGAAAACAAATGACGCTGGACTCGATCAAAAATACTGATCATCTGGTGAGTGGCTTTTAGAGCGAGCAGCAGGCAAATCAAACAAAGAGGCAGTGTTGTGTCACAGAGGGGAACTGGCTTCTGTGTTGCTGCCTACTTTCACTGATGTCTATTCTGAGCAGGACTCAGGAAATCAAACGTCATCAAAGCATCAGGACCAGCTCACTACGGTTATCTTGAGGATCGTGCTGTTGTTATTTTAGCTGCACGTTGTGGTTCTCTAGATTCCGACGGCTAAAGTATATTCTCAATGAAAGTATTCATTGTACAATCTTCATTTCATTCAAGAATACCGTGAATTACAAGTTAACTTCAGGCTCGGGGATAAAGATCTGAGGTGGATTATAACCTGCGGTGGAGCAGCTGCACATGCTTTCAGAATGATTGGTTCTATGACTTGTTTAATTTCTTACTTTCCATAGCAAATGTGTATATGTTTAGCTGTGGTAATCTGTGCAATTTAACTTTATTTCTGTTTCCTTGTTTTTGTTTGATTACCTCCTTGATTGGTTCATTGTGGAACAAGGAAAGATATAAAAAGTCTGAGACAAAATCATCGACTGGTCAAAATCCTCAAGTTTTCTGAGCGCATTTATTTATTACTCTGTTCAAATAGACCCTTTAACATTGGACTTGATGTTGTAATGCTTCATCATAGTGGTCTTCATCACAGCTTCATAAAGAACATAAGTTGTCCTGAAAAAACATTTTATGTTTTCAGACCTTCTCCTTCTGCGGAAAAGACAAAAATGGACAATTACGTTATTAAATTCCACCAGGAAACACGAGCAAGATGCTACACGCTAATTCCTCAAAGTGCGCATCAGTAGGTGAGGATAAATGTCTTCATTGCTCCACTGACACAAACCCGGTTGGATGACGAGGATCATACGTCTGTTTCTTAGTTTGCCGGTTTTATTTTTTTGTGAAATATAAAACTATATATTTTGTGATGGAGGTTTGTGATAAAGGAAAATAATATAAACCTTCAATGGACTAGAATTGACTGGTAATGATAAAGGATTGACAAGAGATGGAGACAGCTTGTCCTCATCTCTGGAACAAGCCAAGATAGTACAACACCTCCCACAGGGTCAAAATCCAGCAGCAGACGCACACTCATTGTTGCACGCACTCCGGTCAATACGCTTCAGCTTTGTTAGGTCATGCATCTCGAATACCATCTTTAAAACACACACCTCCTACTCGAGGTAGAACCAACACTGTCTGAAAGCCGAGGAAATCCGAATCTACTCCTCCACTTCCTCCACCTTGGCCTTTACCTCCTCACCATCTCACCACAAAACCAGTAAATGATAATACCAAAGAGAAAGGGCTGAAAACCTGCAAGAAACGCAACTAAAGACGCAACAGGAGTATCGTGCGCCGTTTGGCAGGAACCCCCCAATGTGACCTTGTGTTGATGGTGGAAAACATCTCGTCGTTTAGCTGCTGACATTACGAGTCTAAAACCCGCTGAAGAGGTTGCCTCTCTCACTCGGGCGATTAGTTGGCAGTTTTGTTGACAGGGTGTAATTTGTCAAAGACGGGCAGATGGTTAATGGCTCAGAATAATGTTGAAGGTCTGTCCTTGCGGTGTTGAGATGTTGTGGCAATTTGGAGCGGTATAACCTTTTAAATGCAGTTAAAACTGAACAACTGTTGGTTTACCGACATCAGTACTAAAGTACATTCAAGCCAGGCGTAAACATTCAGTAAAAAGCCCCCAAAAAAGCTGGTTTAAGGGGCATTTCTGGGCCCCGATTTTACACTATGGACAAGAAACAAACCTCTTTAAACTAAAGTATAAAAATCTATATTGTTACATCCTACTAAGGGAACAACTCCCATCTGGACTCATTTTATCGAGGATTTTACCTGAAGAAATAAACAACGGCATACGGCATTGATTCAACACAGCATTTCTTTGTTAGTAATTACGCAGCACCCTGTGGGGGAGCGACACATGTTCCTCATCGGAACAAACATCCAAACCCAGACGTGTTTCACTACTTTGCACATTGGAGCGCCTGTTTCCGCGATTAAGAGCGGCGATATGCACCAAGTTCACACACGTCCACCTACCTCCTCCGTTTTTCTGGCACAGGTAAGGAAACCTCCAGACATTACCCAGGCCCACGGAGAAGCCCACCTGGGCAAGGATGTACTCCAGCTTGTTGTTCCAGGCCGGTCGACCGTCCTCTGCGTCCGGGTCAGGGGAGGGTATCAGGGCCTTTACTGGAGCAGTAGAGCCGGGACTCAGACCCATACTCATCTGGCTGCTCTTGTAGTCCATGGGGTGCTCCAGGGACAGCAGGTCGGCCACCGACTCGGTGACAGGCTCATTGCTGTGCTCCCTCTGGGTCACCTTGGTGTTCTTTGGCATGGCTGCAACCCCGAAGCGCCTTCGGCTTGAAGGTAGAGGAGGAGGCAAGGAAAGAGGTGTCTGACTGGAAGAAGATTCGGAGGAGCGGGAAAATAAAGTTGTGCTTTTTTCCTTCAATCTGTGAGGAGAAATATTGGAGACAAACAGGAAATGTTGGAAATGTTATAATAATCAAACTTAAGTCATACAGTTTAAAGGTGGTATTTATTTAGACATTAAATTTCAAAGTTGTCTAATATTTTTTGAATTAGCTTTTTGAGTCATGTGAGCAGCATGAACAGCATGAAAGGTCTGTCTGTGGGAGAGCTGGTCTCAGAACAATGTAGAGCTATAAAACTAAAGCCTTTAAGCACATGTTTCCTGGTATATTAAGTTCTGTCTCATCACACAGCCTTACAGTCTTGTTGTTAGATTGTTTTAAGATGCCAGAGGCTGTGGAGAAGAATCCAAGACTCCAGTGCTCCTGAAAAGAAACAAGCTGTCTGGAAAGTTTCTCTCAAAGTTCTCGGGAATGTGTAAGCTTTTCAGAGGCCTTCTGCAAATCCAGTCAGCTAATAATCCTGTGTGCATATAACAACACGGCTTAAGGGCCGGTGTGTCGGAATGAGTATGAGACAAGTTGGTTAACCCCCCAGATCCAGAGACAACACGTCCAGGGATAGAAAGAGTACTCCAGCAGCTTAAGCATTACACTATGCACCTTGTCAGATTCAAGAACGACAGTTTAAAAAGCAGAATCAATTATTACACTAACATTTTCTTCTTTATCCACAATGCTCTAACAAAATGCGTAGAGAGTCAGGTCTGTAACGTGGATTAAAGTATCTCCTAAGCTAATTCCAGGGAAACGTATCCTCCTTCTGGGGCTTTTTTCACATTTACAGTCCCAAGACCAGACTTCAGTTTCCTTTAAATAAATTGTATTTTCTGGGTGGAAAAGCCTCTTTGCTCTTTAACGATGTTACCGGAATTGGTCTTTATTTCCACCCGTGCTATAAAGCACACTGGGAAACCCTGTGAACAATGGAGGACTAGGGGCTGGACTCTGAGCCCTCCAGCCGACCACGGCAGCAACACGCATTCCTCCACAGTGGCGCTGAGCCGCTGCAGTCACGACACGCCGCCGAGGAGCGGCGCTCGACAGATCTCCGAACAGTAGTGACCTTTCCCACAGTAGTCTACACAATGCTGAGTCATCGCTGAACACTCTGGATTTGGTGTGAAGCGATGATGTTTGCAAACAACATTTTTTGGGCGAGATGCTGAGTTTGGGGGATTGTGGAGCTCTGACAGTCCGCTCACGCAAGGATTTCCTCCGCTTTTTCTAAGAATGGAAAAACTGGCCATTGGTCAGGGAGATGGTGGCCCTACCTGCAAATGGGCGGTTAGTTTTTAGTTCTGACTTTTTAATCTTGTTGCAATGTTGATGCAGAAATACACCAGCAACTTTCAGAGTTTCACATAATGTGCTGACACGGATTGCACATACAGAACTGAGGGAAACAGTATAGTAACATTAGAGAGGTTTTTTTATTTTTTAAGGATACGGAGGAGAAAATGCATGATGGATAAACCAAGAAAACAATAATGCAAAGGAAAAGATGCTGCAGATACTAAAAGATATTCAAACGTCAAAACAATGGGAGTGTTGGACCTCAACCTCTGAGGGAATCAGGCAGATGTGTGAATCAACTCTTCTTGTAACATATTTTATAATTCTCTGTTGACTGTTTGGTGTTGATGACAGAACAGGTTCTCTGTTTCTCATGCAACGATCCACTCGACTTTTATCTCTTCTGGTTGCTAAGCAATGGCTCTTCCTGCAAAATTGAAATCCCATCCCTTCAGCGTGATTGGTCGCCTCTGTGGGAACTATTGGACGGTCAATCTGGCGGCCATTACAGGCAGAAAAGTCATTTTAGGGTTTGTACAAATGCCACTAAGTAATAATGAATTAACTCCCCCCACTGAGACTTGAACCTGAACAACACAAGGATCCTGAAAGGTTCAAACCAGCACCTTCATGACGCCTTCCAGGCATCCTTCACCAACACACAGCCTCACATCCAGCTCAGGGACCGGATGCTTCGTCAAGGTCAAACGAATCACGTAAGAAAAGCGATGCAGAAACGCAAACAACACCAGTGAAAGTCCGCAGGTGGTGGGCAGGCGCGCAGAATGCGTCACGCACGAGTGAAATTTGGACACCCGTGGCGCGGCGGCGTCAAACGCGGAAGATTAATGACCGACGTTCATCCTCAATCCCCATCTGTCAGGTGATGAGGATCATCTCTGTCCAGTAAAACGTTCGTCTCGTGGGTGGGCGGGCAGCCATCGCCAGTTAGTCAAACGCGGTTTAGTTGACACATTAACGCTCACGTATCTAGATGTAATCAACCGGTGAAAACGGATAAAATGACGTTTAATCTCACCGTGTGCGTGATGCGCAGAGCGGCTTGTAACGTCCGAGTCAGCGTGACAGGATGGATCCGAAGGTGGCGCACGATGCCTTCATTCGCCCGCTGTGTCTGCACACAACATCTCCGAGCGCGCACCGATCCGCTTCCAGTCCAACGGGGCGCACGGTGCGTAAATTCAGTCTGACGCAGGAGCTCCACGCCTGCCGCAAGTTCGGTTGCTTTAACAACACTAACTTGCGCCGGTTAAGGATTTTATTGCAACCCGGTAACAGTAGCGGGTCTGCAGCTCTGCAGATTAGCTGCCCACCCCTTTGGCTTCCACGTGCTTATTGCTGTTGTGGGATAAATGAACTCCCCATAGTAGGGAGAAATTAGCATGGCAAGTCACGACGACGTCTGACGCAGGTTTGACTCACCGACTCGTGCGCACGTCAGCAGTTGATCCAGAAAGGGGGGAAAAAACATCTGCAGTGTTCCCAGGACGATAATAAGACAATCACGTGTATCATCAAATCATGTACATCAAACAAACTGATTTGATACGGTATCCTGCTTGAGCAAAAGAGCGTTTGGAGTGATGAGAATGATTATTATTTTTAATTATAATTATTGTTAATTGTAGAAGTATACAGACTTCTCAGTTAATCTTCACATTGAGATAGATGGATGGATGGATATATCCTGACACAGTTTACCTCAATTACAGAGTCAATGCTTTACGTTAATTGGTTTGTAATCATTTATTGTGTTAATATGTGACATAGTCATTTTTCTTTCTGGTCAACTGAAGCAAACTTGATATTTTTGCCATGTTTGCTTGTTTTCACCACAGACACTGATGAACCGAGTAGTTTGCTTACTTTTTTCCTCCTTTTTTAGGTTTTTGACCTCATGCATGCAATTGTTTTTTAGACAAAACTGGGTTTTGTCAATGCTGGTTGCGTTTGATATGAAGTGTCGGGGGGGCTGTGATTAAAATGGGTTAGAGGTGCAGGTGTAGTACAGCTGTTGTTTCAGCTCAGGGTCACCAGAATACGTTTTGAGCATGAAAATGAGGCTTTCAGGTGTGAGTCAAACAAAGATACTCTTTGGGTGATTATGTAGAGATGCAATGTCAGCGTACTAAAGGGTGTCAGGAGTGACAGTTGATTTTTCCACTGATAACTTCCTATTGTTTTTGCACTGAGCGGACGTGTCAGCGTCGGATTATCACAGTGAAGTTAGTCGGCTATTGCTGTTCCTACCGCATATCATGTTCCACTCATGTGACCTGCAACAACTGGGAAAATATAGAGGACATCCGTCTGCTAGAAGACACTTAATACATACACATGAACACCTACACATGCTAGAACACGCACAGACGCCACATTGGCTGAGAACACGTATACCCACTATGCCTCCTGTCTCCTTCAATTCACTCATGTGACTCCCTTTCCAAGGGCTGACTGCTGGGATCAGTTGCCATGGCAACCACTGATCATATGAGGGTTACTCACCCTGTGAGCATTTCCTTTCTCTTTTTTTTCTCTCGCCTCCTCCTCTTTTTGCACCTACTGGCGTTCTGCACTACGTGGCTGTGATTCAGCCACTGAAGTAAAATAATTGCCCCCCCAAAACACAATTTAGCAAGGTTGGTTTTCGCCTCATGCAAACGCAGTGTATAATACTTTTCATTCATGCAACAGGAGACACAATATTCCGTTGGAGGGGCTCCAGTGCATCATCAGACACAGCCTTCCATCTCTTGACCTTGAGCTGGGTGCGTTTATTTATATTTTTTTAGCACAGAAGGCTTGCGGAAGAAGCTGCAGTGACGCTCTAATACAGCAGATGCTATATATATATATCCAGCTTTACTATCTGCACCGTGTTAAACCAGAGCACAGAATAGAGCGGCAATGAGCCATCAGACTGGCCTGTGATTTACTGAGTCTTCTATTTATAGTTTAGTTCTGTGTAGACTGCTAAAGACACATTCAACAGTACCGATTGAACATAGAGAATGATATGCAAGAATACAATCTATTTCACCATGATATATTGTGTGAAATCTGGCTTTGGAACAAGAGATAACATGTTTCCTCTGCATATTACTCGATGCGATGTTATTTTTCAGCTTGAAAGGATATTGTAAATGTATTTTTTTACATTGGATAATATTGTCAGCAGAGACCCTTATCTCAGACCTCAGGAGAGACGGGTTGCCAGGTCACAAAATAAACATGCTGACGAAAGCCGGCGGGTATAAAAGGATCCGCGTCTCGAGGGTGTTTCCATGCAGCTGAGCCACTTCGGCAACCACAATTCAACCTCCTCTCTCTGCTCCCCCCTCGTCCGCTACGAATGGTGCCATCCCAAGTCCGTCGATGCACCGACACCTCTGCCAACTCCCGCCTGGGTGTGAGAATACTGCCATTGAAAAAAGATGGACAAACGAGGAGGGGAAGAGTTTTGGTTATTCCCCTGACTGACTATCTGCTGCCTCTTATGACGCGGATGAACCGAACAAAGTGTGTTTCCAGTTTTGTTTCACTGGTTTTTGCAGTTTATAATGTTTAATGTTTACGGACTCATTAA